AGGTGGGATCGTCACCCTTGCGCTTGACGGCTGAGATCTTCGCCGCTTGTGGATCCGAGTGAGTGTGTTTCGACTTCGTCCGCTGGTTTTCAAAGCAGCGGATGATCTCCGCGCGGAGCTCGGGGTACTTGAGCTCGGCGATAGTTGCGACTGACATCTTGGAGTTGATGACGTAGTCGTAGTTCGAACTAGGCAGCTTCGATAGTAGAAGCATGGCCTTGATGAAGTCGGGGATCGCGATTTGAAGGTCGGAGAGCTCGGTCCAGGCTTGATCGAGGCGATCGAGAGCGGGGATAGGTGACGAGTTTGATGGGAACGAGGTAGCGAGAGCGGTCTTGAAGTGACCGAAGGCGTTCGCGACCGAGGTCTTGTCGTAGAGATCTTTGAGAGCTTCCCAGATCTCTTTGGCGGTCGTCTTGGTCTTCACTGCAGTTTTGACTGCGGGCGAACAACGCAAGAGGATGTTGCCTTGCGCCTTCTGATCGAGGGCGTCGAAGGTCTCGCCTTTGGTGTCGTCGTTGTCCTTGGGGTTCGCAGAAGGTCTGGTCTTCGTGATCACGGGACCTTGCCCTTGGGAGAGCAGGTAGCACCGCATCTGCGGTTCCCACGACCGGTAGTTCGTGCCGTCGAGGACAGGAACGTGCTGCGTCAAGGTTGAAGACATTGTATGTGTAGGACGATTTGTATTGGAAGATAGTGCGATAAGTTCTGTATGAAGACAGAAATCAGCATACGTCCCAAAACGGATGAAACGCAGCCGTTACGGCGCGAGATAACGCTTTGATGCTGACGCTCTGAGTGAGTCCTGCAGCGGATCAACCGCGCATGGATCTGCACTCCGGTCTGCCATTTCGGCGACCTACAGGTAAGCTCAGCGCGCCGACTGCAGCCATGAAGGCGCTGTCGAGCGACAGCAGGGCTCATAACCTGTTGAGACGGTAGCCTCACGCTAGTGGGCGCGACATCTCACCTGTAGCTTAGTAGAGCCTGTTCGAGGTCTCGCACGTAGTGTAGTCGTAAAAGGAACTGTGTATTAGCAGGCCGGGATACTCTGGTATATATACAGGGTACGAACGAGTGGCTGGTGCTACTGTACAGTACACGAGAGAGGCTGAAACGAGAGCAAAGAAACGGGGCTACACTACGGTATCATAGAGTAGCTAGAGATAGCTCTCTGGAACGGGGGATGCACGATCGGAGACGTGCATGCCATGCAGTGGCGTTCCGTAGAGCGCGCCATACGGCTAGACGCTCTTAGGTAAGCCGAGCCGCTCGGCGGCCCGTGGCCGAGTATGCCGAGCGTTCTCACGCGTAGTCCGCGGTGTACTTACCGCGTTCAACAGTGAGTGCATGGCTCCGTGCGGGTCGGTCGGACGGAAGGGCACTTGGAGATATTGACGACCGAGCCGCCGTCGCCGAGGACGTCCCGCCAAGAGCCTGGGGACCCCGCAAAGGCGAGCATAGTGCGCCCCAGGCAGCTTGCGTGGCAGATGCCTCGGGCGGTGTGTGGTGTGTGAGTCGAGTGAATACATAACATTTCCCCATCCGTGATCTTATATTAGTACACGCGCGTCCATTCGGTGAGATGTCCTCGCCACCTCCGGCGTGCAGTGGTCGCGCCTGCGTTCCATCTTCGTTGTACATGTGCGGACGTCGGGTGAAGGCGTGAAGGTTACAAGCGCAAGTCGTCACGTATCGTCCGATGTCGGGATCATATCGCCTTCGTTGCGCTCGAAGTGCACTCCTCCGTGTCTATCCGACCATCCGACCATCGATCCGTCGTCCGTGACTACCAACTGGTGAACGTCTTTGCCCTCGAGGGCCGGGACGCGGTAGAGGCAACCGCGGAGCGTACTCCAATACCACGGAGTGGTGGGGGTGACCCAAGACCAGGCGGTGCCTGAGGATGCCAAAGTTGGATGGTGCTACCATCGACACGGATATCCCGGTTGGGCTCTACCTCGAAAGACCCCGAGAGCGGCCGTCCAGTCGCAGTGTCGAATACGCATAGCGACCCGACACACGTAGGTTCCGACCCGGCGTTGACTCGGAAGCACAGGGTACGAGAACTGTCCTGGGACAGCGCCTGTGCCGTCCAGCCTTCGGGAAGTGCCTGCGCCAGCGTCGTAGGGGTGGGAGAGTCATCGCCGCGCGCACTGGAGGGGCTGGAGTCGACCAAAAGCGCGCCGGCTCGTGTGACTGCGAGGAGAACGGGGGCCCCGCCGCTCTTAGTTTCAGGTCGCAGAACGGCCTGGAATAAGCTGTCGTCGTAATGATGGGGTTGATGGAGATGTAGGAGGAAGGGGAAGGTTTGGTCCGACGTCATTTCCACGGCGAAGACGATATCACTGTATTTGTTCTCCCTACTGTAGCTGTTCCAGAAAGGCTGGCTAACGCGTTGGTGAACCAAAGCGAACTGGCCGTCGGGAGATACTGAGAGATAGGATTCGGGCCAAAAACCCTGAACCATGGGGGGACAGTGCAGCGTACGCACGTGGACCAGACTCTCCGCGTCCCGGATTTGGACTTCCATCGTGGACACCAGCACAAGAATGTGGGCGCTGTCCGGTGACCAGCTTGCGGCGAGGAATTCCTGTGGTCCGCTAGGAGGCTTGATGTGTCCCGTCTCCCGAAGGTCGCTGTAGTGGAGGGATCCTTCCCGGGCACAAGGGAGGCTGAAAGCTCTCAGTTGATCATGGCAGTGAAGGAAGAGGCGGGCATTTGAAGGCGAAAAGGCGAGCCGTGTTCCGCCCCAATCGGGCATCAATGAGCGATACCAACATTCCAAAGCCAGTTGGCCGCCGCTGCGAATATCCCAGATTATGAGTATTACCGACTGCTGCGAGTTGGCGATCTGGAACGATGAAAACGCTACGCTGGCCGCCCAATGTCCATCTCGAGAGAAGATGAAGTGATTCAAAGAAGAGGGGTGCCCGTACGAGTCGGAGCTAGGGGCCGTCCATTCCGCCGATGAACCTGGACACACTGATTACCGTACATGTATAAACGGTCAATAAGATTAGAACGCACTGGAGTACCGGAATTGGATGTGTAGAAGGTTCCGTGTATGGAGTGACGAGAAAGCACGTTCTAGCGTGGATCTCCATCTGTCCACAAGGTTCCGCGTCGAGTCTTGCACTATGAGGTTTATCCCGTTGGTGCTGAGATAGCTGTGACCCTTCACCAATCCTGAGAGTTGGAGAGTTGTCTGTTGTAGACTACTAAGGTCACAAGTTATCAAATATCCCAGAACACGATCAAGAATGATTTCCAAGGAGCGCAGGGCAGGTGGGAGGCGACGAGCCAAAAGATTGTCGAGCTTCTGGAGTGTCGTAGTATCGGAGAGAAGGGTGGGATAAAATTGATATGTCAAGGCGGTGTCGACAGAAAGGCGTGTGAGACTCGTAAAGTCGGCAAGTGGAATGCCTGTGAGTGCGGGTGGAAGTTAGCTCTGAAAATCTCGCAGCATAGATTGTGTACACATGTACCTACTGCAATGAGCGACTCCACGTTGATGGTGAGGTGCACCAATGTTGAGCAGCTTCCGACAATAAACCCGGCAAGCTGCCCTGCCATGGATCCGGCATAATTGTACGAACACTCTACTGTGAGTTTCAAAAGATTCCCGGGGGGTGGTGAAGAGATGAGCGCATTATCGAGCGAAGGTCTGTCACACTGCAAGAAGGATATTTCCAGTGTCTCTAAAGCGGGGAATGCATGAACGAGTCGGTACAGATGGAGGGGAGTGGGGAAATAGCTGTGAAGAATAAGGGTCTTGACGGCGCGGTAGTGCCGGAGGCACGACATAATTGCTCGGGGGAACACCATGTGTGCATGGTGTTTTATTTCCCATGTGTCGATGTAGAGGAGATGAGGAAGGAGGATCGCCGGTGCGGCCCAGGGAAATGGATGTCCTGAACCCAAAGTTGTCAGTCGGACAGCATGGACCAACAGGCGCAAGTTGGGAGAGCACTTGAGAGCTTGACCGATGGAGTAGAGGCTGTCCAAGCTGGAGATGGTGATAGTCCGCCAGAGGAGGAAACGACTCCTGGGGAGCCATTCGCTGTGGATCCGAGCGCAGGTGGTGAGCGTGCGGAGGTCGTGCTGGGCGCCGAGTTCGTCGAGCACATTCTCAGCGATATCGATGGGAAGGCGCAGCGGGGCCATTGAGGAGAACTAGGAGGATGAAAGAGCACTGGGCGGTATACACGACGGCTGGGGCAGGCAGGTGGAAGGAGTTGGCGCCGTGGTATTCAAGCTGCGGGCGCCAGTTTCCGGGCGCGAGGCGATTAGATTAGATCTGTTGCCAGTGATCTGGTTCAAATGCTCATTCCTCCCGTTCCAAGCACCCAAGGGCTGGAGAGCATCCTCTCTTCGAACTTCGACGCTTATCAAGTGTCGATGCTGGGGCGAGGCTCGGGGTTGCTGACGGGGGAAATCCTACGCAAGTGCTCCGTCACGAACCTGAAACGGAAGATGGCCTGAGAGAGCCAACGCCCGTGCTCCTCACCCTAGCGGAATACGTCGATGCCCGCGGGGACCTCTCATTAGACCCAGATTACACCATCATGATGGCCTACCAATGGCTCGGGCCAATTGAATTTGCGGTTTCTGCCTCCGGCGACGTCGTCTCTGCATTCGCGTGCATCAACAACGTCCAGAGTCCGTTCCGTATCTCCACCATCTTCTAAGTCGAGAGTAGCACTCATATGAGGAGACAGCCAAGAGAAGATGCACCTCGGGGAGCGACTCAAGAGCGTGGGACAGCCTTCTGCTCTTCCCGGAACAGCCGATCTCATGTTGAACTCAGACTGTCGTCGCTCTTGATTCATCTCCATCATGACATCGTTCTTCCGTTCGTCTGTTCTTCCTCCTGCTCACGAGTTCTGCCAGGCCGGACCTGCCTACGACACAGACTATATGTCGCTGCTCTTCTGGCCAACCTTGCGCGCCCGACTCCATGCATCGTACATCGCTGCTCAACATCACAGGACCGCAATTCAATGCTCGCACATGTTGAACACCTCCTCGAACGTCTTCTCGTTGTGATCGTCCACGAAGACCGACCGCTCCGCCATGAGCTTCTGGCGATGCTCCTCCGCTTCCTCCCGCGACATCAACTCACCCTCCGCGAACGCCACGATCTCGTCGTACAGTTCCTGCGGGAGATTCCGCATCGCAGGCGCCCTCTCCGCCTCCGCGAGCGCCCACTCCCGCTGCTGAGGCGGCACGTCCGTCGTCGACAACACCCGGATCTTCGGGTCGATGAGGAACAGCGCCAGCATCTTCCGGTGCCCGGGCCGCGTCTTGTCCGCGAGCGCGAACGGCTCGACGCGGTGCTGGTACACGTTCGGGAACGCGACGCACTTGTCCTCCGCCGCGACGACGTGGCCGACCGGCTGGCTCAGCCCGTCGTCCCGCCCGAAGCCGTACGCGGCGAGGTACCCCCGGTGGTCGTGCTGCTCGTACGAGAGGTCCATCCCGTAGTCGCCCCCGCCGACGCGCGTCCGGAACGCGAGCCGGCTCTCGGTCACGTTCTCCATCGCGTAGTAGTAGAGGCCCGTCGCGACGATCCGCTCGTTCGCCATGCCCTCGACGTGCCAGGAGCCACCGGGGTACGTCGGCTTGTCGGGCGCGAGGTGGACGCTGGCGAGCTTGACGATCGCCTGCACCGTGCGCCCCTTGAGCGTGAAGGACACGCGGCCGTCCGCAGACGGGGGCGCGAATGGGTCGGGTTCGGGGATCAGAGGCCACCTGTGCTCCGCCGTCCATGCTTCCCAGAGCTTGTTGTAGCTGTCGTGGTCCACCACTGGGTCCCACTTTGGCGAAGGCACGCCGATGTGGTCGTACCATTCGTGGGGTGATTCGTGGATAGGCGATTCGTAGTCCGGGGACAGGGCGTCGGAGAGCACGCGCTCGAACATGGGAACGAAGCGCGCGACGAGGGAAGTGACGACGGGGTAGAGGGCGCGGTGCCGGAAAGGGTGGGCGTTGTTGATGTACCCGAGCGCGGTGACCTCTCCGTCCGCAGTGACCGAGAAGTCCGTCGGGAGCCACTGGTAAGCTTGAGAGACGGCGTAGTCGCTCTCTTCCTGGAGGTCACGGCGCGTGCTGATGTACTCGTCGTTGTCGAGCAGCATAAGCTTGGGCGGTCCGCCCGAAGGGTCAGCTGTGCGAAACAAGGTGTGCCCTATACGGAGGGGGTAAAGGGACGGATGTACGAGATCGAGGACTTGTCCGTCGGAGCCGGGGTGCCAGTCCTTCTCGTCCTCCGGAACGTTCTCGAAGAGAGAGGCAGCGCGCATGAGCTGCTCCTTCAGACTGGCGTCGACAAGAGAATGGGACTCGTACACTTTGCGGATGCCGCTCTCCTGCGATGTCGGATCTTGGTGACGGGTTCGACAAGTATATACATGACACTCACAAAGATCCCGGTGGTTGGGTCACGCCTCGTGGCCTCGTAGAGCAGCTCGTCGAAGATATAGCCTATCTGCACCTCGCTCAGTGGATCCCGCGGCCACAGTTTGACCAAACCATCAAACCAGTATCCCTCCGATTCGTCCGAAAGTTCCGACTCGTGATCCTCCTCGCCCTGGGCCTCTTCGCCTTCTGTGGTTCTGCCATCGACTCCCTCGGGTCCCTCTTCCCCCTCAGATTCGTCGTCGTGGTAGTCAGCGACAACTTCCTTCGGCTTCTTCATGTAGAGCCTGAAGCGGTGAGCCCCTCCCCAATAGCGCTCCACGTTCTCGCGATCATGCGCGATCATCTCCTCCCGCCATCTCGCCACGACGGTCGCGTCGTGGATCTTCTCCCACCAGAGCGGCTTGGAGCGGATCTTGCCCGAGTAGCCCCGCATGCGGAGCTCGACGAGCGTGAGCGGGGCGACGTAGGCGTCGTCGAAGGGAGTGGGGAACCGAAAAGGTTTCGGGGTGGGCCCGGGGGGGACTGGAATCATCATGCTCGTCATGTTGAGAACGAAGGCCACGGGTAGAAGGTGGGCGTCCACTCCCGGCTTTTGTATCGATGGCATACTCGCTTGGCATTGCCAAAACGGGTGAATGCCTACGCGGGGGCGCGCACACCTGGGATTGTCCAGCGACGAGCTGCACCGCGATGCCACAGGGCATGCCGACGTAGACGCAACGGTCTGCAATCAGACAGCACGAATAGCAGAATGCGCAGATAGCATACGGCGCGGCGCGAGTGAAAGTCGCGCGCGAGCGGACCGGATGCAGAGCCATGCGCACATATGCCCATGATACCATCCCCTCTTCAAGGGAACGTCATAAGAGGCGACGCGGTGTGGGGGCACGAGGGTATCGACGGAGAAATACGGTGGCGAGAGAATGAAAAAGACGGAATAGAGAGATGGCGAACGGGGCTGGGAGTGGAGCGCGAACTGAACAAGCGCGGTCTGATTGAAGTACTTGAGTGACGAGGTGCGGAGGAAGCCAAGAGACGAGAGAAAACATGGATGGTCAGCTTCGTCATCGTCTTGTCAAAACCCGGAGTGAGGACGTCTGTATATGCACATTAATTAAACTAGTTTGTCCTGTCACGCGTCACCGCCGTGACGGGACGCGTCGCACGCACTGGTCAGGAGTCTCGTGCGCGTATGTAATGAGGAAGTGCGGGAGCGCAATGCTCGACAGGCTCGCCCCCACCACCGCGCCCGCGCCCCCTTCGACCCATCGCTGCAATGACCGACCACCGCTCTCCGCGCGTCAACAAGGCGCTCCTCGCGAAATACATCGGGCAGACCGTCCGGCTGGTCGGGAAGGTCATCTCGGTGCGTGTGCTCGTCTCGTGCGTCCGTGGCGCAGGCTCACTTGAAGGCGTCCGCGGTAGGCCAACGGAGACACCGCGATCGTGCAGGCCTCGGACGAGGGCCAGGTGGAGGTCCAGCTCCTCAACGTCAGTCATCTCTTCGTCGGAGTCCTCTCGCGGGCGTGCTTCGCTGACCTCGGGTTTCGCCATAGGCCTACGAACACCAGTCCACGTATATCGAGGTCATTGGCACGGTACGGGACGAGAGGACGATCAAGATGGTGGCATACGTCGACATGGGAGATGATGTCGGTGAGTGCCGCGTTCCACCAGCGCATGCCAGGTGCTGCAGCAGGCGAGAGGGTCTGACCACATGATAGACATGAAACTGGCGGACCGAGTAGTGCAAGTGTGGCACGACCCGAAGTTCTCCAAGGTGTTCTAGTGGCTTGGTGCCAACGCGCATTGATGCCATCTCATGCACATGTACGCAGTATGTAGTATTCGATGCGAACAGCAACTCAGTGTATTGTAGTCACCCTTCATGCCCTTCACTTTGAGTCTGAGAGGCAGTCAGCGACAATTCCCGATGTGACGATCACCAACGCTCGTGAGACTCTCCCACTCGTCAGAGGTCAAGTCAAGGTGGGGTGAGCAACGGCGACCGCGCCTTCCGGTATGGTCCTGAATATATAGCTTGTATAATAATGTCTATGGAGGGGGGCGTGCAATTACTCCTGAACAATATCCTCCTTGCGCGGCTTCAAGTTTTCCTTCTTGATCTCGCGACCCTGTCCGATCAAGCTCTCCGCCTCGTCATCCAAAAGGATACCTGCGACCCAAACGTCAGAACGTCTCGACGAACACTGGTGAAGCCCGTGACGTACCCAAACCCTCCTCGCGAACGAGGCCCAGGACGTGCTCGAGCTCAACGAAACCGTCCTTGTCGACGTCCAGCTTCTCGATGACCTTGTGCCCAACCTCCTCATCCGGCTTGTGCTTGATGACAGCAATCGCCTTCTCGAGGTCCTCGACCGAGATCCGTCCGTCAGCCGAACACGAGATCATCTGCAGCGTCGAGCCAACGCGCCCGTCGTACGCATCCAGCTGCTTGTCGATCTTCTCGAGCATCGTCCGGATGCGCTTCGTCAGCGCGTTCGTCGGGGAGCCGGGGTCCTCTTCCGCCGCCAGGTTTTCCTCCATCAGCGCCCGGAGCTCGTCGCGCTCCTTGAGCACCGATGATTTGGCGGACAGGACAGAGAGGGCCTCAGCGAGTTCCTTGAGCTGCTCAGTGGTCATACGGGCGTCATCCTCGACGACTTCAGGCTTAGCAGCAGAGTCGGGGAGGAGCTGCAGGATGGCGGGTGAGCTCCGGTGCAAACGACAGGCGCGGTGCACACACCTCAGACTCGGGCAAAAGGGAGGCGGCCAAACGCGCTTCCTCCTCCTTTTTCGCACGCCGAGCATCCTCCTCGCGCTGTTCCTGCTCCTCTTCGTCCTGAATGAGCTCTTCCTGTTGCTTGAGGACCTCGAGCTTCTGCTTGTAGCTAGCCTCATCGTCGACTTCGAGCTCGGCTTCGCTAAGCTACATGGGCAGTCAGCCCCACACTCACATTTACAATCCGAATCCACACTCACTAGATTGTCCGGCAGGCCGCAAAGCACGGATTCCAAGCTCTGGATGATCGCCGTCTTCCCGTCCTCGCCCTCGCCCGGCTTCCGGTCGAACTGGAACGCGCGCGCCAAGATGAGGAGCACGCCCGAGACGCGCTTGTGCAGATGGAGGTCGATCCACGTCGCGAGCTCCTCGCGGAGGCGCGCAGGAGAAACGTCGAACGTACGGATCCCGCGGCTCTGGCACGCCGCCTGGAGCTCGGCCGTGCTCAGCTCGTCAATGCCCTCACGTGCGATCGCCTCGTCGTCGCGGCGGAGTTGGAGCAGGCGCGCGCGAATGTTGCCCCGGAGGAAGTTGTCGGTCCCGAAGGCGTTGATGGCCATGTACCGGCACATGGACACGAGCTGCGGCCGGGAGAGGTTGTCGAGCGTGAGGTCGTCGTCGAAGAGGCGCGCCACGTTGATCACGTCTTGGGTCGAGGGCGATTCGCCGGTAGAGCGGACCTTGCGGAAGAACTCCTTGAACGCGTCGCTGCCGACGATGTGCGCGTTTGCCTTTAGACCGGACTCGCGGAGGGTCTCCTGGAGGAACTTGGCCATCTCGAGGCGGACCCTCAGGAGCTTGCGTTGTTTCTCCTCCTGTGCACGCCAATTAATGCCAGAGTAGCACAGGAAAAGGGAGACTACGTACGGCAGCGAACTTGTCCTCAAACGTAGACGGAAGCGCGTTGGGGAAGATCTTGAGGACGACCGGGATGAGCAGCTCCATGAACGGAACGATGACGAAGACAGCGAACGGGATGAGGCGAAGCAAGTCTTGGGTCGTACGTTTGAGCTACACGTATATAGCCCGTATCAGCAGCCGCATATAACGCGAATGAAAACGGAGGTGACACGTACTTGTCGTCGCTCTCGACGCGTCAAGGACTCGCCGTGAAGCAGCTTCCACTGCAGTCGCCCAGAGATACGCACTTCGGCGGCGAGAAGTTTGCTGCCATGCCAGTAGTGCTGGACTTCGTGTTTGACCTTCTTCCATACACGCGTGGCGACTGGCGCGTCCTCCTTCGGGGCTGGCGGGAGGGGCTTGTCACTGCTCGAGGGCGAGGGCTCGTTCTGGGGAGGCGAAGAGTGCAGCTGTCGGACGCCAATAGAAGATGCCTGGGGCAACCCGTGCGCATATAGTGGGTGCAGCGGGAGGCGGACGCTTTGCGACGCGGAGGCAAGCACGTAGGTGCGCACACCGACAAGGAGGTGGGGATGCCGACTACAGGCGCGCAAGAGGTGGGAGGGCGGGGCGCGTGGTAGCCATAATGACATGACCGGGGTCGGAGAGAGGAGCGAGCGTCGTGTTGGTCGTGTCCAGTACTGGCAGAGTCGGAATGTAAGGACGGGGAGAATGTGCGGAGGTGAGAGTCTGGCGATGACGCACTGGCGCGGCACCTCGGGATCGAAAATGCGTATTTGCGCCTATTTGCTTCGGCGGCTCGGACTCGTCGCCCGGCTCTCGTTTCGCGGCTCCCATCCCCTCCGCGTCATGACCGTTGCCCCTTCGGCACCTGCCTTGTCAGGCGACATACACGATCCAACCAGCGCAGCATACAAGAAGGCGCGTCGCAAGCACTGGAAGTCAACCCGAAACAGACCCGAGAACCGGGCCGACACCGAGTGGACTCCCTTCCGTGCGGCGGAGAAGAAGTACAAGGCCCGCTTCCCGCCCCTGATATCTCTAGTGTGTTGGATGTGGCTGCTGCAGACCCATCGAGACTGGAGGAGACGGCTAGAGGGGGGTGGCGAGGACGTGCAGACGCTGTGGAATGTACACAGATTTCTCTGCGGGGAGGAAGGACGGGATTCATGTTCCCGGGCACTCCTGGTGCGCATTCTGCCCTGAGCAATGTTGGATTGTGCGTGTTTATACCATCATTCGACTCTTCTTGGAATACATCAGGCCTTGTTCTGTTACCTGCTTTTGCGGCTCCCGTCGACCAGCGATCGCTTATTCGATGGGCCCTATGCGAACAAGCCCAGGACCCCAACGAGACAAACCTCGACACGCACTACGTGTTGCCGAAATCAGGCTTGTGGAATACATACATCCGCGTCCTAAGAGGCGAGTGTGATGATGAGGAGGTCGTTCCCCGCGCAAGTGTCGTCGTTCAGGACGAATCAGCCACTGTTCCCCCGCCTCCTGGTCCACGCCAGCTGATCTCGAACGAGCCTGCAAGCACCGACAACCTTGTTGCTCTTGCGGGAACATCCAAACCGCGCGCTTCCCCTTCGCAAGCTCTGAGACCCGTTCCGATTTCCAGTCTGGTACCGAAGCTGCGATGGGCAAACATTGGATGGTTCTACCACTGGGGAACGAAACAGTACGACTTCACCAAAGGGCCGGGCGAGATTGCGGCATCTGTTCGGGGTGTCTGCAGGAGCGCAGTGGACGCGGTTCCATGGGATGAAGTGTTCAGTGGCCAGAACGCTGGGCCTCTGGCAGACTGGGGTAGTCATGAACCAGACTGGGTGAATTGGAGGGAGACGTACGGTGGGTGCAACCAAGAGTGTTCTTGTCGCTCTAGACGCTGATTGCATTAACAGAGCCTGATGCAGGTATAGTCAACTTCTATCAAACAAACGTCGGTGCCAGTCCTCTCATTTCACAGCGCCAGGCCGTCGATCGCTGATAAATCGTCCAGGACACGCTCATGGCGCATGTCGACCGCTCGGAGCTGTGCGCGACTTCCCCGCTTGTGTCTGTTTCGTGAGTCAGCCGTGCCTCCCCGAATACCGACCCCTCCAAGCATTTTTGTACTTCAGTGGCTGACCTCTACTCATAAGGCTCGGATGCGCCGCCATATTCCTCATCGGGGGACACACTCGCGACGAAGCTCCTACCCCTATCCTGCTCCGGTCGGGAGATGTGGTTATTATGTCAGGACCTGCGTGCCGTAGGGCTTTCCACGGTCCGGTATCTTCATATTTGTCTTTCTCGTGCCGTAGCATTGATTTGCCATCTTGCGTAGGCGTGCCTCGTGTCCTGGAAGAGACCCTCCCACCTCATCTCGAAAGCACCAGCGCCTCGGATGACTGGGACCCCTACGCAAGCCACCTCCGGACAACGCGAGTCAATGTCAACGTCAGGCAAGTCTTTCCCAAGGGCTTCGATCCTGTATCAGAGATGGATCCGCGGAAGTGAAGTAGGCATCGTACGCTGCTTATGACCAGGTGAGTGCAATAGTATTGTGATGCGGTGCAAAACTGAAGAAACTGTGTTAAGGCCACTTTGAAGCCACGCAGTGTATCCATGTGAAATGCGAACCGCCAAGCAACTCGGAGTGTGTGTCGCCATCCTGAGTCGAGAACGTTACCGGCCTTGTGCGGGTACGAACATATTTGCATTGCATGCCTGTGAAATGTGCACCCACCCACTATAAATTACCACACCCCATCCACCCGCTGCAGTGCTCTCTTCCTTCACGACTTTTCTGTCTATTCACCACCTCCACCTGAACACCTGCTTTTTACTATGTACGCTAGATTTTTATCACTCGCTGCTCTCTCTACCACTATGCTCGCACCTGCTGTCGGTGAGTTCTCTCTCCCCCTGCCTCTTATGCGTCAGCTCATCTGTTCTACCAAGGCGCAGCCGACAGCGTCACGACGCTCTTCATCCCCCACCGCAACCCTCAAGCAATCGCCGCGCTAGAGCTTGGATCTAACGACGGCCTTACGACCTACTCTCTAGGCTCCGGCGCACCGAGTGGAGTCTATCGGTTCAACAACCTCCCCGACATAGGTACGTGCACCCTCCCCTTCAATCCCTCCCGCTCCCGTCCGCACGGTACCCAACCTCACGCGCACACTCCCCCTCCCCTCCAGTGACGTACATCACCGGCCTGACCGAGGTGCACTACACCGCGACCGACGTCTTCGCGGACACCGAAACCCAGGACTGCGTGCTCCCCGGCGACGGCGACGGGACGTGCACGATGGTGGCCTCCTTCCGGTCCGGCTTCGCGGACGTCGTCTCCACGAAGGTCTACACCCAGACCGCGCTCGCGTTCGACGTGCAGCTCGTCACGGGGAGCATCAACGCGACCGGCACGTTCAGCACCACCGCGACGCCTACCGCGACCGCTGGGGCCTTCACGCTCGAGGTGCCGGCCGGAGCGAGCGTCACGCGGCCGTCCACCGCGGCGGGGCCAACGCAGAGCGGCTCGGGTGGTAGGAGCGGTGCGAGTGGGGTCCGCGTGCCTGTGATTTTGTTGGGGGCTTTGACGGTCGGGGCGGCGGCGTCCTACTTGGTATGAAGGTTGCGTGGTGCGGCCGAGCGGGGAATCAGTCCACGACTATCATACAGTGGACGTCCGACCTATATAGGCAGAGCACCTTTCATTATGGGTGGCATGCGCCTACTTTCCGACATGTCTCTCCGTTACACCCTCTTACTACCCTGAAAGAACGACCCGAACGGAGCGCGCCAAGTTTCCGGCATTAGGGGCTACGCCCTCCACACGCTGATCATGTTCGCTCTTTCAGGATTGCTTAGGTTGTTATGGCTTTGGCTTATCGTTGTTTCGTTGTGCATTTGTTGGGAAGGTTGTCAATTGAAACCACCACCTTGGATTCCATGATCGCAACAGGGAAGGCTGCAACAGTCGGGTGTGGGGAATACTACGCAACGCGAGGAGACGGGGTTTTTTTGATTACTTTACTGAATAGCGAACCGCCGCCTAAATGACCCGTGCTTGCGCCGACTCGCAGAGGCAGTGGTTGAGATGGGTGGGGATCACTTGGCTACTACGGACTTGCATGGCAGTGTCGCCACTACGTCAAAATTTGCTGAATGCCCTGGCCGAAAGCTGCTAGTCGGGGCACGCCGAGGTAAAAAATTTGTTCGCATCGTCGGTGAACATGCGTAGCGGGCAAGGCCTCATGTCGGGAACACATGTAGACGCCGATCAGGCAGTCATCCAGAAAAGGAAACAGAACCAAGTGGCGTGCACAGGCGCTTCCGCATCTTGGTTCAGGTCACCTCGACCACCACACGTTGCAGACAAAGGGCACGCGCATCCGCCATTGTTCCCCTTATCAGGTTGGTACCGGCTTCAATGATCTTCTCATGACTCACCCGCTGTTTCGATCTGTGACCGCAGATCCCTCACGGAACATTGAAATACACCCACCGGCGGACCCGTAGAACCCGTAAGCACACCCCGCATCCTCCCTCCCATCATCCTTGCTCTACTCGCTGCCTTCTCCCGTTATTCTCCTGCCCTTCATGTCTAACGGGGACACTCACGTCGCTGCGCAGACAGTCACGCCTTTACGCGTATCCGCCAAACACAACTCCAGTGGTCGCGGAAACGGTCTCGGCCGGTCCTCAGCATCTGTCGCGGGCCAGCGTGATAGTCTCCAGGACCCCGGAAACACGTCCGGCGGTACGAAGCGCGCCACCCGCCGCATTCCGGATCCTCCTCTCGCTGAAGTACGCGAAGGATATATGGACCACGGCAAGAACTGCACCCAGGTCGTCAACCTTTACGACCTTTACGAGGCGAAAGGTCTGCGCCGTGTCGAACATGTCGACATGGGTCCCAGCAAGATCATCGCGATCTCCGAGCGATTTAGGGAAGCGCTGAACATGTCGGAGGGTGGAAAGAAGCATGGAAGACCTGTAGAGAACGAGATTAGTAAAGCCTGGGTACGTCTTCAGACCGTCCTTTGTTACCTCTGCTCACATCCGAGTCGCGTGGTCGTAATAGGTCGAGCTCGATGGCGACCATACCCTTTTCCCCAAACACACCTTCCGCCTTTCTGAGAACAAGCCAGATCGCAACGACGCTACCAAGTCCAAAGTCGACGGTGGTTTCTTCCGCGTCGAAGACGCGCCACTTCTGAACGACGAGGTTCCGAACTGGGAGTACCAGCGCGTCACCGTCGAGTTCAAGCGCGGCGGCACCGACCTCGACCCGTTCGACGATGGCGAGGTCGCTGAACCTGCAGCGCGCTCGCGCACTGCCGTCCGTGGTCAGCTCTACTCGTACAGCAAGAACATCCGACACTTTCAGCACCGTGACTTCCACTACATGCTCTTTGTGAACGGCTCCAAGTTCCGTCTCTTGCACTGGGACCCTTCCGGTCTCATGGTGAGCAACGCCGTCGAGTACGCTGAGACTGTTGAAGACACCAAGATCCTTCTCGCCGTTCTGCAAAGCCTCAGCGAGCTGTCGGACGACGCCATGGGTCTCGATCGCTCCACTCGCCGCCTCTCCCCAGATTCGTGCGGCTGGAAACGTATGAGTCAACTCGCGGACACCAAATTACTTGCCTCCGACACTGACGAACGCAAGATGGACCCGACCCCCGACCCCGACGGTTCGCAGATCCCCCTTCACTTCCGCGACGCCCGGACCGACTGCCCGGCTTTCGTCAAAGGCGGTACTCACCCCAGCCCGCACGCACCGGAGTCGCGCACGGCCTCCGAGGTCTGGGAGGGTCTGACACGCTGCACCTTTCGCTACATCCGCAAAGGGTTCGCGGAGTCTCTGGAGAAGGACGCCGCTCGCTACGTGCTCATGGTTGAGGGCAAGTACTACCTCGTCGGCAAGGCCTTCTTCTGCGGGTCCGACGGGCCCATCGGACGCGGGACACGATGCTGGATCGCTCTGGAGTGGCACACGCAGCGCTTCGTCTTCGTGAAGGACTCCTGGCAACCGCACTATGACGGCGTCGACCCGGAAGACGTGACGATCAAGAAGCTCAACATGGCGAAGGTGCAACGGGTCCCTACGCTCATCGCATCCGAGCACTTCAAGGTCACTCACTTTTCCTCCGTCGCCGGCGTCACCAAGCCCGCCCCCAACCCCGAGCCGACGACGGCGCCTTCTCGGAAGCTGCGCTCTTCCCAGCCTACGGCTGGGCAACTTGCCGAGGCTGCGAACCGACCTCATGAGTGGGCCAATCTGCCTTCCTCCCGCGCTTCAGCTACCGCATCGGCCACCGGCGGAGCAGATCCCTCGGGCTCCGAGCAGCCCGCGCCGGATACCGCGAGCAATGCCCCTCAAGGACTGCGACATCTTCGACACATCCGCATGGTCGTCGAAGAGGTCTGCCTCCCGCTGTGCGAGATCCCGTCTGGGTTCGTGCTCGTCCGTGCAATATACAACGCCATGGCAGGCAAGTTCGTCCATTGCTTGCAGCTCAGCGATGACGCTGACGTATTCACAGCGCATCGTGGTGCACACAGGAAGTGCGAGGATCTGCTCCATCGCGATATAAGCGCCGGCAATATCCTCCTTCTACCGGTGTACTTCCACGACAGTGTGAAGAAGACTACCAAAATCGAGTGGTTTGGGATCTTGACGGATTGGGAGATGGCCAAGAGAGCTGGCATCAAAGTGGCCAGGCAGCCGCTCAGGACCGTACGTGTGACCATTGTCGCTCTTCATACGCTCAGCTTGCTGATTCTGCGCAGGGAACTTGGGCTTACATGTCCTCCCTGTGCCAGAAGGACGCGACCAGGCCGATCGGGATCGACGACGAGCTCGAGTCCTTCTTGCATGTACTCCTCTTCGAGGGCGCTCTCTTCCTGTGCCACAACTGGGAAGGGCCCGTTGTCGAGGCGTTCGTCAACGATTACTTCGACGGCGATATCCCCGGTGCCTCTGGAGGGCGAACGTGCAGCTTCTCGCGCAACCTCTGTCTGTCGAAGGGCATTATCACCGTGGGATCAGGGCCCAACCTGGCGTTCCACTCTCTCGGTGAAGATGGGAAAGAGATTCACCAACACCCGCTCAACGAGCTCCTCAAATGGCTCCTTCGGCTATTCCAGGCGCGCTTCCTCGTCGACGAATGGGACAAGCGTCCTGCCACCGTCACAGAGCCCACAGAGAACCCTTTGGCAACCTCCACTGGAAACACCGGCATTGTCGACGACTCTGATGACGAGGACGACGCCGGCAACGCTACCGACACTCAACTTCAGGATCCCGACGATGCGGGGGGGCCCACGCCATTCATGTACGGCGCAACGGAGCTTCTCAAGTCGCACAAGACAGTGCTAGCCAAGTTCAAAGAGTTCGTTGAGCGGACCGACTGGCCCCTTAAGACAGGCATTTCCCGGAGCCGGTGTCCCACACCACTCCAAGGCTAAGCGCTCCGCACCGGCCGACTTTGAAGGAGCAGCGAGGTCGTCGAAGGCGTCGAAGGTTTCGCAGGGGAGTCAGAATGCCGGTTCCAGTAGTTTGAGCTAGGCTGTAGACTGTGGTTGTACATTCCGTCGCTGTGCCGTGCACGTATGTCCATTGTCATGCGCGCACCTCCGAATCACGAAACACTCCTAGTCTAACACAGCGCTCCATATCGCCGATATAGACGTGGCCGAGTGCTGGGGAACTAGTCCGTGGCTATTCGGATTCAGCTGGACGTCGAACCATTTTCTGGATTCCCGTTAATTGCCCTTGAGAGCGTAGCCCATGGCAGGCATAAGTACGAGAAAAAGCTACATGTACGGGGGAATGAGTTAACTGCGCGGATGCCCCCAACCAAGGTCCGAGAGCGAGAAGCCGGCGTTCCAGCGAGCCGGTGCGACGCCAAACTTGCCGTCCATTATCACGCGTCGTCTCCTTGTATATGAACATCTTGGTCGGATCTCAATAAGTGTATAGTCTAGAATATGTGTCCGAGTCGCAACCCCACCCTCCACCTGCGGCCTGTGTTCCCACAACAGCCGCATCCACACCATTGTCCCTAGATCTCCCGCCTTCAATTCCCCCCGCGCACCGCGAACGCATGCTGCACCCCCATCCCCGGAGCCTGAACGGGCGTCATCAGCGCGTCGAGCCGCCACTCCGCGCGGACGCGCTGGCAGAGCGCCCTGAACGCGCCCACCCCGCCCTTCTCGAGCGCGATCCCCGTCGCGGTCTCGCACCCCACCGCGCGCCCGGGGAGCGACACGCCGTGGAGGCTCGCGAGCGTCGTGAACTCGACGCGGAAGCGGACCGGCTTCGCGTGCTCGTCCGCCGCGCGGCAGAGCAGCACGCTCCACGCCGCCGCGGCCCCCTGCCGTCCGGGTCCGCGAGCGTGACCGCGACGCCGAGGGCCTCGAGCAGCCGCATCGTCTCGGCGCGCGTCTCGGCGACGTCGCGCGTGGAGTAGAGGACGAGCGGCTGGGCGGACTTCCAGTGGAAGAGGTTCGAGAACCAGCCGCGGACTTCGCCCATGCTGCTCGGGGACCCGGTCGGCGGGGAGCCGGGGCGCGGAGAGCCGATGGAGAAGGTGGACCGCTTGGACAAGATGGGGACGCCGCTCACGTCGAGCGGGGGTGCTGCACAAGCACGTCAGGAGCAGTTCGAGAAGGGAGGATGGGACTTACGCTTGCTAGCTTCTTCTTCCCGAGGTGGGCGCCATTGGTTGCCTCCTGCAGGAACATCACGTTGCTCATCTCCTTGTTCATCGGACGGAGTGTCCGAAACCAAGCCCCCCGGTATGGACCGAGCTGTCCGACTGTGCACCATGCACACCAGATGCGCCCATGTTCTCCTTGTCGACCCGCGTCTGCTTGGGCCAGCCGCTTCCAGGCGAGTATCGATGGCGTTCCAGTGGAGAGAACGGCGCGCCAGAGACTCGTCGACAGACAAGCAGTGTTCAGGTCGTCGCACACGAGCCGGAGGCGTAATGGAATCAGGCATCGGAGAGGACCAGGGAACAAGCTGAGCGCCGGCTGCAGCGTAAGGATGGATGCGAGACTGCATTGTTGTTTCGGGACGAGGTGAGATGACCATCGGGGAACCGGTTCCGAGCTGCGGAGTGTCGACAGCCATGTGAGGAGAAACTAGACCAGGCATGGGAGACTGTGGTGCCACGGCGACGGGAGTGGGGAGTAGATGTATCCAGATGCAGGAGAGACTTGAGAAACACGAGGCGACACCGTGAGCTCTGCGCGAGATGGGCGTTGGACGACAGGAGACGTGAGGGGGGCACGTTGCATGTGAGACGGAACAGGTCGCCGAGGGAGAAGCTGAGATACAGGCCTCTGAGGAACGTCGCTGACCGTCTGAGAGCGCAGACGAGACAGATCGGGGTTCGGGACAAACTCCGGAGGGGCAGACCGTGTGATAGACGTCCGAGCGGCCTGGGAGCGAGACTTCTGCGGACGAGGACCAGCAGGGGAAGGTGGGTGAGAACGGGTCGGTCCACGGTCCATAGGGAGAGTGTGTGCGATGGCGGTCCGAGGCGGCGAAGAAGCACCAGAGATTGGCAGAGGTAGTGACGCAGGGATAGGGCGGACTGAGCGCAGATACTCCGACGCAGGATTCGAGGGCGGAGCGCGGATGGTGTCGACGGAACGGCGACCAGGCTTTGAGAGGGGTGCGGCGTACTGCTTGGTGATGATCTTCCCTTCGATGCCCAAGATCTCGTCGACACGCATGAGGGTTTCATGTTCATTCATTGTCGTCTCGCGATGTTGCTGGAGGAGGAAGTAGAAAGCCTTTGCAAGCGTGCCTCGCCCGACGGGACTGAGGAGGTCGGTTCTGATACTGTCGAGATCCGCGTGGCGGCCCCAGATGACAGCCAGAGACTCGAAGAGGTCGCGATCGATGTGCAGCGCAGACGGGAGGGGCTGTGCAAGTTCTAGGACAGGCGGAGCGGGAACATACAGGATACCGGGGTCGCGCCCTCGAGCCAAGGGTGTGCGAGGACTCGGCCATCTGAAAAACTCGCAATCAGCAAACAGCGAGGGAGGATACAATGGCAACTCACAGTGATGCGCTCAGTAACGTCAACGACGAGCATCCGAGCCAGCAGGTCCTTCGCCAGAGGTCGACGAAAGCGGGCATTTCATACTTGCCAGCCTTGACCTTGGAGAGTAATACACGGACATTCTTGTCGTCAAAGGGGAGACGGCCAGTAAGGAGCGCATACAAGATCACCCCGCAGCTCCAGATGTCCGTCGCAGTTCCGCAGTACTTGTGTCCGTTGACGATCTCCGGGCTGGCGTAGTGCGGGCTGCCGCAGCTGGTCTCGAGTTGAAGAGAGGGTGGGGCAAACGCGGCCATGCCCCAGTCGGCGATCTTGATGAGTGGAGGCTGGAGCGAGTGGATGAGGATGTTCTCCGGCTTAAGGTCGCGGTGGATGATTGAGAACACGTGTGCGTAGTTGAGGCCATAGACGATCTGCTTGAAGTAGGCGAGGGCCTCAAGCGGGGCGAGGCGGCCGCGATTGACGAGGAAGTCGAAGAGCTCGCCGCCCTCGACGTACTCGAGGATGAGATAGAGCTCCTTGTCACCTTCGTAGACGTCGTAGATACGCATGATATTCGGGTGGTTCATGAGCTTCATCATGATGATCTCACGGTCGATCCCGAGGCGTTGCTTGTCGACTTTGGCCTGTGCGGTGGAGGTCGCCGCGCTGCGCGAGGAGAGGAACGGTTGGAGGGGAAGGATCTTGACCGCGGCGAGCTGTCCGGTGCGGCGGTGACGAGCGATCTTGACGCGGCCGCTGGCGCCCTTTCCGACACACTCGCCGATGATCCAAGGGCCGACGTACTTGGCATCGTCGGGGTAGTCGAAAGCGTTGGAGCCGGCTGCGGCCTTCTCCTTCTGCCATCGAGTGCCTAGAGGTGTTGCGTACTTGACCGGGGGCGCGCGCGGAGGGCTGTCCATAGGTCCAGCCATGATGGAGGAGTGTGGGGTAGAGATGTTGTGATACAAAGCCAGAGAAGGGAGAAAAGGGATAGGCGCGAGTGTGGAGGTAGGGATGTCAGCCGTGCGGCGTCGTCGACCAGCACGACCAAGCAAGAGATGTGAGAGGCCAACCAGCCCCCGCGGCTGACTATGGCGGGATCCTGCGGGGGGACAAACACTGCACAAACAACGCATCCGAATAACCACGTGTGGCATTCCGCGACGAACTTGCACTCGGTGGCGGCGAGTAGCCTAGCTTGTACGCTGGCGTGGCGGAGGTGTGCGGTTCTTACGTCGGACCTAATCATGGCATTCGAAAATACAGACCCTCTTTAGGTAGACCAGAAAAGGTTGTGTGCTCACTAAGCAGTTATGCCTGCCAACGGAAGTGAACGATGCGAAAACAAAACGAGATGCTTAGGCGCTCGTGGCTCTGACCAGGTGCATCTGGAAGTCAGGCGCCCAGTAAGCTCCGGCATAAGGCCGTCAACATAAGCAGAAAACTACTGCCACTTGACTGCTACGCATCGGCTAAATGTTGGAGTGTCACGTCCTGGGTTGAGATCGGATGTAGCTAGATTCATGAAGAGGACTTATGTGACAGCCGCTTGTGTGATGTATCACAGCCCAGAAAGCAGCGACTCGGCGCAAATGCGAACAACCGCACGAATACATTATCAGACAGGTATCATAGTACAAAGGCAGATGCAACTTGTTTACTAAATCAACACTCATGCTGACTGCTCTTTGCCAGACTTGCGCGTCTTCTCGTCGCCCGCGACATATTGATACGCCGCCTGCCCAAGCCCAGACGCCATGCTTGCAGCACCAGTCGCCATGTCCGACGCAGTGCTATACGCCCCCTGCGCGACTCCGGTCATTCCGGAGCGCGGTTGCCCCTGCGTTGGCTTAGTCTTCGCCCATCCGTCGTCTGTCCGCGTACGCATGAGAAATAATGGCCAAAGGCGACGGCAAAGGTGAGACTGAGACTGACCGTCGTTCGAGTCCTCCGCGAGCGGGTCAATGTGGGTCGACTCGATGACGCCAGGCCGTCCCTCGCATACGCCAGCGTTCTCTGTGAAGCCCCGCGCGGCCTGCTTGTGGCCCTGGAAATTGGGGCCCGCGCCCGCGCCCATGTCGTCGGTAGTAGGGTCCGTCACCTGCGGTGAATGGTTAGTAATTTACAAGCATGGGGAAGAAAGACTGGGTGCCTGTGACGCACGAAGTTGGATGCGAGGGGATCTCCGTGGTTCGAATGAGAGGTGGGGTTCGCAACACCAGGATGGATATCGACGCCCCTGCTGGGACCAAGGCTGGTGTCGTTCAAAGACATGATAAAGAGATGGTCGTGAGTTGAGATGTGAGTACTTGAGTGGTGTGGGTGGATCGTTGACCTCACGGTGAGGATGCTTTGCGGTATATATATATATGTTGTCGACAGCAGCCGGCGAGAGTGACGTCTGTGGTGTAAAGGGAGGAGCTCTTACGCCCCGCCAAACCACGCGTTGGTGCACAGATGTCATTGATAGATGGGGGTATAATGCTCGAGTGACGTCACTCGTTCGTCTCCCCCCGAGGGTTCTCGTTAGCACGTCCGAGTCTGGACCATGTGCAATGCACGGGGTTGGTTTGGGCCGTTGTATGAAAACGGGTTTCGGTCACAGGTCGCCCCTACAGCTCGTGCAGGTACAAGACGGGCCAGAGATGAACTTGTTGAAAGGCTCGCAAGAGTAAAGGGGCCGATGATTATACGCTCTAACACTAATACTGCTCCGCAGATGAACCCGAGAGTAATGAAGAAGCCCAGTAAACGCACCGATGTACACAAAAATGGTGTTCAGACGAAATCTCGCCGCTCGGGGAAGAACCTCTCCCGCGCCTCTTGGCTCACAATGTGAACAGCAAAGCTCCCCGCATCAATCATAGCCCACCCATTGTGGCCCTTGCGTCGGTTCTTCTGAGGCAAAGAAATCGGTGGCTCTGACGCAAGGAGCTACGATGACGCTATGAGCGATGTACCCACAACACCACGAGACGTGCACTCACTGCCTTCCGCACGACCCTCGTCGTCGACTCAATCGCGCCTCGGTCTTCTGTCCCCTCCTTCACCTGCAAAAACACGGCCAACGCGTCAGGAACTAGCCTCCAGAGCCTCCGCGGCCGCCCCCACTCACCTGCGCGATAACATGCCACTCCCACAGACCGCCCAGGTGCACCTCCACACCCTCGCCCAGGTTCGTCCGCCCGCGTTTGCGCCGCCCGCGTGGGAGCGCGTCCGTCGGCGGCGGACCCACCGCAGTCGGAATGGGGGAGCGCACGAGCAGCGTGCCCGGCTCGAGGTGCGGCGAAACCTTCAGTGCGGCGTGGAGGCGCGCGATCGGGTGTCCCTCTGGAAGGTCGACGGGCAATGGCGGATGCGGCGGGCCCTGGGCGAGCGCGGAGCGGCGCATGTACGGAGAGGCGATGGGTGCCTCGTCTTCGGCGGGGTCCATGAACCAAGGAAGAGACGCAGGGCCAGCCGGGGACGATGAGGACGAAGCATTGGGGGAGGAGTGGACGGCGGAGGATGTGGACAGCTGGGCGCGACGTGTGGAGGACTGGCGCAGGTATGGACGCGTCAAGGATGCGCTTTTGACGAGGCGGCACGCCTCTTTACGTAGAGTAGCAGAGAGCATGACGGCCAGGAAGAAGCCGTTACAGAAGAACGAATGTGATCGCAGAAACTCCCAACTGGCAGAGAGCGCGTCAAAGCGGTAGTTGAAGGCACTTTCAACTTATGTAAAAGCATTTCTAAATGGACTTGAAGCAAGACTAGCTGACGATAAATATCACGTAATTAAGTCGCTAAAAAGGGTAAGCCAAGCTAGTACTATGCTGCGGCCCGTGTAAAGAAATTGCTCGGAATCACGGGCAAAGGCAGGTCTTCCCTACCTTGCCTCATCCTCTGGACTGCGGTCCACGTCCCTTCTACCTCCCCCTCCTCCTCCTGCACGACATGGCTGGCCTCCGCATGAGCGTCGTGGTCAGCATGACTGCCTTCCTCCTCGGTGAGTGCGCGTCCCTCCCCGGCGCTTCCCCCGACCACGCGCACGAGAACAGCTCACTGACCGCCTCCACCTCTGGACGCGTGTTCCCACTGTTCTCACCACTCACGGCATCATGTGCGAACCACAAATACCCCCGCGATCCCATAGGCGTCCTGTTCACACATTGGATCGCGGATTCGCTCACGCTCTGGAAGTCGCCTGAACGGCAAACGGACAGCAGACTGTGGACCGCGGCGACATACTACACCGTGCTCATGCACGGCCCACCTGAGCTCGCATACCTCTACGCCGCGGCGACGATCTGTGGTGGCGCTACGCTCTTCTGGAGTCTGCGCGACGGACGCGCGGGCAACCTGATGTTCGACGGCGGGAGCATCTGTGAGTTCCCTCTCGTCATCCCAGCTGTCTTGCCTGCTGAATGTTTGAGGACTGTGCAGTCCTCTACTCGACCGCTATCGCGATGTACATCTACTCTGTCATCCCCAGTGCGTATTTTGCGTCATCTCTGTATTACCACCGCATTGCCTTCTCCATCTCCCTTCCCTTCCAGCTCCCACTCACCCATGATTCCGCCCCCGTCAGACCTCACCACGAACTTCGCGACGCTCCCACTCCCCTTCAACGCCCCCACACCCCCGTCAGCGCTCCCTCCGTTCCCCGCGACACTCCGGGAGCCGACCCTCGAGCTCGCGTCCTCGCACCTCGTCTGCAGCGTCGCCCTCACCGGCGTGCTCGTCCTCCAGGCCGGGCGCTGGTGGGCGGAGCAGGGCGATGTCGATGAGGACGATGACGAGCCTACCGTGGATGAGCCGGAGCGCGTCGAGCCGGAGAGGGCCAAGGTGGCATGATCCACGATGTGGTGCACATAGGCACCCGCACGCGTACTAGCTGCGCTGCGCGACAGCAGCCGGCCGGCCCCCCAACAGTGCACACACGCGCGCACCCGTGGAGAGAGTGAGGGGGGCCCCGCAAAAGTATCCTGAGATCTGTATGTAGGACACACGGCGGCGCCGCGAGGTTGGTTTACGGACGGCGCTCGGTCGCACTTTGTATTGGTTTATTGCCCCGGCACGCACTCGCTCCCGCTGTTTCCACTCGGTGTACATCCATCCACGTAGTACTCGTCGATCCTTGCTATCTGACTCCCCGCCGCTTCTTGGCAATCTATATCCGTGTTCGACATCTAAGCACAGTAGTACCGCAAGCGCTCATATGTTCAGACCCCAGCCAAACTGCCCAAAGTCGAATCGAACCGAGCCGCGGTGAAACGCGCCGAAGCACCTTCAGCCTGTCAAGGTCGGTTGTGACACTTACGATGTCGACGACCGTGTGCCTGTCCCGGGCCCTCGACGTCGGATGTGGACGCTGCGGCTCGGAGCTCCACGGCCCTCCCAGGCCTCGATCAGTCACACACGCACGGCGCCAGCTGCGACGGGCAGGCGATCCGGTCACTGATTCGTGAAGCTTCGAACAGACCCCGCGGCAGCTTCCTTCCTGCCGAGGCTACTCACCGCCGGCGGCAACACTGGCGCTCAATAATAAGCGCTCAATGCCGCGGACGACGCCGTCCGTGGGCACCGGGCGTGCCGCGCGAGTGCCATGGGTGCTGTGCCAGTCGGTGTTCATCTGCTCCGCCAGACCGGATGCACTGCAGAGTGGCCTCAAAGAAGTACTCGGGAAGCGACGGGCAGTCGCACGCGCGCGGAGGGTGAGGGAGAGGAAAATCGCATTGCGTTGTACAGCGACCGTCCGTGTTTGCCTCCGTACATATACAACACAGAAGTTAAGTTAGAAGAAGACAGAAGACGTACGCACGGGTGGCAAGGCAAGTCTATAGGGCGGTCGGGCGGAGCGGCGCGGCGCCCCCCACCGTGCGCGTGTGAGGAGCATCGAGACTAGGTCTGGATGGGAGCGGGGCATAGAGGTGTGCAAGAGGGCAGGGATGGGTTGAGCGGGCACCGTGGGCGACCGCGGGCATATGGGCATATGGTTTGGGGCATGGGGATGCACGCTTCGCGGCAGTCGGGAGTAGGTAGACAGTCAAGAAAGGGCACGACAAGACAAGACAAGACAGGACGTGTGCGAGAACAGAGCGAGGACGCGGAACCAACAACTAATCGAGAGTAGCATTGTAATCATGACACATTCGACGCGAATTTACTTCTTCGCCGCCTACCAAGGCCGGTCAGTCACATCGCCGTCATTCGACGCAACAATGCAGCGTACCTTTGTACGAGAGGACGTCTTAGTCCCCGTCGCCTTGGCCGCAGGCTTCTTTGCAGGCGCCTTTCCGGTGACAGACTGAAGACTGACGTCAGACATGTGTTTCGCACCATTCGCGTGCGTGCCTACCTTCTTCGCCGAATCGCGCTTGCTTGCAGCGGCAGTCTTCTTGGGAGCAGGCGCAGCCTTCTTTGCAGGAGCCTTCTTGGGAGCGGTCGTGCTCGCCTTCTTTGCAGGAGCGGCCTTTGGCTTCGCCGCTGCAGCTTTGGGCTTAGCTACAGCCGCCTTTGTAGCCGCCTTAGGCACAGGCTTCTTGATTCCAGCCGACGCCTTCGTGGCCGTACTCTTCTTGGCGACGGCGGTCTTCTTCGTCGTGGTCTTAGCGGTGGCGGTTTTCGCCACAGGCTTCTTTGCAGCAGCCTTGGGCTTCGCAGCGGCCTTGGAGTCAGGCTTGTTCTGTCAACCCAGTTACCACCGACGGACACAGCCACGGGGAGGCCCGTGCGCACGCACCTCCTTGGTCGCAGAGTCGCCCGCAGGACGCACGGACTTGGGCGGGAGCTTGACACGACCGGCGAAACCTGTGAACGTGCAGCGCGAGGGCGGGGTGAGGCGCGCGGCGTCATGTAAAGGGGGCGCGAGAGACAACCCTTAGGAAGGACGAAAATGCTCTTGGAGGCGCCGGTCTGCAACGCCTTGCTGAGTTGCGTGTTCTGCGCGGCCCCAATCTCGAGTTTGTACTTGTCTTCGACGAACCTGAGGCGGGCGGAAGTCAGCGGGAGCGCGCGAGGGCGGGGGAGGCGGCGCGGGGGCTCACTTCTTGATCATAGGACGTGAGACGCCCTGCCGAGCATCCTCAGGGTGCTCGAGGATGCATTCCTAGACAACGAAACATCAGACTTTCTCATACAATGACGTTCGGCATCGGAAAAGGCATCCAATGGGTGCTGAAGACAGTTGCAGACAGGCGCGAGCACGGGACAAGGCGGGAGCGCAAGTGGGGCGGCGGCGGGGCGGGAACAGGCAATGCCCTACACCCTACCCCTTTTGGTCGTTGCAGCCAACGCCGCGCGCAGTGCAGCAAACAACAGCAAGACACTGGGGGTGTCGACGCAGAAAGGCTCAGGGAACCGCCTGTACGAACCTTGATCATGTCGATCCAGGGGGGGTGGGAGGGAGCGGCCCGCGGGGCACCCTTCCTGGCGGTCGCCGATTTGGATGTGCTGGTCTTCTTCGCCGCAGACATTGCTTGTTAATGCGCTAGATAGTAATGGGAGAGATAGTTGATGCTTGAGGGAGGGCCTTAAGGGCAGCGGAGGAGTGTGGCAATGCACGTGCGGGAGGGGGGCGGGAGATGGTGGTGGTACGGGAGGAAGAGAGGATGTTCAGACTCCGAGGCGCGTCCAACCATTCAACAAACTGTAATCCTGTGTCACGTGAGACTCTATCTCAGGAACGCGCCATTCTGCGTTCGCCATCTGCTCCGCTGCGTCCCGTACGCTTCCAAAGTGAAGCTGGAGGTTCTGGCGCGTCCATGGTATGTTTTCCGGGACGCGACGAAGGGGTGCTTGTCAGGGATGTCTAGTTTCGGGATTGCTGCGGTTATCGAGGAGGTACAGGCCTAAGTTGTGGACGGAATTTTCCCCTGTATGTACGCATACGTGTAGTGAAGTGTTTTCTGTGCGAATATGTGTGAATTTATGCCGCGCGGGGGAGTGCAGAGCTATGGGAGGAGGAAAAGCACGGCCTCCCCGCACGGACTCGATCCACAGGAATTTCCATATTGGGACGCGTCGCGCGCCGGATCTCGCGCACGATCTCGCTCCATCAACCCGTGCTTGTGACCCGTCGTGACGGCGCGCATTCTCTGCGTGCCGCCGGTGCGCGTCTCCGTGCGTTGTTTCCGCTTTGCGCCGCACACTTCCGTCCCCGCCAGAGGATCCGCTCCCGTGCCCCCTCGTCCGCCCCCTCTTTTGTCTGTCTGTGAAGCGTCGGCATGAGCAGCTCGAAAGCCCTCCTTGCATCTGCGCGCTCGGCTTACCGGTCGGCACTGCGCGCGTCCGCCACGACCTTCGCAGGGGACCACGTTGTCCGCACTGGTGAGCGTGTCGTGTGCGTGGCCCGCGGCCGCGGTGCTCACCCCACGTTGTTGCAGCGTTTCGATTAAAAATTCGCAACGAGATGCTGCCGTACGAAACGACGACGGTCGACGAAGCGCAGTTCGCGGAGAAGGTCGCGCTGGTGCGGGACGTCGCGGACGTGCTCCGGAAGAACGTCGTCCAGGCGCGCCGCCTGGATGGGGCGCAGACGGAGGAAGGGCAGGAAAAGTGGGGTGCGTCGCGCTTTCGCCCTGGTGTTCGAGCCCGCGGAACGTGCGACGTTGGCTCATTCGTGGCGGACAGCGCTCAACATCACAGAGCACACGGAGCTTGGGTCGAATGATACAATCAAGCAACCCAAGACGATGGCAAAGGGCCCAGTGAAGTGAGCCTCCCTGTTTGTTGATGGTTCTCTTGGTTTGACGAATCTGAGCAAGGTGCTGCCAATCATGACCAGTGCTGACGATTCGACACCGCCTACCCCGAGTGCGAATGCGTCACCACGACCTCTGTACTACTCTCAGCTCAAGAAGGCCTCGAAGCAGCGTGTCATTCCGGAGCTAAAAGAGGCGGACTTGGAGGAATCTTTCGTACGAGGTGCTCGGTCATTCGCGCTTGTACTGTATACTCTGTTAATGCATATGATCCCCCCTGAAACAGGAAGCGGCCCTGGAGGTCAATCTGTCAACAAGACTGAGAATAATGTGCAATTGCTGCACAAACCCACGGGCCTTCGAGTGTCATGTCAACAAACTCGTTCATTGCTGGAGAACCGGAAGATTGGAAGGAAGATATTGCTGAACAAGGTTCGTTCCCCCTTTGTCCGCCCTCGCGCATTCGCATGTAAGCTCATTCAGACAGCTGGATGCATTGTATAACCCAGGAATATCCAAGACGGACTTGCAACAAGCAAAACAGGCTGAACAGGAAAGGAGGAGGCGAAAGAAGGCTAAGGCCAAAGCGAAGCGAAACGAAGGCAAGAAAGGCAAGAAAGGGCAGCATCACGGGTCAGAAGCGGACGACGACGACGATTGATACGCTCGATTTCGTTGCAGACTCCAGCATCTGTATATGTGGACGTCTATGCCTCTGGTATTATATCACACACATAATTAAGACTACTGTCAATGGCATGGCTTTTGGTCGCATTAGAAAGTCGATCGCATACAAACGTCTGAATGTAGTCGACGCGCGTCGTCGATCAAGCTGCAAGCTCGGTCTGTTCCGGTCTCGAGCGCGTCCGCCACACGCAGGCAGCACCGCAGTGCGCACTCCCGTCCAGCTTCACCCCAATCGCATCCCCTACTCACATCCGCCCACCCCGCCCTTCATACCCCGACGCTCACTACGCAGTCACACGCTTCGTCCACCATGGCTTCCGGCGGGCTCCATTCGCTCGCCACGATCATCAAGAGGTCCGTCGTACAGGTTGTGCATCTCCAGGGTGCATGTTAATGACTGTCTACCCCATCCCACAGGCTCGAAGCAACGACATCCCGGCTCGAAGACCTCGCGTCCCTTGCGACGTCCTACCTCCCACCGTCGGCGCAGGCCGCTGCTGCCGCCGCCGCCGCGTCTCCGTCGTCCGCCAATGCCGAACCGACGCCCGTCCCGCCGCCTGCCGCGCCCGCGACAGCCTCAGCGACGCCGCAGAGCATCGTCGCCTTCGACGAGCGGGTCATCGGTGGCAAGCTGAAGCCGTTCCTCGTGCTCACGAAGGAGTTCGCCCCGCCGCTCGTCAACGAACAGGTGCGTGATTGGTGCCACCGGCTATCGATGGGACGCGCGGCTCACGTCCGCGCGCAGGTGCGCCTGTACGAGGCCGAGCTGATGGAAATGCGGAACATGGTGGTCCTCTTCGAGGCGTGCACGAAGCCGGACGCGGCACTGCTGGCCCAGATCTTGACGCCGCTCGACAAGGCGTCGACGCCGTCGCTCGGGTGTGGATGCGTTCCGCGAGAGAGATTGGGCGGACCATCTGAAGATGATCACTGCTGCTGCGCCAAGTGCGGGATGGGTCACCCAGGTAAGTACGGTTTACCGTCACGTCCGCGGAGATGACCGTAACGGTCAACTGGCTCGCATAGACGAAGGACGCGTACAAGGTAGTCCAAGACGCGAAGGAGCAGACGCAGTATTACGGGAACCCGATCATCATGAAATTGAAAGAGAAGTGAGTGCCGCTCATGCCCCATCTCTCGCGATCCTCAACCTTTACTGTTAGGACCCAAAGCACCCGCAATGGGTTCGTATGTTCTTCCACCTGTTGGACGAGCTGCGCAGTTGGGTACAGGACTTCTTCCCCTCTGGTCCAACATGGAACGCCAAAGTAAGCGTGACGTAGTATCGAATAGGACAAAATTAACTGGATGAGGAAGGGTGTCTCAGTTGACCAGTTCAAAGCGTCTCGGGCGCATCGAGCGCAGCACCAGCTGGTGGTGCTCCTCCTCCGCCTCCTCCGCCTCCCGGACCTCCGCCTCCGCCCCCGCCTCCTGCAGCGGCCCCTGCTCCCGCTGCGTCTGGGGAGCCGTTTCCGATGTTTTCAACCAGATCAACAAGGGTGCAGATATCACGAAGGGCTTGCGAAAAGTCGATAAGAGCGAAATGACTCACAAGAACCCGGCTCTGAGAGCAGGAAGCACTGTTCCTGCCTCCACGCCCTCTTCCTCTGGTGAGAGCGGTTCATTCTGTGATTTGTTGATACTTCGTCACTCACGTCGGTGGAAGCGCCCAAGCGTCCTGTGAAGCCCACCAAACCACAGGCCTTGTCGAGCAAGAAGCCTCCAAGTTCGCGCTGGAGGGTAACAAGTGGATCATCGTAAGTTGACAGTCCTTAACGGCCAATTATTGTAACATTCACTATCTGTAGGAGAACCAAGAGAACGTAGTCCCGTTGGAGGTGGCGAATGCCGACTGAGCCATATCGTCAACATCTACGGATGCAAAGACTCCACTATTGTTATCAAGGGCAAGGTCAACGCCGTGAATCTCGGTGAGTTCGTCGTGTGTCGTGGTTCAGTGTGCAATAGCCAAACGCCTTTACCAGTGAACTGCAAGGAGACTAGCGTCCTGGTGGAGTCCGTTATTTCGTCGGTGTCTGTCACGGGCTGCCCAGGCTTTGGGCTGCAGATCACTGGCAAGGCTCCGACGATTCAGCTGGACTCGACGGACACGGGCACGATCTACTTGTCGCCCGAGTGTCTGGACGTCGAAATCACGACGGCAAAGTGCAGCGCAATCAACATCAACGTCCCGGTCAAGGGGAGGAAGCGGGAATCTTCGACGAACACCCTGTGCCGGAGATGTTCCGCACGACGATTGTTGATGGGAAGCTGGTGACGACCGCCGTGGAGCATGCAGGCTGAAGCGGTGATTAATGCCTCTGCCGTATATCTTGCTCAGTTTTCGCGTGTCGCTGGGATGGATATTCTAGGATAATTAGCGATGTTGTGGCGGATGTGCGCTGGAAAGAATCGATGCTCTTTTGTGTATTCTGCGATGCCTACCGGGGGACGATCGGGGGGACACATGGGCGGGTGGCGTTGCGGATCCATTTGGAGAGTAGTGATGTAGATTAAGCGGTTGTGCTTAGGTTGTGCAGACATGAACACCGCCGCGCCTGTTACATAACCCTGCCGGCCACAGAATCAGCGGCAAGCCGCGCTCAGGTCCTCGGTCCAGAGGCTGTCTCGATGCCTCGCTTCGCCCCTTCTTGCTCCCTACCCTCTCTCAGCTCGTCTCACCCACCCCGCCCTGCGACGCCCGCCACGCGCATACACTCGATCTCTGGATGGACAACCCAGGATGGCATGCATTCCAGCGCGCGAAGGTACGTCCTCCCCGCCCACCTTTTCGCCTACCGCGCCCCCCGCCCCTGCCCAAGTCCACACGGTAGCTCACCATGACCGCCTCCGTCCCTTCCGCGGCGCGTCCATCTTACAGGATGAAAACCGCTGGAGCACCCCCGTCCGCGGCCCCGATGGTCGGTTCCAGCCAGTCGAGGAGGTCGGGCCCATGGCGGAGCCCTTCGTCGGCGGCTTCCTTCCTCCTCCCTCGCCAGCACCCTCGCTCGGCTTCGGACATGCGCCTCCACCCCTCCCACCGAAGGACCAGAACTGGGCGCGCACCGACGCGCGCATCCCGAGCAGCGCGAGCTGGTCAGAGCGGTCGCGCTCCGAGTCCACCTACTCCTCCTTCGCGAGTATGTCCGCCGTCGAGCGGTCCAAGCACCTCCGCGTCGCCCGCATGTCGCCCTTCCTCCAGTACATGGCCGGGCCTCTCCTCCGCTATGACACGACCGACCACACAGGCGTGTGGCGCGGCGCGGCGCTCATTGTCAGTGAGTCCGATCCCGACTTCCCTTCGGACCGAGCTCTCGTCCGGTGCATGGCGGAGCAAGCAGCTGATGGGCGGTGCGCTCGCAGCTGCGGACGCAGGCTCGGTGTACGAGCCCCTCCCCGCCCTCACATACACTTGGGACCCGGACGAACGGCCCGCAGCGGTGTCGCAGTCGGGGCTGTCGCGCGCCATCTCGACGCGCAAGCACGGGCAGTCGTTCGACCTCGGACCCCATCCCGCCGACCCGCTCTCAAACGTCGCGCCGCAATCGCCGACCGGGGAGAACGGCGTCCACACGAACGGATATTCTTCAACGCTGGAGCTCCGTGAGGTAGAAGGGAAGGAGCTGTACGTGCATTACGGAAACGGAGGGTGTGTGTCTTCGCTCTCCATGCCAAGACCTCGTTTCTCATGATGCGCGCTCTCGCTCAGAACGTTCACCTTCTGGCGGTTTATGATTGAGATACCACTTGCTTCGCATGAGATGAAGATCAACTATACCATCAATCACGGCCTCGACCTCCAGTTTTTCGTGCCTGGCCGCAACCAAAACATGCGCTGGGCGGCGTACTCAGTGAGCCTTGTCCTTCCGCTCTACTCGCGATCTCCGTCCTGAGACCGCTACGTTGCCAGTGTAACGGTTTCAGCTCCGGTGTCAACCCAGACGACTTCCGTGGACCCGGCTTTAAAAGCGGCTACGACCCAGTGTGGGTCGACCTGCTCGCGCACCACGCTGAGAAGCCGTTTCACGCGCTGGTAGGTGGCGGAGACCAGCTGTATTGCGACAGTATCGTGCGTGAGCCGGAATTGCAGGAATGGGTGAACCAGGCGAAGCCTGAGGCGCGTCAGAGCTACGTCCTCACCGAGGAGATTAGCTTGGCCGTCGACCGGTTCTTCTTCAATCACTACTGCCAGGCGTTCCGAAGCGGCGCGTTCGCGCGCGCGAACAGTACAATGTGCGTAATCCGACTTATCACTGGTCCCTGGGTGTTCGAACTCTGACGCGTTCCGTTTACGTAGACCGATGTTGAACATGCTCGGTATGGTGTCGCTGCAAATATAAGGTTTTTATGCTGACCAAAATGGATCACCTCCAGACGATCATGGTAAGCACCGTCTCGTGAACCTCTTCTGTATTGTTCTGATATGACGGCACAGATTTGGTGAGCCTTAAATGCGTTTCCGCGTGCCGACCCCACTTCCGCTAACTTGAGCTCCAACCGAAGATCGATGGATTCGGAAGTTGTTAGTGAAATCTGCGACATCACGGTCGATTATGCGTGACTAATATCATCCATGTGTCCTAGATCCGGACGACTGGATGTTATCACCCATCTTCAACTAGTAAGCATAGTGATTTACCTCAATTTCCCTTCTACTAACGTGACCTCCTCAGTATCGGCTCAAGAGGCTACTTCTTTTTCCTCTTGTTTCAGTGCTTTATTAACGGTCGGTTCCGTTCTTATCGAGCGATAATCACGACCAAAACCCGCGTTATTTACAGTCGATATCGACGGGAAAGATGACCGCAACCATCCATTCAAATCCCTGATCATAGGGCACACTGGGCCATATATCCCATACCCGTCACATTCTTTCTTGAGTTACCTCGGTCCCCATGTACAAATACTCCTTCTCGACTGCAGGTCTGCCAAAGTTGTTTTTTGTTTCGTTATATGCTGACCTATTGCAGAGCGGAACGAAAGAAAGATCAGGTCTGCAGCCAAGCCGAATACAGAGCGGTGTTCGCGCGGCTGCAAGAACTTTCTCGGACAGTAGAGCATCTTATAGTGCAGACTGGTACGCACATCATCAGGAGCTTCTGCACCGAATCTGATCATTCTCCTGATAGGTATCCCTGTGGCTTATCCCCGGATGGTCTTCCTGGAGACAGCGCTCGAGTCCAAGTTCAACCCTCTAGTAACCCTCGGTCGGAGCGGCTCATTAGGCCTCAGCGGATTCGTCAACAAGTTCAACGCGGACGCCGAACTTCTCGACGACCTCGTACGTACATTGACCTTTGGATCTGTCTTGTGTTCGTGCTCTGATGCTGTGTTGTGCCCCAGAACGACCATTGGACCGCCAAGTCGCATAAAGTGAGTATATGAATACCCCCATCGCCCTGCAAGCACTGATGTGGAGCCCGCGCTCGCAGAAAGAGCGCAACTGGTTCATCCTCGAGCTGCAGAAGTACGCGCTCGCCGCGCACACACGTATCAGCATCGTGTCGGGCGACGTGCACTGTGCGGCAGTCGGTGTGCTCAAGACGAACTCGAGGGGGAAGAATCGGCCGGAGGTCGAGCCTGCGATGGACTACCGCTACATGATCAATGTCGTGACGAGTACGTGCACGCAGAACAGGGGGCTGGTTGCGCTGTTGCGCTGGTCACTGACGCAACGTTCCATGTGTAGGTGCTATCGTGAATACACCGCCTCCGAACGGTGTGATCTCGATGGTATCGACGTTGGCCACCAAGCAACACAAGACTCTGCATTACGCTGAAACTGACGAAGCTATGGTATGGTCCTCTCTGCTTAATGTCACGAAGACATACTGAACGTCCGCATAGATCCCGATCTTTGAGCGAGATACCAATGGCACAGCTCCTAAGAGCAAGTACATTATGGGTCGCCGCAACTGGTGCAGTATCAACTGGGACCCTTCGACGGGTGACCTGATCTGGGACATTCGTGTCGAAGTTATGAAGGGTTATGGAGAGACCACTGGGTGTGTGCATCGCGCAATCCTATGTGGTACGTTGTGTGCTAATCACGTCTTCTACAGCTATGCCGTACGCGCTCCACCACCTCGATGGCAGTCGTAAATTCCCTGAAACCGCGAAACCTCTCGCTCGCATTTATCCTTATGTTCCAGTCTCCTAATCATTGCTACGCGGATATCCCATCTTTGTCGTGAACTCTGATCACTGCTCTCACACTTTTCTGTCTCAGCGTCCAATTCCAGCCCAAGCGCTACGCTCCTGCTGATAATACCCCCCACTGTATCTACTATTACGATCATGTAAAGTGTAATACGCAAACAGCAGTCTACGCTCTGTCGCCTACAGCTACATATCCTATTCTGAGCCGTGTCGAAAAGTATCCATCACATACCCTATGAATCAACCACCCGAAGCTGCGAGTGAGGTACTGGTACTACGGCCGCCGCGACGCGTACGAGTAATCCACCGCCTCCTCGATGGCATCCATCTCGACGTCTCCGAACTCAACGTCCCCGTCCGTGTCGGCGCCGTTCAGGGCCCCGTCCTCGTAGTCGGTGTTGTACGCGCTCTGGTCGTGTTCCTGTTCGATGCCGGCGTCCTGCTCGTTCTCGTCCGCGTACCCGGCGAGCCCCGCGATCTGCGCGTCCAGACTGAGGCTCGACGCCGCCGTCGGCGCGGGAGACGCCACGCGCTCGCTGCCCTCCCGTGTCGCCGGGGTCGCCCCGCGCACGACCACCGGGGCGACCACACTGGCGTTCGACGCGGCGTGCCCCGCACGGGGGAACGTGCCGAGCGCGGGGGACGCGGATGCCACCTTTGCGCGCTTCGGCGCGGAGGCGGCGGCGGCGGGCGGGGGCACGGAGCCGGCGTCGTGCAGCTTCGAGGACGGGTGCTTGCCGCGGGAGGCTTTGGAGCCGGCGGGCGGCTTGCGTTTCGGCTGGCGCGGCTCCGACTTTTCCTTCTCCTTCTCCTGCCTGCGCTCCTCGGCGTCCGCGCGCATTAGCTGGGAGTACGGCTGCGACGTGGGGTGAGGAGCTGGGGGACGAGGTGAAGGACGGACTAGGCACGCACCGGGTGGGTTTCGATGGCCTCCGCCTCCTCCTGGTCGTCCAGCTCCCACTGCTCCTGCATGAACTCCTCGTACCGCTCGCACATCGGGCGCCAGGTCCGCTCGCTGTCCGGCGCAGGCTTGATGTCTGCGCCTGGGTTCGCGACGACCGCGTCGATGTCCGGAGGGGGCGGAAACGCGAAGTCGGGTCCGGGGTTGATGCTCACCTGCGCGCCGTTGAAGAGGGAGATGAACGGGTAGTAGCCGAGCGTGCCGTCGTCGAACGGGTTCTCCTTGTGCTCACGGATGCCCTCCTTGTTCGCCCGCTTCTTGTGCGCGGACTTGTTCGGCGGCGTCCGCAGCGGGCGGTAGTCGTACAGGTCCTGGAACGCGATCCCCTGGCACTCCCCGTTCACGAAGAAGGCGATGTACGACTCCGACCCGAGCGTGGGCAGCGGGCGCATGGGCGTCGTCTCGAGCCCCGCGCCACCCTTGCCGCGGCCATTAGAGGGGACGTTCTTGACGGTCGCGCTCTTCTTCGTGCCCGACGGCACGCTCTTGGTGTCCGTCCCCTTCGCGCGGTCGTTCGCGTCCATGAGCGCGACCATCTCCTTCGACTGCGGGTACTCGAGGCTCTCGAAGTACTCCTGGCCCTTGAACTCGATCGCGATCCGCTCCCGCTTCACGTGCGCGGGGTCGTACGGGTCGCGCCGGTCCCCGCGGCGGCGCGGGGGCAGGCAGATCGCGAGCCCGACGACGTCCCCGCTCCCGAACGGGCGGCCGTACGGGCGCGGGCGCGAGAGCGTGACCTTCTCGCCCGTGCGGTCGCGCACGGCGTAGCTGTAGCCGTCGTAGCCCGCGGGGGCGTTGAGGGGCGCCTCGCGGCGCGCCCAGCCGAGGCGGAGGTGCGCGCCCTCGTTGCGGTGCGGGCCGAGCGGGCGCGCGCCGGCCCCGGACGCGACGGCGACCTCGAGGAACCAGCGGCCCTCGCGCACGGGGGCGTTGCAGCGCGCGGAGCGGAAGCCCTTCTCGCCCTGGAGGCGGAGCCCGTCCTGGGTGACGCGCACGAACGGGCTCCGGTCCTCCCAGGAGACGCGGAGGCGCGCGGGCTCGGACTCGATGGTGCGGAAGGGGAGGGCGTGGTCGAGGGAGCCGATGCCGGCGGGGGTGTAGCGGAAGCCGAGGCGGTTGAAGCAGAGGGGCTCGGTGGTGAAGTACTCGGACGAGGGCGCGGCGGGCACGAAGCCAGGATGGCGGGAGATGGTGAGCCGGGGGCGGGAGGAGAGGTCGTGGCGGGCGCTGAGGACGAGGTTTTCGGGCGCGGGGGTCGCGCCGGGGTCGGAGGGAGCGGGGGAGGCGGCGGCGGTGTTTGCGACGGCAGCGTGCTTGCGCTTGCGGGAGGGTTGGCCGTGCGTGGCTGGTGCTGGGGTGGCCGTGGGGGGAAGGGAGAGTTCACCGATCTCCATCTCGCACCTGTTCGCCCGACCTTTTCAGAGCTGGACGCTCACTTTCGTGTTTGCAGCGGTGTTCTTCAGAATGTGTTCTGACCGAGGGGGGAACAAACCGAGCACTGAGTGGTGGAATAGACAGATGGGGCGGGCGTGACGGCTTGGAATGTCAGTTCTAATGGACAGCCGCGAGATCTAGTGCTCAGACGATTGAAGTACGTCCGACGAGACGACGAGGGGATGGGAGGAGGAGGAGACGAGGAAGCGGGCGGAGTACGTCGACGCCGCTCAGGCTCAGCCACTGCACAAGAGGACTTCAGGCGCCCGACTCGCGTGCGGTCCGGTAACTGCCCGATCGCACGCCTCCTGCCACTGATCCACCACTACCTCGCACAACAACACCCACTGCCCCATCTCATCTCTTGCCATGACTGCGCTACGGTGAGCTTCGATCTTTCGAATGTGTATATGCTGGCGTTTGACCTCTTTATGCCTCCTTAGACGGATTCAGAAGGTGCCATTTCTGTTGTTGCTTCCGTTGCTGGGTGCTCATTCGTGCGTAGGAACTGAGGGACCTCAACAACAACCCCATAGAGGTGAGTTGCATGTATCTAAACACGCAAACCGTGGTCAAACTGGGTCCAAGGGTATGACTGTGGAGCCGACGGAGGACAACCTCTTTGAATGGAAATGCATAATCAAGGCAGCCGTGCGTGGTCTTCGCTTGCTGGATGCATATCAACCAACTCTGTGTGTGCATCAGTCAGATAGTCCATATTCTGGCGGAAAGTTCAAGTTCACCCTTACTCTCCCCGAGACCTTCCCGTTCAAGGCTCCCTCGGTGCGTTCTCCACACGTGCAAAGACCCCGCAGAGGCCGCCTGACGCGTACATGGTCTCCCTCGTGGCCACCTATGTTTTAGGTGACATTTGCGACCAAGGTCTACCACCCTGGGATCAATGATGAGGGCCATATCTGTGTTCCCGTTCTCCGTGATCAGGCATGTCATGTCTCGCGCGTCCTTCTGTCGCCAAGACTTCCCCTCGGACTGAACTTGTTGCTGTAGTGGAAACCCACGGTGTCTCTTTTGTCAGGTGAGGTATATGCCGCGTTGGTATCTGAGATCTGCTTCCTAACATGGCTACAATCTGTCAGTACTGACCATCATTCAAGACAAGCTCAACAACCCCAGCCCCGATGACCCCTTTGAGCCTGATATTGCGGCTGTAAGTCCTTTAGATCATTTCGCACATACCATGTGAACATGTCCCCCCGCAGCTCATGAAGAACGACGAGGCTAAATTCCTTGCGACTGCGAAGGAATGGACCAGGAAGTGAGTCATAGAGCCCGTCTGAGTTCAAGCTGATGCCCATATACACACCCCAGGTATGCGACATAGACATCAGTGTCGGCCGCATTGTGCGGTACAAGTGCATGTAGCTTTATATCCGATTGTATCACCACCTTGGCATACCAGAACTCGCCGCATATATCATTGCCTGGAGATGGCCATCTCAGGATCCCCGCACTTGTAGCACATCCGTTCTAACGGCTGTTGTGCGGTAGGTTGTATTGGACACCTTGCTGTGTGTCACGGTCCATTTGCGGTAGCACAGTCAGTGTTCATCAACCGCAGCATTCCAAATGTGCCGCATTCCATCTGAGTATCAACATTTCTTCTTGATCACTGATTCCGGTTTCGAGCGTGGGCAAGAGTAACTAACTAACACGAGAACAACTGATCAAGTGTCAGAAACGATGCCGGAGCCATGTGGTGGTGATATGTATCGAGGCGTACGTTGGCTTGGCATTGAGGGTACCTTTGAAAACCGAAGACGTATATGTAGATCCCGAGCAATCACCACTGGACAGACAGGTTGCGCCATGATGCGACGTCCAACGTAGCTTATATGTTAGCTATCGAGGGTAAGGTACCGGTAATCCTGCGGTCGAGACTCGAGAGACAGATCTAGACGTGAACTATGACGATTGCCATATTTGTCAATTAATGCGCCGATCCAGATTGCAATGCCTCCTTGTTAAAACCTTGGTTAGCTTTCGTGGTATTTGTGTGAAAAGTCGGTACTGCGCAAGCTACAAGACTTGAATACAACAGGCCGAGGGCTGCATGTGTGGCCGGGGGGTTGGTTCCTGGATGTAAGAACAGTGCCAGGAACGGACGGCGGAGACCCCGGGTATTCCCATCAGCTGCAGGGGCGGCGTCCATTGCCTCCTCCTCCTCCTCCTCCTCCCCCTCCTCCTCCCGCCTCTCCTCCCTTGGGCACCCTTTACCTCCAAACGGCACCTTCAAGGTACCCGGAACGGCACCTTCAAAGCCTCCACTAACACCGCCATCACGCTTCTTCCTCCAACTCGTGGCCAACACGTTGCTCGCTCATTCCCCGTCCCGCCGCCTCCCGCCCGCGGTCTCTCGCCTTGTTTTCTGATATTTCTGATACGCTCCTTGCCCCACCCACGCCCGCGACACGCCTGTCAAGCCTCAGCTCGTGTTCGGACCCCCACGCGAACCGCTACCCGAACCGCTCGTCCTGGTCACGCCCTCTCAACGTGTTCACAACGAGGCCGGCTTATTGAGGGTGCCCGTCCGCTAGACAATTGCCATGCATCGCTTTCGGTAGGCACTCGTCGCCAAGCTTCTCACCCAAGTACTCCGACGCTCAATCTCATCTCTCTCTTCGCGTTCGCGCACCCTCCAGCAAAAGATCAGACGCAAGACGGCCCTTGGGTACCGAGGTCTCCGTCTCCGTGAGCACCGACACGCACGACAGCTCCTCCCTCCCCTCTCTACCCCCGGCCAGCGACTTTCGAACCTCCCTGATCCTGCCAGAGTGCGTCGCACCCGCTTCTTCTTCCCGCGATCGTATCCTCCCTGACCCTGCGCCTCCTCGTGGCACTCCTCCATGGCTCTAGCCTTACTCGCCGGTTCAGCGTACTCCAAAGTTCGACTGGCGAGCCCATCGGGCTCGATGACCTACAGAAGAAATTCGCCGAGCAACGCGCGCGCGGCTCCCAGAACCAAGTGACTGAAGAAGAGGAGGACATGATACTGGAGGCGCTCGGCCGGTGGAATCCGAGGACTCGTTCCCGGAGCAAGCACAAGGGCTACGACGCGGAGCCCGGGAGCGCAGCCGACGAAGAGGACGAAGGCGGCGCGGCGGACGACACGCGGCAGTCGGTGCGTTCCTCCACCACAAACTCCATGACCGTCCCCCAAAGCCCGTCCGCGCATTCCCTCCACGGCGCGCCGTCGCTCGCCTCGATCTCCTCCGCCAAGGGCTCGACGTCGAGCCGCCGGATGAGCAACAACCTCTTTGGCTCGGGCAAGTTCCGCGACCAGGCCTACCTCCTCCGCACCGCGGGCTCGCCCACGTCAGGGTCCCCGCGGCGCGCGGGCCGCGGTCGACGACCGGCGGCGCGATCGCGCAGTCAGACTCGGGCGCGAGCGTGAGCTCGGTCGCGAGCGCGCGCGGGGAGAGCGGTTCGTCGGTATATGCGAACAGCATGCGGCCTACAACCCCCGAAGACAGCTCCTACACGTTCTCGGGATCCGCGCCGTCCAGCCCCGGTAACGCGAGCACGAATTCCAAGGACCGGGCTATCAGTGAAGACACGGAGTACTCGAACATACTCGCCAAACGACTCTCCAGGGTATTGTCACCGGAAGGTTTCAGACGGGCGTCGCTGGCGTTCGACCAGGCAATACGGGAGTTGGAGGAGGAGGGTGACGACGAAATTGTTATGGAGCGGTCGCCCATCACCCACGTTCCGCCGAGCCAAATAATAAATGGGCCTCTCAGCGCTGCGGTGAGTGCTCCTCGAGAGGCCACATGTCTGCCATGAACCTCAACCGTGTCTCGTCACAGCTGGAGCCCGAACAGTCACCCATGTCCTCCCCACCTGATGTCGACACCGGGACTGCACTGTCCTTTGACGACCTCATGTCAGCAGAAGATGATCGCTCTTCGCCTCACCCTGCCTCCAGGACGACGTCGCCTACGCCACGTTTGCCCGGCTACACCCCTGGCATGCTGCGTCCAATGACGCCGAGAGAGGCAACTTTCGACTCAGAAGATCTCACTCCCTCCACCACGCCCCGCGCCAACACTCCTCGCCTACCAGGCATCAATACCCAACCCCAGAGCATTGCGTCGAGCTTGCATAGGCACAATTCCAGTGCGTCTTCTTCATATTCCGGCACGCGCTCGAAGTCCCCTGCTACCCCCTCCACGGCACCTTTATTCTTCAACCGGTCAATGAACGGTCGTTACACTCCGGAAGAGCGTCAAAGGGGCAGCCTCGGCAACAAACCAGGTTCTCCCACAAAGGACTCCGGAGCCGAGTCACCCGTACTAGGCCGGCGCCGGCCCATGTCGCCCCTTTCGGGTCCTTCCTATCAACCTATATCATCCTCTCCCCCCTCCCGCCCGACGACACCGTCCAACATCACCTGGCACGCACCCGTAAGTCCCAACGGGACTCCACAGAAGTCGCAGCACACCCGCGGCCACAGTCGGAACAACAGCTCGATCAGCATCAGTGACCAGACTTCGGAGCTCGAGCGGTCAAAGTCCCAGACATCCCAGGCCACCTCACGCTCGCTCCGGTCGCCCGCACTTCCGGACTCGCCCTGGGTGGACGGCGGTTACACCAACTTCGCCGACATCCTTGACCGCCCCGAGTCCGCCATGTCCGGTATGAGCCTCGGCTCCCCAATGCAGACGAGCACTCCGCTCCGGACCGCGACACCAACCAACAACGGCACGCGGTCTCCGACGAATGCAGTCTTCGCTGACGCCAGCATCACCCCTGAGGGTGCACGGAGCTCACGGCGGTCGTCGCGGCAGACGGCGCACGCAAGCACGAACACGTTCTCGCTAGGGTCCGCGCCAAACGCACTGCTCTTCACTCCGCTCGCCAACTCGTCTCGCTCGTCCCTCGAATCCGCCGGCTCCAGCTACCACACGTGGGATGAAGATCACAAGGCGGATCGGCTGCATGGCCTCTTCTCCGCGCTCGATCCGGACGCGTCGCCGTGGCACGACGTCGGCGCCACGTCGACTGCGGCAACGTCCCCGTACGACGCACCCGAGACGGAAGAGGCTGTCAAGCGCGAAATCGGGCTTTCGAAGAGCGACTTCGCCGCCATCCAGGACAAGCTCGTCGGCGCTGCCCTCGTGAAGGCGGCCACCCCAGAGAACCGCCGGCCAGGTTCGATTCGCAGGAGGCGACCGTCGACATCGCAGTCGAATTACTCGTTCAACGGCGAGCGTGCGGTCAACTCAACACCGCAGCCTCCCGTGGCGCAGGCGTCGACGTCGCTTCCAAGCCCGTGGACGACGAGCGAGCACGTTGCGCGCGCGAACGCACTGCTGGACGCGATGGTCGACAGCATCGACTCGCCCACGGCTCAGACGGATGTGAAGCTGCCGCAAGAAGACTCGTTGGAGCTTCCAGCCCCACAACACGGCACCGAGCAGTCCAGCCCGATGCGGAGGAACCGCGCGCTCGCGGACGCGCTGTTTGGTGCGGACGACTCGCCGTTCAAGAGCACGTCGCCCGCTCCGCAGATATCCATCATGCCCGACTTCGGATCCGACGACGATGACGACGACGACGAGCCTCTGGCGTCCACGCTGTCGCCTACCAAACCTCTGCAGATGCCCAAGCGGTCCGAGTCGCTCAGGAAGAAGCCCGCACCGAATATGCCAATGTCGCCCCCGATCGGCACGATGCCCACAAGCCCAAGCGCCCTTCTGTCGCCCCTATCACCCAGTGCGGGCATGAGCCAGGCGGAGCTCGCTTTCGAGGTGCAGCGGAGGGCGGAGGCGGCGACCTTGGCCCTGCGCAAGTCCCCCTCAATCCCAAACTTGCACGAGGGTAGCGGCACGGTGCGCAAGCGTATCACCCCACGCGAGATCTCTGCTCCCATGCTCGTCTCTGCGTCCTCGAGCGTCGACGCGATCCCGATCCGGTCACCGACGTCCGCGCCGGCGACCACACCTGGGCACCAGTCGGGTGGGATAGGCTCGCGCTTCAAGAGGCTGCGCTCAACTATCCGCACAAAGCCGCAGCTCACCGGAGAAGAGGTCACGCCTTTCCCTCTCGAGCTCCGAAGCCCAACCGCCGATCCCCTTCCCTCTCCTCACACGCGTAGCGCGACTCATCTTCCACTCCGCAGCGAGCCGATTCCCATTGCGTCGTCCGCGGGGGCAGCGGAGCCGAGATTCAAGGCTCCCGCACCACTCCCAAGTCCCCCTGCTTCTGCAGGACCCGGGCTGAAGGGTTTCATGGCACGCTTCCGGAAGCAGCGCCCAACTACCACCGAGTCGTTAGGCCCGCCGCACCTTGTTGTACCGCAGCGACACGAGATCCCGCCGCAACCTGCGTCTGCGACCGCCCTGCAGTCAGAACAGCGGTTCGGGGGAACCTCACCAGAGCTGTATCCGCCCATGCCGTCTTCGGCGCCTGCGCTGCAAACCATGTTCAGGAGCACCAGTCCGAACGGGCCGTTGCCACCCTCGCAGTCGCCCACGCCATGGCCAGGGTCACAGCCGCTCACGCCGGTTATGAACTCTAGGACACCGTCGGACGAACACGCGCTGAAGCAGCTCTTCGACGCCGCTTCGAACCTTGGGCTCGATCAGGCTGCGCTCAACGACCTCATCGCGCGGTCGCCATCGACGTCCTCGCGCTCGACTGCGCTCACGAAACTCACGCGGGCCACGTCGCCAGGAAGCGGGAGCGGGAGCGGGAGCGGGAGCGGGAATGGAAGCTGGAAGACACACAGCCAGGCACTCAGCCAGAGCCCCACCCCGAGCCACGGTCAGGGCCAGAGCCAGAGCCAGCAGGTGCCGATCATCCGTGGTAGGGCCACGCCTGACAGCATCCACTCTCCGCCCATGTCTGAGGGCCGCCCCAGCCTCGACGAATGGGCCATGGAGTCCAAGGCTGCGCGTCGGAAGAGTCAAGACCCGCCTCCTCGCCGCCAGCCGCCTCCCCCTCCGCGCGAGCCGGAAGAGACGCCGAGGCCGACGACGCGGCCGAACACGATCGTGCGCCGGACGATCATCATTGCCAACGACGCGCGTGGGTCGACCCTTGACTTCTCGGCGCTGGGGGCGGGGCTGTTGCGCAAAGGTTCGGCGTCGTCGCGCCGGCGCGCGAGCGTGGGCTCTGGGCGCTCAATCCACGACCGCGTCCCGACGCCGCCCCCACCGTCACACCGTGGAGGAACACGCCGTTTCTCGACGGACCACACTTCCCCGCCAATGCCACAGCTCCCGCCGTCGCTTACGGTCCAGACTGACGGCATGCTCACCATCCCGAGCCCGGTGGAGAAATCGAGTTCCGCGTACGAGTCTCTGTGAGTTCCGACCGTCACTTGCGCTGTGGGCGCGGTACTGACTGGCTGCCTTCGTGTGTAGGTACGAAATGTACGGCAACGATAACAGGGGTCAGCTGCTCGAGCCGGCGGTGGCGAGCGCGAGCGCGCCGGGTCATGAGGCGCTTCCGGAAGGAAGCCAGGCGATCGAGGTGATCGAATTGGCAAACGGAGAAACAATATGGTAAGTCGTGGGAGACGGTGTGCACGCAGAGTTTGAACCTTAGGGGCGCTGACCCGTGCCTGCAGGTCAATCGTTAACGGACTGCGGGACGATGACGGCGAGTCCTTCTACGGCGATCGTGCGAGTTTCTACTCCGAGTACTCGTTCAAGGACGCGGACGACATGAAGGTCCTCTTCAAAGAGCATCAGCGCAAGTCGTCCCGCGGGAGCGTCAGCTCGTTCGTCTCCCGCAAGAAGTCTCCTCCGCAGTCACCCGCACCCGGGTCGACGTTCGCCGGCCAGCAACCGCCCCCACAGAGCCAGTCTAAAGGCTCCGCCCGCCCGGAGACCAAGGTACGTCTAAGGGCGCTCCCTGAGCGCCCGCTGTCCAACTAGCTCGTTCGGCCGCTAACGGTGTTTGTGCAGGTCTTCTTCAGCTCCAGCGCGCAGATCGGTCGGCTGATTGAAAATCTGTCGCGTGGCATGGACGCCGGCTCGTTCAACATTATGCCGGGCCATGAGCATGGCCAGAGCCAGCTCCGTGCGCACGGCCAGAGCAACGGGAACGGCAAGGCCCGCCCCGGCCATTCGGCGTCGTCCTCGGTTGGCTCAGAGACGGACCCGCGTTGGACGACAGTAGAGCAGAGTTTAGAGCACATGCTTGGCTCGATGGGGTCGAGCTGATGAATGTGGCTGTTTGCTATCTCCGCCTTGTCCACCTTTCCTCCTGCCACCCTGGGCCGCTATATCTCCGCTCGTCATTTATTCTGCTCTCCTGATTACGCTCACCCTGGCCTTGCTCTGATTTATGCCTTCCATCGGGTACCACCGGTAATATTTGGGACTCGTGTCTATTGCGCGCACCGCTCCTACACTCCGTTGCTTAGTGCTCCTTCCTCTCGTTTCCTTGCTATGCTCCCCGTGGTCATCGACGCCCGCCTCCGTTGCTCCGTCCCCCCGTCACTGTCATTTTTTCGGCACATGCTTTGTTGTTAATACACCTCGTTCCTCGCCTATGTACACCACCCGACATAGATTGCTCGACCGAATCGAAGAGCTCACATCCCCTGCCAGTCGATCTGCCAGTCGATCCACCGATTGAGGCACAGCGCGATGACCGCGTCGTGGAGGAGCTCCTCCTCGTCCGGGAACGTGTACCGGAGGCGTGCGTACGACCGGCCCTGGTTCTCGATCTCCCGCACATCGGGTGCGAAGGTGGCGATCCTGTCCTCCCCGGCCGGGCTGATCGCAAAGAGCTGAACGCCGGAACGTGAGTGCGTTCGACGGCACGGGCGGCGTGCGGACGCAGACGACGCGCACCTCGTAGTGCTCCGGGCGCCCGGTGGGCCCGAGTCCGAGCCTCCGCCATTCGAAGACCTCGTTGCGGGCGACGGCGCGGCTCCGGAACTGCCTGCCGCTGAAACGACGGCCGCGGTTAGCACCGGCGTTCGAAGGAGAGCGAGACGCAGACGCAGGTGCTGACTTGGGCACCGAGCCCCGCGCGACGTAGTCGGCCATCGGGGTCGCGTTGCTGGCCGCCCTGTGGGGGGCGCACCCCCTGGCGGCGGCGGTGCGGTTGAAGTTGCGGACGAGGGAGCCCATGTGCTTGCCCATCGTCCAGTTGAGGAGCGCGAGCTCGAGCTGCTCGTTGAACCGGACCTGGACGTGCGGGTGAGTCGGGGGCCGTGGGCGGGCGGCCCGCGCCGTGCGCTCACCGTCGTCCGCGTCCCGGTGGGGAGGTCCATGGTGTCGAACCTGTAGAGGACCGGGATGTCGTTCCTGAAGCCGATGAGGACGTCGCCCTGGCGGGGGTCGTTCGTGCCGAAAAAGAAGAGCTCGTCGGGGTGCCGGTGCTGGGGCGGGCCCTTGGGGTGCTGGGCCGCCGGGTGCTGGGCGGGGACGCGGTGGGGGGGCTGGGGCTGGGCTTGTTGCCTGTTCATGGCGGGGTTTTTTTGGGGGTTCGCGGTCGAAGAAGGCAGGAGGGATACGCAGAACGGGCTCGCAGTTTCACCCTCCCGCTTGTACCCCGTCTTTATAGGACCCCGGCGTCGCGCGCGAGAAACCCGCACTCGGCGCGCGCGGACGGCGTCCACCACCAGGCTCGCGCACCAGGCGCCGCGCTGGTTTCATGCCACGCCGCTTGCCGCCCCCATGCACGTCCCACATCCCCGCGGGCTCGGTAACGAGCGCCCGACGCGACGCGACGGAGGGGGCCACGATCCGCACAGTGCTCGCTCCGCGAAAGTGCGCAAAGCGGGAGGGGTCGTCCGGGACGGAGGGGCGGCCTGGGCCTGGGACCTGGGAAGGTCGCGATCGCGCTCGTGGAGGGCACCAGAGGGTATGGCGCTCTGCTGCCCCGGCGCCGGTACGGGATCTTCGGGACGTGTGCGCCGCGCGGGGGGACAGAAGAGCACCGCTCGGCGCTGCGCAGAACGGGGGGGCGCCGCCGGGCTGCATCGCGGGTAGGGGCGTCGACCGAACGGGGGGGGCAGGAGGACGCACCGCGTGCGGGTGAGGTGTTGCGCCGGCGGGGGGACGGGGAACCCGGGAGGCCCTGAACGTGCGCGCGGCAGGGTTCATCGTACACTCGGTGCTTCGGGGACGCTGCGGTGACGATTTGGGAGGCTGGGATGACGCCGGGGCGGTGCGAAGTCAATGTGGGCCGCCGTGCGCGTGATCTGCGCTCGCCAAGGAGTGGCTGGGCGGTGCGAGATGAGGGCGCAGGACGAGAGATGGGCTGCGACCATGCGCGAGCTCTAATCGGGAGTGATCGTGAGTGGGGAGGTGTTAAGGGAGGGACGGAAACGTGGAGGTGGTCGGGCGCGGCGGACGTACTCATTATGTGCTCTCCGCAGTTTGTGGGGAGTGTGGGCGGAACGGCTGTTTTGCGACGTTCGGATCGAGAACATAAGACCAAATGCGCGAAACTTCGTGGAGAGATTCGCAGAGGATGGGAAGGGGCGGCCTATCGGGGATATGGGCGTGTATGGATCATGCATGGCGACAATAGTTGCCGAGAGCAGCGCTGCAAGAGCGTGTCGCGCCACCGCAGAGGTTGGTTCTCCTGGCTGTGGTTGTTCTCCGGAAGTAGGATGGGCGAGAGCGTGGCTCGAGCTCGGTCCGCGAACGTGGCTCGACTACGGTGGCCGGACCTTGGTCACATGCTTTCAATCTCAGCGGCCCAGGAGTTCGGTCGCCGACACGCTATCGAGTCGCACCAGATAGGGTTCTGGGGGAGAGATCCGACGTGAGGAAGGTTCGCAGTCCAAGTCTGGCCAACGCTCTGGGCAGACGTCGTGGTCTCCACATCATGCGGGGGCAGTCAGGGCGGCGATGAGTTGCCGTTATCAAACGCTCGACCGAAATTATCCGTTCGCAGACGGTGCGAAGAGGATGCTCACGGCGCATGCTTTCCACCGTGTACACTCAGCTTCTCCACGTACAGGCCTCACCATCTGCACGAGCTTCAGAAGAGCGATCGGCTGATAAAGCGCAGACACTTCCAAAGGCAGTCGGTATCAGATGACTGGCAGCTCCCCTGTCCGGCCCACGAGCAGGAGCAAGAGCCGCCGACCCCCATGCAATCAGATACTGTACCATTTCGACTTATTCGAACGACGGTTTGCGCGTGACAGCCAGTTTGGCAGACATTCGAACTTTGACCAGCCGTCCGTGACGGGGCGCCGGGAAATCTGAACCCAGACGCTGTATTAGGGCAGTTTTGACTTTTAGGCCCATATTGGCCGGCGTTGCATAGGCGCCCACGGGCTCGTTTCGAACTTCGGCTTGTGAGCTGTGACAGCGCAGGTTTTTCAAAAAATTCGGCGTCCTTGTGACGCGTGACGTACGAATAATTCGAGATCTAAGAACCATAGGGCTGCGCATGGACCTCGTCCCACCTCCCGCAAGACTGTGATTCTGTCCGCAGCATTGGTCGCAGCGGCTGATATGGCACGGAGTCCTGTGTAACCACATCTGAGTTTGTGGGTGCCGAGTAGACACTGCGGGGAAAGCACGGTGGTCGTGGATGCATGCCCATGGTCCAATGTATATACCGGTCTGCCTGAATCTACTCTGGCATGGTAGCCGCAGCTCGTTCGCAGCAGAGCCTCTGTCTTAAGTTTGTACGCTGGATGATCCTGCCTCATAAGGCGTACGCACGTCGGACGCGTCAAAGCGCCGGAGGTTGTGGGCAGTACTGAAACAGCAGCCATATCCGCGCCTTTTGACGACCTCCGCGGGCGCGTTCTTTGAAGTGTCGCAGAGTGTGATTCGAGTTCGAGGCTGTGTGGTTGTTGAATTGCATTGGACGAGTGGACGCGACAAGCGCCGCCGCGGCCCCCAGCGCTGATTGCCCTCGTGGAGACGCGAGCCCAGCTTGCCCTTGTCCCCCGGCCGTTCCCCAGCCTCGTCCGCCATGAGCCTCTTACCCGTCAGCCTGGGCGACGTCAAGGGCTCAGGTCCCCGCGAAGGTGCCCTCTTCTGCCTCCGCTTTGTCACAAAACGCTATATTTTGCTCGCCGTCACCCTCTTCGCGCTCGGGACGCTGCTCTTCCGTATGTATTTTTACGACTCTCTGCCGGCCGTCGCTGGCATCCCGACGACGACGAACCTAGAGGGACTCAGCTCCGATGACCCCGCAAGAAGATGGCCAGGCCGTAAGCTGCCTCCTCTGTACCCTCAATGGCACCATCGCGACCTTGCCCTGCCCCAACATCGCTGGCACGCGACGGACCACTCACGCGAACCCAAGTTCTTCTTTGTGCCCGGTCATACGCGAGGTGCGTACCCGTCCGTGTATATGCGGCCATTGTCATCAACGCTCCGGTCATCCCAGGGTCCGGGTGGGGGAATGTTTTCCAGGAGATCCTGCTCAACGCCCATCTCGCGTACAAGATGGACCGAGCGTGCGTTCTTTCTCTGCTCTCTTTCTGCGCGAAGCACCGATGCCAACCCCCTCCAGAGCCGTGTTCTACAACTATACATGGAGCGAGGACGGCGACTACTCGGACTACAACGGGAAGCCGATTCCGTCGCGCATTCCCCTCTCTGCGCTCATCCGAGGTCAGCGTTCCCTTCTGTGCACTGCATCCCTCTTCCTGCGCCCCGCCTTCCTCGCACTTTGCGCAGCGAAGCACCCCTGGGGCCTGACTCTCGAATGCTCTGTCGTCGATGGAACGGAAGGAGACTCGCTTCCAGCTTCGCACCTTCGAACCGCAGCGCCATGCACACGCGCGCTCCATCCGCTGGAGGCGATGCATGGACGTCCGGCCGTAGTCTTGTGCGGGGGTGCCGGTGGATAATGAGGGCGTCGATCCCCCACTATGGTGACCTCCTCGACCTTCACGCTAACATCCGGAGCTTCTCCAGGACCGATTGTCGGCGACGCCTTTCCAGCAGACAAGCCCTCCCCTCCAGCCATCGCTGAAGACTATTGGAACCATGCCTGTGCAGGTCGGATACGCTCCATCGAGAGAACACCTGTCCATGCCACCTTCAAGTCATGGTATATGCACGACGTCACCGACGGTTGGGTGGACCACATGAAGGGCGTGGACGATCAGTGCGTGGAGGTTATGCGCTCGACCGGCAACATCTTCGACTGGGTGTACGTCACCATTTGTACCCCCTTCCCCTGAGCCCCACCAACTCACCTCCCCCCCTCGTAGGATGTTCGGCGACCGGCACGCCCTGCACGGGCTCTGGGCCGCGGACCTCCCCTCCTCCCCCATCCTCACCCACTTCGGCTGGTCCGCGCTCGTCGAGCTCGCCTTCGACGCCAACCGCGCCGTCTTCTCCCCCGCGCCCCCCGGCGAGCTCCCGCTCTCCGCCGTCCCGTTCACGAACAACAAGGACCGGTACACGGAGCTCCCCGGCCTCCTCGTCCTCCACATCCGCCGCGGCGACTACGAGGGCCACTGCGCGCACCTCGCCCGCTGGTCGTCCACCTTCCTCGCGTTCAACGGCCTCCCCGGCCTCGCCGAGTTCACCGCGCCCCCCGGCGGGCCCGAGCCCGGCACGGCGACGGAGGAGGGCATGGCCGTCTACCTCGACCGCTGCTACCCGTCCGTCGCGCGCATCGTCGAGCACGCGGAGCGCGCGCGCGCGGACGAGCTCGCCGCGGGCCGCCCCGCGCTCGAGCGCGTGTTCGTGATGACGAACGGGGACCCGCGTGGGTCGCGCGGCTGAAGAAGGCGCTCCTCAAGACGGGCCACTTTGCGGGCGTGTCGAGCAGCCGCGACCTCGAGCTCGGGCCGGAGCAGCGGTACGTCGGCCAGGCGGTGGACATGCTCGTCGGCCAGCGCGCGCAGGTGTTCATCGGGAACGGGGTGAGTCGCTGCGTTTTCCGGTCGTGCTCGCCGTCCCGATCGGTGCTGACTTTTGTTTTTTGTCGCGCGCGCCAGTGGTCGAGTCTGACCGGGGGCACGGTCATCATGCGCATGGCGAACGGCTTCCGCACCGCGACGACCCGGTTCTTCTGAGCCATTTTCGCGCTGTGCGCTCGGCGCCTCTCCAACGCCACGCGACACCTACGATACCCTCGCACACGGCTTACTACTTAGAATGCGGTTACGCGCGGCTCCTGCTAGACGGGTACCCGATTACGGTCAAATAAATGTATTGCATGGCTGCGGCGAGCCCACAGGGGCTCGCCGCGGGGTGATGTAAATAATATATGAGATGGGCCGCGGAGATACACGTGCGCTCTAATTGGCAGGCTAATGCGGAGGCAGGCTGGGATGTCGGAGACCAGGGAGTACAACGCCGGGGCACCCGCGCGGTGCGGGCCCGGATGCAGATGCGGTTTTGTGATGCAACAGTGTGTGGGGAAATGGAATACAGCAGGTGTGCGGGCATGCGCGTGCGCGATGCGGGGGTAGTAGGAATGCCGAAGAGGTGAAGGTCGCCGGGGTGGAATGCGGTGGTCGTTAGTAGGGTTTTGGAGGAGGGGAGCAAGTTTACGGGGGGAATAAGTAAGCAGGGGAGCGCATAGGGTGAGGGTGTCCGGTAGCTGTGAACGTTGTAGCAGGGTGTAGCAGGGGTTTCCGTGAGCACTGGCAGAGGTATCCGTAGGTCTAAGTTTCGCTCGTCAGCGCGCGGGTTCATGAGCGGACGCGTGCGCGACTCACCAGTAGGTTCCATCGTGTCGTCACTTGGCCGGCGCGGCCGACGCGGCCGGGTCCTTCCAGTCGTCGAGCGGGACGCCCATGTAGGTCGGGAGGTGCTTCCACACGTCCTTGCGCACCTCGAGGTCGCGCGCGTGGAGCATGCCCCGGCACGGCTCGCACAGCGGCCAGAGCTCGACGACGTCCTCGATCCAGTGCTCCCACGAGTCGAGCGCGGCGTAGCCGGCGATGTCCCCGATCGGGTCCTTCTGGAGGCCGTCGAGCATCATGCCGAGGATCTCGCGGAGCGCGCGCTCGCAGCCCTTGCTCGCGCACTGCGCGCTCGGGACCGGGCGGCAGATCGCGCAGGCGCCGCGGGTGCTCGCGCGGACGAGCTCGGTGCGGGCGCGGAGGACGAGCTCGAGGTCGCGCGCGTCGAGGCGCTCGGTGGTGCCGTCGGGGCGCTCGACGCCGGCGGCGAGCTCGCCGTCGAGCTGCGCGCAGAGGTAGAGCGCGGTGGGGAGGACGGAGTCGGCGTGCGTGAGGCGGGCGAGGTTGACGGCGGCGAGGGCGTCGGGGGGCGTGATGTGCAGGAAGGCGTTGCCGTCCGCGCCGGCGGTGTCCCAGGTGGTGAGGTCGTTGGTGAAGTAGAGCTTGAGGTGGTGCATGGCGCGCGCGTGGACGTCTTCGACGTGGTACTTGTGGGACATGCGGATGAGCGCGGCGAGCTCGGCAAACTCCATGCGCTCGCCGGGCATGATGGGGAATCTGTTCGGAGGGAGGAGGTCAGCATTGCTTGAGATGGGGCCGAGACGGGCGTTCGTGCGGTACGCATGATGAGAGACTCCTCTGGTATGCTGCGTCAAGTACTCTCGAGGTTCGAAAGTGGTGGGGACGGCAGAGGGAGCACCAGGATTGGAGCCGCGCGAGAAGTCGGGAAGGCCTTGCAAAGAAGCAGGGCACGGAGAGCGAGAACAAAGAGAAGGACTCACTTCCGCATCCCGTACAAGGCCCGGAGAAGATGTCGGAGGTCCTCCGGCGAATCCGAGATGTGCACGACGGGGCAGCTGTCGACCGTCTCCGCGCTGGGGGCCTGGGCCATGGAGAAGAGATCGCGGAAGATGACCGAGTTCCGGGTGAGCAGGCCACGGTACATGCGGAAGGCGGAGCCGCGGCAGAGGAGGACGATGTTGCCGTCCTCGAACCAGAGCTCCTCGTCGCGCTTGATGGAGCCGTTCAGGCTGACGGTCGCGAGCTCGCTGGGGAGGGAGCTGGCGTGCTCGGCGATGTTCACCCGCCAACGCTTCACGACGCCGTTGCCATTGGGGGACATCAACGATTCCCTACGGGCGCGGGTGCCGCGGAAGAGGCGCATCAGTGGGCGGGGCCGCGGGCGAGGGGGCCGAGAGGGCTGCGGGCGAGAGGTGCGTACGGAGAGAGCGGGCGTTCGGCGACGTGGGCGTCGGGGGAAATTTGGTGGACCGTGTCGGAGTCGGACTCGACGGGGGACTGGGGCCAGTCGGCGGGCACGTTGGGTGAGGGCGTCCGAGAGGGCAGCGGGGTTATGCGTTGCAGAACGGCCTTGCGGAGGCTCATCGCAGGGTGTCGCTGGGCTGGCGGGGACACAGAACGGCGTTGGCGAACAGCCTCTTCAACCGCGTCTCATTGTCGCCACCACGTGACCGAGTTTTCCCCTTTTCTGGCACACCGCGTAGCCGCCCATCGCGTCCATTACCGTCCATGCACAAACTATGATAACGTCTGTTACGCGAACATGTATATACGTATACGACTATGACTGTGAAGTGTCTTCTATCTCTATCACCTCAGGCGCATCAACAGCATGCCCATCGTCCACCTCGTGGGGTGCGGGACTCGGCTTTCGTATCCAACACTGTTTTGCCCTTTGGTCGTCTGGGACGAGCTGCTTCTGTGAGGGATGCAAACGCTGCCCTATTCGCTTGCTGCTCATCGAGTCAGCACACACTTAGCGGAGCGACTATCGTGCAAGGACTGCACGCACTGATACGCGACGGATCCTCGACTGTTTCCCTCCATGTCCTGGTCTCCGCGTCTTCTTGCTTGCGTAGCTCATCCCGCAATCGATCTAACGAGTGACGTGCGGCGGGCAAGCGGTCGAGGTTCGCGTTGTACATGATGACCCATCTGTGCGTCGTCAGTTACAACGCCCCTCACGCAAGTCCAGTCGCGGATGCTCACCGTTTGTGGCGCCTCACCAGGGCGTCCTTGCTGCCATGCGTAGAAAGACTCCACTCCGCCAGCATCTCCACAATACGCTTTTGCGGGTGAATATCGTACGCGACCTTTGGTAGAGGTTCGGATGCTTCGTCGAGCTCCGGCGATGCACTGTTCGACCAGTCATATTGAACGCAAGCGAACACACAAGTAAACGTACCAGCCTTCCCCTTACCCCTGTCTCGGGACTTTGGAGGGTGCGCGCCGGCACCTGCACCGAAGAGTTTTGACCACTGTTGCTTCTGCTTGCTCTTAGCTTTTATAGGCACAACAGCGGTGCTGGCTGAACCTTCTGATAGGTATCGCTTGCAATTACTGTCGATGTGAATGTTGATGCTCTGGGAGGGCACATCCTTCTGACATATCGGACACGGTACGGTGTCTACGATCGTGCGCGTAGCACACGGCGTGAAACGTGCGAGCTGAAGTCTCACCTGGCATGATTTCGGGAGTAGACGAGCCTGACGGCATAGGGCTCGAGCGGAGGGTACAAGTTCGACTTCGTTGTCTGAACGGACCGGGGACACCTTGCGTCTACGCTTCTGTCCTGCGCGTGTACCGTCATCCGAACCGGTTCGTGCAGATCTTGAGGAAATCACGGTTCGCGCCTTGCGAGCCTCTCGTCACGTAGCAGACGCAGGATGAGAGGTCTGCCGCGCCCACCGTTCAATGAGAAGTGATTAATGCACCGGACAGACTCAAAGACGCACCGCGCCAGTTTCCAGGCGTCAATCGCATTCCCCATCGCCACATCCTTGCGCAAATGCATCTCCGACCCGGGCTTGCGACATGACGGACAGGTTGCCTGCTCCGAGAGGGCGGCACGGATGCACTGTCCACGGAGAGGGGCGGTGTGGGCGTCTGGACGAGAGCGCATGAACAAGGACCACTCACGCACCGCAGAGCAGAAACAGTGCCCGCAGTTGAGAGTGACGGGCGCGTCGTAGAAGTCTCTGCATATGCTGCATCGGACTGCGTCGTCGAACTGTCGCAGACCGGGGATGACTGAGGCGTCCGGGAAGTCGGTCGCGTCGGTGATATCTAGGCTCAGAAGGCTTTGCAAGTTCGTCATGCCACAGAGACGGGGAGAAGGGTCGCGCGTAAGAGAGGGGGGGTTGAGAGCTGGATGGTTGACTCGGAAGACGGCAGCTGGCTGGGGACTTGGAGTCGGGCGCGTTCGGTCCCGCGACGCGTTACATCCGTGACATTACGCGTCATGGCACGTGAAGCCGTTTTGAGAGCACGTGCCGCGTCCAATCCAGTGCGCGCTTCAACACAGACTCACAGGCATGAAGTTACACCCGAACATTCACCATCCTTCATGCCGGTATGCTTCCCACTTCATCTCAGATACAAGCAAGAGCGATTACCGTTTTCTTGAACATAGGTTTTTGTCCTCTTGAGGTAATAGGAGTTCGACAATAGGGCCCAAACTTGACTCCTAGTCAGAGCGGCGTGCACACGCTCATCAAACCCGCGATACGGACATCTCGTTATTTTATAGACACCAACGTTTACAGCGCTCGACATGGCTACCTCCCGTGCCTTGAGCAGCCTGGATATCGTGGAACTTGTCATGGATCAGCTGTGCGGAACATGCGCCAGCTCCCCGCCGAAAAGAAACTTCAAAACCCTGGCCGCGATGGCACGGGTCTCCAAGGCACACAGTTCTATTGCGCTCGCTCGTCTGTGGCATTCACTCAGAGACCTGGAACCTTTACTCCTATTATTGTCCTCGCGCAAAAGAGACCGACAAATGGTAAGCCCCTGTACCACTGGCGGCACCAAAGCCGAAGTTCACTGGACCTATGTTTCAGCGTGGATTGTGCACAGATCCAACAGATGAAGAATGGATGCGCTTCGACCTCTATGCCAGATATATTCGACGCGTCGAGAGTATTGGCCCAGGAGACCACGACGACTTGGTGGACTGGGGACAGTTCTTTCCACGCTACAACCGTGATACGCCAATCCTTCCTCGTCTCGTCCATCTTGGCGTCCTCAACATCTATCTCCCCTTCCCAATCATATCAGCCCTGTTCCCACATACTCTCGAGAGTGTCTGTCTCTCAGGGTATTCCGGCTCGCTGGGAACATCCGGGTTTAGGTACCCATTGCGCAACGCACTGGCTACACTCTCCGCGACTGCATGCAATATCAGGAAGATCCGTGTTGCATACTTTGGTAAACCCATCGGCGAGCAGCTGAAGCCTCTGCAGAAATTCAAGTCGCTGAACAAGCTGGACATCGGGTGCTCGGACAGCATCAAGGATTTGGTGACGCTCGGTCCCATCGCGAGTCTCCGCTGCCTCTCCCTCACAGGCTTTCACTTCCCTCTCGACCTCGACTACCACATCTTTGGTGACCGGTTCCAGAGCCTGGAATACCTCACCATTGATGCCGATGCTACGACAATTGGTGGTGTGGCAAGGTTCATACAAGCCGTATCTTTTCCCCACCTGCGCCGCTTTGATGTCAAGGTTGAGGTGGAGTCTTCCCCAGAGCATCCAGATCTCCCCAACTTTCACCTGCACATCGCCAAACACATCTTTGACGTCTTCGCACCTATGCCTTCAACTATACAGCACGTTTCCTGCTCATTATTTACCATCGAGCACCCTCAACTGACCACTACGATCAATATTCACCCCTGCTTCGTCAAACCGATACTCCATCTGCGCAACCTCACGTCTGTCAAGATCGGCTGCGAAACCCAATACACAGCGTACACCCTTGACGACGCTTCTCTGGCTGCCATGGCCGCCGCCTGGCCGCTCCTCCAAACACTCGAGATATCCCCGTCGAGCGAAATCACTTCGGAGAACTGGCACCCGTCCGCTGTGCAACCGACCGTCCGCGGGCTCGCGGTCTTCGCGGAGCGCTGTCCTTCTCTGAAGACGCTGCTCATCAAGACGCTCATCGAGGTCGACAACCTACCCTCGACCGTCGCCGATATGCCACCTCCGTCGGGGCATCGACTCAAGCGCCTCGTCGTCGGTCTCGATAGGGAGCAGTACGACGACGCCACGTGTCTGCGTCTCGCGCTGTACGTCGACGCGTTGTTTCCGAACATTCAAGACTTGCCGCACCCTCTACGCGCCGGGCCGCTGACTTGGTGGGAGTACCAGTCACGCGTTTCGAACCCGTTTGGAGTAGAGGTCAGCAATATGCTCTTCGCGATTCACCTCGGGAGAAGGAGCGCGGAGACGGGGCGTGCGAAACATGTGGCGGCCGAGTAGTGAGGATGTCTTCCGCCGTGACCGATAGTTTGCCCTCTCCTTGGAAAGGTCTGTTCTACAAAAGACATGTGACATTATTTTGGGTCCTCTCGACCGGCATCTTACCATTACTTCCAGGCGCATGCGCACACAAATACGTATTTTCAAAAGGAACATGCCGTCAATCAACGACAACTCGCCCGGCCCCTCCTGAAAACTCCCAAGATATCGACGAGACGCACTCTGTCTCCTTCTCGAGAAAACTAGCTCCCGATCGTCATGTGTTCTACCGTTCACGCACCGGGTGTTCGTCGGTTCCGACCGATGGCCACCTCCTTCCGACTATCTCACACAGCTGGTATAACATCACATCCAAGCACATCTACTGTACTCGTTCACTCCCGTCCCTCATATGGACCGTGTGTGGCAACAAGAGCCTAGGCCGCGTGGAGGCATACTTCCTGCGGCGTAATTAAGCAGATGGTCGAACAAGTATTGGCACGAGGGACGACGTATCGCTGTCGTCTACCCTCTGGTACAAGCCTCCCATTCAGGCAGACAGACCAGACAGTCTTCGATGGGATGTCCGGCATCCCTGCTGACACGCCCGGTTCAGCCGACACTGAGTCGCGCCGCGATGGTTCACAGAGCACAAACACGCGCGAAGACGCGATGCAACTAAAATGCCGCCGCAAGCAGCGCCTGCTAGTATTGATAGTAATACACCCATCGAGTTCGGCTCGGATACATAAGGCACGATATGATACACGCGAAAGAAATACAGCGCACGCCCGCGCCAGACTCGGCACCGACGCTCAACGCCCGGGGCCGCACGCGCTCACGAGCTCACGCGTTGCGCGGGAGGCCGAGCCCCAGCCGCCGCAGCGAGAACCGCTTCCGGAGGGACTTGCTCTCCTTCTCCTCCTTCGCCACCTTCTCCACCGACGCGGGCGCGGGAGCAGGCGCGGGAACGGGCTTCTCCGACGCGCGCAGGGCCTCCCCGCTCGCCTTCCGGCCGCCCGTGCGGCTCAGCAGGCGGCGGATCGTGCCCCGGCGCGACGCGCCGCCCTCCCGCTCCTTCCCCACCTCCGCCTCAGCGCCCGCGACCGGCGCGAGCAGGTCCGGGGCCGAGTCCGTCGCGGCGCGCGCGTGCGCGGTTGCCGTCGCCGGCGTCGGTGTGCGCGCGAGGGGCAGCGAGAGCCGGCGCCACCGGCCGCTGCTCGTCTTGGAGCGCGCGAGCTTCGGCGCGTCGGCGGCGTCGGTGTCGGCATCGCCGGGGAACGGCGTGGTGGGCGCGGTGGGCGAGGGGAGGATGGGCACGGGCGGGAGGGAGATCGCGGGGGAGGGGTGCGTGGGGGAGGAGGTGTCGACCATCTTGACGAGCTGCACCTTGGGGAGGACGAGCGGGACGAGCGGGAGGGAGAGGCTGTCGGCGTCCGAGTCGGAGGAGGGCGCGTCCTCGGCGTGCTTGGCGTGCTCGTGGTCGGGCTCGCAGAGCGTCACGTCCGCGTCCTCGGCGTCGTCGGAGGCGGGGGCGAGCGGGAGGTCGGTCTTGAACGGGGACGCGGGGGTCTCGGGGCGCTCCGAGTCCTCGCTCTCGCTATCGCTCTCGGGGTCCTCTGCGGGTGCTGGGGTGGGGGCGGGCTCGGGGGCGGGGGCGGAGGACGACGCGGAAGGGGACATCGCGAGCTTCGGGGGGAGGGCGACTGGCACGTCGTGCACGGACGCAGCGGAGGAGGGGGAGGGAGCGGAGGAGGAAGAGTGCGCGGCGATGACCGCGACCTGTCCCGCGCCGAGGCGGACGAGCGCGGCGGAGAGCAGCGGGTGGACGTAGTAGTACGCGTAGCGGTAGCTCGAGAGGAGCGCTTCGCGCGGGTACGTCCGTCGCGGTGTGGCTAGCTCCGCAGAGACGATCGACTGGCCTGTGTGCGCTGCGGTGTTATTATCGCACATGCTCGGTGAGCGAGCGAAGGAACGTACCAGGAAGGAGAGGCTGTCTTCCGGTGCCGGCAGAAGTAGCTAGGCAATACAAACGGCGAAGAGATGAAGGTTGGAGGTCAAATGACGGGCGCGTTCTCGGCCGGAGAGCCTGCTCGATCTCGATCAGTATTGCGCTGGCGTTATAAACCTGGCTAGATTGCTCACCGAAGTAGAAGTGGAAGTATTTGAGGGGCGGGCGTCCTCAGAGTCACCAAGTGCAAAGCCCGCGCGGCGCAGAATGATTGAGAGCGCGTACGCGACCGCGGCGACACTCGACCAGAACGCAAGGCGCGAGGAGACGACGACGAGGCTCCGTGCAGATGATGCGGCGCGCAGGGACATGGTCGTCGCGATCCGGAAGGGGGTGAGCACGTACGAGAGCGCTGTGGAGCCGGCGAGGTGGAGCCGTGCGTAGGCGTAGTGCACACACGGGGCGAGGAGGCGGAGGAAAGACGGGGTGAGTTCGACGGGCATGGCGTCAAGTATGATAGGATGGAGGAGGTGGTGTGGGGAGTTGAGGGGGGCGGGGAACAATATTTAGGAGATCTAGAGCGAAAGGCAAGGGTGGGAAACGGTCGCCCTTCGAGATGAGGGGCGAGGGCGAAGGAGAATATGGGCAGGGGGGGCAGAGCCAAAGCAAAGGGGAGCGTAATGCGGAAAAGCAAGGTGCGGAGTGGGGCACGGAGCGTGTTATATGTGCGCGCACACAGGCGTGCGGGGCGCGCAAGGCGAATGAAAAGCATGGCCACCGCGCTGCGCTACGACATGGCCGCGACCCGGGACCACAGCCGGGGCGAGCGTGGCCGGAAAAGAGAGCGAGGATTAGGCCACGTTTGATGCGTGCTTGCTGTCGGGGCCCGTCAGCACGTCGTTCAAGTGCGTTTGCACGTACGGGGGGAGGCGGGACCGGGACTGGGACGGCGGGAGCGAGACAGAGGGCGAGCGCTCGTGCATCGCCCGGCACGCGGAAGCCTCGCGTCAAACTGCGCGCGGGATCAGGGGTGGCTCACCGCGGGCACGCTGCAAGGACGCGCCGGGATGGATGACGCTTCCGCGATCTTCCAGCGCGGAGGCGGTCACTTGGAATGGTCCCTGGGAGTCGCACACGAGATGGAAGGCAGTGTGCGAGGGCAAGAACAGCGTTCGTCTCTCTACCCGAGGAGGCGTCCATGCTTGCTCATCGTTCTCGCGCCCTCGGGAGCTGGCGGAGATGAATGCCGGGCCAACGTCGCGTGGAGGAGGCGGTGAGCTGGCCCGGAATCACAGGGAGCGACTTGTGTTGGTTGGAGCTGATCGGTGTCGAGAGACTGGACCACGTCTTCGCGCTTTGCATGCGAACGTTCAGCTCAAGGCCCAGTCGCACGCCATCCTTTCTCGAGACCATCGCCACCGCCGCCTGAGCTAGGCCTGAACACACTCGCCAGTGCGCACCCAACCACCACCCACCCGCCCAGAGCGCCGCCCCCGTGAACGGTGAATTCACATGTCCCGCCGCCCGCCGACGGAGCACCCGTTTTGAGCCCGCCCCCGCTCCTGTCCCGCTCTCCGCCTATCCACCCAGCCTTCGCCGGTCCTCCCCTGCCACCCAGCCCTCAAATACAACATGCATCCACCCGATCTCGCCTTGTTTTCCCTTCCTCCTTCCCTCCATATCTCCCCGCGCCCTCTGCCTACGCCCGCTTAACCCCTTCGTACGCCCGCAGTTCCCGTACACACCTCATAAACCCCGCCCCGCACCGGTGCGTGCGCGCGGCCCGGACCCGACTCTGTCCACCGTTTGCTTCAGTCGCTGACCTTTTCTCCGTGCCCACCATGTCAGCCCCTCCGCCACGCTCCCCGCCTCCTCGGGTCCTCGAGAGCACTACCCCCAAACTCTCACCTTGCAAGTCTTCCCCGGCCACGCTTCCTTGAACGATGTCGCGCGCGGCTGAGAAGAAGCCTGTTGGGTTCGCGACCCAGCTCATCGCGGGAGGTACCGCCGGGGCTATGGAAGCTGTCCGTCCTCTCTCTCCTCTTTGGCTTCGGTGTGCTTCAGGCCTAATGCCGTCCCCGCGCGCACACAGCTATGCTGCCAACCGCTCGACACCATCAAAGTGCGCATGCAGCTCTCCAAGTCCGGCACGGCCCCAGGGGTGAGTGCTCACTTCTCTGTCGCTCCCGATCCCCTCGCCTGTGTCGCGACACTCATCTCGGCCGTGCCCGCTCCCCAGACGAAGCCGCGCGGGTTTATCGCGACAGGGGCGATGATCGTCCGCCGCGAGACCCCGCTCGCGCTCTACAAGGGCCTCGGCGCGGTCCTGTCCGGGATCGTGCCCAAGATGGCGATCCGCTTCGCGAGCTTCGAGCGGTACAAGGGGTGGCTCGCGGACAAGCACACGGGCAAGACGAGCGTCGGGAACATCTTCGTCGGTACGCGGCCCCCGCGCACGATCCGCGACTCCCCCACCTGACTCTCCCCTCTCGCCCGTCCGGATCCCAGCTGGCCTTGGGGCAGGCGTGACGGAGGCCGTGATGGTCGTGAACCCGATGGAGGTCGTGAAGATCCGCCTGCAGGCGCAGCAGCACTCGCTCGCGGACCCGCTCGAGGTCCCGCGCTACCGCAACGCCGGCCACGCCGTGTACTCGATCGTGCGCGAGGAGGGCTTCGCGGCCCTCTACCGCGGCGTCTCGCTCACCGCGCTCCGGCAGGCGACCAACCAGGGTCCGTCCCGCTCTCGCCTTGCCCTCCCCCCGGCTGACCGCACACGCCCGCAGGCGCGAACTTCACCGCGTACCAGGAGCTGAAGAAGCTCGCGCACAACCTCCAGCCCGAGCGCGCGGACCTGCCCTCGTACCAGCACATGCTCATCGGGCTCGTGTCGGGCGCGATGGGCCCCTTCTCGAACGCGCCGATCGACACCATCAAGACGCGCCTGCAGAAGGCGCCGGGGGCGCCCGGCCAGAGCGCGGCGCAGCGGATCGCGGCGATCGCGCGGGAGATGGTCCGCCAGGAGGGCGTGCGCGCGTTCTACAAGGGCATCACCCCGCGCGTGCTCCGCGTCGCGCCGGGCCAGGCCGTCGTCTTCGCCGTGTACGAGCGCGTGCGGAGGGCGATGGAGACGATGCAGGGGAGCTCCGAGGACAGGACGTTCAGCGAGTGAGGCAGCGGGGGCTGCTGCGTGTACTATTCGAGGGGCCGCGTGCCATGTGTATCGCTACAATCTACATGTTTGTGTGCTGAAGGGTTGAAGTGGGAAGGGGTGGATGATTAGGGTCGCTCAGCGCAAGCGTAAGGGACAGGTATCTAGTCGTTAGCGTAAAGCATAGAGCCTGTAGCACTGCACTATCCCCTGTATTCGGGTGGGTCCTTGAGCTGGTGGTAAAGGGGTAAACGCGATTAGTACGGAACGAAAGAATCTGGAGACACCATGTCCGTACACGAGAACCCCACGCCCGCTCACTGCGGCGCCGCGCTCTCCACCGCCGCGCGCCGTCTGCCCAGCTGTATCGCATAGAGGATGGCCCTGACGCCCGGCCCGAACGGCGACGACACGTCTCCGCACCGCGCTCGGTGCCACATCTCGCTGGGCAGCCCCGGCGGCAGCACGCCCTGGAGGTGCGGGAACAGCGCGTCGACGTACGCCGCCAGACGGACCCGCACGCCCTCGTCGTACTTGTCGCGCCACAGCCCGACGACGAGGCGCCGCAGTCGGTGCCCCGACGGGGGCGGCACGTCGGCCGCCGCCGCCGGCAGGCCGGCGAGGCTGACGCGGGTCCGGAGCACGAGCGTCCTCAGCGCGGGGGAGCGCGCGGCGAAGACCGCCAGCGCGACCACGGTGGGCGTCGCGGCGGCGGGGGACCAGTTGTTCGTCGCGGCTTGGGAGTCGTCGGAGGAGATGTCGAGGGTTCGGAGGTGCGGCCAGGCGGCGGCCATGGCGGCGAGGGAGGCGTCGTCGAGCGCTGAGGTGGGGGGCAGGCCGCGGTTGTTGATCTCGACGCTCGTGAGGTCTCGCAGGTGTAGAGTCGGTGCGACGAAGCAGGGATGGACCGTGAGGAGCCCGGTTTGCTCGCGGCTGCTCAAGGTGAACGTCATAGATATGTTCTGGAGAGTGGTGGGCACGTGCGCGAGGATGCGTGGCATGGACCCGGCGATGTGTGCGTTGATAGAGGAGGAGTCTTGTGGTGTGGTGGGGAGTGTGTCGAAGCCGGCGAGTCCTATGTGCAGATAGGAAAGAGGGGGGGATACGACTTGCATGAACGTCGCGAGACCCGCAAAGGCGTCAAGGTTGACTGTGACACTGAGATATTCGAGGTTCTGGAACTGTTCTCCGAATATGCGATAATCAAATTGGGCAGGGAATCGAAACCTCTCGAGCGAGAGGTGACGGATGTTTGCCGTATTCCTGAGCGTCGCCAAGAACTCGGCGCTGAAACTCCCGTCTTCGGATTCACACTCGATGTTCAGCTCCTTCAACGATTTCAGCGTTTCGAGAGGAGCCAGAGTTTCGCCCGCGATGGCCTTGTAATTGATAGTCAGCTTCTGGACGTTCAGTGCGGTTGCCGAGAGGGTGATGACCGTGTCGAGACAGGGTCTGGGCCCACCATGAACGATGCGCACTTGCTGTAGATTTGGTGGGAGCAAGTCCGAGACGATGTGGTCGGGGAGAGAGATGTCCAAGTGGTCGATACAAACCACGTGGGGAAGAATGGGCTTGTCGCGACTGTAGCGAGAAAGAAAAAAGTCCCAGTCCACGCCATTCATGAGCAGCCGAAGGATGATCTCGACCCGTCGGACGTATTTGGAGTAGGAATCGAAGCGGGCCCAGTCTGCGTCTGATGGTTTTTCGTGCAGGTAAGACTGGGCATCGAGCGTCAGCTGCGTATCTAGTGCCGTGTTGGGCTGCTTCACCTACCCTTGCAGAGCCCCGCTCTTGAGACTCGGGCGCAAGGACAAAGATCAGAGGGCTGAGGTCTGCGATGGTGTGCCACAGGCGAGCCAGCGCGAGAGGACTGAACGCCTTGGAGACGCGGGCCATTATGGCGAGGGCGTTGCGATCATAACTGATCGGGGGAAAGGATGACAGAGAACCCAAGGGGAACAGCTGGTCCATGACGAGCTCTACGATGTGTGTGGTGCCAAGGGCACGAGAGGTGGGAGTTTGAATGTCGGTTGGTTTCGGTTGAACATCCATAGTGGTCTGCCGGGTATCGATGAGTTAATGACCCATGGGCACTCGTCATGGCGAGAAAAGGTCTTACCAACTCGGCATCAGCCCCTCTACTACCCTCGGCCATATCAGTCGCAAGATTCTAGTTCTGCAGCGTCGAGGCGGAGATTGCTGGGGACTGGGATGAAGAGAGAGTCGTTTGCCGCAAGGCGCACGCTGTTGTGATTCCGTAGTCATCGTTGTAAGCGCCGAGTGTCTCACTCCTGGCGGGAAACCACGTGGGCTGACGCGGCGTCACTACGGGGGCGAATCACCGTTTTCAACTTTCTTCGAACTGTCCACGATGCCCTAGCATGATCGATTGATCCACGCTACACGGGGGGGGGGGGGTGATATCTAGGAGCAAGAGAGGCATCTGGGAGAGAGCTGCGCACCGTGTTCAGCTGTTGCATACGCACGCCGCAATGTCGACAGAACAGAGCTCACCTGTATGTAGTACGTACATGCTCTCATCGCCGGCAGCTTTCACCATAACGTCCGCCACCAAATGCCGTGCGTGTTTACCCTGCAGTGCTTCTGTGTCGCTTCGCCGTCCTTCTGCTCATATGGATCGCGGCGAGAGTGCTCGTGACCCCAGCCCCAGAGACGAGCGGTTTCGGCTCGGCTCCCCCTCCCAACCCAAAGATCTGAAAGGTTCCATCTGGGCGCACAGGGTGGGACGGGCCCTCGAAGTTCGGGAACAGCGCGTCCACGTACAACGCGAGGCGGGAGCGCGTCTCCTCGTCGTACTCGTATCCTCGGAGACCGACCTCGAGGTGCCGAAGGGCGTGTGTCGATGGGGGTGGCATTCCGTCCGTGGTGCTCGGCAGGTTGGTGAGCTGGAAGCGGGTGCCGAGGACGAGGGTCTTGAGCGAGGGACAGCGCTCCGCGAAGATCGCGAGCGCGCGGACGGTGGGACAGCCGGCGGCCGGCGGCCACTGTGAGAACGGCCTGTGGCGCTTTGCTATCTCGAGAGTCTGTAGGAGCGGCCAGGCGGCGGCCATAGCTGACAGGGTGGCGTCGTCGATGGCCAGCGCAAACGCATTTCGGGATCCGATCGCGAGTCACGACTGTGGTGAGCCCGTGCAGGTGTAGTGCCGGCTCGACGACGCAGGGTCGAAGCTTGATTGTGTCCATCAGCTGCCAGGGGTTCAGCGTATGAAACTTCCAGGAGAGGTGGTGGAGAGTCGGAGGTACGGGCGCGAGCAAGCCAGACATGTGTTCGGCGAGGCTGGTGTGTAACATGTCGGACTCCTCAGCTTGCCAGGGGAAGCGATCTAGGAAAAATACTTGCAAGCGGTGGAGAGGAGGGGACAACACTCGCCTGAATGTCGCCAGACCACCAGCGTGTCCAATTTCTGCAAATACTTCAAGGCCCTCGACGTTCTGAAATTGTCCTTGAAAGAGGTTGTAGTCAACGTCCGTCGGGAAACGAAGTCAGGTGAGGGCGAGACGGCGGAGAGAGGACATGCATCTGAGTGGGGCTAAAACTTCAATACTGGCGTGTCCTTCGATAGAGAGATCGCTCAGGAAATCGAGGGTCTGTAGAGGTGCCAGCTGCTCTCTTGTGATGTGTTCATAGCTGATTTCCACCTTTCGAGTGCCACACGCAGTTGCAGAGAGCGCTGACAATGCGTTGAACACGGCGTTTCGAAACTTGGGTGGCCCGAAAGTCGCGGAACCAGGATCGAAGAGACCAACTTTTCTCAGAGTCGGCGGAAGAAGGGCCGCCACGATGGGGAAAGGGAGTGTAGAGAAGGGGAGAAGGTCGAGACGGATGAGGTGAGGAAGGATGGGCTTGTCGGGGCCATAGCGTGGAAGAAAGAAGTCCCAGTCTATTTTTTTTCTACGCTATTGACAACCCTCCCTACGTGTTTGACGTGGCTGGCATAGAGATCGAAGCGTGCCCAGGCTTCATTCGGCGGGTCTTCATCCAGGCGCTATTTCAACATATGTCCTAGTGAGCGACGTGATGGTACCGCGACCGCCAAGCGTCTGACTCACCCATTGATGACGATTCTCAGGACACGGGGCCAGAAGGGAGAGCAGTGGATCCAGGTCAGCAATTGAGCGCCACATATGAGAGAGGGCAGCAGAATTGAGCGCCTTAGATACACATGCCATTGCAACGATGGACCCTCGACCACGATGTGTAGGAGGGACCTTGAACGGTGACCTCGACTCGTGAGTCTGGTCCATGATGAGCTCCAGAAGGTCTGGGCATCCGAGGACACGAGCTGCGGATGACTCGGGGCCCACGAATGTCTTCGTGGTGGGCTGTGTAAACGTGACAGTGCTTGGTGTGAGAGCTGTGGCGACACGAATCCCGAGGAGACCATGCCTACCGCTGCACGAGAAATGCGCTGGTTGAGTGGATCGGCCTGAGAAACAGCCATGATCAGGTGGTGGTCGGGGAGAGAGTGCATTAGGCGCCGTGGCGCTGCCACACCTCTCACTGTGACATAATCCTCTCCTCGTACGTTAACGCTCGTGCGCCCTTGCACGCATATATTCTAAAAACACTCATATCCCACTGTCGTACAGGTAGGAAAACCGCCGAAAAAGCCGGGTTTACAATATACCTCTGGTGTTTGTAGGAGATTCGGGACTCTGGCGAACGGCAGCTGGCTACACGACGACTAAACACAGGCACGATATGCTCGCGCGCGAGCTTGGGATACGCTGACAGGAGGGCGTGCGAGTCTTCGCCGTCTGCGAGCGCGTGCGGAGGGCGATGGAGATGCAGGGGAGCTCCGAGGACAGGACAGATCATCGAACCTGTGGCATCGCCCTGGGTAGTAGGTAGTAGAGGGGTAAACGCGATTAGTACGGAACAGGAGCATCTGGAGACGTTCGTACGAGCTGAAGGGCCCATGAGAAGCCCGCGCGTCCTCATTGCGACGCCGCGCATCCCATCGCCGTGCGCCTTCTGCCCAGCTGTATCGCAAAAATGACGGCCGCGACGTCTGGTCCGAACGGACACGACAAATTTTGGAGCCCTCTGCGCGACAACACTCGGTGGGCTATCAGGGGCGGCGGCACGCCCCGGAGGTTCGGGAACAGCGCGTCGACGTACGACCCCAGACGGAACCGCGTGCCCTCGTCGTACTTGTCGTCCCACAGCCCGACCACGAGGCGCTGTAGTCGGTGCCCCGACGGGGGCGGCACGTCGGCCATCGTCGCCGGCAGGCCGGTGAGCTCGACGCGGGTCCGGAGCACGAGCGTCCTCAGCGCGGGGGAGCGCGCGGCGAAGACCGCCAGCGCGGCCACGGTGGGCGTCGCGGCGGCGGGAGACCACCGCTCCGCCGCGGATTCTGAGTTGCTGGATGAGATGACCAAGGTTTGGAGGTGTGGCCAAGCGGCAGCCATGGCGGCGAGGGAGGCGTCGTCGAGCGCTGACGTGGGGGGTAGGCAGGGATTATTTATCTCGACGGTCGTGAGGTGCCGTAGACGTAGAGTTGGTTCGACGAAGCAGGGATGGACCATGAAAATCCTGATTCGCATGCGGTGGTCCGAGTCGAACGTCATAGATATGTTCTGGAGAGTGGTGGGGACATGCGCAAGGATACGTGGCATGTACCTGGCGATTTGTGCATTGATAGAGGTGGAGTCTTGGGGTGGAGTCAGGAGCGTGTTAAAGCTGGCAATTTCTATGTGCAGAGAGAGAAGAGGGGGGGATACGACTTGCATGAACGTCACGAGACCAAAACAGGCGTCGAGGTCGACTGTGACGCTAAGATGTTCGAGGTTCTGGAACTGCTCTCCGAATATGCGATAGTCAAATTGGGCAGGAAATCGAAGTCTTTTGAGTGAGAGGTGACGGATGTTTGCCGTATTCCTGAGCGTCGCCAAGATCTCGACGCTGAAAATCTCGCCTTCGGGTTCACACTCAATTTTCAGCTCCGTCAACGATTTCAGCGTTTCGAGAGGGGCTAGAGTTTCGCCCGCAATGGTCTTGTAAATTATAGTCAGCTTCTGAACGTCGAGTGCGGTTGCCGTGAGAGTGAGAAGCGCGTTGAGACAGGGATGAGATCTGGGAGAGTCGGGCCCATTATGAGCGATGCACACTTGCTGTAGAGTTGATGGGAGCAAGGCCGAGACGATGTGGTCGGGGAGAGAGATGTCCAAGTGGTCGATACGAACCACGCGGGGGAAAATAGGCTTGTCGCGACTGTAGCGTGGAAGAAACAAGTCCCAGTCCACGCCATCTAGGAGCAGCCGCAGGATGACCTCAACCCGTCGGACGTATTTGGAGTAGGAATCGAAGCGGGCCCAGTCTGCGTCTGATGGCTCCTCGTATAAGTAAGGCTGGGCCGCATTGAGAGTCAGCTGTGTATCTAGTGCTGTGTTGGGCTGCTTCACCTACCCATCCAGAGTACCGCGGTTGAGCGGGTGAAAGGAGAAGTATCAGAGGCTTGAGGTTTGCGATGGTGTGCCACAGGCGAGCCAGCGCGAGAGGACTGAACGCCTTTGAGACGCGGGCTATTGCGGCGAGGGCGTCGCGATCACTAGGGAGGGGAGCGAATGACAGAGAACCCATGGAGAACAGCTGGTCCATGATGAGCTCGACGATGTCTGTGCTGCCGAGGGCACGAGAAGTGGGAGTTTGAACGTCGGTTGGTTTCGGCTGAACATCCATGGTGGTCTGCCGGATATCGATAAGTTGATGGGCACTCGTTGTGACGAGAAAGTTCTTACCAGCTTAGCAGCAGCCCCGCCTAATACCCTCAGCTATAGCAGTCGCCAGATGCTGAAGCTGCAGTGTCGGAGCGGGGATTAGGGACTGAGATAAAGGGGGTAGGCAAGGTTGCTTGCGAGTCGTTTGGCAATTGGCCGCAGACTGCAGCGCTAGTCAACGGTGTAAGCGCCGAGTGCCTGTGACGCGGCGTTACGGCGCGAATCGCCGTCTTCAAGGCTTCAAGCGTACATCCTGACGATGCCCTAACGTGTTCCATGCCACACCAAAGGACTCAGCAATGGCCCCTATTAACGGAACTTGGCACAATAACTTCTGGACTTGCCGTAGCGGTCACTCACTGGTGAGTATAAAAGTATCGATATCTCGATTCTCAACGTATTCCTCAGCCCTGACGCTTGCGCCCGGTCGCGCGCACGTATTGCAAGGAATATTATTGCCCGATCATACAGAAGGAAAAACGGCGCTGCCGCCGAGTCTGCTGGATACGTCTGATGGTAGCACTATAAGTCTAGGAAGTGAAGCAGGGATGCGAGTACTCATAATCGCCTCACGGGATCTCCACGATCTGTCTGAAGCGTGCAAAAATCTCCGAGACCTTCAGTCCGGACTTCAGCATGGCTTTCATGCTGGGACTGAGGTTTGTGTCCCAGCTCCAGTCTGGAACATGCTCGAATATCCACCTTTTCCCGTTCGGTCGCATTCTACCAAAGATGGGTAGCCCCATCCGAGAATTCCTCGGTGGGTGCACCACCGCCGGATCCCTATCCGTACCCCCAATGATGTACGTGTAGAGCGACAGAACATCTCCCAGGACCAACGCATCCTGCCCAGAAAGCTGCGGCTCGCGCCCGTCCGCGCCCGGGCGCAAGCGGTAGACGGGATACGCATGGAAGACGATCTGGCGGAGGCTCTCAGCCCAGAGGACGACCGGGAAGTATCCAGCGACGGCCGCCGCGTGCGACCTGTTCCGCCTCGCAGCCGCAGCCGCGGCGAACGCGTCTCGGCGCAGGTCCTGGACGCGGCCCCACAAGGCGCGGTCCCAGCGCAGCCCCTTGTAGTGGTCGTACGGGTGGTTGCTGAACGAGTGGGTCTCCACCCGGAACTTCGCCGCGGGGAACTCGGTGCGGGGCGTCCGGAGGGTGAGGGAGTAGTAGAACTCGGGCGCGAACATCCGCTCCAGCGGCGTCTCGGTCGGGCCGCGGGAGAGGTGCACGGCGGCGTTGCAGGCCATCGTGATCGCGAAGCGGTTGAGCTCCGCCCAGTCGCGCATCGCGGCGGCGACGGCGGCCGGGCAGCTGTAGCCTGCGCCGGCGTCGTCGCAGAGCGCGCGCGCGCTCGGCAGCCGCGGGACGCAGGCGGTCCTGGGCGCGATGAGATCCTGCGTGCCACTCGGGTGGTGCGGTGGACTCACTTGTGGAAGGGCCAGTTCGCCTTGTGGCACTCGGGGCTGCAGTACTTGGCTACGTTGCACGCGCCGCAGTTCTTGAGTTCGCGGCGACCGGGGATGTATCCGCACTGCGTGCATCGATCTCGCGGGGCGACGAAGCCATCGAGAGCGATGACGTCGACGCTTCCACGGGGCACGACAGCCGCGAGGAATGGGCGTCCACCGGATTCCCAGGGGTCTGTATGAGTGGCCATCGTCGCCGGAGTGCTGTGTCTGAAGTAGAGAGATGGCGGTGTGGAGGGGCTGGTCAAGAGAGAGATCCGGAAGAACATCAGCAAAATGGGTGCATGCACGACAGGGCTCTGTAGTACACTGTAGTATGTCAGATAGCGCTATCATTATTTGTAGTTCAGACGAGCAATGATCCGATAGTATCCATGTTTGGTAGATTAACGGCGGCGACGATCGGCATTCATCTGCATCTGTCGGACAAGACGCCTTCCGATCGGGCATGGTCAGACGCCAGTGAACGTCAGATCGAATCCCGGTGTGTGTATGATCATTAGCTGACCCATGCATGATCTAACATCATCCGCGCAGCCGCTATACTACAGTGCATGTTTGACCCGACAAAGACCTGTCGAGTGCGATCAGACACGGGTGTTGACGTCCATTACGGACCAAATGACGGGTCACAGGATGCCTGGTGCGGTACAATCCACTGACATCATGCACGCACTTATAGCAGGTGTGCAGCACAAACCATTGTATTGCTACTTTATATCGAGTAAGGTACATACTACACATTGAAGAGAGCGACAAGAATATGTTGAATGTTATGCTAACAATGCGTAGTCACCGTGTCAGCGGAATTAAGACCGACTCTCTGTGCTCATACAGCGGCTGGCAGGCAGGCCGGCGGAGGTCGTGGTCGAGCACGTGAAGCTGGTATGCCGCATGGGTCTGTGTCCTGTGGGTTCCGTTCTTAGGGACTAAGAGGAGCGCGGCGAAGAAGCTGAACTTAACGCTGAAAACTTGGCGTCAGCGTCGGGGCTTGGGATTCGGCGCGAGGGCGAGGGAATTCAAGACGTACTTCCGGCCTCAGGTGCCTTGGGGCGTCCAGGTGCCGAGTAGCGGAGGGACGGTCGGCACGATGTTGGGTTCAAGTGGGAAATGGTGAGCGCGGGGCGGGCGGAGGAGGAGTGGGATGGTACGAACACTGACAACCAGCGCAGTCACTTGTGACATGCTGACGTCGCGCTGCGCTGAGCTGCGCGTGGGCGACGCGCTCGGTGGCCTCGAACCCGGGGTTATTCCAGTGGACGGCGCGGACGGAGAGGCCGAAGCCAGTGAAGGGACACGGCAACCGGGGGAGGTGGATGCGTAGGGCGCAGAGGGGTGTATCGGTTGAGCGCGGGGAGATGGACGCGTTGAGGGCGGGAGAGATACTCACCTGAGAAGTCGTATCCCACTCCTCATGAACCGGTTCCAGCGGCGCCAGCGGCGCCGCACTTGCTGTCAAAGATTGGTGAAGCAAGAGGAAACAAGACAGGGGGAAGGAGGTTCATACTACAGCAGTGCGGGCCCCAGTGGTATAAGTGTTCTTGTTGAGCGGAGTTCATGTTGACCAGGATACTGTTGCCAGATGGGCTGCGCTTGAACCGGGTGGCAACGGGAGGATGCACATCTAATCATCTTACCTGCTGATGGTGACACCGGCCACCATGAGCTTCTGAGAGGCTCGTCAGCAATAATATCAACTGGCCAACAAGTCAAAACACACTTACGACTCAACAGATACGGCGAGGGAGACGATTCCACATACTATGTAGGTACGAGACGCGGAGATCCGAGAATCTGATGAGGGCACGAGTACCGTGAGACAGGAGGTCCGAGGGTGTCGCGGAGGAGAGAGGGAGTGGAGTGGGCAAACGCGGAGAAGATTAGAGGAAGGCAGGGCAAGCAGAGAAAAGCATACTGAGCACGATGGGAACTTCGGGGATGGCGAGGCGCGAGGCTTGACAGAGAGCGTGTGACGCCGTTCAGGGAGGCGCCACGTAATGAGAGCGAGCGCGCGCGCGTCTGCAATGGTGACGGGGTCCGGAGTCGAGTCCTGTGGACGTGCGAGTGGATAGAATTGGGAGAGTAGTAGTACCAGCGCCCCTACCGAGGATGTTCTGACTACACTCCAGCTCCTTCTTAGCGTGAAGAGGCAAGGAATAAGTTTCATCTATCATAATACATCTGGCTCCCCAGTGCTCTCTCAACAAATCTCTTACCAGATTATCACCGGTCGAGCAGAGCCCTACACTACGCAAGTCGATCGTGTCCGATCATTGGGCATCCGGTCCGACGATGTCTGGCGTCTGCCGAGCTGACATCATCCGCTTTCGCCGGGCGCCACAGCGCTCGATCGGCCGCCCCTCGTTTTGCTGATGAAGCTTGGCGGTATGTGGATCGCGTCCTCTTGTTCGCACGGACTATATCGGGCTCGATCGACTCGACTTTCGTATGTTCAGAGGATATAGGTGGCTTCTCAGCGCCCGGGGAAAGGTCTTTAATTGTCTACTCGATGGTTAGGCACTGGGAGAATACCCTATGATCGCAGCTCACCTATGGATCAGTCCCGCATGGACGGCTCGCGGCAGCGCACGAGGATGCATGGAACACACTGACGGCCAGACGAACGAAGGTGACAGGCCTGGAGGCGAGTTCAGCGCGAGACGCAAAGGTACCTTCTGCCCGACCACGTGGTGCACGGGAGGCGAGGTACCCCGCGATCGCCGGCGCGTTGACAAGCTGAATCCGTGCGGTCGCAGAAAGCACAAGCAGTGCCTCTACACGCGAGTCAAATGGATGACACCGTCCGAACGACCGTATGTAAATGGAGGGAAGGGCGTGATAGTGGTACAAGTTTTCGATAATCGCGATCCGTCACAGGGTAGAAGGTGGTTGGTACAAAGTGGGCATCCATGAAGAGATACATGGCGACGTCGGATAAGCATCGTGCTGTAAAATGGATGACGTGAGCTGGACAGGCATTAATGAAATCATGCATTCACTGGAGGGCTGGGAATACCACGTTACACGTACCAAGTGGCTGAGTCTCCCATCATTCGCACGCCGCGAAGGCGCTCTACTGTCCCGACTACCTGAGTGCACTCTCGCCGGTGCTCGCCATGACTCTCTTGCTCAGTCGGATGACAGAGAGCATGTTCGTGACCGCCTTCCCGAACAGCCTGGAGATGATGTTGGTATCTCTCAGATGCGGAGGGTCGGCGAGCAGAGGAGACGGGAGGCCTTGAATGTGCGGAAAGAGTGCGTCGACGTACAGTGCGAGTCGTGCACACATGTCTTCGTCGTATTCCTCATCGCCAAGCCCGACCACAAGGCTCCGGAGACGGTGTCTGGAGAAATGCGGCATTCTCGACGCAGTCGCAGGCACGTTAGTCGCTTCCACGCGGATCCGAAGAGTGAGCGACACGAGCATGGGGCAGCGTTCAGAGAAGAGTGCGAGTGCGCCAGCAGTCGGAGTGACGGAGGGTAGATGGGGTATTGAGTCGCGATGACGTAGGCTATCATCGTGTTGGATATGCAGCTCTTGAATGCGTGGCCAAGAGGAAGCCATGGCAGAGAGAGAAGCGTCGTCGAGTGCAATGAAGTAACTGAGCACTTCCACCTTGACCGTTGTGAGGAGATGGAGATGGAGGGCTGGCTCGATGAAGCAGGGGTGAAGATTCAGAGCTCCATGGAAGTCACGATGTCCCAAGGAAATGCTGAAATGTATGTATTGTAGCGCATGCGGTGCGTGAGATAGAACGCGGGACATATGTGATGCGACGTGAGAGATCACCGCGGGTGGGTCCTCGAACGCCTGTCTGCTCTTGCATTTGAATCGGATTGACAAGCGATTGAGTGAAGGAGGGAAAATCGTTTGCATGAAGCGTGTTAGTCCGTCTATGCTTGCTAGTTCGAGTTCGAGTTCAAGATCTTCTACATTCTGGAATTTGCCACTGAAGATGTCGTAGTCGATGTTGGACTGGAAATTGAACATTCGGAGGGAAAGACGGCGAAGTGAAGGAATGAGGGGAAGCGTCACCAGGATACCAATGCTGAGGCATCGAGCAATATAGAATGCGCTAATAGAGAGCTCTCGTAACGAATGCAGGGTTCGAAGGTGCGCTAGCTTTTCCTCTATCTCGGCCAGAAAGATTATAGCCAACGAGGATATGAGGCGTGCAGATGCGTCAAGAGAGGTAAGTGCATTCTGAAGGGAGCGTCTGACTTGATGTATTGATGATCTCGAGAAGCCGATATGTTTCAGCGTGTATGGTTGCAGAGCAGATATGACGTGGAAAGGAATGGATAGGTGGAGATTTTCTAAGCGGACGAGGTTAGGGAGAATGGGGCTGTTGCGACTGTAGCGAGGGATGAAGAGGTCCCAGTTGATCTTATTGCGAGCGATGTGCTTGACCGTCTTCACGTACTGTGCGTAGAGTTCGAAACGCGACCATTCTTCGTCTGGTGGGTCTTCATGCAGAACAGATCCCTAAGTAGTAGTAATCGTTGTTCAGTACATCTCGCAAGCCCGGAGCGTCGACTGCAAATAGCTACCTGATCTCGATCATAAGCGTGCAAGGAGAACACGTGCAGAAGCTGGCCAAAAGAGGTGATGTGACGCCACAGACAAGCGAGTGCAAGGGGATTGAGCTGTTTGGAAACACGGGCGACTGCGACGAGGGAACCGCTAGCCGAGTCTCGGACCAGCTCATCGAGAATCAGTTTCAATACATCTTGGCAGCCTACCGCATGAGATATGGCTGGTTCGATGCGGGGTGGAATCTGTTGAGCCGTCGCGGTGGTTGGTGACAAGTACTTCTGAGGGCTCTCGCAGGGCCATACCGTTCATGAATGGATCACTTACAGCGAGACTTTGTTCAACGCGGTTGCTCGTGCCTGCCACCTCCGAAATTGCAGGATGCCGCTGCTCTCGGTTGTGAATTCTATTGTTTTGTTAGCATATAGGCATTGGTGGGTCGTCACTGATGAAGACTAACGTGTCGCGGATGGAGGGACTGAGCAGGGATAGGCGCCTTAAGTCATACGCGCGTTCAAGCGACGTGACAATCTGTATGTCACTGGACGCCCTGTGACGCTGCGTCAGCCCCAGGCCTCGGGAACGTGACGTTGCCGGCGCCGCGACTCCTACCACTGCTTGCAGGTAACTCTCTCTCTCCGACTCTCACTCCACCGCGCGCGCGCGCGCACCCGTACTCCAGCCGCCCGCGTGGTGATGCAGTAGAGACACTGTGACCCTTTGCACCACAGCACATGCACGAGCGCAGCGGGCATGAGAGAAGTAGACAAGCAAACGGGGACCAGCGGCGGCCGCGGCAACATTCCAGACCCACCTGTCCTCACGCCGCCTGGCAAGCCGGACGCCAGGACGTCTCGTGGATTGACATGAGCGCGCGCCGCAAGGTCGAAGAACGCTCAGCCCAGTGTCGTACCTCCAGGGGTGCCAGGAGTCCTCGCTGAGGCAAAGCCATGCGCCGAACGAGGGCCGGCTGCGCAGCTCGACGCGTCTGGAGGACGCTAGCCCTGTGCGACCTCCGTCTCGACCGGAGCTTGCGAGCGACGTCGGAGGGTGCAGGCACACGTGGGTGAAGGCGACCGCCGCCGTGTCTCCGCTGGGAGCGTTCTCATATGACGCGCAGAGTCACGAGGACGGGAAGGTTGTCCACTCGGCATTTTGTGATTCCATCGCGGGGAAGGAGTCGAAGTGAACGGGCACCTCGAGCGTGGAAGACGGTGTGATTCCGATTGCGCGTGCGATGTGTATGTGTGCTAAGTCTGCGTGGAGAAGATTAGATCCCCGGGGCCAACGAACGAGAGCAGGGGGGACTCGCACCTGAATGTAAGATGCGTGTGGGGACGTATGCGATGTGTGTATAGTGTAGTGTATGCGATGCGTGTGCAGTGTAGTGTATGCAACCGAGAGTGATGACCAAGACACAGCAGAACAAGCAACCATCGAGAACATGGCGATGAAGGAAAAAACAACAACAAATGACCAGCAGCGAGCGGAGCACGGACAAGAATAAAGCATGCTAAAAGTGGGCGTAGTGGCCGGGGACCCGCATCCGGCACTGCTCGCAGTCCGCGCGCGGGCCCATCGTGAACCGCTGCCGGCGCGTGGCCAGCGGCGAGCGCGGCTCCTCCAGCGGCGCGTCCAGCATCGCTTGCTCTCGCTCTTGCGTGACCGGCAGGTCGAAGGTGGGATGCGGGAACGGCTGCACGGGCGAGGGCGTCGCGTTTTGGATCTGGATGAGCGGGATCTGGAGGAGGGCCGGGCTCGAGAACTGCGGCGGGGTGGACGCCGCGGAGCCGGACGCGGAGTGGGGGCCAAAGGGGCGGAGATGGAGGAGCGGCGCGGTGGGTGCGGGGGTGGCGCTTGCAGGGAACATGAACATAGCGCGGTCGTCGTCCGTGGGCTGGCGGACAGGCGGCCGCGCATGCGACGGCGGAGGGGAGGGAAGAAGGAGCGATGAAACCCCGGGGGGAAGAAGGGCGGGAGAGGGGGCGCACCATCATCTGCTCGTCTTCGAACATCACAGCGTCGACGCGGATTTCGCCTGGCTGGCTGCCAGGGGTGTTGAACCCGCTGCCGGGGATGGAGAGCGCGGGGCTCTCGATGCGCAAGTCTTGAGTCTGGGACACCCAGTCTTCGGAGTGGTTTCGGACGCGGATCGCGGGCGATTCGAGGGGCGGAGAGGGGAGGGGGACGCCGCTGCCGTAGTTGCTCACGGCGCGCTTCTGCAAGCGGCGGGCGCGAGGGCATGAAGACGGGGCGAAGGGAGCGAAGGGGCTGACGGCAGGACGTACCGAGGGGCGGTCGCACTGTGTGGGCGACGACTCGGGAGAACGAGCGCGTTTGGTGGACGAGCGCGTGCGGTATGGCATCGAGGCCACCATGTCTATCTCCATCATGGTTGAAACTGCTCGAGAGTGTCGACGCGGTTGGCTGGTGGCTGGTGGCTGAGAGCAGTTGGACGCGGGTCGGTAGATAAAAGCCTCAACAGGGCAGATATACGCGGCGAGGTTCCACGTGTCGTTAGGCGCAACAAGGCCAACCAAGCATGAGGTCACAAAACGGCAGAGGGAGACAATGGGTGGTTGGCACAGAATGGTGGCCAGGTCGGTGGCAGGGAACAGGAATCAGGGATGAGGACAGGCGCCAGCCACTCCGTCCTTGCCAGGCCCCCAGACACCCCACACTCGCAGTCAGCGCTCAGCCTTGGATTGGTAGCTCGGTGATACAAGTCTATTCACCCCTATCCAATATCAACTGGCACTGCGGAGATCCCTCGGACAGACTACAAGTGCACGATGACGGTTAGCCTGTTGCATTAGTAGAAGCGAGAGGCCTCTACGCTCACCCCGGGTAAGCGGTGGAAGCGCTGAGACGCAAGTGGTCGAGCTGCCCAGGCCCCAGGGCAAAGCACCGTCAGTACTTGCGCGCTCGCGTTTTGTCCACAGACTCACGATATGCCCGACGACAGTCCATTCCGCCCCTTTACCTTCGTACTTCCATCGCAGCCCGCACGCGCATCGCGGTCGCCGTTCCATCACCCGCCGATGCAGCTCCGATTGGGTCACCTCCACCTGCTCGTTCTCACACGCGACGGCCGCGAGCAGCCGCGCGACCAGCGCAGGGTCCTCCCAAACGGCGTCCAACACCTCCGCGTCCCAGTGCTCGTCACCGCGCTGCCAGAACTGGAGATATGCAGCGTAACACATCCGCTCCTCTCCCAGAACCCACCTCGAGCCACCGTAGAACACGCGCGAGCCCCTCCGGAAGAACATCGTGGGGACTTCGAGGAGCGCGACGTTATCTTCGTGCGACGGGCGGTGCTCCCAGCGGAAGTCGGTCCCGGGCCCGGCGGGGAGGGTGCGCCCCGAGTACAGCGCGCGGCGGCGCACGGCGTCGGCCAGGTCGAGCAGCCGCGCGCGCACCCCGGCCTGGGCTTCTTCGACAACGGTGCCCATCACCGACGAGACCGCGTCGTCAGCCAGCCACGGCTGCCATCTGCCGGGTCGGGGGGTCCGTTTGGGCTTGCGTCTGATCAGCGCGGAGAGCGCGGGGAGGGCCGCCGCGTCGCTGAAGCTGGGCAGGAGCGCGATCGGCCGTTTGGCTTCGTCTGCCTCCCAGAAAGGGACGTGTGCTTGTGATATCCAGTGGCTGTACTGGCGTTCAGCGTCGTGGTACCGGCCGTTGAACGCGCGGCGGAGCTCGAGCGTGGTTTCGGCCGTCCGGTGGGCATCAAACATAGCGGTAGTCGAGTTGACGATGGAAAGAAAGCGCGGAAGGGCGTCCGTCCAGTCTTCCAGCAATGAGGGAGTGGAGACACGAGGCGAAGCAGGAGGGCGTACTTTGCGGGGAGATCGGCTCTCTCTGACCCAAGAGTTCCAAGACGACGGAGTAGGGCAACTTGAGGGCCCGCTCGACCGAGTACCTAGGAAGCTCGTGCGCGTATTGCTTAATCCTGTATCAAGACGTTGATGTAAGTACCGTCCACACGGTCAGAGGTGGGTTGGAATGATTACTCCGCCTTCCGTTGATTCGTAAGCCCTGCTTGAATTCCCATCACTGCCAGCCTCCATATTGTGCACAAATACGCAAACTACGACAGGATGGTTCTGGTGAGTACATATAGATATAATGGAAGCGAACGTACATTTCCCTTCAGCACGGTCATGCCCCGGCGGTTGCGGGCATATTCGTCCAACTTCCACCTTTCGCCCGGCCGTAGATCGTGTTCGTTGTATTCCTGCACTGCTTGGCGGAGAATATGGGAGTAGAAATTCCCAGAGCGAGCAGGAAGAACTGGCTTGGGTATTTTTACACGCGCTGAGAATATTGAAGTGTGTCACAATCGACTGGACACAGAGCTGTGGCAGGAGAGAAGAGGAAGAGATAAATACGCACCACACCAGTCTCTCTCGTGGTTTGATATGAGCTGATTCGCCGAATTCGAGGGAGCTGCTGTTCCTGGAAGATGGTCAGATGAACGCATTCCGTACCGAAGTCAAGAAATACACCGACTAGCACCGGGAACACCGTTGGCAACCGGAATAAGGACATGCAACTCGTTCGAGCACCGTCTGCTGAGGAACACGGTGCGCTTGAAATCGAGTATATACTCGCGACCCTCCACAATCCTTTTCCAGACAAGAGGGCGTAAGGTGGGCGAAGTCAAACCATGCTCGGAGCATGCACTTACGTCTCCCGCTTGCAGAAAAAGCAATACCGCACGCCCGAGGCGAAGTCCGGCGTATCAGCGCATTCGGGCGTCTCGCACATCTGCTCGCGCGAGATGGTCAGCACGTGGGTCAATCCGTTTCAACGAGAGAACGCTCGCCTGACAAAACTGCTCGAAAAGCAGCGAGGCGTACACGGTTTCGCGCATTTCCGCGGGGCACGGAGGCGGTGGTATCGGGAAGATGTTCCGGCGTGCATCTGCCCACGTAAGACGAGCCGCTGACGACGTCAAGATCTCGCGGAGCAGTTTGGAGCAGCGAGAGAGCTGAAGAAGGTCAAGAGGGACCAGAAGGGAGAGTATCTACACAGGGAACAGATTTAGTGCTTGTCTCGACGGTGCCACTGCACTAGATCAGACACGCACTGCATAGAACAGCTCAGGGGAAAAGTGCACGAGAATGTTGCGTTTGATTTCAAGAGGACCTTCTGCTTGCGGTTTGGGCGAAACCGTGTCCTGGGACGTTGATTCGCGTCGGTCTGTCATATTCAGGTGATCTGCTTGAAAATCGGAGTGAGTGAGAGGGTTAGAGAAGTGTCCTGGGTTAATGATGCAGTTTTGTTACAAAGGAGAGGCTCCAAAGCTTCAAGATTCACCAGTCAGTGAGTCAAGTCGATCGCCACTTAAGTCATATCGATCGCGACATGCCATGTCACCCAGAGCAGAACCGGGCCCGTCACAGCCTACAGGTCGCCGGCCCCTATGATTGTGTGACTCGCCGTTACAGCAGATTGTAGTCGTCACGGTAACACGTCACCCCCAGCTGCCAGTAGAGCGCCTAATTAATTGAGGCTCTCTTCCTTCTCTCACTCACACTCTCCCCACTTGTCGTCCAGGCTGAACGACATCGGCGATGGCTCTATTGCGAACACGCCCAAGAAAGGGTGGCCAGCCTCCCAAGTGCCAGGCTGCCAGCCCTCCACGTCCAGCGTGCGTTCAAAGCCAGCCGCCAACCAGTTTGCATATAAGACCGACTTGCGCGCGAATCCCCCCGCCAACGACTACTCGTCATGTTCCCTGTGTCTGCTCTCCTCCTCGGGCTCGCTCACCTCACCACTTCGAAGCCTCTCTCTTCTAAGTGCCGGGATGACTTCGAGGTGAAGCATGCTTGGGCCGAGATCCCCCGTGGATGGACACTCCACGCTCCTGCTCCCGCGGACTACATGTTCGACATGCGCATCGGTCTTCGGCAGAACAGGTTTGACGAGCTTGTCTCGGCGCTGTACGAAGTCAGCGATCCTGCTCATTCCAGGTATGTCTGTGTGCTATGTTGATGCCGTTCCCGCTAACGACGTTTCATCCAGATACGGTCAGCACCTTTCCATGGAGCAAGTCCACGAGCTTGTCGCCCCCCACCGCGACACCGTCGACCTCGTCGAGGCCTGGCTCGCCGCCCACGATCTCGACTCCGACTCCGCCCAGCGCTCGCCTGCAGGCGAGTGGATCACGATCCGCGTCTCCGTCGCGCAGGCGGAGATGATGCTCGGGAACGAGTACAACATCTTCCGCCATGGCGAGAGTGAGGAATACGTCATCCGCGCGATGAACTACTCGCTGCCCGCCTCGCTCTTCGGCCACGTCGACCTCGTTGCGCCTACGACCTACTTCGGGACGATGAAGAGCATGCGCGCCACCAGCCACATCAACCTCAACGCGCCTACGATTAACAGCGACGTCAACGTTGCCAGCCTCCTGGCCAGCGCGAGCTCCCTCGCCACGGTGTCCTCCGGCTGCTCGAGCACGATCACCCCCACCTGCTTGCGTGCGCTGTACAACACCGCTTCCTATGTCCCTCAGGCGACGGACAGGAACACTCTCGGTGTCGTCGGCTACCTCAACGAGTTCGCAAACCGTGTCGATCTCCAAGTCAGCCGCCGCCGATCTCCTTCAATGAACCGAACATGAGGCTGACTTGGGCCCGCTTGTTCTCAGACATTCTTCTCACGCTTCCGTTCCGATGCCGTTGGTTCAACGTTCACGACTGTTCTTGTCAACGGAGGTGGTGACGACCAGTCCACCCCTGGTGTTGAGGTCAGTTCGCGCACTCTTGCTCTCAACGCCCAGCGTCTGATAGCCCATCCTCGTAGGCCAACCTCGACATACAGTACACCGAGGGTATCTCCTTCCCCACCCCGAACATCTACTACAGCACTGGCGGATCCCCTCGGTTCACTCCTGACGGCAACACCCCCACGAATACCAACGAACCTTACCTCGACTGGCTCAACTTCATCCTTGCCAGTGGGAAAATCCCTCAGACTGTACGTACTTGGAGCATCTCCATGACGAACGTCGAACTTAGTCCTCGTTCACCTATAGTTCACCACCTCCTACGGCGACGACGAGCAGACTGTGCCCGAAGACTATGCCTTGCAGGTGTGCGGTCTCTTCGCGCGGCTCGGCGCCCGTGGTAGCTCTGTGATGTTCAGCTCTGGCGACAACGGTGTCGGTGGCGGCAATTGCCTTTCCAACGACGGCACCAAAACCAAGAAGTTCCTCCCCAACTTCCCTGCGTCGTGCCCCTTCGTCACCACCGTTGGCGGTACGATCGGAGTTAGCCCCGAGGTTGCCGTGAGCTTCTCTGGTGGAGGCTTCTCGAACTACTTCACGCAGCCCACGTGCGTACTCCGTGTTTACCGCTCCCCACCAATTCCTGACTTGCTCCTCCTACCACAGTTACCAGTCCGCTGCCGTCTCGACATTCCTGAATAGCCTCGGATCCAAAAACTCTGGCCTCTTCAAGTACGCTCATCCCACCCTCCTTGTCGACTCGACCCACTCTTGGTTCACCGATCACTAACCTCATTCCCCTCAACAGCAAGACTGGTCGTGCCTACCCTGATGTAGCGGCTCAGGGTGAGAACTTCCAGGTTGTCATCGGTGGCAGTACGACCTCCGTCGGCGGCACTTCAGCCTCCTCACCCGTAAGCTTCCTCCTCCATTCGTCGCCTGTGGTTCTGACTTTTCACGCACGCAGACGTTCGCCGCCGTGATCTCCCTCCTGAACGACTTCCGCCTCTCACAGGGCAAGTCCCCGCTCGGCTTCCTGAACCCGCTCATCTACTCGACCGGCGCCGCGGGTTTCAACGACATCACCTCGGGCTCGAACCCGGGTTGTGGCACGAACGGTTTCACCGCACGTGCAGGTTGGGATCCCGTAAGTCCCTCGCTCCCTCCTCCTCGCTCCGGTCTGCCTCGTCGCCGCCCCGGGTCCCACCGATCTCGTACCACCGTGCCTGCGGCGTCACTCGTCTGTCATACTTTGCATCCCTTTCTGGGTCCCCCGCATGGGCGATCGGCGCGTCCCTATGTTCCTGGCTTTCATCCTGTTCCTTCCTGCTGCATGCGCGGTGTCCCCGCCCGTCAGCACACGTAGGACGCGACCCCACGCAGACTCTCAACCTGGCGATACTGAGCTGACGCCGCACATACACAGGTCACCGGCTTGGGCACGCCCGACTTCCTCAGGCTCCAGGCACTGATTGGGTGAACGGGCCCACGCCCGCGCCACACGGGGAGGTGGCAGGCTCAGACTGGGCGTCCCCGCCGGGGAGGCGTCGAGGACGCGGCTCCCGCGGCTGTGGCGGGGCGGGGTCCGCCAGTTTTGTAGCATCTGTTTGGGGACACTCAATAAAAACCGCAGTAATGCGCAGGCGTCGCGCGAACACACCAGGCCCGCTTTGCCCTGTGTCAGACGGGCAGGTTCCGCACCAGATCCGGCACTACCGCCATCAACGACACCGACTTAGGCTCCGATCATGCTAAATAGCGTGGTGAGCGTGCATGATATTCGTCTGCGCTGCTGCCGGATTTTGTTCTCCTTCGTCCCCCGCTGACGACATCCGCGATGCTCTTCCCCACTGGCGTCTTCACTGTTGCCGCCGCGCTGGTGCTGACATCGTTGAACAGCGTGCTTGCCGCTTCCATCTCGGAGACGTCTCTGGCTGCTCGAGCTGTCACAGTGCCGAGTCCTGCTTTCGTCCTGTACTCCGACTTGTTCACTCCGGACCCGAATATCCTCGGGGATCCGTCGGGATTCGCTGTGAGTACATGGCTACCCAGGTTTTCTGCAGTCACCTTACTAATGCTCACCATGCAGGGGTGGAATGTCATCAACCTCTCCTTCCTGACCATCGCCAAGGGGCCCTTCGACCAGGTCCTCCGCTGGAAGAATCTGCCCGCGGCGACCAAGAAGGCGGTCAAGGCCAAGTACCACGCGGCCGGGATCCGCATCGTCGCGGCCGCGCTTGGGGACACGGACACCCCGACGACGTCCGGGATCGACCCAACGGAGATCGGGCAGCAGTTCGGGCAGTTCATCCTCGACAACAGCCTCGACGGGATCGACGTCGACTACGAGGACCTCGCGGCGATCAACAAGGGGGACGGCAAGGGCGAGGCGTGGGTCGTCACGTTCACGCAGGTGCTCCGGAGCAAGCTCCCCAAGGGCCAGTTCATCCTCTCGCACGCGCCGCTCGCGCCGTGGCTCGCGCCGAACGCGCAGTTCAAGGCGGGCGCGTACGTGACCGTGAACAAGAAGGTCGGGTCCCTCATCGACTACGTGAGTAACGGAGCCGTTGCTCTTGGTCATCTCCCGCCCGCTCACGCGCCTCGGGTAGTACAACGTCCAGTTCTACAACCAGCCGAGCAACAACTACGGGGACTGCAAGTCACTGCTCTACACCTCGCTCGCGCCGTTCACGGGCTCCGCGCTCTTCCAGGCACCGAAGCACGGCTTCGCGCTCAACAAGCTCGTCATCGGCAAGCCCGCGATCCGGCCGACGGCCCGTTCGGCGGGTACATGTCCCCCGCCGCGCTCGGCAAGTGCGTCGCGCAGGCGGCGAAGAAGGGTTGGAAGGGTGGCATCATGGCGTTCCAGGCCCCCACGCGGACTCGAAGTGGATCAAGGCGGCGAAGGGCGGCGCGTTCGCCTGAGCCGCGCTGGTGCGGCGGGACGCAGGACGGATCGCGCTCCCTTGAGGCGTTTTCCCCGGCACGACAGGACTCACGCGCAAAGACTCTGGAACCCCGGGAACGGTCCCCTGGATCTTACCATACCCCGTTTTATATCCTCAGACATGATACCTCTCTCCACGGGTGTTCTCTACTATACCCTACTATACACACACTCATTCCGCTAGTTTCTTCGCTCTCTACGCATTCCATTTGCTCCCCAGGGTTCAGCGGCACGCCGGCTGTGGCGATCACCCGCACCCTCGAGAACGTACACTCCTTTGGAGGTCTCTGCATACGATTCACCTCCATTTCGCGGTCCATTGCAGTGTCTACCTCCTACGTTACGCATACCATAGGTATCAGCCCTCGAGGGCAACAAACGAGAATCCAAAAAGAAGTAGGTTCGATGATGATTGCGCCAGGTGGTAGACGAACCGCGCGCACGATGACCACGGCTTGTGAGGCGGGTGATGTAATGAACGATCATTTGGGGGTAGCAACTACTGTTTGACCTGCTAGAACAGAAGCTTGCATCTTAAGGCTTTCGACTTCGAGCGGACCGTCCACGGTTTCTGGGACCTTGTCAAGAGAAGTCGACGGTCAGCCGTGTTCGGCACTACCGCCATACAACAACTCACCTTTCAGGAAAACAGACCCAAAAATGGGAACCTGCGTCGCTCGCTATGCGCATGCAAATGCTCAAGCTGCGACGAACAGATGCCCGTGAGCCCTCACACAACAAACACACGCAGTAAAAGACTCACGATCTCGCCCACGATCGTCCACGCCCGTTCACCGTCATAGTCCCACCGCTCCCCGCACGCGCACCGCGGCCGCCGCTCCCTCACCAACCTCTCCAGCTCTCCATGCGTCGTGCCCTCGCCCGACGCGCGCGCTCTACCCACCAGGCTCGCGCGCAACCGCGCGACGACCGCGGGGCTCCCGTCGACGACGCGCACGTGCCAGGCCTTCCACCGCCCGTGGTAGCGCTGCCAGTGCTGGAGGAGCGCGAGGAACGGCATGCGCACGCCGCACGAGCGCGGCGCGGGGATGCGCTCGCACCTGCATGTGAAGAGCGCCGTCGAGGCCTCGAGCGCCGCGAGGTCGTCCTCCAGCGTTGGGGGATCTCCAGAGCCGGAGCGTCCGTGCGGCGAGCCTGCGTTCGGGCCTTGCGGCGAGGAGTGGCGACGGACGAGGTCGGCGAGCGCGCGGATGCGGTCGCGCACGCCGTCCTGCGCCTCCTCGACGACGGCCTTCGCGACCTCCGCGAACGCGTCCCAGCCGAGGCGCGCGGTGGGGTCTCCGTCGCCCTCGACGAGCGCGTGCATCGCTGGCAAGTCCTCCGCGTCTGCGAAGCCGGGCATGAGAGCGGCAGTGTGTGTCGTGATATCCTGGGCAGCGCGGCGGAGGAATTCGGTGTAGTGCACGCGGAGCTGCGCGCGGCGCGCGCGGAAACGCGTTTTGAAGTATTTCGCCTCTTCTTCGGCGATTAGGGCGTTGAGGTGTGCGAGACGGGCGGCAGTCGCTGCGTCCAGGTGTGGGCACAGGCGCCATTGGACGTTGTCCCAGTCTACAGGCGAGGTGAATTAACGAGGATTGTGGGTACCAGTGGGCGAACCTTCAGATGTGAACGGCTCGCACTCGTTCAGTAACGTCTCTACAAAGGGGTCAGACGACTCGAAAACTGCATCGATTGCTTCGGGGTGATATTGGAGGTTGAGTGCGTGTTGCCGGATCCTGCGTGGATAAACGGAGGTCAGATGTAGAGCTCACATGCCATACGACGGCATATGAATCACTCCATTTGTCTTTTCGCAATGGTTCGAAATTCAACGTGTTTGGTTACCTTCCTCCAAATCGTGCACAGGGTCGCAAACTGTGGCGAAGTACTTGCAATGAGCTTATCACATCAGTCACCACGAGGAAGCACAGGTACGCACATGCCTCTTCTGTAACGTCTCGCGCCGACAAGCCTCTACGTATTCAGGCATTCTCCACCTTTCGCCGGGGCGGAGGTCATGTTCATCGTAGCCTAGCAGAGCTGCGCGAAAGACGTCGCGAAAATATAAGCCAGGATTGCGCGATTGACGCAACACATTCCTGACTGGTCGCAGACGGTCTGAGGAAGGAACTCAGTAAGCGTTGTCAAAGAACATAACTCGGAAGTGCGTACCCCACCAATCTCCGTTGTGGAACTGTATGACATCCTCCACGGACTGACAAATCATGTGACCTGTGCCACCCGGAGTTGAGCACATAGGCAGCACGTCCAGATAAAGGGCGAAACACTTACCATCGAGAAAGCCGCAGAAATTGATGGCGACGACAGGAACGAGGTCGTAAAGCTCCCGCGCACGCTGCCTACTGACGAAGGTGGTGCGTCTGAATTCTTCCACCATCTCACGACCCGGCGCGACACTGTAGAAGCGGGGCCCGGTTAGAACGGCTAGATCATCAACATCGAGACGCCCCCGGGACATACAGATTCCGTCGACAGTGCCGACAGATGCGCTTGCGCGCGGCATAGTCTGGCTGGCCGGCGTGGTCTCTCCCACACACCTGTAAATGCTCAGCGATCGGCGCCCCAAGTCTTACGGTTTCCCGAGCAACGGGTCTTCGCACCTCACAGAACTTCTCGAAGAGCAATGCGGCGTGGGCAGGTTCACTCATGCCTTCAGGGCAAGGGGGCGGTCGTATCGGGACAACATTCTGGCAGGCATTGGTCCACGCAAGGCGGGAGTGCTTGGAGAGGAGGACTCCGCGAAGGAATTTGGAGCAGCGGGAGAGGTGAAGGAGAGCAAGCGGGTGGAGGAAGGAGAGGACCTGCGCGTGTGCGAGAGGTGATGAGCATGTGGGAACGACAAAGTCCAAACAGAATGATGTACTACCTCGTACAGAAGTTCGGGTGGGGAGTGTTCGAGTATGTTCTGCTCATGGTGAGGTTCGTCTGCATCGTCGGTGCCCTCAGACATTACATTGGTTTGCGTGTCGGCCAAGGGCTTTGTTCTGAACTCAAGAACACGCTGCTGAGCCTGTCTCATCAGTGGGGCAGAGCAAGAGGTGAGATGCGTCACTCACGGGTCTTATGTATTCTCCCATGAAGCGCCGGTCGACTAGCTCTCTTCCCTGCATGCAATCACCGCCTAGTCTCCCCTAGGCATCCCATTCACCGCCCGCGGCTTGGTGCGATTTCTTTCCCATTGCCCTCGCCTCATGCTGATGCGGAGTCGACAACAAGCCCACAAGCATCTGGACACCAAATGGCCGATCAAAGAGCGGTCGCAGTGCGCACACTCGAGAGCTTTGAGCAGCTCGTACGTCCCGTCGTCCTTCGCCCACCCGGCTAGCGGCACCCGCGACACCCACAACAAGCGAGGACATCCTCCCGGACGGGATCAGAATCTCGTAGTCACCGCGATGTACATACCACGGCCGCGCCCTGTCTCAGTGAGTCCCCCCACTCCGCGCTCCCGCGCTCCCCACCTCGCCCCCCCATTCCCTAGGCCCAGTCCTGCCACCAACTCCGTCTCTGGCGAGAATCTCCCAACGGACGTGCTTAGGGCATTCGCGCTACCGGTGCGGCCGTGTTGAGCCGTCATTGCCGCTGTCTCGCATCCCTGCCCGGACGCCTTACAATGGCGTTGGGACTCATCCGTCTCACACGCTTTGCGCCTTCCAGGCTCCGTCTCGCACCCTGACCTGGCTGGGCACAGATTGTACGGTCTTCGCGCCGTCCGCTTACGGGCGCCCAACTCCCTCCATGTGTGGAAGCGATGTGAGCAGCCAACCAACCGTGTTTCCTGCATTTGTCCTGCATCACCCTGTGGCTCCCCAACCTTCTCCTGGGCCCGGTCGTCCTAGGCGATAATGTCTCTGGAGGTTGGCACTATGTATGCGTATAGCTGAAAGTATAGAGTCTGCGGGACGCAGTCATTCTCCTCGCAGGTCACCCGTTTAAACGGATGTTGCAGACATCTCCACTTCTCAACTCCGGCCGGCTGCGTCGTCGGGGGCTCTGCCGGCGTCTGTCCTGTTAGAGCGGACAATGGGCATGGCCGCTGCGTGCCCAGTGGTCGCCTGTCTAGGCGGACAATGGGCTTTGATCGTGTTCACCTCCCCGTGGCATCCGATCAGAGTCCCCACGCTGACCTCCCTCTCCACAGTCGCCGCCGCCCCCGCTCAACGCCCGTGACTTGTGTCCTTGGCCCGATTCGCCGTTGGTTCGTTTTCCGTCCGGTATATACTCCTTTCTCCTGCCGCTCACCTTTCCACTTCCCGGCTTCCCTCCCCGAACACATTCGTGTGTGGCCGGCACTTCCACTCTGCTCTCGCGTCTTCTCTCACGACCACCACGACCGCACGCCACTCAACCACGGCCGCTGTATCGACCAACCACCCTGTACTATCACTTGTACGCCCACACCATGTCTCGGTCTCTCGGATCACGCGCGGTTCGTCGTCGACTCCTCGCAGAGTTCACCCAAGATTCGCCCTCCCCACGCCCAACCAAGAAACAGAAGAGAAACCCGCCAACTCTCCAGAACAGAATCCTCCGCAGGCATTTCGGCATGTCCCTATTCAGCAACGGTCGATTCAACGGTCACCTCGCTGTGTCATCCTCCCTCACTGGCAAAGGAATCAAACGGGATGCAGCCCCGGCGCGCAACGAGACTAATCCTGATGCCGAGCTTGACCTCGAGCTTACTTTCGCATTCACTATGTCCCTAAATTCCCCTCCCACGGATTCCCGACCACTCACACCAGAAGCGGAGAACCCGAACCATGTCCCCATGGACGTCTCGCCTGCGCCGCCCGCCGCCACCGGGCGCAAACCAAACGTCTCGGTGAGCTCATCCAAGCGGGGTACAGGCACTGGCAGCGGCAAGCGGCTGCAGCGCGCTGCGCTCCCCACCGAGTGGTTTGCCACCTCGCGACCTCGTTCAGACAAGGACGCTTTCAGTCAGGTCGGTGTGGTTTATTCTCAACCTGAGACTAGAAGGCATGTTGCAACTGTTTGGCTGACATGTTTACCGGCAGCCTGTTGATATCCCCTCGTCACCCGCTGACCGTATGGATGTCGACACATCCTCCGGCCTCGTGCCTTCCTCCCCCGCACCAGGGCCGCAGGGCCTTCCGTCCGCAGTGCCGACCGTGACGACTTTCAAATTTGCGGCGCCAGCTGCCTTCAACCTTTCGTCGGCTCTCCCCTCGACGACGCCGACCGTGACGACTTTCAAGAATCTCTTCTTCGAGACGCCGGCCCGAGAGCTCAACGGGCGCGAGCTCGCCAACGCCACTGACTTCTCCGGGGTCACTGGTCTCACTGGAAGCCAGGTCCAGCCGTTCCCTAAGAAGCGGCGCTCATCCTCGCCTGACTCGAGGTGCCTACGACCCAGTCACCACCACCTGGCTGAAGATGAAGGTCATGGGCACCTATCCTCGCCCGCGCAATCCTCACCCACCCAGCACAAGCTCGAACGCGTCCTCGCCAACCAGAAGCGCCCCACAAGCCTCGGGATCGGCATGCCCACAACCCTCGCACTCAACGCGAACAAGAAACGCCCCCACCGCCCTACCCTCAGCGCGATGATCGCACCCGGCGAGGGTCCTATGGGTGCCCTGTCCCCTCAGCCCGCGACCGCACACCCAATGTTCCCGACGGTAGGGGACGGGCACTCGGAGCATCGCGCCCCTCGTCCGCCCCCCGCACGCCGTGCGTTCTCCGCGGTGCTGCCCCCCAACTTACTCGACCAGACGATGTCGAGCGAGGCAAGCTTCGAAGAGGACCTTGGCATGAGCTCGCCCGCGCAGGCGTACGCGAAGCGCCAGCAGATGAAGACGATCCGCCGCTGCGACGGCGCGGACGACTTCCCGCCCACGGGCGCGACTGCGCTCACGAAATGCGACAACGAGGTCTTGAGCACTTCGGGCCGCAGCAGGCGCCATAGCGACGAGAACGACCAGTCGCGGAGCGGTGCAGAGCGCGACACGCCGCGCAGCAAGTATTTGACCGGCCTCGGTGGATTCGGCGACAACGAGGCGCACGGCAAGATCCTCCCGTGCCACCGCGTGCGCGAGGACGGGCTGATGAGGATCAACCCGACGACGGTATGTTACAATCTAGCTGCTTGCGGTGTGTCGTCGTCTGACGCGAGATTCCTTGTCTAGCTCAACAAGCTTCTGGACGGCGCTTACGATTCGAAGATCAATAACTACCACATCATCGACTGCCGGTTCGACTACGAGTACCTCGGGGGCCACATCCCGGGCGCGATCAACATCAACACCACCGCCGGCGTGGAGGAGTTCCTCCTCGGCCTGTCTGCGAACAAGCCGGAGCCGTCTACGAGCAGCGATCCCAACAAGAAGACGATCCTTGTGTTCCACTGTGAGTTCAGTGTTAAGAGGGCCCCGACATTGTAAGTCCTCCGCATTATCGGCTCAGCGACCGCCATCTGACCATCCCATCTGCAGCGCTAAGCATCTCCGTTCGAAGGATAGGGCGATGAACAACCATGTGTACCCGCGCGTGCACTTCCCCGAGCTGTACGTGCTCGAGGGCGGGTACTCGGGCTACTTCCACGAGTCCGGCGGGCGCTGCCAGCCGCAGGCGTACGTGCGCATGGACGACCCGCACTACGCGCAGTCACGCCGCGAGGACCTGGGTCAGTTCCGCAAGGCCAAGTTCGGACGCACCAAATCATACGCGTACGGCGAGGGGAATATGTTCTCTATGACCGGGGCCGCGCAGCAAGTCCAGGCCGCGCAGCCGAAGCGCAACACCGCACCGAGCGGGGGCCTGACGACGCTTTTCGCGGCCGCGAACATCGCGCGCACCCGCCGCGCTGGCCTTCGTACTATCGCTGAGGGCCCGAACAGCCCCGGCCACGGCAGCGACGGGGACGACACCGACATCGGTGACAGCCCGTGCCCGCCGCCGACTAAGAATGTTGCGTCCAAGGGCAAGAAGATCGGGCGGGCACCGCTTGCGCGGGCGGAGACCTACGGCCCGTCGCGCATGAACATGGGCTTCTGAGCGGGCCTTGCTCTGAAACTCCGTCGCCGTCTTTCAACGTTCAACTCCCCTCCCTACATCGCCATGCATGGATATTTCTCTCGACTACTATGCAGTTGCTACATCGATGCCGCCCGTTGCGAAGGACAGCCCATGCGGTTCTTTCTGCGTCGCTCCGCCTCGCCTTCGTTACGCCCTTCGAACTTGGTCGATGGCCGCTTCATTTGTGAAGCAGTCCCTTCCAGGCATCCGCGGACACGGATTCATGTTCTCACTTCGTCAGAACATCTCGGTTGTCCCTCACACCATGTTCGCCGCTTGTTTTACCAGTGCTTTCAAATCCGTTCATTCTCCGTCCCGTCTAGCTGTCGCGCGTGAGCGGTCGTCCTCTACCTTCCCATCTCTTCCTTCCCAAACCCCAAGCCCGACTCTTCATCCACACCATCAGTCTCGACCCCGTCACCCCGATCGCATTTACCCACCGTGTATTTACGTCTACAGGACGGCCTCCGTTGGCCGGCCTGAAGGTTTGTCGTTCCAGTCCGTTTCTCCGTTCAGTGTTCGGTCGCCCATGCCCCCCCCTCCTCTCCTGTACATAGCGAGCTTGCCTATGATCTTGATCCCGCCTACCGTCGCCGTGTCCTACGCCTTCTCCCGCAGTCTGTCGCGCTGTCGATAGCCTTTGCCCTCTCCTCCCCTTCGCCTGCCCTCCTCCTCCCGTCTAGTCTTCTGCCCACTCCTCCTCGGCGCCTCCTCGGGACGCGACCCCGCTCGGACTCCTCCACGTGTACATCCACCCCCTTTTTGCATTCTGCCCCACAGCACAAGATACAGATTAAAGATGTATTTTCGCGAGTCGCTACCAACAATGTAAACGGTCCTTGCAACAAGCTGTGTGTATAGTGCGCGGATTAGCTACACTTCGTTTCCCGCGGGCCGCGCACTTTGCGCACTTGCCCAGGCCGTATTGTTCCGGCTCCGGGCAAGCGCTCCATCGTCTCGCCCCGCAGTTGCTACTAACACCGTGCAATCTCTTCCTCCCAATACTATGTAGCACTGTGACGCCAACGAGCCTTCGAGCATGTGTCGGGCACGGCGCATGAGCTTGGGGCACCAGAGTGCACCCTCCACAAAGCACACCACGACGATAACGAACCGCCCTCTAACTGTCTAACCAAGCATGCGTGCTCACCTCGCGTCCGCACAGGGCAACGTGATCGTGGCCCGGCAGGTCGCGAAGCGGTACGGTGCCATCATCTCCATTGCGCTCAACCCGGGCAACATCCAATCCGAGCTCCTGCGCCACATGTCGCCGCTCCGGCAGAAAGTCATGGTGCGCTCCTTTGTACTGGTCTGACTGGGAGGGCGTCGGTCGCTGACCGTGTTTGACCGGGGAGGCGCGACAACCGTCCAGACTGATCGCGTCTGCATCAAGCGGGTGTGGGTGGCGGCGGTAAGGGAGAGCGCGTCGGCGAGGGAGAGCGTGTTGGCTAGACCAAGTCGAAGCGCACAGTGAGGAAGAAGAGGATGCGGAAGACATTGTCGAGGGTGACAAGCGGGGGTACGTGCGGAAAGCGTGTGGGATATTGTCGCGGCCGAGGACAGCCCGCGTCTTGAACACCTCACACTCTGCAGCCCCCCGCCGCCGGGCCCCCGCGGACGTCGACCCGAACGCGGCCCCCGCGGTCTCGGTCCGCACGCTCGTCGCGCTCCCGCAGGGCTGCCCGCGCCTCGAGGTCCTCCGGCTGCCCTACGGGCCTCGACCTCAGCGCGCCGGGCGGTGGCGGCGACGGCGGGGACCTGCTCAAGCTGTTTGCGAGGGTGCGCCCCGGCGCAGTGCCGGACGTGCCGCCCATGGCGCACGAGCTGCACTGGCTCCAGTTCGACTGCGCGCCGGACCCGGAGGCGGAGAACGCGCTCGCGGTGGCGTTTGCGCTGGACAGGATGTTCCTGGATCTGAGCGAGGTCGGGCCGGCGTACGTCGTGCTCGAGAGCCATGACGGGAGGGAGCGGCCGGGGGGCGGTGAAGATGCGCAGCAGGAGTTTTGGGACGACGTGTGTTTCGGGCTCGAGTGTTGTGAGACTGCGCGGCAGAACCGGGGGGAGCGGAAGATGCGGAGGATCATCGGGCTGGATGGGTAAGGAGGGTTTTTTCGAAGAAGTGTTCGTGCGATAGATAAAAGCAGTCTGTACATCAGGAAGGGGCGGTGAATGTAAGCCCCGCAACGTGGATGATGCTTTCCAGCTCGGCTGTATTGTCCTTAGTAGGTCATCTGTGACTCAGATCCTGCGAACTGAATGCCCGCCCCAGACCCACGGGAGTAATCGAAGGGTTTCTACCCAGGCGTGTTATAAATACTCCAGGCTCTGATGACAGATGGGCTCACCATCTGTCCCATCTCGATCGCAGGAAGGTTGTGCGTGAGTTGAGTTGAGGTCCCGATGCGAGTGGACATGATCTGGACAGGACCAGATAACTTTCCTGCATTGGTGAGAGACTGCCGTGTGTTGAGACTGCATGATGCGGATAGACGTGAGCAATCGAGCGCAGTTCAATCATTAACACGTACACTGCAAGCACTGAGTTCGTGTAAACTGCGTGATGACCGTAAGCGAGAGGGCACGAATCAACATAGCTGTCACCACTCACGCCGAATCGTGACAATCTCTACACCGATCCATATGAATGTGTCGGGAACCGCTAATGCCTAGCAATGGAATGGGCAAAATGATGTTTAGTTGTGGACTGGAAATGCTCACCATGATCAGTGCAAACAGGTTGAAGATCCTGTTCATCGAGTTCCTCAGTGATCATATACTATCAGTGTTTTGTGGAGACAGTACCATACGTTGTGAGCAAACCGGTGGTCATGGTATACAGTATGAGCTTGTTTAGGATATTGTTGGTCCTGTGTAGTGTCAGAAGATGAAGCATGGGCACGTCGAAGTACACCTACTGCTTGATGCCACTGCGGTTACGCTTCAGAGTCACGACGAGAACAGTGGTCATAAGCGTGTCTCCGATCATGCCTGCTCCGCATGCAGCGGAGTCGATCCACTGTGCAGGTGCGTCAGAGCATTGCAGATGAAGAGACATAGATATGGCCACCAACGTAGAATTTCTCGTATTGAGTAAATCGTTGGAATTTAAACCTGATGACGCGTGTCAACTTTACATTCAGAGTCGCATGAGCAATCGAAGATCACTGACCCTATGATTGTCCCGGCTGCATTTGAACAGTAGTGAGGCTGGGGTTGTCCGCAACTGTGCCCTACTGACCTATTGCAAACCCTGGAGGCATTGTCAGTTACACAGCTCATGACGAGAGAAATAACTCACCGAAGGTGACAAACATCGCAACCACCTGGACGTCATGAGTGTTAAGTGACATAACGTCGTACGAGAGCTATTGCTCAACCTACAGTGACGACCACCAGGTATCGATATTGTGGGCTGACTGCTCGTAATCAGAGACGTTGGTCGTGTTGTATAGAAAAATGAGATGCCTCACGTATATAAACCCTTCTAGCGAAGAAGCTAACAAGGGCGTGAGTCATGCACTAGAACCCCAAAGTCGGCAAACACCACCTTTGACATATAACAATGGCGAAACCCTAGCAACATCCGTCTTATAGTGATCCGAAGTTAGAACAGTGAACCTGTTCGGCTTACCGCTAACAATGGTTGGATCTAGTTGGACCCAGCAAGGTAAGGGAACGAAACCTGAACAGAGTAACGGGCTTGCCTGAATAGACCTAGAAAGCTCTCACTCAGCAGGAACATAGCTTCGTGTCGAGGATGAAAACAGACCAGATGCCTCCCAATAGCACTAGCGGCTGGAAATACCCACTCACTAGGTACGCATAACTGGATGATGTCAGTCATTAAGCTCGGCACGGGAATCACACCACGTACCATGCGTGGGTGCACGCTATGAAATGCACTGTATCGACAACCCTAAACAGAATGTCTTCACTGAAAGCCCTCCATTCTGAACAACGTGAAGACTGACATAATGGCGACCACCTGCGAAGACCAGAGGTGTGAGTTCTGATGAAGACACTATGGAGATCATTTTCAATCGCTCACGAATGCCTTGTTAAGCCACCTATCTTTGCTGTACATTCGAAAATATCGAATAACCTGATGGGCGAGCATACCATATAGACTGAAGTTGTGACGATGAGCCACTGCATGTATCTCTTCAATGAGGAAACAAACCACTCGCCTCAGACTGCCCAGGGTGCCGAGCAGCAAAGCTCCGTAGGTGTTATGCAGCTTTGGGTACGGCGGAAGCAAGGAGATGCTGGCCGCCACGTGAGGATGGAGATGAGAAGGACCGTCCATGGCTGCCGAAGTAAGTTGTAATGGGCTGGGGCAGGTCTATATATCAGTGCGCGAGCTAGACAGCCCCGGTTGATGAACCCGCGAACGCGAAGAATGTCCCTTGATTATGATGGGTGCATGATACGTTGCGTGAGATGACACTGCGAAAGACTTGGGCGACCACGGTTCGGGTGCGAATACGCCCAGAGCAGGTTCACGGATCCCATGCGAGTGGGGGAGCCCGGTGCCCCTTGCCCCTGCATCTATCTTGTTTGCCCGCGGATGCATTCAAGCTCAACTCGGCGTGACTGCGTACAGATGCCGAGATGGTGTGCGCAGAAGATACTATAAAGATCCAACGTAAGAATAACTCACAACACGGTCTGCTCTGGCCAACCTATCCTATCACTAGTACCCTGCTGCGCCCGACGCCGCCTCTCCCTCGCGCTCAGCCGGAGCAAGACCTCTTTGAAGCGCGTCAAATCCGAAGTGGTGGTGTTGCTTTGCGAGTTTTGGAGCTCAAGGATATCGCGGATGCGCTGCCAGGTCGTCCCGTGCGACAACGAATCGGAAGGTTCGGAGAGGAACTGCTCTTCGTGCTCCCTAGTGGAGGGCAGCACTGTCAGAACGGACACATCCAGAGTGCTTGTTCTCCTTGATGTTGCGCTCCTTCTTCGCGACGCACTCCTCGGAGAACTGATCAATCACGCGTTCAGCCTTTCCGATGAGGAGCACTCGCACGCGGACGCGGAGACAATTGAGGGTGCAAGGGCGCGGAGCCGCGAGCACGGTAGATGCCGGCAGGTGTACATGGTGCGGTAGGTTCAACACTCAACGTTCAATGTTCAACGTTCAACAAAGAGCTGCTCACAGAGCGTCTTGCGGTGATAAAAAGCGGTGTGTCCGCGAGGGGATGACGCATGCAGATGGGAGTGAGACGGGGTGGATATACCTGGGTCCTGGGTCCTGTGCTGCCCGCCTCCCACATCTTCAAATTTCACTCGGTTTGAGGCGCAGGAAAGTCGCCTCAGTCGAAGGAGTTCTTACAGCAAGCGATTGGTGAAAGAGACTATAGCGGAAATGTAAAGAGGCAACAGGGAGGTGACAGTGGATGTAGAAGACATGAGTGCGTTCGGATGCTTAGGCCAACGTGTGAGATCGATGCAGTCACGTGGAGATTTGCCGCCCACCGGTGCACCATGGCAGGCATCGTAAAGGGTGACAACGGGCAGTAGCATAACGGAAATATTTTTGAGAGAGCAAGAAGTAGCCAACGGCCCGAAAAATGCAAGTTTTTTTGCGCAAAATGGCCCCCCGAGAACACAGACAAGTCGGACTAGACAGGCGCTTGCAGTGCGAGAGGCTTGAAATGATGTACTGACTTGTTTTCACCCGCCATCGTGTCGCGCGCACTCTGGCATTACCTCGCATTAGCCACAGTCGCGCCGCGCACACTCTGGCGCGACCTCGCGCGCCGTAGGGATGGGCGCAGAATTGTGGGTGACCGTGGTGTCGCATAAAAAGGATGAGCCATCGTCTATCTGTTCATGGATTGTGACTTGTCTGGATTTGTTTTGCTCTAGGTCAATATGTTGTATCTGGGCTGTTATGTGGTTTCTCTGATTCGTGCCTATAGAATTTCGTTCAATCTATCCCCTTCCATATCGTCGACGTCAGTTTCTTGTGGGCTTCGCGTGAAGGAACTCGCATTTACGCAACCGCCAGGCTAAACCGCTTGATTGTTGGACTTCACGATCCACGCCCTGCCTGCCATTGTGCTTCGAGACTCTCCTTACCCCTGTCTTAACGTTTTATTGAGCCGACATGAACCGACAAACGACGCCACTGAGTTGTTCGGTCTTGGTTGCTCCGGTAAGCGCACTCTTTGCATGAGCCCAGTTATGGGAAACTCGGCGCCTAGGCACTAAGAGGAGCTTCTTCCAACGCTCCTATCGCGACCACGCTTCGCCCTCTCTGGGTACTACTGGAGATCACATACACTCTGGCATAGCATACGCATATGGACAGTACACGCTAACCAATGGGTGCCACACTGCAAAGACTCCGCGGGGGGGGAAAAAGCAAAGGCAGACGCTCCCAGACGCTCCCCCGCCTCACCGCTTCTCAAACGCGAACCCGACGTAGATGTCTGGCCCACCGCGTCAGCGAGCCCGTCAACCAGCACGGCAAAGGAGGAAGCACTCACTCGCCGCCTCCCACTGGTCCTCGTCCATGTGGCTCTCCCCGTTCGCGTCGACGACGCGCATGCGCTGCAGCAGCGGCGCGAACTCGGGGTGCTCCTGGTGCTCCTCGAAGATCTGGTGGAACTCCTTCTTGTACACGCAGTGCAGGCCGTACTCGGCCGCGAGCCCGACGAAGTTCTCCCAGTGGACGACGTACTCCGGCACGTCGTCGACCGCGTCCTGGAGGAAGAACCAGTACCGGTGCCCGAACACGGGCCGCGCCGCGCGGTCCTCGAACCGGATCCGGTACACCGCGTTCCCCCACGACAGGTCGGGCGCGCCCGCGGGGAGCGCGTCGAGCTGGGCCATCAGCTGGTCCGCGTCCGGCACGGTGCCGATGAAGACGCCGCCGGGACGGAGCCAGGTGGCGACGTTGGCGAGCATCGTGCGCGCCTTGCGCTCGCTCTCGAACGCGTAGTGCATGCAGAACTGGAGCGAGACCACGTCGAAGGGCGTCGCGAGCAGCTGCGCGGGGAGCTCGTCCGCGAGCCCGTGTGTGTAGCAGTCGAGCGCGAAGAAATTCGCCGTGAACCGCGCGCCCTTGGACGTCCCGTGGCGCCCCCGCGCCTGGTCGACCGACACCTGCGCGATGTCTGCGTGCGTGCGCGTGCGCGTCAGCACTCCGCCCCCGCCCGTGCGTGCGCGTGAAGAAGGGAGGACTCACCGAGACCGACGTACTCTGCGACGTTCGCCTTCGCCCATTTCGTCAGGTCACCGCCCTTCCCGCAGCCCATGTCCAGCACGCGTCCGCGCATGCGCCCGTTGCGGCGCCCAGGCGAAGCGGCAAGCGCCGGGTGGGCGAAGCGTGTAATCAGCACGCTCTTCACCCAGTTGTTGAAACTCTTCAGGCCAATGATGGGCGAGTCCTGCCGCTGCGCCACGCCCACGTCGGGTCGCGCATTGTCTGTGGGTGACGGATGGTTAAAACCAAAGCTTCGATCGTACACGAGCCGCGTGAAGAGCGCATACGGGGGCTCCGCCTTTCTCCGCGTCACCAACAACACGAAAGCGTGCGCGTCCCACGCAGCACACGCAGCAATCGAAAGAAAAAAACGCAATGGGCGACTCACAATGCTGGACTACCACAGCAACGTCTCCGGTCCGCCGCTTCTTGAGCGGCCCGCCGACCTCGCCCTGGCCCTCGTCGCCGAACCCGCCGTCCGGCTGCTCCCGCTTGAGGGGCGTGCCGTCGCCAAGGAGGTTGTCGACGCGCTTCCGCTTGCGCAGGATATGGGCACCGACGCCGCCCGCGTAGTTCCGGTACCGGTCCATCTCCGCGGGCGACAGCGGCACGAGCACCGACGCCGCCGGCGAGACCCGCAGCGGCGCGTACGGCACCGCGCTCCGCCGCGATGTCGATGGCGGCGGGGACGGCGGCGGCATCGGCTTCTGGGGCAGGCTCGACGAGGGCGGGGGGAGCGACGATGTGGACGAGGAAGGTGCGGCGGTCACAGGAGGAGGAGGAGCGGGGGCCGCCGTGCGAGATTTGGGGCGCGCGCCGTTGCTGGGATGCGCGCCGTTGTTGGTCGGGTGTGGCTTGGGAGGCATGGTCGGGTTCGTTGGCGGCTGGACGGGGGCGGCGGCAGCTGAAGTACTCTTCGCCCGGGGTGGTGGTGTCGGCGCGGCCGGGGGTGGGGCAGGTGCTGGAGCTGGCGTCCGCGTAGGTTCTGGCACAGGCTTCGGTGCGGGGATCGCCCTCGGTGCAGGGGCAGGGGCTGCCGGGGCGGGGATCGAGGTCGATGGAAAGGCGAGTATGGGCCCAGATGAAGCCGCAATGGCAGGTCCTGGGGCAGGCGCGGCCAATATGGGCCCCGCTGCTGGCGTAAACGGAGGCGGTATCGACGCGGCTGCATGCACGGGGGCTGGCGGCTGCACGCTTGCTGCAACCGAGGATGCCGGTTTCGCTGGCGATTTCGGCCGGCGGGTACGTTTCGCGGGAGGCCTGGGCGAAGGTGGCGACTGGACGACAGCGGCGACTGGGGGTGGCGGACTGGGCACACGAGGAGAGCGATAGACCGTCTGTTGGGGTGGCGGCATGCCTGAGGACGGCTGGCCAGACGTCGAGGGCCGCGACGAGGGGGTCGGGTAGCCGGTGGATGGGCGAGAACTGGGGCCGGAGGGGAAGGAAAAGGAGAAAGCAGAGGACGAGGCCACGGTTGGCGGGGCGGCTGCGCCGGGCAGAGAGAGTCCAAAAGACTCGCGGCGCGGCTGGGGGAACCGTTCACGCTCTGCGGCCTCGTTGGAGGCGACGGACGACGAGGACGCACGGCGGACGTTGTTGATGCTGCCCGGATGTGTGAAGTATGACTGCGAGGTGTCGGAGACAGCGGCGGAGGAGCGTCTGCGGAGAGGCGTGATGTAGGCAAGCTGGTCGGGCTCGGGACCTTGGTCAGTGTCTGAATGAAGGAGGTGGGAGAGCGTGGCGGGTGCGCGGGGCGTTGTGGGCGTGAAGAGGGGTGTGTCGACGGGTGCGGGGTCGGAGTTGAGGAGCATGGAAAGATCAGTCGCGCGGCGGGTTAGGGGGCTCACCAACGCGGCGCTGGGGTTCGCGTCGAACGAGGCGTGTGTACGGTCGGTGATGATTGACATCCCGTGTGCCCTCATACCGGGGTGCTGCTGAGGGTGTGGCGGAACGTGCGATTGTAGGTGGGCGGGGTACGGATGGGTAGGGGTTTGCGGTGTGCGCTCGGCGGGATGGTGCATACGGGCCGAGGCGGGGAGGGGGTGTGTGGATGCGATGGGGGAGTTGAGGACCGCATCGCGGACAGGGTCGAATGCAGGCATGGGATGCGAAGGACGCGGGAGGGGAGGAAGAGTGCGTACGAGCGAGCAGGCTAGGAAGGCTCGATATGGGAGTTGAGTCGCCCGCAGGGGCTCAGCGACGTTTCTGGAGACCGCGAGCAGGCGCGAAAAGGTATCGGGGGGCGCGCAGAGGGCGAACGTGCGGCGAGGAGAGGGTGAATGCCGGCGGGAGAGGCGCGAGCGGCGTGGTAGGTCGTGGCGGGAGGCAAAAGGGCGTTGAGCGCAGCGACGTGCGCCTCCCGCGCGCTCTCAGTCCCGCTCAAGCCTCACTCCTCTTCGCTCAGCGACGCTGCCTGTTCGCATTTCGCCCGTGCACGCGTTGTTTCATGACCGTGCGCATCGCGGACGCGAAGGCTCTTTACGTTCTCTCAAACTCAACAGCCTCTTGGCTGCTCAGATCGCGATCGCCTCACCAAGTCTCCCCTCCTCAGGGCTCTCAACGACCCCTCCGACATTTTATGAACTCCCATCTTCCGTACTCTCCGAAATTAATGACACCCTCGTCGCTAGGAAACCTCGTGGTACGTCCCGACATTACACGCGCAGGAAATTTGCTGGAAAAGGTCGAAGCCGAGCCTTGTCGCGGGGCCATCCATACTGGCACGACACTCGAGCAGTCCAATGAAGTGCTTTCAAAACCGTCTCGTCCGTCATTATATGCAATCATAGCATTAAATTACACACGCAGGCACCCGACCAGCAGCGACAGCGGCAACAGTGTCGTATGTACACGTGTGCATTACCTGTAACCATCCATTCTGAGTCCCTGCAATATACCTGCCAGCGCGCCTCGTTGGGTCTCTATCGAGTGTGCCTCGACGGGGCGAACGAACAGCGAGAAGCATATGCATGACCGGGCGGTCTACACGGCATGCCCGGCGGGGGATGGGGGCTCCACCTCTTCCCAGTCTTCCGTGGGCGCGCGGCCGCTGAGCGCAGAGCCCGGGCGTGTCCCGGCGCGTCCTTTGGTGAGGCGAAGACGGAGGAGGGTGAGGCCCTGGACGAGCGCGAAGGCGACGCACTCTGCAACGGCGATGCCGACGATGTACGCCGCCAGCATCGCGTGCTCCTTCGCGGGGTCGAGGAAGGAGTAGGCTGCGGAACGAAGGGTGGGGGGATGAGTGACCGGATGCGCAGCTGTCTCCTCTCTGGTGGGACTCACAGTAGAAGCCCTGCGTCGCGTGGGTAATGTACGCGACGCCGAGGTAACCCCCGAGGAGGACGATGCAGATGGGGAGGTGGGTCCATGGGCTTGGGGGCATGTTGGTGAGGAGGACCTCAACGAGGAGGAACACGGAGTTCATCGCGTGCACCGAGATGTTGTCCCATCCTGCGCCGCTCGTCGGTCAATGCGCCCAGCTGGAGTATACACGCACGGCACTCACTCGAATATGTCGTCCCAAGCGTCTGCGCATCGGCAAGGAGAGCCCAAAATACTGCGGTCACCACGATGGCTGTTGCACATGGTTCACGGTGGGCCGGTGCGGCGGACTGGAATTGGACTCACGAAACGAAGTGATGGTCGCGAAGAGCAGCCGATGGAGGAACTGCAGGAAGCGTGGCCAACGCTGCAGGGGGTAGCTCTTGCGCCGGTTCAAGACGTAAAGCAGCGTCTGCACGCCCGCCGCGAACTGGTAGGCGATGATCCCGATGTACGAGAGGTGTGTGAAGTAGGAGAGGTACCTGGGCGAAAGGCGGCCTGGATCAGCTCAGTCTCTGGACGGTGGCGCTCGGACACGGGTTTCGCGGCGCGAACGCGGCGACAAAGTTCGCAATGGGTGTCGTGGGCGCACGGGGCAGCTGCGCGTGCATGGTGCGCGGAGGGTAGGGGCAGCGCGGGGTGCAAGGGGAAGGAACTCACGTTTGGGCGTCGTGGTCGCGCACGGATTCGCGGACGAGCTCGAAGATGACGGCGAAGGCTGCATAGGTGCCGATTGAGAGCCGGAGGGCGGCGAGCGCGACGGGGGGCAAGCAGTAGGACGTCACGAGCTCGTGGGCGGGGTCGAAGGGGGCGGTGACACCGAAGGCGGGGTAAAGGCCTGAGCGAGCGAATTTGGCGGGCATGAGAGGGATTGTGCGCGTGGGGGAGGAAAGGAACGTGGAGGGAGCAGGAGCAGCTTTAAGCTATCGCCGTGTGCGGAGGTGGCCGTCGTGCCTGTGTGGCCTGGCAGGTGGGGGACTCGGGGGACGAGGAAGGGGAAGGACCAGCCAGAGCGTCTCAAATCGGGACGGGAGACGTTATACGCCATGCCCGCGATGGGCGACATAGCCGTCGGCAGCCGATGGTGATCGTCTCTGGGCGGATGAAGACGAATACCGTGCGCGGTCCGCCCGAGCACCGCCAACTACTCGATCGGAGATACCTGGACCGTGAAGTCGGACTAGGATGCTGCTGCAGAAAAGCGAATGAGCTCCGCCGTCCGCTCACCGTCAACAAAGGAGTCAGATTGCAAGAGGATTCCGCTTCAGGACAAGAATGCAATCGCGGCCACACGCAGATCGGGAACAAACCACTGCGGGTGTCATGCATCGACATTGCAGCCAGATTCCGCGGGTTGAGGCTGAACTCGCCCGTCAGCGTCCGACGGGGGCGTTGAGAGTCGAGAGATCCAGGCACTGGACAGCTGAGCGCGACGCTTCCACCGCGAGCATCGGCGGAGGGTTCGAGGCTCGGACGGCGGGGCCCCGGACCGATGGAGCCAATAAGGAACGGCGCACGTGGACATACGGGCAGGCGCCGAGGCTGTGGGAGGGGCGCCTGAACGGCGCCTGGCTGAGGCATCTTCTCCACCCACGAACGCTGCTCCAGCCTCTTACGACCACCATCACTCTCGTCCCCCGCCGTCCCCTCCCTCCTTCCACCCCCGGCGATCCGTCGTTTGGTCGGTCCTTTGCGCCAAGAGCCTGCTACCATGTCGGCCTCCCAGGGTGCCCCGTACGTCCCATCTCTCGTCACCTCTGCCCAATTCTCATCTCCCCCCAGCAAGCGCATCAGGATCACTGGTCAGTCTCAGTTCGACCCCCCTCAGCACTCTTCTCATCTCTCCCCCAGTCGTTGCCGCCGATGGCTTGTCCAAACGCGAGGTCTTCCGCCTCCCCGACCCCTTCGCCGTCATCACTGTCGATGCCGAGCAGACGCACACCACGAGCGTGATGAAGAAGACCCTCAATCCGTACTGGAACGAGAGCTTTGACATGTAAGTCCTTGCCCATCGCTCTTGTGCACCCCTCGACGTCAGGCGAACCGATCCTACCTCCCAGTACCGTCAAAGACAACTCTGTGATCGCCGTCCAGATCTTCGACCAGCGCAAGTTTAAGAAACGTGACCAGGGCTTCCTCGGTGTCGTCAACGTAAAAGTCTGCGATGTAATTGACCTCGAGCTTGGTGGTCACGGTGCGTCTTTCATTTCTCTCGTGCTCCATCCACAGTGTCGGTCCGCACACGGCATGCAGCGCTAGCCCTCATCCCTTTAGTCTAATCGGTCCGTCTGGCTCTGGGCAGCTCCGCCAGTCATATACGCAGCGTATGCACATACCAGTTAACTACTACCGGGAGCCTAGCTCGACTCATGCAGGACATGTGCTCTGCATGTCATTCCGAGCCGTTGCCCAGTTACTGCTTTCAGCGTCTACGGATCACGCTGTGGAGTTCCGGTGCTGAGCAATCCGACCATATGCTGATAATCGCCTTCTCCAAACAGAGATGCTTACCCTCGACCTTAAGAAGTCGAACGACAACCTCGTCGTCCACGGCAAGCTCATCATCTACCTCTCCACCAACGTCAGCCAGCCGATAAGCAACCCGGCCCCTCTCAGGTCAACGGTGTCTCCGAAGCTCTCGGCGGCCTCTCCGTCGGCCAGTCCGCAAGTGCTAGTTCCACCAATCTCGCGTCCACTGGTACCCTCTCCCGCACACCCAGTGCATCTGCCACGTCTGCCACCGCCGCCGAGTCTCCTGTCTCCATGCCCATCCCTCAGGTGACACCCGCTACCCCGGAGCCCGAACCGAGCGTCCCTACCCCCGCTGCTCTCCCTGTCAGCGCAAGTGGCAGCCCCGTCACTACCCCTCCCTCCCAAGTCCCTGCGACAACCAATGCCAGTGCTGCGGCGCATACGGCGTCCAACAACAATGCCCAAACGCGTAACTTCAACCCCCACGAAGACCAGTATGGCCCCCTGCCGACTGGATGGGAGCGTCGGATCGATCCTCTTGGGCGCACGTACTACGTTGACCACAATACCCGCACAACCACATGGCACCGTCCTTCAGCCAACCAGACTCTCAATTCCAACAACCAGACTGGCGAGACGGACGCTGCGCGCAACCAGCACAACCGCCGTATTCTCGCAGATGACATGCTGGACACGAGCGCCGCCGCTGTTGCCCACAGCGGCTCTATGACTGGTCAGGAGCCAGGAAACCCGCCACCCCAAGCCAACCCCGGCGCACCCGCTGCTGGAGGTCTTGGTCCTCTACCCGCCGGATGGGAGGAGCGTCACACTCTTCAGGGCCGCCCGTACTACGTGGACCACAACACGCGCACTACCACCTGGGTGGACCCTCGTCGGCAGACGGTCATCCGGGTCATGGGCCCCAACGGGCAGAACTCGGCCCTTCAACCCCAGACGATCTCACAACTCGGGCCTTTGCCGTCCGGATGGGAAATGCGTCTCACCAGCACCGCGCGTGTATACTTCGTGGATCACAACACGAAGACAACGACATGGGACGACCCGCGTCTGCCCTCGACGCTGGATGCGAACGTACCGCAGTACAAGCGCGACTTCCGCCGGAAGCTCATCTACTTCCGCTCGCAACCTGCGATGCGCAACCAACCGGGCAACTGCCAGATCAAGGTCCGCCGAAACCACATTTTCGAGGACAGCTACGCGGAGATCATGCGCCAGACGCCAAACGACCTCAAGAAGCGGCTGATGATCAAGTTCGAGGGCGAGGACGGTCTCGACTACGGTGGACTGTCCAGGGAGTTCTTCTTCCTGCTCTCGCACGAGATGTTCAACCCATTCTACTGTCTGTTCGAGTACTCGGCGCACGACAACTACACGCTCCAGATCAACCCAGCGTCGGGTGTGAACCCAGAGCACTTGAACTACTTCAAGTTCATCGGTCGGTGCTAGGTCTCGGCATCTTCCACCGCCGCTTCCTGGACGCGTATTTCGTCACGGCGTTCTACAAGATGGTGCTCCGCAAGAAGGTTGTCATCGCCGACTTGGAGAGTGTCGATGCCGAGCTCTACCGTGGTCTCAGCTGGATGCTGTACGTCACCTGTCTTTTTGATATGTTTTGTTGCTTATTGGGTTGTACAGGGACAACGATATCACCGACGTCATCGACGAGACGTTCACTACCACCGAGGATCGCTTCGGCGAGATGGTCACCGTCGAGCTTAAGCCCGGAGGCGCAGACATCCCGGTCACCGAGGAGAACAAGAAGGACTACGTCGGCCTCATCGTCGAGTACCGCATCTCGCGGCGTGTCAAGGAGCAGTTCGATGCTTTCATGTCCGGCTTCAGCGAGCTTATTCCTCAAGACCTCATCAACGTGTTCGATGAGCGCGAACTTGAGTTGCTCATTGGTGGTATGTCCGAGATCGATGTGTACGTACTTCCTTTTCGTTCTGGTTTGATGATCGGTCTGATTGCCTTCCCAGCGACGATTGGATCAAGTTCACGGACTACCGTGGGTACGAGGTCAACGACGAGGTCGTTCAGTGGTTCTGGAAGTGCGTGCGGAGCTGGCCGGCCGAGCGCAAGTCGCGCTTGCTCCAGTTTGCGACTGGGACGTCGCGTATCCCAGTCAACGGCTTCAAGGATCTGCAGGGATCGGATGGACCCCGTCGATTCACGATCGAGAAGAGCGGAGACCCGAACCAGTTGCCGAAGAGCCACACGTGCTTCAACCGTATCGACCTGCCGCCGTACAAGGACTACGAGACGCTGGAACAGAAGTTGACGTGGGCCGTCGAGTGAGTGTTCTCGGTGACTCTGTCTAGTGTTGACTGATCGCTGACATTGTTTTCAGGGAAACTATGGGTTTCGGTCAGGAGTAGACTGTGTCTTTCGTCTTGTCCCGGAATACTGTGTCCGGCCGTTGTTTTCCCCGCCCTCGCCCTTGCGACTCTCACCTGCTTTAGTCATTCCTCATGCTCGTCCACGTACCCCCACGTCTTTTCTCCTGTTTATTGCATGCACATCCCCCTCCTCGTTACTCGTCCACCAATTCGCTGTATGTCACTTTGTTTTTAGTGTCGTCTTTTCCCCACCTTCCCCACTGTCCTCGTTTCGTCTGTTGTGTGTTAGTTCTGAGATCCGAACGTTGGTCCGCTGGGGAGTGTCTTAATTCATAGACACGCTAGGCTAGGCCCGGGGTCGCTCGCTAGTCGTGTCGTGTAAGTAGATCTGTCCGTCGTGCTGTGAAAACAGTGTCTGCGTTCTTCCGAAATGGTGTTTGCCATGTCGAGTGACATGTCCGATTGAGGATTTAATCGTAGATGGTTTATCTTGGCGACGGCAAGATTGCAGAGCGCGCGGGCTGTGAGCCATGGAAGTGAGGCAGCACACGCGACGTTGCACCGACCCACTGCTCTGACCAGCCACGCACGCCTCGTCCGCAGGCAGAAGACGGCAAACGGACCGCAGAAGAAACACACTCGCCCATCGGAGGAGAGATGGTGAGTGCAACGGGCCCGCGACTTCTTGCCCGCCGCAGTGCCAGTGCGCTGGCCCGAGTGCCGCTGCGAGGGCCAGCAGCACGCGTGGCACCCCTCTCGGCGTCCTCTCTGCCCTCTGCGCGGCGATCCCCGAGGAGTCCTGCGTGGGCTATAAAGCACGCTGCGCTGCTCCAGCCCCGGCACTGCTCGACCGTCCCCGGGTTCGCGACCGTATCTGCAGCACACGACATGGCCACGATCCGACCGATTACCGCCTGCCGACCAACGTCGCGCCGACGCACTATGCGCTCACCGTCTGGACCGACCTCGTCGCCAGCAAGTTCGGGGCATCGTCCACATCGAGTCCGTCCCCGCGTTCCGCCTCCTTTCGCGCCTCCTGCACGGACACTGACTCCGCGCCGATCAGCCTCGACGTGAAGGAAGAGACGGACACGATCGTCCTCAACACCGCCAAGTCCGTCCTCGGCGACGTCGCCCTCCGCCTCGACGGCGCGGCGGCGGCGCAGGCCGCGACGGCGCGCGAGTACGACGCGAAGACGCAGCGGGCGACGTTCACGTTCGCGGCGCCGCTGCGCAAGGGCGCGAAGGCGCGGCTGTCGGTCGCGTTCGCGAACGAGCTCGACGCGAGCCTCATGGGCTACTACCGCTCCACCGGCGGCGCGGACGGCCGCACCGTCTACGCGCTCACCCAATTCGAGGTCCGTCCCCCCGTCCTCGTCCGTGCCCCTCTCCGCTCGCTCACGGCTTCCTCTTGCCTCGACTGTTTGTGTGCATCACATCTGGATGTCTGCGCCTGGGACGGCACCATTGGCCCCTGTGTGCGCACAGCCGACCTCCGCGCGCGAGGCGTTCCCGTGCTGGGACGAGCCGCTGCTCAAGGCGACGGTCGCCGTCACGCTCGTCGCGCGCGTCGGCACGACGAGCCTGAGCAACATGCCCGCCGTGTCCGAGGCGCCGTTCCCGGACGCGGCGGTCGAGGAGCCGTGGATCGCGGAGAAGGTCATGAGCCTCGCGGACCCGAGCGAGTGGAAGGTCACCAAGTTCGCGACGACGCCGCCGGTGAGCCCCAGCATCTCTGCGGGCGCAGTGGGGGACGGGCGCTGACTCCCGCCGCCGTCGCCGGTAGATCTCGACGTACATCATCGCGTACGCGAACGGCCCGTTCGAGTACCTCGAGGACTCGTACACCAGCCCGCTCAGCGGCAAGGTCCGGCCCCTCCGCATCTATGGTGAGCTTCCGCCCGAGCCGTGTGTGTAGACGTCGGGCACGCGCTGAACGAGATTCGGACAGCGACCGCGGACAACATCGGCCAGGCGCAGTTCGCGCTGGACATCAAGCGCAAGGTGCTCCCGCTCTACGAGCAGGTGTTCGACATCGAGTACCCGCTGCCGAAGTTGGACACCCTCGTCGCTAGCGACTTTGACTCGGGTATGTGGATGGATGTGAGTCCGGCGGCGTGTGCTGATCTATTCTGGGTGGGCAGGGGCCATGGAGAACTGGGGCCTCATTGCGGGAAGGACGTCGGCGTACCTGGTGGACCCGAAGTCCTCGGACTTGCGCTCGAGGTGGTCCATCGCCACCACGCAGAGTCACGAAGTAGCGCACATGTGGTGGGTGAAACCCCCCGCATCACAGGAAATCCACCACTCATACCTGGAATGCAGGTTCGGCAACATCACGACGATGAAGTGGTGGGACAATCTGTATCTGAATGAAGGTATGTGGTTCCGCAACCATGCTAGTGTCGTTTCTGAGTCAACCTACACAGGATTTGCCACGCTTGTGAGCCTTTCGCCCAATGATCGCATCTATTAAGACTCATAATTCGTGTAGATGGGCGAGTTGATCATCTTGGGTGAGTGCACTCCCAAGTATCCCTTGATTATTCGCTCACGCTTTCCGTAGACAAGTACATCAAATTATGTTGTGCGCTCCCAACAATACTAATTATCGCATCAGGGTCTTCCCGGAGTGGCAGCTCGACTCAGAGTTCTTAACCACAAATTTCTTTGATGCGCGAGGGCTGGACTCGAAGTTGTCTTCCCATCCCGTTGAGGTCCCGTGCCCGGATGCGAGCCTGATTAACCAGGTAAGTGGATCGGACAAGGGTGAGAAACGTGTTGACGATCCACCTGGTTCAGATCTTCGATGCTCTCTCGTACGCCAAAGCCGCCTCTGGTTCGTGATTCACAGCGATCGACGCGCCGTCGTGTTTGCTGAGCGTCGCGCTAGTGCTTCGGATGTTGTGCAGCTATGTTGGAGAGGAACACTTCCTCAAGGGCGTTTCGATCTACTTGAAGAAGCACAAGTACTCCAACAGTGTGACGGAGAACCTTTGGGAAGGGATCCAGGAGGCGACAGGTACGTGGGACGATGTGGTTCTCAGCGACGTTGGACTGACCCTTTATCAAGGTCGTGACATCCCGAAAATGATGGACAACTGGGTCAAGAAGGTGAGTCTAATCCCTCGTGCATCAGTGTCTCGACTGATTCTCGGTTTAGATTGGCTACCCGGTCGTCACTGTCACAGAAAAAGAGGGCGGCATTCACGTCCGTCAAGACAGGTTCCTAGAGACTGGCCCTGCCGACCCGAAGGACAACGAGACTATATGGTGAGCACAAGTTCACACTGTATCTCACACTCGGACCACTGATAAATGTTCCGACGGCGCATAGGACCATCCCGCTTAGTCTGGTTACGGTCGGGGCGGACGGCAAGGCCACAATCAACAGGGATCTCATCCTCGATCAGCGCGAGCTTTTCATTCCACTCGACGCCAGCCTGCCGTTCAAGCTTAACGCCGACACTACCGGATTCTGTACGTTCTCTGTTGGTCTCCCGCGTACAAAGACTAAACGAGGGTCCTGTAGTTGCTACTGCATACTCTGAGGAGCGTCTCGCTAAGCTCGGAGAGCAGGCCGCGGCCGAGAATTCACCGTTCTCTCTGTCGGACCGGATCGGTCTCGTCTATGACGCGCTTGCCCTCGCCAAAGCCGGGTATTCCTCTGTCACCGGTGCGCTGGATCTCATCGTGGGTCTCAAGAATGAGAAGAACCGTCAGTACCTACAGTACTTGGGCTTTGTCACGCGTATTGATGGGAGTTTTTTCTTGCAGATTTGGTGTGGACTGCGATTGCGACCAACCTTTCTGGCATGGTCTCCACGTGGTGGGAGGACCAGTCCGTCGTCGACCAGATGAACGCGCTCCGGCGGGTATGTACCTCTTTCCCCTGCGCTCCGGCGTAGCTGACGCTCCGCCGCAGGAACTGTTCGTGCCAATCGTCAAGGAGCTCGGCTTCAAGTACTCAGAACAGGACTCTTACAACGTCACCAAGAAACGCACCGAAGCCATCGGCCAGGCTGCTGTCGCCGGTGATCCATGGTAAGCCCACAACCAAGCGTCATGCCAAGCGTCCTTCCCCTTACGAGACCACTCCCTTCCTCAGGGTCGTCGGCGAGCTCAAGTCCATGTTCGAGAAGTTCATTGCGGGCGACGACTCCGCGCTGCCGGGAGACCTCTTGCCCATCGCATTCCAGATCGTACGTGCCTCCCACATCTTTCTGCGTCCTCCCATGATCAACCAGCTCAATCCGTCGGTCCTTCGCGCTGTGTCTCCCGTCAACAGGGCGTCAAGGAGGGCGGACAAGCCGAGTGGGCCGCGGTGAAGGCGATCGCGAACGCGCCAAAGAGCCCGTCGCAGGGTCTCGCCGCCATGCGTAGCATGGGCGCGAGCAAGAACCTAGCCATCGCCGCAGAGACGTTCCGCTTCATCCTCGACGGCGCGCGGGACCAGGACTCGTTTTACTACGCCTCCGGGCTCTCGCGCAACTTCACGACGCGCCGGTGGGTGGTCGAGAAATTCAAGGAGAACTACGATGAGGTATGGCGCTTCCGCTAGGATTGGAGCTGCGTTGACACGGGTGTGGGCGAATACAGCTGTACAGGCGCAACTCGGGCACGTTCGGGCACATCCGGTGGATCCAGATCCTCTTCGGTCCGCTGTCGTCTCACGGGGACGCTGATGCCATCAACGCTTTCTTTGAGGTATGTACAATCGACGTCAGTGAGTGGTGTCGCTAAATCAGTGCGATGCTCGTAGGGCAAGGATACCTCCAAGTTCGACATGGCGCTGAAGCAGAGCATCGACACCATCAAGTCTCGCGCGACGTGGGTGGCGGTGAGTTTTTACGGGCCTTTTTAGTGAGGCGTAGCAATGGTTGACGCTCTTTCCCAGCGTTCGACGGACGAACTCAAGGGCTGGCTCAAGAAGAGGGAGTCCAAGTAGTGGTCCGCAGGATAAACCATGTATCATAGGACACGTTTAATTCGCTTGCGCCCCCGTCACATGTGGGAGTCTTTTGAAAAGTCGTACTGTAATGGGGTTCTTCCGTGAAGTACGCATCGTTTACCTTCAACCAAACCCTGCCCACTCCACTGAGTAGTACGTGACCGTCTGTCTCTCCTCATCCCACTCACAGAACAAATGTGATTTCTTCGTCGCCGTGCCCAACCGTCCGTGCGCGACGATCTCCATCGGCATGAGCGGCGCTTTCGGCGATTCGACCACGGAGGCGACGAAGTGCGAATGGTACCTGAGCGGGTCCCCTGCGCACCATCGGTCAGGACGTACGGAAGCCAAGGGTCGCGCGCGCCTCACCAGGGTAGACGAGAAAGTCGCCTCCGAACTTGATGCCCCCGCCCATGAAGTGGCCCTGCTCCCAGAGGTCCCGGAAGACGGCGCACTTGGCGCGCTCGAACGACGTCGCGGGGTAGGTCCACACCCCCGCTTCGCGCGCCGCGTCCAGGGTCGTGTACGAGCTTGTCGCGGGGGCGTACCACGCGAGCTCGGACGAGCTCGCTGGGATCGTGACGTTGAAAGCCAGCGGGGGTTTGCCAGGGGTCGCGGGCCGCTCATCTGGAGTGACGATGGAAGCTGCAGCCGCGGACAGAGGGATGTCGTCCACGGGCAGCCCTTCAGCCAGTGCTTTCGCGATGGCGGCGGCGGCGCGCTTGGCCTCACGCTCCGTGCGTTTCCGGATGGCTTCTTCAGACATTGAGAACTTGCTGGCTTTGTCTGAGAACCGCTCTGCTTCCGCGTTGGCTATCTGGATGCGTGCGGAGGTCTCGCGCTCGGAGTTCCAGGCTGCAAGAGCGTCTGCGGATGGCGGAGAATGCGCGTGCAGATCGTCGACGAGGACAGCGAGGTCTGGTGCCATCGGGGGTGAGTTGCATCCTATGACTTATGGAGAGCGAACCCACGTTTCTCCACAAGGAGGACTACTTCCTCTGGAAGCAAGACGAGGGGAATCCCGAGGAACACGTTCTGCTGAGACAGATGAGGCAGCGTCCCCGTTAAAATACCACAAACATGGTGTTTTGCGCGGAGCGTGGCGATGTCTGTCCTTTTTCCTGATAATTCAGCAAGGTGCGTTTTGCGAAGATATCGAGCACCCACCCTCCACGTCCCAGACATACGCCTTCTGCTGGGCCACGCGCAGCTCGATTTTGCGATCGTTGTTCGAGTCAAGGGCCATCTTGGCCAGGAAGCGCCCGCCTTGCTTGGTGTTTGACATGTCACGGCGAGTCACATCCCATGACGTGGTGTCACAGGGGGCCGCAAAGTCGTCCTTAGTCCTTGCCTTCTGGTGACCACCACCTCCACCCGCTGGCGCGCCTCAAAGCCTCCCTCAGGCTCGTGGAATGAGCGGGAGATGTGAAGAATGCGGTGCGAATACTGTCTGGGACCAGGATGTCGGCTCCGCCATCTGCCTCGAGTGTGGCACGCTCGCCGACCCGGCGCAGGCCGTCCTCTCCTCCCACCTCGATGTCGCCGACACGTCCGGACGGGAGTTCATACCGTGGGCGAACGTGCCCGGAGAAACTACGCTAAGGGGGCGGAATGGCTGGGCCCTTGGCGGACAGGGAAAGGAGGCGAGGGATCGCAAGAACACGGTACGTGCTGCAGCACTCGGCTATGAGCAACCCGTTTGACGCGTTTTGCACACGCTGTAGATCACTATGCACGAGTTCATACGGACGCTGGTGTTGCGTCTGTCCTCGCCGGGTGTCACACAGCGCGCCCAGGGTGTATTCAACCAAGCCATGCAAACGAGAAGCATTCGCTGGGGACGCCAGGCCAAGTTGACTGCCGGCGCATCCGTCGCTATCGCTCTACGCGAGTCGCGCAAGAACGACAGCATACGTGACATTGCAGTGAGTATCCTCTGCTCATTTTTATGCTATACATCGTATCTCAGCTGTTCCAGGGTGCATGAATGTGGGCATGTGTTGACGTGCTGCTGTGTCTCACAGTACCTCCTCGACGAGACACCTGTTGCGGTCTCTCGCGCGTTCACGAAGGTTGTACAATCTCTCAACTCAGCATTGCGCTCGCGGACCCAGCAAGCCACCTGCCCTCGCTGCAGACGCACTTCCTTGCTCTACTGCAGGAGTCTCAAGGCCCACCCGGCGGACCGGCAGGTGCGCTCCCCGCTCCACTCCTCAAAGCGCTCTCCCCACTCGCATCGCGCATTCTCCCCATCTCCCAGACGACCTCGGCCCTCGCCTGGCTCCTCGCACGCACCCAGGCGCTCTCCCACCTCCCCACGCTCCCCACCGCCGTCGCGCTCTTCATGCTCGCGCTCGAGGGCGAGCTCGCGGCGTCGCTCCCGCACGCGGGGCAGTTCGCGCACGCGTTCGGGGCGCGGCTCGGGGTGAGCAAGGGCGTGGTGATGCAGCGCTACAAGCAGGCGTACGACGTCGTCGAGGAGTGGATCCGGGACGTGCCGTGGCTCGCCGCGCACGAGCGCAAGGCGACCAAGGGCGGGCGGTCCAAGGTCGCGAAGCGCGTCGTCGTCGCGCGCGGCCTCCGCGACGTCGTGCAGTTCCAGGAGGAGATCTGGCGCAAGCGCATGGACGGCGCCGGGCGCCTGCCGCTCGCGCTCGACGGTGCGGACGCGGACGGAGGCGGGGGCGGGAGCGACGACGAGTGGAGCAGCCGGCAGAGCAGCGGCGGGTCGTCGGCGTCGGCCGCCAAGTCGGTCGCGGGCGACGGCGCGGGGGCGTCGCACGGGCGGAAGAAGCAGAAGGCGCGGCACGCGACGTCGGTCGTCGCGGCGTCGCATTTCCTCCTCAACCCGCTGGCCGCCGCGGCGTCGAGCGGGACGTCGTCGCCGGGACCCGGCTCCGACCTCCCGATGCACCTGCTCACCGCGGACGCGTCGTCGCTGCCGCAGGCGTTCAGCCAGCCGCCGACGCGCCTCCAGGTCCTCGCGGCCGCGCGCGGCGGGAGCGACGCTGCGCACGTCGCGGACGAGGAGCTGTTCGCGCCGGGGGAGCTGGAGGCGCTCGTGCGCGCGCCCGACGAGGTTGAGGTCGTGCGGATCGCGATGGGCTGGGACGTCGACTGCGAGCCCGAGGAAGGAGATCGCGCGGCGAGCGTGGCGGCGGGAACCAAGAGGGTCAAGAAGCGCAAGCGCAATGCGGACGGAGACGAGGACGAGGAGAAGGGGGAGTCGCGGGGTTCAAAGAGGATCAACATGGACGCGCTTGCGCGGCTGCTGGACGGAGATGTGGAGGTGGATGCCGAGGGAGCTTTCGCGGCGGACGAAGGAGAAGAGGGCGTGGACTACGAATACGAAGAGGAGGAAGGCGCGGAGGACGTGTTCGAAGAAGACGGTGACGCGTCCGCGTCGATATGTGCGCGCAATACGCGCCACGCCGGCGGAGCGGAAGAGGAGATCGTTGAAGAGTGGCGGCCGATGTCGCCCGGAGGCGGCGGGGGCGACGCGGAGAATTGGTATGACTTTTGAGCGTCGAACGTTGAGCGACGCCCGAGATCTAATGCTGGTATGTACGTATATTCCAACCTAATCCGTACTCGATCTTTTTGACGACGAGCATTGAGTTCGCAGAGCTACGGGCCCAGTCAGTGTGCTGGTGTTCTGCGCATGGTCATAGGACGAGATGGGATCCATCGACAAGGGCGATGCTGTGGGCCCGACAGACCGTGTCGTGCTTCTAGCACCCCGAAGGTCTCATCGCCAGCGGGCACTCAATCGACAAGGCCATCAGCCGCCTGCTACGCCCCAAGTTCGTCCCTTGGTCCTGCCCTGGCTGGACGGCGACCCGCCTGGCGTGCACCACGTTTCGAGGCGAGGCACCGCGGCTTCCCAGGCCCGAGGACCTCGAAACACGCCTGGACTAGACTGCAGTCCAGGATCGATGCGGTGTCGGATCCAGTGCGCGGTACCGTCCCTCGGATGGACGCGCGCGCCGTAAGCGGCAGGGGCGCGCGCAAGCTACGGAGCGGTGGCGAAAGCAGCAATTCCGTCGGGCGGCGGGTGGGAGTGGAGGAAAAGGGTGCTCGAAGGGCGCGGGGCGCACGTGTGGCTTGGGAGATCTGACTGGCTGAATGGAGTACGAAGAACGAGTTACGGAATCGCGAGTCCCCGTCGCCGTGATTGGGTCGAGGTCGAGAGAAAGCGGGAGCGACGGCGGACTTCAGGCCGGCCGGCTTCCCACTGCAGCGGCGCGCACGATCATGCGGGTGGAGAGTCAGTTGGGGCGTTGGGAGATGAGGCTTCTGGTCGAACGCCGTGGTGGGGGTGGGAGGGAGTTAGGTCGCTGGTTGCTGGATGCGCACGCGGGGGTGGCCCGACGAGGTCGGCGGGGGACGGGGAACAGAGAGCGCGAGGGAGTTAGATCGCTGACCCTCACTCGGCGTGGCCGCGCGCGGAAGGATCGGCAGCGGTGGCGAGGACGGCGGTGGAGGAGGAGTGGACGCATGACCGGGGGGAGGACAGCGAAGGAGGTGCGCGCGGCTGGGAATTCCCAAGCAGTCAGAGAGCGGCACACTGCGGGTGGGACGCGCTACTCGCGCGATCCCTTTTGCGGACGAAGCATGCCACCGCGCGGGCCTGGCGAGCGCAGGTCCAAGATCCGCGGCGCGCGCGTGTGTCCGTTGGGAGAACGCCTTGCGCGGGACGATACGAGGGACGGAGGAGAGGGCGTCGAGGGCCGCGCTGGGCCTGGATTGGCCGGGCGATGGGTGCGAGTGCTCGCCGCGGCCTGAGGCTGCGCTGCGCTCGCGGGGGAGGGCGCGCGGGGCGCGACTGGCGCGTGCGCGGGTCTTCTCCTTCTTCCTTCGCGCCTGCCCACCCCACGCCTGGTGCAAACTCTATATAATCCCCCTCTTCCACTCCCCCATCTCTCCTCCCGCCCTCCCCCCACACCATGGCCCCATCCCAACAGTTCCAGTCCAAGCCCTCTGCTGCCGTCCGACGCAGGCTCTCCTCCGTCGTCGACGCCAAGCGTCCCAATGTCACCGCCTTCTCCAGCCTCACCGTGCGCACTCCTTCATCTCTCCATCTCCCCTCCGATTGACCACTGCGCATATAGCCCATGTGGGCCGGTATCGCTGGCGCGGTCGTCAACAACAACACCGGCTTCGAGGTCGCCATCTCTATCCACGACTCCGTCTACAACACCGACTTCGCCTCCTCCTCCCTCGCCTACAGCCCCAACAACCCTGATGCTCAGGCGAACGCCATTGAGCAGCATGTCATCGACGCCCTCCGCAAGTTCTCCAGCGAGCATCTCTGCAAGTTCCTCGGCGCCGGTGTCACCGTAGCTCTCCTCCGCGAGGTGCGTCTCGTCCCTGTCGAATCTTTCTATTCTCGCCCTACGGTCCAATGTCCCTCCTCGGCTTCTGTTCTTCGCTACACCCGTCCTAATCGCGCTTCGGTCCGCCGTGCCCGTCTCCGATGTGCGCACCGAAGCACAATCGGGAAGCAGCCTCGTTAATTTCTCAAAACAACGCTTCTTCGATCCGTTCTTTCCCTCATCTGGACGATCCGCGCTCGCAGGGACCGATCGTCGATGCTCCCGAATGCCCGTCGAAGGGCGCAGCGCTCGGGCTCAGTGCGTGCTCGTGAACCTGCGAGATTTTCGCACCATGCTGCCATCGGATCCTTCTGCCGTATCTGTATTGTCGAAGCTGGCGTGGAGCTGATCTCGTCTTTGCTCCAGGCACCCAACCTCTGCACGCGTCTTTGGATGGAGATGGACATCGTCCCCATTGTCTTCAACATCAAGTCATTCCACACCGACTCCATCACGCGTCCCAATGTCAAGCACCGCATCTCATCCACCACTGGCTCATACGTCCCGTCGGGCGCGGAGACCCCTACTGTCTACTACGACCCCACCCAAGTCCCCGCCGGCCATGCCGCCCAGCTCACCGTCAACGCGACTCAAAACAAGCTCCCGATCCCCCGCACGGTTGATGAGCAGGCGGATTCCGCGGCGCGCAAGTGCCTCATGTACTTCGGACCCGGCAACAACCCGCGTCTCTCGATCGCGGCCCGCAACCAGGTCGCCGTTGACTGCGGAGGCAAGATTCACCTCATCGACGACATCGACGTCTACAAGAACTCGGTGTCTAAGGGAACGTGGAACTCGGTCATCAAGCTCGCGGATGAGCTCCGCAACTCGAAGATCAAGATGGGGTTCTTCTCCTCTACTCCCCAGGGAGGTGAGTGCACGTTCCTGTGACCCGTGTGCCATTCGCTCCCATGTTCCGCGACACGATTGCCTGGCGTCCCTTGTCCGATTCACACAGAAGTTCTTCCCCGGGGCCACCATGTGATTACCCCGCATTTGCGGGGATTGATGGCGCTAGCGGCCTTCCCCGCACTCTAATCTCCGCCCGCTCGTCCTTCATTTTCTGATCGGCTTTTGCTCTCTTTCTCACAGGTGGTGTCGCTCTCGTGAGTCACTTTCTTCCCCGCATCCCACGCTGTGGCTTATCGAAGTGTAGATGCGTCACGCGCTCATCCGATTCTTGACACTCCTCGACGTCGACTGTGCCTGGTGAGTATCGGCGTCTCTTCTACTCGCGGAGCGCGCGGTGCAATCGTCCCATGCGACGAAGGCGCAAGATCAATCGCGATCACCGTGTGAGGGCCTTCCGTTCACGCTAACTGTTTTGCGTAGGTATGTGCCGAACCCGTCGCCAAGCGTCTTCCGTACCACGAAGAACAACCACAACATCCTTCAGGGTGTCGCGGATCCCAGTCTTCGCCTCACTCAGGAGCAAAAGGACAACTTCGATGCCTGGATTCTCAAGAACGGTCTCCGCTGGACTGCCGAGGGCGGCCCCCTTGCCCCGGGCGGTGTGGACATCGCCTTCATTGGTAAGTCTTTTCATCCACTTTCTCCGGCCTGTTGTCCTGAGGCGCCGCAGACGACCCCCAGATGCCTGGTCTCATTCCCCTCATCAAGCGTGTCCGCCCCGATCTTCCCATCATCTACCGCTCCCACATTGAGATTCGTAGCGACCTTGTACACAAGGCGGGTTCTCCCCAAGAAGAAGTTTGGAAGTACTTGTGGAACAACATCCAACATGCGGACATGTTCATCTCACACCCGGTCAACAAGTTCGTCCCCAGCGACGTCCCTATCGAGAAGCTCGCTCTTCTTGGAGCAGCGACTGACTGGTCTGTCATCCTATCGCGTTTCTTTCAATCATCGTACTGACGCTCCATGGCAGGCTCGACGGTCTCAACAAGCACCTCGGCGAGTGGGATTCGCAGTTCTACATGGGCGAGTTCCGTTCCCTCTGCGTCAAGGACAAGATGAACGAGCTTGGTTGGCCGATGCGCGAGTACATCGTTCAAATCGCGCGCTTCGACCCGTCGAAGGGTATCCCCAACCTCATCGACGCCTACGCTCGCTTCCGCAAGCTTCTCGAGGAAAAGCGCCCCGATGTCGAGCCGCCGCAGATGCTCATCTGCGGTCACGGTGCCGTCGATGACCCCGATGCTAGCATCATCTACGACGAGGTCATCCAGCTCATCCATGGCACGTACCCAGAGTACGTCAAGGACTTCGTTGTCATGCGCTGCCCACCCAGCGACCAACGTAAGCATCGTTTCTCTGTCTCGTGCACTCAGTGCGTTAAACGTGGTTCTGGACTTAGTTCTCAACGCTCTCATGGAAAACTCCAAGTTCGCCTGCCAGCTCTCCACCCGCGAGGGCTTCGAGGTCAAGGTCTCGGAGGCGCTCCACACCGGCAAGCCCGTCATCGCCTCGCGCACGGGCGGGATCCCGCTCCAGATCGTCGACGGCAAGTCCGGCTTCCTCTGCGAGGCCGGCGACAACGCCGCGGTCGCGCAGCACATGTTCGAGCTCACGACGGACGACGACCTGCTGGAGCGCATGTCCGAGTACGCGCGCACGCACGTCTCGGACGAGGTCTCCACCGTCGGCAACGCCGCGGCGTGGATGTACCTCGCGGTGATGTACGCGAGCCGCGGCGCGAAGCTGCAGCCCAAGGGCGCGTGGCTGAACGACATGCTCCGCACCGAGTGCGGCGAGCCGTACGAGCCCGAGGAGCCGCAGCTCCCGCGCGCCGCGCTCAACGTGCAAGGCTGAGCGGCGGTGTCGCGTTTTGTTTTGTTTCGTTCTTCTTGATCATCATGTTGTACCACTGCTCGCTGCTCGATCTCACCCCCACTCGTTCTCCTGTACTGTACCACTGTCACTCACTGCTCTCCTCCGTCGCCACCACGTCGCATTTGTAGAAAACCTGTAGAACTAGAAGAATGAACCCTGTGTACGTTTGAAATTGCCCACCCATGATGCAGCCAGCAGGACTCACGAGAGGAAGGGGAAAAGCCCGGCAAGTACTTGAACACAGTCGTTGTTTGATCTCACTCCACGAACATCAGTGAAGCCTCAGATGGGGTGAACAGAAATAGAGATCTCATGTTGCCCTTTGGATTGTTTCTACGCGATCCTGAACGCTGCCATATTCCCCAGCTGTGTTGCGGAGCGTGGGGCCGCTGAAGTAGGCAAAGTTGGGGAATGTCGACGTTTCATGAAAGTTCACTCCAGTCATACGACGGATTCTTGATGACGTGCGGGTATATTGAGAAACGTCTACAAACACAAACAGGACACGGATACACACGACCCAAAGACGACGACGGCAACCCAAACACCCAAAGATACAGCATATAGACCCAAGACAAAACACCAAATCCGATACAAATCAAAGTACGCGGGCGGGACAAGTCAACCAAGCACGGCCGGACACTCCACTCCGAAACCGTCGACGGCATGCACTCGAAGACGGAGAGACGATGCGGGCTACAATTGCTTCGCGCCGCGGGCGGCCTGCTTCTCCTGCAGACGAGCACTCCTGCGCAGCGCGCGGGAACGGGGGAGCGCCTTCATCGGCCGCGTCGCGATCCGCATATGCGGTTCAGCGACGGCCGCTTCCGAGGGCGCCGCCCCGACGTCCACGCTGGACGCCACAATGGGAGATGCGAAGAGGGCGGAGGGAGAGAGCATGGTCGCGCCGAGGGTGAGGAGGAGCTCGTAGTCATCGTTGGATGAGGGTTCGGGTTTAGGCTTTGATCGCCACAGGAGAGGCGGTGGCCGCAGCGCCGGCGGGCGCGAATAGCCCGCTGAGTGGAGAGTCGAAGATGGGGTTCAAGGGAGGGAGCGGAGCGGAGGCGCGTTCGAAGAGTTCGTAGTCTTCGTCGGAGGGCTCAATCCCGACGTCGTGGGGCGAGATGCCAGCCGAGGCGCAGTCCGCCAAAGCTCGTTGGAAGACGGCGTCCAGCTCCCCGGAAGGAGGAACATGAAGAGGGATAGAGATGTTGTCGGAGGGAGAGGGGATGGGGGGAACAGAAATGGAGAACTCAACGGTGAGCGTCGTCTGGGTCTTGGAGAGAGAGCTGGAGTGCGGATTTGCACGCCGAAGACGTAGCACAGGACGACGAGCTGGAGGAAGAGAGGGTGAGCTGAAACGAGGGTGAGGGCGGCGATGAAGCCGAGGGAGAGGAGCGGGAGGGCGGGAGCGGCCTGGACGGCGCGGGGAGTGGAGGAGGTGAAGGAGGTGAACATGATGGGGGTGGGGGTTGTATGGGTGGGGATTGTATGCGGTAAGAGCGTGGTATGCAGGTGTTAATGCAAGTGCGGTAATGTAGCTAGGCCTGGGGCAGGGCAGAGACAAATCTGAGGCAGAGATGTACTGGTGAGCGTGTCGTTCGGACTGAGCGCGAGGCACGAGCGCTCGGCCGAACTGGTGCTTACTAAGCGTGGACGCCGGATGAGGAAAGCGCGCGTCAGCGCGTCGAGGCCTAAGCCTCTTTCCTTTCCCCCTCCGCGTACACACGCACACAAAGCGCACCCACCCTCCTCTCCCAGCGCTTTGGTTAGAGAGGACTGCGGAGCTGCAGCCCTCTTTGGCCTCGCGCTCAAGCGGACCGTCCGGGGACGCGACCTCCGATCGCGTCGTGCCTAGCTTCGGCACGATACCCTCCGGGCGAGCGCTCCGCTTTTCCCATCCCACGATCTAGCATGTGACATGTGGGAATCTCTATATTCCCACGAGGCTCATGTGACCTATCTACTCCCTAAGGCCTAGTCCTCTAGGCAAGACACGCGATTAGGAAGCTTGTCCGTCTGGCGCAGTATCTTATAGGGTTAGGAATTAGTTTGGCTCTGTTATTGGTGCAAACAAAGGTACATACCAAGTCGGGGCATTATTTGGCGTATACCTTTGGCGTCGTCGGCCAAAGTCAACCTTCACCGGACACTTATTAGTTGTCACTTTGTGATGTGTGTGAGATAGCAGTAGTCACATACTAACGTTTTGAGTGCAGGGTAGAAAGCGTGATCAGATGAGGTTTTCTTCGGAAAGCGACGCGGCTGCATCTGTTGAAAGGCGATTGATCGAGTGGCACTGACGAGAGAAGAAGTGGTGGGTACGGAAGTCTCCGGGGGCCGGTCTTCTCATCGAGCCGTTGAAACTTTGATGCATGATATGTAAAATATCGGAGAAGATGTCGAGATTTCCCGAATGTGCTGCTCCCAACTGCAGTCTCGGTCATCGGAGTCCCAAGGCTGGTGGCCAGTGCCACGACGCAAAAGTTCTCGGTCCACAGAGCAACACGGCCGCGTAAGACGGGCGCCTATGGTTCGCTCAACGTCAGCCGGCGGCGGCTGGGACGCAGGCGGTTATGGAGGTCCGGGATGTGCGTGCGAGTAGGGGCGACGGCCAGTTGATGGTGGTAGTAGACCAAGGTCGGTCGGGCAATTTTAGGGAGGCCGCGCGCACGCGCGCGGAGCCTGTGCAGTTTAGGTGAGCTTGCGGAGAGAGAGACGAATGTGAGTGAGCGAAGGGAGGGTGATGGGAGGGAAAACGCGCGCACCTCCTCGTCGCTCCCGCCCCAGTCGTCCTTCGGGCTCTTGGGGTCGTCGTTGTCGGAGCCGTCTGCGTCGCGCAGAGCGCGCAGCCGGGCCTCGCGGTTGTCGTCGAGCACACGCCGCCGCATGTCGCAGCGGTAGTCTTCCATCTCGCGTGTGGAGAAGAAGAATGGGTCTTTGGCGTCCGAGGGGAGGTCGGACCAGCCCCCAGGCGACGGCTGGGTGACGGCAACTTGAGAACACAGACAATGTCTCGTAGTCGAGCACGTACCTGCAGCGAGAGATCGACACCGATCTCGTCCAGGACCTGCTTGAGGATCCGATCGCCGTCTGCCTCCTCGTCCTCGATGTTGTCTTCCACCGTCCACTGCGTCCGACATCATCTCCTCCTTCATGTCCATCGTCGTGCTCTCCCGCTCGAACTCCATGGTGCTGTGGGTCTGGGGCAGGTTGAGCCCCTCGGTCGTCGCACCCAGTCACTGGCCTTGACTAGGGGTCAGGAAGCGCGGTCAAAGAAGGCGGGGGCAGCGAGCTTACACACAAACGAGTGGCGCCGCGCATGGGCTCGGCCATCTGCTGGATGCTCCGGAGGGTTTGTATCCGGAGGCCGACAACCTGGAGCTGGGTGCGCGTGTGGTGGGGCTTCTGGGCGTGTCGGCGGGTACGGGAGAAGTCCTTGGCCGATGCGCGTTCCAGGGGGGCGGGTGGGGGTGGCTCAGCAGCGGGCGGACGGGTGGATGGGCGGGGGGACGAGAGGGCGGATGGGCGGGTCGTCGCCCGTCCACTCAGCGTCCCTGAACTCGGCACCGTGGGTGGGGAGAGGGGCGTGGAAGGCCATCATGGTGTCCAGCCACTCCCTGACCGCATCGCTGTCGAACCGGACACCCGCCGCCGCGTCGCGTGCGGCGGTGGCCAGGTTGCTTTCATGGAACGCATTCCACCTTTCCCAGAGCACATCCTCGGGCAAATCATGCGACTGCCACCGAAAAGCGGCGTGGAGAACCACGTAAAGCAAAGACTCCATGTCGTCCTGGAAGGCGCGGCGATGGCCGCTATGCACCCGGGCGGAAAGGTTCTTCACCATGAACCATGGCGTACCCTGCCACGGTTTCCGCTTAAGAAGTAGCCGGTGTGATGCGTTTACCCTGCTCGACAGCTCCCAATCGATGAGATATCCCCGTCGTGTTTCGCTGTCAGGCTCCTGCACCAGGACGATATTGCCTATGCTGATATCATGATGCAGCCGGCCACCTCTCGCAAGAGCGTCTCTCATCGCTGTCAAGATCCCGTGAGCACTGAGCTAGTAACACAAGGAGGTACGCACCAGTAAACACGTCGTGGCAAGCATGCAGCAGCTCTTTTGTGCCTCACTGAGTGCCGAAAGGCCGTCCGACGGTCCCCAGCACGAGCCGGCAATGCCGTCGTGAACAGCTTTCAGGGGTGCCGAGCCCAGTGACCTATCGCAACCCACTCTGTCAGTCACCACATCCACGCAACCAACCAAGAGCGAACGCACCGTGTCCCATCCTTCCACCGTACTATCAAAACCAACCTGCTCGCCATTGCACTCAATCGAGCTGTCCCCCGTCGTGACGTCCGTGAACGCGACCCTCGCCCGCACATATAGTCACGGGTTCAAGAACCCGAGTGGGGGCTTGCCTGCCTGCACGAGCCATTCGTTTATGAGTGCGACGATGCAACCAACCGTCGGGCTCGCGGTACTCGTCCCAGTTACGCTCTCCACTTCGTCGAACCCGATCCGGAAGTCGGCCGCGTGCGCGGAAACTTCGGGGAACGTGCGCCTGGATGCGTTGAACCAGCCAGCATTTGTGTGCCCAAGCGCGGTGAGGTATGATGAGACGGCGGGGGTCTGGTACGAAGGCGTGGGGTGGTAGTTCGAGAACCCGCCGGAGGAGCCTTGGGCGCCGCCGACGGAAGTGACGCTGGAGGATGATGAGGCCGTGATTCGTCGGGATAGGCAATGACGCACTACAGGCAGTTGGGCGGGAACGTGGGGTTGAAGGCGGTTGTGTTGTTGTTCATGCAGTCAACGGCGCTGTCTCTGGATGCAAAGAGGACAGAGACGCCACGAGCACCGAGCTGGACTGCGGAGCAGTGCGCGAGTGCGCCTTGCATGCGTCAAAGGCGATTGTGGGATCCAGCTGGAGGTGGAGATGCGACCATGGGCGAGGAGAGGAGGATGAGGAGGCGGCGGCAGAGGGGGCGTGGTGGGACTCAGGGGCGTGGGAGGTCGAGGGAGAGAAAAGGGAAAAAGTGGAGGAGGAGGAGGCGATTGTTCAGCCGCTGCACGCGGAGTGACTGACCCGCGAATCAGAGTGTCTAACCCGCGGATACCCATGGTGATCTCTAATGTCCTGGAAAATGCGGGACTCATGCATCGTACAATATGTGAAGAACGGAACAAACATCGAACACTAGTAGATAACAAACAGAACAGTACGCAGTACAAAATAGTACTTCCGCCTTCCGCACGTGCCCATCTCATTGAGCCCATCGACGTCGATGTTTCTCCGACTGGTTAGCTCCCTTCTTCTTCCCCTGAGGTGGGTCCACATGCAGAGGATTTGCCTTGAAGAAGCCTCGAGTTTTGCCCTGGCAAAATCTCAAGACGTTCTGCTTGTTGAAGTAGACGGAACCGACACGTCCAGGGAGGATGTCCTCCGGACAGTCAATCCGTGTACCATCTGCTGCTAGCCGATGATCGGATATCTTCCAGTCCTGCACAGTATGCGCAAACTGGCCGGCATATGTGATGATTACATTTCCAGCGAAGTACCTGCTCTGTGTGTAACCGTCTAGTACAAATACTGATGCAAACAGAGAACTCACTCAAAGATTGTGCCGAGCTGTGGGAGCTCCATCGCACCTCCAGTGAAGAAACCCACTGGAAACGTGACCGTCAGGCCGCCGTCACCTTTATCTAGATGCATGCCAAGTTGGAGCTTCCAGACAACGGCACGGTTAAGCCATGGTCCATCGTCCTCCCAGCCTGCGCCCTCCGGTTCATTCACCCAAATCCAACGGCCGGCTTCAAAGGCCTCCTGGTACTCGGCGTAGGCCTCTGGGAAGCCGACCTTGAAGAGACCGGCTACATACGAGGTGATTGGACCACTTGATATGTAGTAGTTGACGACCTCTTTGAAGCGGCGCCGCCCAATGGGTGTCTTCTTATTCATGTTGAGGTCTGAGCTATAGCTTAGAGGCTGGAGCCAAAATCATGAGACAAATTAAGGCTAGGTCGGAAAGAAAATCACTCACCCCGTTATCCTTGCCCCGTTGCATCCACAGTGAAAAGTGAAAGTTGCCTCGCCTCACCCCATCACAAGGAGCACCACCTTCAGTGTTATGGAAGAGAACATGGGAGTTGATATCGTTTTGCTTCCCTGGGTGTCGATCTTTACACTTGCCCTTGTGTTTGGGACGAAGAGCCGCAGCAACATTTTGGACACCCTGTAAGTACCGGGTCTGCATCGCTTCCTGAATACACGTAAGGGAGAAGAACACAGTGCGAAACCTTGGTGGGAACTTACAGGGATTCCGTCGTCCTGAACGGTAACATGGGGGTCAGCCCGAGCCTTCTCTAAATGAGCGGTGGTTCTGTTCGAATTTTGCATGTGTTGGATGGGACGAGGCGTGGAGTTGAAGACCTCCTCCTGATGGGAGTGATTAGCCAGACGTTTATAGGTAGAGCGAAGGACGTACATCAGGGCCAATGGGCTGATATCCGAAGTGAATCAAGATTGGGTGTCCTGTCTTGTCTATGATTTTGCAGGAGAAAGGCGTCCTTGCAGCTTTATCAGGCTTCCACCAGTCTGCGATAGCGGCGAATTGTTCCTTGCCATAAACACGGCTCCTCAGCTCTTTCAGCGTGGCGTCGACCTGATAAACAGGCATCGAATCGAGCGCACGCTGAGCGTTGTATTCGCCATGTGCACGAGCTGCGTCCATGAGAGACCGAAGAGACCGCGCGAGGGGAGTACGGTGCAAAGTCGGAGCGCCTTTCGGGATGGGGGGCACTTCGTACTTGTAGCCGAGATCCTTCGATGGTATGGGAGAAATGTGTATGAAAGAGAACCGAAGCACTCACAGTGTCCGGATTGAAGTCCCCTTCGACGCCTTCCTCCTCGATGTCAGTCACATTGTCCCACTCTCCATCTCCTTCCTCCTCATTGTCATCGGAGGCAAGACCGCAGTCGCAGTCATCTGAGTCTGTATCAGAGAGGTCTGGGAGAGAGAGCCGCTTTTCCGGCTGCATACAAGCGTAAGGAGGTCTGAAATCAAGTCCTGGAAAGGTATAGCACTCACCTGAGCTGCCAAATGAGCTGCGGCCTTAGCATCCGCCCTATCTTTCCGGTTTCTGCGCTGAGTAGCCTGCTTTTTGTTATTCTTCATCCATTTCTCCTTAGAGGCACGACCCATACCTGAACATATTGTAGTCAGTTCAGGCTGAAACGGAACAGCAGGTGAGCCTGAGAAAGACACAGATACGTACTTCTGATTTCCACAGAGAAGAGGATTTCGATTTCTCTCGACGCACGTCGCGTTTTTTCGGCGCCTGAACAAGCTTTGTGACCGTAGCTGTATGTATGCCAGAGAGTAGCAACAAGAGTTCGGGAAAAGGAGTGCTCAGTGCGGGAAAGGCGTGTGTCGTATCAGGTCCACACGCATCCACGCACATGCAGTCACGTCATTCTGACAGTCCAGTTGAAATCCTGCTGATAGGCATCCAGACCTCCTTCATCCGTGAACGGGGCAGCCGGCACGTCAGGAAAAATGGGGCTAGCTATGTGCGTCTACAGAGGCTACACAGACGCGGCACCCCAGTAGACAACCCCCACGTTGTTAGCTGCACATAGAAGGGGGCGGGTAGCTGACTGGTATGTAGACGCACATACCCAGAATGCCTGACATACATAGAATTCACACAAATCGTCGTCACACTACGGTTGCATGAAGGCTCAACATATATTGCTCAACTTAATTAATTTACACCGTGTACGACACCACTTTGGGATAACATCATTGCAAGGTATGTATGAGACGACGCACCTGCGCTGCTGGCCGACATCGCTGCATTTCCCCCACCCGAATACGACGGGCCCATCAAGCCCCTGCGCGCCGAACGCCACCTGGGCCACGCCTTCCGTCTCCGCGAGGCCCACGGCGGCCCGCTAGGTGTGCGAGGAGAACATGGTCTTGAAGAGCGCGCCGCCTTCGCGCTCCTGCTCGAGCGCGCGGACGACAGTGGGCTCGGGCGCGGCGCGGGCGAGCCGCGGTTAGACAGCAAATGCGCGCGTGCGGAGCGCGGGCGTGGACGGGCGCACGAGAAGGAACTTGAGGGTGGAGGGGACCGCGGCGAGCCGCGTCATGTGCACGTTGAGCGTGAAGGACTCGAGCGCGGTGAGCGGGATGAACGCGCCGCGGTGGTCCGCGCTGCTGCTGCCACCAGCATCGGAGTGGGTTGCGCCGCCCACCCCTTCGCCGGCGGGCGCCACGGGGGCAGGCACGGGGTCTACGGTGAGGTTTGCGGCGGGGCCGTGGTGGTCGCGGAAGCCGATGCGGAGGGTGCAGAGGGTTGACATGACGATGGCGAGGATTTCAACGAGGGGCAGAAGGAGGAGATGGAGAACCGAATGCCGGCGTCAGGGGGCGGCAAGAGACGACAAGCAGAGGGTGGACGGAGGGTGAGCGGACGAGAGGAGCAAGGCGGGGCATGGCGAAGATGGTGGTCGGAGGAACGAAATGTACCGACACAGGCTCGCACACGGGTCCGTGTCACGGGGATGCGTGGGACGGTCACGTGCCGATGCGTTCCATACCTGAGTCTGCGCGTCTCGACCTGCTTCGCGCGTGCCGTGACCGGTCGCGTCTCCGTCTCCGTGTCCGGGCCTACCTGCAGCATGGCCCGGCGTGGATGTTGCCCCCTCAACGGTTCAGGCGAGCTAGCCTCGTGTCCACGAGGGGGCTTGGAGACGCGCATGTGGGGGACTTTGCGTCCCCCACAGGTCCTGGAGCTTCGTGCTCCAGAGGTACGCGTCAACTCGCATTTCACTTCCCACGGAAAACATGTGAGTGTTTACCCTTCATTGCAAACGGTGACTGATACACTCTGCGACAGACACCGCTCCATCGGACACCACTGCATGGCAGGTGAGTCCATTGTCCGACACGGTGTTTGGGTTTTGTACAACGTGAATTATTCGCGCGGCGCACCTAGACCACACCACGGATAGCTAACTCGCGCGTTTCACAGGACCGGTGCACGCTATAGCACACGCGTCGTGACAACCCCTCGAATGGGCAAGAACTCGCCCAACACATCGCGTTCCCCCACGAGGTAAAGCGTCCTTCTACACTCCCCGCTGGTGACTTCCTCACTATCTCAGTGCCTACAGTCGCTCACGCAATTGCAGGGCACTTGGACAGTGTGTGGGCAAAGCTCGCAGCACGACATTGTTGGAGTGGTGGAGGACGAGGCAGAATGTCAAGGTGCACCGCGGTATGTCGTCTGCTGTCTGCCACTGCATCTGCATTCAACGTGCTGGAACAAGGGCACGCTTCTCTCAAGATGTATCAAGCACGGTGGATGAAGGGAAGGCTCAGCTGGGGAAGGGGAGCTCGAGGCCTCCGTTTGGGGCTACTAGTTGCAAATAGTAGCCTCAAATGGAGTGTGCTCAACAGCGCCCTCACATTTATTGTTTGGGTGAGCCTTCAATTTGACTTTTGCACATTCGGTGACTAGAACTGACCACTGTCGGCAGTGCGGGCGACGGGCGCCTATTATGCGTGGTGCGGACGGAGTCGAGCTATGTAGTACTGTCAATGTTTTGTGTATTCAGGACATTCGTATACCGATACGTTTATGTATCAATCTTCGTCGTTTGTGTCAGGAAAAAGGAAAGTGTATAGCCATTGGTGTCCGATATGTAGCGCTCCGTAGCCTGGCCCTGGCCCGCCTTGTTGGTGTATCGCCCGTGCCCACGCCTCCTGCCTCGCCCACGTTGCCCACTTGCGCCCACGTGATCTGCGTCATTTACCAACCTCCTCCTCCTCACCCACATCGCCCACATTCCCCGCGTCTCCCCCGCATCACCCGCACTGGACACGATAGCACCCCCAAAGCCCAATGCACGCACAGGTGTACGCGTTGCCATCGAGCACGGTCCCGCCTCCGTCACCCCGGACACCCCGCTTCTACCACCGCGAACGCAAGCGCCTTTGCTCGTACTAAGCTTTTCCACCGTGTCGACGCAGCCTACCCCAGCTCAAGCGCTCATCGCTCACCTCCACCACTCAATTGTCCACCTTAACGCTAGATCTAGCGACGGACTTTGCCCGACTCACACAGGGAGAGGCTCGTCCGGTATCTTCGCGCAACACATGCGCATCCCTACGAGTTTCATTGAGCGTTCCCAAACAGATGCTACAAACTGGCGGCCGCCACAGCTCCCGGGGCCGCGTCCTCAAGGCCTCAGGCCTCAGGCCTCAACGCCCGTCGAGCACTCCCAGTCTGAGCCTCGCGTGGCGCGGGCGCACTCTCCCAATCAGCGCCTGAAGCTTGCGGGAGTCGGATGTGCCCAGGCCAGTGACTTGTGTGCGTGCGACGCTAGCTCAGTATCGTCCTGCGGGTGAGCATGCGCACGTAGCAGAAAGGAATTGGGTGAAAGCCAGAAACGCAGAGACTGCGTTGCCGCGCGCGCAAAGTATGTGCGGACGACGGGGACGCGTCGATCGCCCATGTGGGGGAGTCTGGAGGAGGGGGGTGCGAAGTCTGGCGGACGGGCAACGCCGCCTGCACGGAGACGCGAGATAGACGGGAGGTGGGACGCGAGCGACGAGCACAGTCGGGGAGAGACTTGCGGGATCCCAGCCGAAACGCGAAGCCGAGCGGAGACGTGCGTCATAGAGATCACGGCGGCGAACGTCTGCGTACGTGTGTGGCGCGGCGCGCAAACACGACTTGGATATCAGAATCGGGACCGATGGATGGGGGAAAAGGCTTACGTGAAATGAGCGCCGCGCGGGAGGAGGCGTTCCGGGTGAGTGTCCCACCTTGTTCTAGATCTTCCGCCACGACGAGGGTGAGGAATTCGTTCCCGGCGTGATGAGGCACTCGCTGTCCGCCTCTCTATTCGGCCGATTAATTCTCGTCGCGCCCACGAAAACGGGTGTGCTGTCGTGCGGAACGTGAGGGGTCGAGATAACGTTCAAGTGAGCAAGGACGCGACATGTTCCGCGTTCAAATCGATCGCGTGTCGCGGAGAAGCAGACAATCTGATGAAGAAGAGAATATGCTTAACACGACGGGGTGCCGCGGAGCAGTGAAAAAGAAGAAGAAAGGTCAAGAACACATTGGGGGGGAACAGCGGAGGATGAGAAGAGGGAAGGTGGTGGGGTACGGTATGCTGCGGGAGAAACGCGCGACGGTCATGTGAAGTTACGGTTCAACAACTTTGAAGTCTGCGGCTCACCTCGACTGCTTTCCGAGATATTAGGCGTCGTCTTAGGCACGGGTCGGAGTCGGAGCTCCCGCCGGAGTGGCAGGACGTCGTTCATGCACTGAGCCAGCTGTACTTTCTGGCCAGCAATGTGCTTGTTTTCTCCGTACGGGGTGGGATGACTACGCGGCGCGGTGCATCCATTGCCGTAGCTTACCGCCGCTCGGCGTGTTCCCCACTCCAGGTTTCCAGACCTCTCTCCGCACCTGGTGTTCTACGCGGTCGACCTGTGCCCAGTGGGACGGTCTGATTCTGACACACCGCTCGAGGAGCTCCAAACACATGTCTGCGGCATAACAGAGTGAGCACACTGGTACCTGCCTGCAGGCTTTTCGCTACTCGGACTCTATGAACCATCTTTGCAGTTACCCCCAGAAAGCTCTTTCAGTCCAACACATGCAGCTTGTCGAGGACCGCACGTCGAGAAGAAGTTTCCTTTGTTGGTTGGTGACGCGCGATAATATACGGTGTCCGAACCATGCAGACGCGCGGCGCTCTACCGCGCGCCGCGAACAAGTGCGGACAGGCTATTGTACTCTGTGCTCTGTATTGTGGGTTGTCTGTGTACGCGGGGGCGGAATGCAGGGAGGTCCGTGTGGGGGTGGATGTACACGTGGAGGGGTCCGAGCCGGGTCGCGTCCCAGAGGAGGCGCCAAGCAGGGGTGGGCAGAAGATGAGACTGGACGATGATAGGCGAAGGGGAGGAGAGGGCGAAGGTAACGACAGCGCTACGGGCCGTGGGGGAAAGCGCAGGACACGGCGACGATAGATACGATCAAGAACGCAGTCACGAAACGTGAGCTCGTGATGTACGGGAGAGGAGGGGGGCATGGGCGAGCGAACGGTGTGATACACGAAGACTGAATAGAGCAATGAGTTGGAAACGACAGAGCTTGGGGCCGGCCGGCGGAGGCCGTCCTGTAGACGTACATACATCGGGGATAGATGGGGTCGAGATGACGGGATCAGGGCTGAGAGTGGCGGGAAGGCAGAGGATGACCGCTCACGCGCGACACCTAGACGAGACAGCGAACGAACGGATTCGAAAGCACTGGCGAGACAAGCGGCGAACGTGAGACACGGGAAGGTGGACGGAGGGACTAGTGTGAGGGGGAAAGCAGTCTGCTTAACGGGGGTTTTCTGACGAAGCGAGAACATGTTCCGCATCCACGGATGCCTGGAAGGCGCCGCCTCCCGAACGAAGCGGCCATCGACCAAACGCGAAGGGCGTAACGAAGGGGAGGCGGAGCAACGAAGAGAGAGCTGACAGCATCCGCGCTGGAGGCATAGCGAGCGTCATCAACGGGGGCGTTCCATAGGCATAGCGGGGCATAGGGCGAGTCATGTCATTCGCGGTGGGTGGCATCGAGCGAGCGAGAGGATGATCCATAGATAGGGACATATCTGCGAGTTACGTGTTTGCGGTGGGTTTTCTCGTGCGACTTCAAGCGTTGGCGACAAGGATGCTCAGAGGGGAGAGCAGGAGAGCAGAATCGCGGCGGCGGCAAGCCCGCTCAGTAGCCCATGTTCATGCGCGACGGGTCGTAGGTCTCCGCCCGCATGAGCGGCGCGCGCCCGATCTTCTTCCCCTTGAACGCGACGTTCTTGGTCGGCGGCGGGCACGGGCTGTCGCCGATGTCGGTGTCGTCCCCGTCGCTGCCATGACCAGAGCTGCTCGGGCCCTCGGTGAGAGTATGAAGCCCGGCGCGGCGGGTGCGCGCGATGTTCGCGGCCGCGAAGAGCGTCGTCGCGCCCCCGCTCGGCGCGGTGTTGCGCTTCGGCTGCGCCGCCTGGACTTGCTGCGCCGCGCTGGTCATCGAGAGCATCTTGCCTTCCCCGTACGCGTATGATTTGGTGCGTCCGAACTTGCCCTTGCGGAACTGATCTAGGTCCTCGCGGCGCGACTGCGCATAGTGCGGGTCGTCCATGCGCACGTACGCCTGTGGCTGGCAGCGCACGCCAGACTCGTGGAAGTAGCCCGAGTACCCGCCCTCGAGCACGTACAGCTCAGGGAAGTGTACGCGCGGGTACACATGGTTGTTCATCGCCCTATCCTTAGAACGGAGATGCTTAGCGCTGCAGACGAGATGGTCAGATGACGGTCGCTGAGCCGATAATGCGGAGGACTTACAATGTCGGGGCCCTCTTAACGCTGAACTCACAGTGGAACACGAGGATCGTCTTCTTGTTGGGATCGCTGCTCGTAGACGGCTCCGGCTTGTTTGCAGAAAGGCCGAGGAGGAACTCCTCCACGCCTGCGGTGGTGTTGATGTTTATCGCGCCCGGGATGTGGCCCCCGAGGTACTCGTAGTCGAACCGGCAGTCGATGATGTGGTAGTTATTGATCTTCGAATCGTAAGCGCCGTCCAGGAGCTTGTTGAGCTAGACAACGAATCCCACGTCAGACGACGACACGCCGCAAGGATCAAGACTGCAACATACCGTCGTCGGGTTGATCCTCATCAGCCCGTCCTCGCGCACGCGGTGGCACGAGAGGATCTTGCCGTGCGCCTCGTTGTCGCCGAATCCGCCGAGGCCGGTCAAGTACTTGCTGCGCGGCGTGTCGCGCTCTGCACCGCTCCGCGACCGGTCGTTCTCGTCGCTGTGACGCCCGCTGTGGCCCGAACAGCTTAAGACCTCGGTGTCGCGCTTCATGAGCGCGGTCGCGCCCGTGAGCGGGCGGAAGTCGTCCGTGCCGTCGCAGCGGCGGATCGTCTTCACCTGTTGGCGCTTCGCGTACGCCTGCGCGGGCGAGCTCATGTCGAGGTCCTGGTCGAAGCTCGACTCGCTCGACATCGTCTGGTCGAGCAGGTTCGGAGGTAGCATCGCGGAGAACGCACGACGCGCGGGGGGCAGACGAGGGGCGCGATGCTCCTCCGAATGCTCGTCCTCCGCCGTCGAGAACATCGGGTGCGCCGTCGTGGGTTGCGAGGACGGCGCGCCCATAGGGCCCTCACCGGGAGCGATCATCGCGCTGAGGGCGGGGCGGCGGGGGCGTTTCTTGTTTGCGTTGAGTGCGAGCGCGGCAGGCATGCCTAGTCCCAGACTCGTGGGGCGCTTCTGGTTGGCGAGGAGACGCTCCTTGCTGGCGATACGCTCGAGCTTGTGCTGGGTGGGCGAGGACTGCGCGGGGGAGGATAGATATCCGTGTTCATCGTCTTCAAACAGGTGGTGGTGACTGCGCCGGAGACCCTTCGAGTCAGGCGACGATGAGCGGCGTTTCTTGGGAAACGGCTGGCTCGGGCTTTCAGTGAGGCTCGAAAGCCCAGAGATGTCGGCGGCGTTGGCGAGCTCGTGCGCGTTGAGCTCTCGCGCGGGCGTCTCGAAGAAGAGGTTCTTGAATGTCGTCACGGTGGGCGCCGCCGAGGGGAGAGGCGAGGCAAGGTCGAAGGCGGCGGGCGCCGCAAAGTTGAAAGTCGCCACCGTCGGCGCTGCGGACGGAAGGCCCTGCGAGTCTGGCGCGGAGGAGGAAGCCGCGAAGCCGAATGAGGTGTCGATATCCATGCGGTCAGTGGGTGATGAAGGGACATCGATGGGCTGACGGCAATCATGTCAGCCAAACGGTTACGACATGCCCTCTAGTCCCACACCGACCTGACTGACAGCGAGCTCGTCTGAACGAGGCTGCGGAGTGGCGAACCATTCTGTGGGGAGCGCGGCACGCTGCAGCCGCTTGCCGCTGCTGGTGCCCGTGACCTGCTTGGAAGCTGAGCTCACCGAGACGTTGTCGTGATTGTGATCGTTGCTCATGTCTTGACCAAACAGACGAGCAGCGCTGGTCGCTGCACGAGGGCGACCCATCGCCGGTTTGCGACCGGTGGTCAGTGAAGGGGCGGACGGTGCAGGCGAGACATCCATAGGGACATAGTTCGGGTTCTCCGCTTCTGGTGTGAGTGGTCGGGAATCTCTGGGAGGGGAGTTCAGGGACATAGTAGATGCGAAGGAAAGCTCGAGGTCAAGCTCGGCGTCAGGGTTGGTCTGGTTGCGCGTAGGAGCCGCATCGCGTTTGATTCCTTTGCCGGTGAGGAACGAGGGCACGACGAGGTGGCCGTTGAATCGACCGTTGCTGAATAGGGACATGCCGAAATGCCTGCGGAGGATTCTGTTCTGGAGAGTTGGCGGGTTTCTCTTCTGTTTCTTGGTTGGGCGTGGGGAGGGCGAATCTTGGGTGAACTCTGCGAGGAGTCGACGACGAACTGCGCGTGATCCGAGAGACCGAGACATGGTGTGGGCGTACAAGCGATGGTACAGGGTGGTTGGTCGATACAGTGGCCGTGGTTGAGTGGCGTGCGGTCGTGGTGGTCGTAAGAGAAGACGCGAGAGCAGAGTGGAAGTGCCGGCCACGCACGAATGCGTTTAGGGAGGGAAGCCGGGAAGTGGAAAGGTGAGCGGCGACAGAAAGGAGTATATACGAGACGGAGAACGAACCAAAAACGAATCGGGCCCCGGACCTAAGTCACGGACGAGATCGGGCGTTGAGCGTGGGCCGCGACGACTGTGGAGAGGCGAGGTCAGCGTGGGGACTGTGACCGGATGCCACGGGGAGGGATACGGAATCAAAGCCATTGTCCGCCTAAACAGGCGACCACTGGGCATGCACCAGCCACGCCCATTGTCCGCTCTAACATGACAGGCCCCGGCAGAGAATGTCCCGCAGAGGGAAACCGAGGCGACAGGCCGAGACGAGCAACCAAGGTTGGTTGGCCTGTCACATCGCTTCCTCACAGCGGGACATCGCGAGCTGCTTACCGGACTCGACCTGCCTCCACGCATCCTCCTGGCGCCGCCGTCCCTGGCGATCGCCACGGGTTCGCCTGCCGGTGTGCGGTACGGGGTCTGTTCGTGTGCCACGAGAGCGTCGAGGGGGTATGCCGGAAGAGAGCAAAGGGAGATGGAGAACGCACCTTGAGACGAAAGAGCGTGACACGGAGGAGGCCGCGCCTTCAAGGGAAAGCTGGGTCAGCTGGCGGGTGACTGGAGAGGCGGAGCAGAGAGCTGGAGGGGCAAAGGGCTTCTCACGGGAAGTGAACAGGGAGGAGGGCGGCCAAACAATAGCTGTCTGCGTGTGTGGGTCCACACCTCCCGGGCGCTGAACGTTGATCCTGCGTTCGTCGGGCTGGGAAAACTGGAAGGCGGTTATCGGGAAGCAGCAAGAACAGCTCGGCACGGAAAGGAGGGGCGTCGCACGGGGAAACAGGCAGGGAGGTCGCAGGAGAGCAGGAGGAGGCGTCCCCGCACCGTTGACGCCCCGGGCTTTGTTTGCGCGTTGTTTGGCTCATGTTCATGTCCTTACGTCAGCCGCGTTCTGCCTCAGTGTGCGTGACCGCGTTCGGTTTAGGGCAGGCCGTTTCGCGTCGCGTCGCGCTGTGCGACGCCCGCTGCTGCACCCAGTGACCCCCTGCGGCCTCCTTGTTCTGGCTACGTGACTCACACTGTGGACCTGGCGGCCCTCGTTCGGCTCGACTCCTCCTGCCGGTGACTGCCCCGTCGCTTGCTCGTCCGCGCCTCACAGAGTCGGCGCGGTGTAGTCGCCAGAGCACGATGCTCAATCCGGGCGCATGATATCGCCTCCCTAGAGCCGGCCTCGTCCTTTGTCGCCGCCCTGTCGAGCGCACGGCAACCGGACGGACAGACAACCGGCTCCAACCCTCTCCGAACGCAACCATCTACATGTGTTCGTCATCCCCCGTGCGCGGTCGACATCAATCATGGTCCATGCCCTTTCTTGTCTGCCGTGATCACGTCTCACCGGCCATCCTTTGTTCTCCTCCGCGCTCTGCCCTCTCTTGGCGTCACAAACTGGACAGTCGTTTCCATTATTTCCGCAAGGGCCGAGTGACGTTCCTTCCCATCAAACCGAACTCCGCCGTCCACGAAAAGCGCGCGGCTCGTAGAGAAGAACACACGCTCAGGCCCCTACGGATCGACGGAACCAGATGCTGCTCTTCGCGTATGTGCTTCCTGCGCTGTCGTCGAAGACTTGAACAAGACCGTCAGTTGTGGTTATCAGCCGCGCAACCTTCTGTGGTCCTCGCGAAATCATGCGCGCACAACACACGGCTTAGTCTACCTGGCTTCTTCCGTACCCTTCATATATCATGCACCAATCGTCTACGTATCCTTCCGTTCTAGAATACGCTGCGCTTCTGCGCGACCTCTTGGTAATTCTTCAAGTCCTCGCAAATCAGGTCGAACCTGTTTTCGAATCAGCAAGCAGTCGACAGACCACAGTCTCACACGACTGACGTAACGAAGACAAACTTGAAGTTCTCATAATGGTACTCCGGGAAGTTTGCGGTGGTCGTCTTAATCAACTCGTCGAACACGATCTGCCGGACGCGTCGGAGCAGGCCCATGCCTCGGACGCGGCGACACTCACCTGGTATCCGTCCCTGTTGAGGTGGAGGCCGTCGGTCATGAACCCGCTAAGCGCGGCCTCCTCCTGCCCGGCCGCGTCGTAGATCTTGGTCCAGAGGTCGACGACGGGCACGCCCTTGGCCGCGCCGAGCTCCTTCGCGGCCGCGGCGTACGTCCGCGTCGTCTCGAAGTCGCGGTCCATCACGTTCCCGCGCTCGGCCTGGCGCACGCCCCATTGGTGGGTGTTCACCAGCGGGGCGGTCATGAGCACGATCCGGGTGTCCGGCGAATGGCGCGGGGAGTCAGGCGAGCGCACGGCGGTGATGAGGTGAGCGAGGTTGGCCTTGTAGCGCTCGAGCGGGACGTGCTGGTCCCGCACGGGAAGCGCGGCGTCGTTCGCGCCGAACCAGATCACGAGCAGGCGGACCTTGGGCAGGTGCTGCTGCTGCTCCTTGGTGGCGAAGACCTGGACGCGGCGAGGGAGGAAGACAGTGAGTGCGTCAAATGGGAGTGTAGCCGGGCGGGGACACGGACCTGGTCGAAGACGGGGAGAATCCAGTCGGTGTTGTAGCCGCTGAAGCCGCGGTTGACCACGTCCATCTTGCGGTTGTATACATCTTCAAAGGGCGAGCGCATTAGGCGATCACTTATCTTCAAGTATATGTAGATCTGGGGCAACGTACGGGCGAGCTGGGCGGCGAACCCATTGAATTCGTACGGGCCTGGGTGAGCGAATCGCCGAGGAGCATGATGCTGTCCTGCACGTACGCCGCCATTGTCTACACAGTGCTGACCATCTCGCTGGCGGGCAGAGTCCGAGTCGTTGAACGCCCCCGCGCTGGGACGACATATGCGATACGGCCTCCGGCCCGCTGGCCACCAGGCGCCGATGGCCCAGTGAGGCTGTGCGCACTGCGCAGGAGCTCCGTCGAGTTCAGGTCGACGCGTCCACCTCAGAGCCCAGTTCAAACTCTGCACCCATGCCTACTGAGAACGCGGCGGAGCACCGCTTGCCCACAGACGTAGTTCCTTCCCACTACGACCTCACTGTATGGACCGACCTCGAAAATCTCAGGTTTGAAGGCATCGTTCATGCCACGTACGCCAGCTTCAATCTCTCTGGTTTCCGCTCGGGTTCTTGACAGGTGATACCTTGCGCAGCCTCCTGGTCAAGAAAGAGACATCGAGCATTGTTCTCAACACCACCAAGCTGGAAATCGGCGATGTATACATCAGCACTCTCACCGACTCTGGGTTAGGAGACCGTCAGGTAGCCCAGAGCCGGTCCTTCGACGACAAACTGGAGCGGGGGATCTTCACCTTTGCTTCCCCTTTCCCACAAGGTTCTAGAGTTCGCATGACTCTTACTTTCAAGGACGATCTTTCGGGCGACATGCTCGGGTACTACCTCTCCAGAGGCGGTGCAGATGGCAAGACGGTCTATGCGCTCACGCAGTTCCAGGTCTGTGCTCTCGTGTCTCGATCTCAATGTCATCAGCTCATGGATGGTTGATTCTTTGGCGCTCAGCCTACCGCAGCACGCAGATCGTTCCCTTGCTGGGACGAGCCGCTCCTCAAGGCGACGGTCTCGGCTACGCTCGTCTCCCGCGTGGGCACGGTCAATCTGAACAACATGCCCGCAGTGTCTGAGGCGCGGTTCCCAGAAGCCAACATCACAGAGCCGTGGATCGAGAAGAAGCTGAAGAGCCTCGCCGACCCGGATGAATGGAAAGTAACGAAGTTCGAGACGACGCCTCCGGTGGAGTGTGCCTTCAGTGTACCGAGGGAACACGTCGCTGACTCGTTTCTCCCGCCCAGATATCTACTTATATCATCGCGTATGCGAACGGGCCATTCGATCACCTGGAAAGCTCTTACACCAGCCCGCTTACTGGAAATACGCGTCCCCTCAGGTTCTATGGTAGGTCTCGGAGCTCTTAGCGTGCCCCTGATTGACGACTTCCCTCGCTTAGCTACCTCTGATAACATTGGGCAAGCGCAGTTCGGCCTAGACATCACACGCACGGTTGTTCCTCTGTACGAGCAAATGTTTGGAATCGAATACCCGCTGCCCAAGCTCGACACTTTAGTGGTACGTACAAGCTGAGTATACGAAAATTCAATTTCTGATCACGTTTGACGCGTGAAGGCCAGCGATTTTGACATGGGTCAGCCGGTGTTTCATGGCTTCATGCTTCCCTTAGCTTACGCGTTTCGCAGGCGCCATGGAGAACTGGGTATCATTCCCAGTTCATCGGAGATAGCCTGCCAGCTAAGCTCTCCGCAGGGGCTGATCACAGGCAGAACCTCTGGGTATCTTCGAGACCCCAATTCGTCCGATGTACGGTCAAAAGTGAGAGTCGCTGGGATGCAGAGCCATGAAATAGCTCACATGTGGTGAGTAATCTAGGATCCGGTGTCGTGTCCGATCACCGTGGTCACGGCCCGCCATTGCGCAGGTTTGGGAACATCACTACCATGGAATGGTGGGATAACTTGTACTTGAACGAAGGTCGGTTTCGGCTCCATGGGTTGCCGAAGCAAGCTGATACTTAAGCATTACCAGGTTTCGCAACCTTCGTGAGTTGATTCCCGATATACTAACCGAACACCGCGAGCTCATCAGAACTAGGTGGGAGAGAACATCATACTTAGTACGTATCACCATCTAATCCGAAAAGCGGAGCACTCACAAGGGTCTTAGACAAGTGCGCAGAAACCTACCAGATGACCACTCTACTCTGACGAGGGTCTAGGGTCTTCCCGGAGTGGAAGCTCGACTCTGCCTTCTTGACGAGCAACTTCTTCCCAGCCGCGAACTCGACGCAAAGCTCTCATCGCACCCTGTCGAGGTCGACTGTCCGGATGCGAACATGATCAACCAGGTTGGTTCTCTCGCGACCGTCTCCGATTCCATCCTCTGACCCTTGGCATAGATCTTTGATCGCCTCTCCTACGCCAAGGCAGCTTCGAGTACGTGCTGCGTTGATCGGGTTGTGTGATGAGATTGAGGCCGGTAAAGTTCTCAGGATGTTATGCAAACATGTTGGAGAGGACTTGTTCATCAAGGGAGTCTCGATCTATCTGAAGAAGCATATGTACGCCAACAGCGTAACAAGAGACCTCTGGGAGGGAATTCAAGAGTCGACCAGTGCGTAACCATCTCTAAACAGAGCGGAATGTACTCGTGAACTTGATTGAAAGACATCGACATCCCGAAGATGATGGATAACTGGGTCAAGAAGGTATGTTAGCTGATAGGGATAAGAACATTGATTTGATGCGTGCTGTCAGATGGGCTACCCGGTAATAACGGTCACTGAAGAGAACGGTGGCATCCGTGTCCGACAGGACAGGTTCCTGGAGACGGGCCCTGCTAGCCCCGAGCACAATGATACCATCTGGTGTGTCTCCATTTCTCATGAAGTTCGAGGAGGGGGTTGACCATACGCGTTCTAGGACCGTCCCGCTCAACCTCCTCACTGTTTCCGGCAATAACGAAGTGGAGATTGAGAGAATGCTACTAGAGGGGCGCGAGAAGTATATCGCGTTGGATACGAGCAAGGCTTTCAAGCTTAACGCAGACATGACAGGCTTCTGTGAGCTGTTTCTCGATGTGTTGCGCCGCGCGGAGATGACCTCAATACTCCTACTGAACAGATGTGACTGCATACTCAGAAGGGCGCCTCACAAAGCTCGGGGAGCAGATGGCTTCGAAGGCTTCTCCCTTCTCTCTATCAGACAAGATCGGGGTGGTTTGCGATGCACTCGCTCTGGCAAAAGCTGGCTACTCGTCTCTCGGGGGCTCTCTGAGCGTCATCGTCGGTCTCAGGAACGAGAAGGAGTGTACGTACCGGTTTGCTTTCCGAGATCCAAGTACTGACGATCTCTTTGAGCTTAGACCTCATCTGGAACGCCGTCTCGCTCAGCCTCTCAGAGATCGTGTCTACATGGTGGGAGCACCCGAAGATTGTCGAGAAACTTGACGCCCTCCGCTTGGTAGGTCTCTCTGTACGCATGCATTTCTGTTCCCTCAACACCGTCACAAAGGAACTTTTCGTACCGATCGTTCGGGAGCTCGGGTTCGATGGCTCCGATGAAGACTCCTACGACGTGCGGCAGCTGCGCACCATCGCCATCGAGCAAGCTGCGGCCGCAGGTGATCCCTCGTGCGTTTTCTCCACATTCACACTTTCTCTGTGACTCAAGTCGATCTGTGTATCATATAGGGTCACGGCGGAGCTGAAGAAGCGCTTCGCTCACTTCCTCGAAACTGGCGACGACTCGCAGATCTCGAGCGACCTCCTCGCCGTCACCTTCGCCACGGTGCGTATCCCCCTTACAGCCCGAACGCCGCGAGTGTCACCATCTGACGAGGCCATTGCCCCTCTCTTGAAGGCCGTCAAAGAAGGTGGCCAGGCCGAGTGGGACGTCGTACGGAACATCTGTGGCAAGGCGCGGACTCCGGCGCACGGCACTGCGGCGATGCGCGCGCTGGGCGCGACGCAGGACATGGCGCGCGCGACCGCGACGTTCGAGTACCTCATGACTGAGGCGCGGAACCAGGACGTGATCTACTACGTCTGGGGGCTGCTAATAAACCGGCGCACCCGGCGGTTCCAGGCGGAGTCGTTCAAGGCGCACTACCCGGAGGCGAGTCAAATTTGCGTCGGGCGGCGGACGGCTTGAATCTGACGGTGGCTTTGGTTGCAGTTCGAGAAGCGCTTCGCTGGGAACTTCCAGACGTTCATCGGGCTGTTCGAGGTGAGCGAGACGGTGTCCTCTGTGAGATGGTTCTCACTGCCGACGGGTTTCAGGCTGTCTTCGACGGGCTCTCGTCTGAAAGGGACTACGAAGAGACTGCGGCCTTCTTCAAGGTGCTGCTCCTCTTTTTTTTATGCTGTGATCCACTGACGCTGTGCTACAGGACAAGGACACGGCGAAGTTCGATATGTCGCTCAATCAAACACTGGACGCTATCAGGTCTCGTGGCGCCTGGGTAGAGGTTCGTTTCTCAGCGCCGCACCGCCCGATTCGGGCTTATGAATGCTTTATCTACAGCGATCAACGAAGGAGCTCGAAGCTTGGTTGGAACGGCAATGATGGAATGTGGAGATTGAAGAATATTCTGTATGCGCTAGTCCCGTCGCACACATGACATGCGTCTGTGGTGGGGGGTTAGGTTGTATTAATAAGTCCAGTGAGACGTGTACTCGATGATAGACTCCAAGTGGGTCGGGCTCGCCGGGGGATTTGAGCGCTAGGAGTCTGTGACAAGCAAGTATCATCACAGGTCACCAGATACCGTGACATGGGCTGCTGCAGGGCATCATTGCATCGCGCGCAGGCTGCCAAGCCTTGTGCCGCAACCAAGTTGTGCTGGAGTTGCACACCAAATGTACTGGGTGGATCGCCGCAGCCTCTTCGAGTCTCATCGTTTCGTCCTGCGGTCACGACTCAAACCCTCGTGGAAGAAGGATCACTCTGTCCATTCCCTCCACGACTCGTCGGAGGACCGTCTCTCATTAATAATTATGTGAGTTCATCTTCATGTGTGTGGCACCCACCTAAAAAACTTCTGCCAGATTTCCATGTCCCGGCTCATCGACGCCCGTTGCATCCCAGACGGGACGCTGATGATGATCAACAGGGTCCAGACGGCTTCAGAGGAGGTCCGGACTCATTGCCACGTATTTCTCCTCTGAATCTCTGCGCAATGACCCATTGTGCCCATTCTGGACATCGTTGTCGATCCCGCTGAACCAATGTATTGTTTCTTGGTGATGCCACACCGCAGATGGATTGACAGTCCACCACTTGACACAATTGGAAGCATTCTCAACCATGTTTGTCGACTTATGCGACAGGCGTCTCATACTCGCCACCGTTACGCCTACGTCATTCTTGCCCAAGCTGACGGCTCTCGCTCTGCAGGGATTGGTGTTATTCCACTCCCACAATATCACTGATTGATAAGGAATTGCTCCAGACACCCCCTTTGAGCTTACAACAGGGATTGCACATACAAACACATGCGACCGCCATGGATCTCAAGAGTTTCCATCCTGGTCTGGATCAATGACTTCCGGACAACATCATGAACTACGTACTACTTCACCGACTTCAGCATTTCTACGCCTTTGCGCCCGATGATGAGAACATGGATGGCCGGAACGATGAGTTACCTGAAATTTCCAATGTCGTCTTGTACAACCCTTCTAGAGCAGATATTTTCATTCTCGGCAATATGTTTCGAAAAGAGATCACACTGGAGGTGCGACCGTTTGTATTGCTGTGTCGGTGGCAGAGGCTGACGAAACCCGATAGACCGCGACGCAGGGACCCGCCAATGGTTCAACCCCGTCCGGAGGGGCGCCGGACTGAGGCTGGCAGAGGCTTTCGAAGTGATCGATCGAGGCACCGTGTCTGAAGCACGAGTCGTCCTTGACGCTGTTTCGCTGGTAAGTGTAGAGGTTTTTTACACTACACTTCGAGGCTAAATGTGTTTGTGGACAAGTCTACAATGCCATCTTCTGGTTTACCCGCGAGATGAGGTCGATGTACTGGATTGCACACCACTAGCTACGCTAGAGTCGACTGCTAGAGACTGCTACTTGGCTTCTCGCTATCTAAGGGGTGCTATCACGACAGCTTGACGCACAATCCTGCTGCTCCTGGTGGGTCTGGCGGGACTGCTGACGAGTGATTTGAAACGGCGAGGACCGGCGAGTGCCTGTGTGGATTCTGTGGACGCGAGCGGGTGATGGTTGCGACGAAAATCCGTCAAAGACCAGGGGCAAGGGAGGATCGCAGCTGGGGCTGTTCTGCCACCGCCCCACGCGGGAGCACTGATGGCGTCCGTAGCGCCTCTTCAAGTTCAATCGATCCTCGCCTTCCTCCTCCTTGTCTCTCCCCTCGCCCTCCTCTCCCCGACCCCCCCTTCCGCCCGCCCGCCATGCAGCGCCACTCCTTCACTGCGCTCAACTCCACCTTCGTCGTCGACTCCGAGTACCAGTTCGTCAAGGAGCTCGGCCAGGGTGCGTACGGCTGCGTGGTGTCTGCAAAGCATCGCCGCTCTGGAGAGGGGTGCGCCATCAAGAAGATTACCAACATCAACACTAAAGTATACCACTTTTGCGCGTTGCTCTTTTCCTCCCTCATCTCTCCCCATTATCCAGAGAATCTTGACCAAGCGATGCCTGCGCGAGATCAAGTAACTGCCTTCCGCTCGCACGACCCATCCCGTGCTTACTCTCCATTAGGCTCCTCCATCACTTCCGTGGTCACAAGAACGTACGTCTTTTGTGGTTCCTGCATATGTTCATGCATTGAATTTTCCATGTCAGATCACTTGTCTGTATGATATGGATATCGTCTTCCATCCAGACGGCAACTTCGACGAAGTCTACCTCTACGTGCGTCGTCACCTCTTCGCGTGATCGGAGTGCATCCTCATCATCCCAACAGGAAGAGCTCATGGAGGCCGACCTGCACGCCATCATCCGCTCCCAGCAACCTCTCTCCGATGCCCACTTCCAGTCCTTCATCTACCAGACTCTATGCGGTCTCAAGTACATCCACTCCGCTAACGTCCTTCACCGTGATCTCAAGCCCGGTAACCTTCTCGTCAATGCCGACTGTGAGCTCAAGATCTGTGACTTTGGCCTCGCCCGTGGCTACAGCCCTGGCGGTGGCAGTAACAACACCCGAGGCGCCGCGAACCAAGGCTTCATGACCGAATACGTCGCTACTCGTTGGTACCGTGCCCCCGAAATCATGCTGAGCTTCGCGAACTACGTGAGTGCTATGGCATTAACAGGGTGCTGACGAGACGTTGACGCTCTTCCCCGATAGGGCCCCGCTATCGATGTCTGGTCCGTTGGTTGTATCCTCGCTGAGCTGCTGGCCGGAAAGCCCATCTTCAAGGGCAGGGAGTGAGTCCATATCTAGCCGAATGTGAAGGTTTCGCTTAACCTGCAATCGCAGCTACGTCGATCAACTCAACCAGATCCTCCACTACCTGGGCACGCCCTCGGAAGATACCCTTCGTCGGGTCGGTTCTCCTCGTGTAAGCAGACGGTAGCTCGTTTCGCGCGCAAATGATTCACCCCTCGTCTGCACAGGCCCAGGACTACATCCGCTCCCTCCCTATCAAGCCTCGCGTCCCCTTCGCCACCCTCTTCCCCCGTGCCAACCCACTCGCCATCGATCTTCTCTCTCAGCTCCTCCACTTCGACCCGGCCAAGCGTATTACGTGCGAGCAAGCCTTGAACCACCCCTACCTCGCCGTATGGCATGACCCTGCTGACGAGCCTGTGTGCGCCTCGGTTAGTATCCTATAATAATAATACTTCCGGGGGGAAACTGACAATCGCTTAAACCATCTTAGTCATTCGACTTCGGCTTCGAAGAGGAGGACTCGATCGAAGGCATGAAGCGCTTGATTGTGGAGGAGGTGCATGCCTTCCGAGCGGAGGTGCGCGCCCAGGCGCGTGCTTCTGGGCAGATTCGCAGGCAGGAAAGGTGCGTGGTCCCTGCGTTGACGAATGCTGGTATCGTCTGACCATCTCCGACAGCCTCCCGGTGCCCTCGCGGGATGAGATTCTCAACTCTCCCGTGGATCAGACGCCTGGGAACGGCGCGACGTCGCACTACACGGGTGCGGCGGGCGATGCGCGCCCAGGTAGCCCCATCATGGACGACCCCAGCGCAGAGCTTGAGCGCGAGCTCGCAGGCACCCACATCGCGCGGAGGTAAAAGGCTTAGCGGTGGCCCATGAAACTTGAGCGATGGCCTGGGTGCTGTTGACTGCGTTGTGACCGCCTTTGAATAGCCGAGAAGTTGTACAATGTGCTTTGTAGAGTAGACGTATATACCTTGTGGAGTAATTTATTGCGGAGGCGGTGGCCCTTGCGCCTTTATGTATTCTTGCACTCTCCGCCGAACGGGCACCGGGCCGGGACACGGGGGGTGGCAGGACGCGTCGAGCAGCGCCCTCGACTCAGCGCCTGGTTCCCTCCACCGTCTGGGGCGACGTCCAGCCCTCATTCCGACAATGGCCAGCGCCGCTGCGCCTCCTCTGCCCGACCTGCGCCGTCTGGCAACGCTGCCAGAGATCCTCACCGCCCTCTCCACGCTCCAGTCCCGCGAGTCTGACCTCACCACCTCGCTCTCCGACCTGCTCTCCGCTTACGAGCCCATCTCCGAGTCCCTCGCCAGTCTGCAGTCACTGGCCCCGCAACTCGATCTCATCGCAGAGGAAACGCACCTTCTGGACTGCACCGTTTCGTACACCGCGCGCACCGCCCAAGATGTCGGCGGCCGCGTCCAGCTGCTGGACGAGGAGATGAAGCGAGTGCGCGAGGCCTCAGAACGGGTGGGGCAGATCGTCGAGCTCAAGGTGCGTCGCCCGCCCGTGCAGTCCAGCCCGAGTCCGACTACTCTGGCAGTCCTCTCTGGCCGCGCTGCACGCCTCCGTCGAGGAGCACGACTGGGAATCCGCCACGCGCCACTGCGCCCGGGCGATGTCCCTCCCGCTCGACGTGATCTCGGGCCCGTTCGCGGAGACGGCGGTGGTGCGTCCCCTCCCCTCCTCCCTGCGCGCAGCGACGCCCCGTTCCGACCGCCCGAGGGCCCCTCCGTCCGCCAGCCGACGCCAGAGAGCCACCTGCCGCCCGCGCAGACGCTGCAGGCCGCCCGCGAGCACCTCCTCGCCGTCTTCCGGCGCGAGTTCGAGCGGGCGTCCGCGGCGCGCGACGCGGCGGCCACGAGCCGGTTCTTCAAGCTCTTCCCCGCGATCGGCTGGGAGGCCGAGGGCCTGCAGGCGTACGCCTCGTTCGTCGTCGAGCTCGTCAAGGTCCGCGCGCCGCCGTCCGCGAAGAGTGCGTGCCTCCCTGCGTGTTCGCTGGTCCATCGTCGGGCTGACCGGGGCCGCCGCAGCGTCGTCGCCGCTGTACTACATCACCGCGCTCACCGCGCTCTTCGAGAGCATCGCGATGATCGTGGACCAGCACCAGCCGGTGGTGGAAAAGTACTACGGGACGGGCAAGATGGGCTCCGTGCTCGAGCGCCTGCTCCGCGAGGCGGACCGCGTCGTCGCGGACCTGCTCGAGGGGTGGGAGGAAGAGCGGGCGATGAAGCGCAAGGTGAGCACCGCCGTCTATCCGTCGTGCACGCGGAGCTGCTGACGGGATATTTGGGGGGCCCCCACCAGCTGTCGGACATCTCCACCGCGCCCCCGCTCACGGCGTCGGTGCAGCGGCAGGCGTCCGCGGCGGCTGCGGCGGCGGCGGCGGTGGACGACGACGACGACTTGGTGGACCCGCGCGAGATCGACAAGGTGCTAACGGAGGCGGCGGGCATGGGGGGTCGGTGGGGGCTGTTCCGTAAGTTCATGCACGACAGACTGAAGGTGGCGTGCCGATCTCACTTTGCTCGCGCGCACCACATCGTTGACCGAGGTTGTAGGACGAGTCGGACGGCGAGAACCAGGACGGCTACGGGCCTTCTGCCCCCCTCCGTGAGCAGCCGCAGAGCTCGTCGCCCGCGCCGCCCGCGCCTGACGGGGGTTCAGCGAACGGCGGGCAAGCACTGGACGAGTCGAAGTCTCACAAGGCCATCGAGAACATGCTGCTCACCTACTATACGCCGATGGAGGTGTGGTATGCCCGCTCTGTGATCGAGAAGGTCTGTGTTTTGTCGTTTCACAGGCCCTTGCTGACGGTGCCCCATAGGCTCACCGACTATCGTCACACGACTTTACCCAAGTGCCGGTGACTACCACCACTCCTGATGACGCCTTCTATATCTTGAAAACCGTGCTCGCCAGGATGCTCACGACGGCTTCTCTTGCCACAGTTCAGCGTACTTCTGAGTCCTTACGAGACGTGATGGATAAGGACTACGCCCGGGTCATCAAGCACAAGCTAGACAGCGTGTACAAGGGCGGGACTGCTGGGCCTGGTGCTCGGGGCGACAAGGTGGAACGCGAGAATAGGCAGTCGTTCATTGTGGGTCACACAGCGTCGTCCTCGACCACGCTCGCTGAATGGCGCGCAGATTTTATTGAACGATCTGGACGTCTCCTCGTCACATATGGAAAGGCTCATCAAGGACATCCAGTCATCGACCCTGATACCACAGCACTTTATGGACATGGAGGCTGCGAAGGTGAAGGACAGTCTGGCGTTGTTCCTCAATCTTGTTCCCAAATACCGGTCAACGCTGAGGGTGAGTATGGCTCCGCTGATCTTGCGGGATGGCACGGTGGCTGATGAAACGTCGTAGGCCGGTGTCGAGCAACTTTTCAACCAGCTGCTGCGCCCAGACTGCGGACATTCATTCCTGACATCTACAAAGACGTCTCGTACATCCTAGACGATGACGGCTACGCGGCTGCGGAGTTGTCGGACACTGTCCGCAAACGGTTCATCAAAGCCTGGGAGGCTCTAATCGATGGATACAAGGTGGGTGTCTTGGGCAAAGTGCTATCTCGACGACTCATTGCCGCTGCAGGACTTCTTTACAGAGAACAATTTCCGCCTTTTCTTTGGACTCGCGCTCGACGTGCTTGTTCGACCATGGGAGAAGTTCGTGGCAACCCTGAAGTACAGCGAAGTACGTGGCTATTTTGGAACATACGATTTGAGTGTTTACAGGACCGCAGTTGGGTGCAATCCGATTCGACCATGACCTACGAGCCATCATGGCCTACCTTTCATCCCAAACTGTATTTGGCGACATCCGAGAGAAGTTTGTCAGGTTGCAGCAGATAGGAACGGTGCTCAACCTGGACTCGGTGAGTGCCTTCGTCGTCTGGTGAAGCAATGAAGCGATTCTGACCGTCTTGCAACGCAGGAGGAGGACGTGGACGAGTTCTACAACGGCTCTGGGATCTCCTGGCAACTGAGCGAGCAGGAGGCACGATCCGTAGCAAATTTGAGGGTATAATTCAAAGGACCATGTAGACTAGCTTACACTCGTATCCCACCTCTATTGCTGGACGGCCTCTATCCTCTCCGGAGCGCATCGAGTCGGGCTTGCAGCGCATCCTCATCCGACATATCGTCTCCCCCAGCAGTACCTCCGCCGTTTGATGCCGCTGGCCCACTGGCGGGTGCGCCAACGGCTACGGCTTGCCTCGGCTCGAGCAGAGGCGAAGCAACAGCCAGCCCATTGGGAGCTTCGGACAGCTGGGCGACCACAACTTGAGAACGCAGAGAACGATTCTTAGTCGGGCACGTACCTGCTGCGAGAGATCGACACCGATCTCGTCCAGGACCTGCTTGAGGATCTTGTCGCCCTCTTCCTCCTCGTCCTCGAGGTCGTCGTCCATGACGTCGTCCACCGCGTCTGACATCATCTCCTCCTTCATGTCCATCGTCGCGCTCTCCCGCTCGAACTCCATCATGATGCGTTGGATCTGGGGCAGGTTGAGCCCCTTGTTCATCGCGCCCATGGCCTGGAGGAGGGGTCAGGAAGCGCAATCAAAGCGGGCGGGGGCAGCGAGCGAGGACGCACACGAGTGGCGCCGCGCATGGCCTCGGCCATCTGCTGGTTGCTCCGGAGGGTCTGTATCCGGAGGCCGACGGCCTGGAGCTGGGTGCGCATCTGGTAGAACTTCTGGACGTATCGGCGGGTGCGGACGAGGTCCTTGGCCATCACCTTGCACGCGTTCTGTGGGGGCGAGATGGGGCGGCTCAGCAGCGGGCGGACGGGCGGGCGGACGAGAGGGCGAGACAGACCATCTGGCCGGACTTTGCGCTCTTCTTGATGTCCATGATGAGCTTCTTCTCCTGCTGCTCGAGCTTGGTGCGCTCGCGGTCGAGCTCGCGCTGCGCCTTGGCGAGCGCGCGCTGGTGCTGGCGGAGCCGCTCCGCGGGGGTCACCGTCCGGCCGAAGAGGGTTTCCTGCGTGGAGAGGTGAGCAGAGGCTGGCGGAAGAGCTGGGTGGTGCGCACGATGATGTTCATGGGGCAAGGATCGTGGTGGAGGGAGAGAGCAGGGAGCGCATGGACGACTCCGGCGAGGTTGAGGCGCGCAGACGGCCCGTCGCGCCTGCTGCGCCCCGCGCGCATCCTCCCACTTGGCCAGCTACGGCGATGTCCTCCTCGTCTGGGCTCCCCGCGGTCGGCGCCCACTGCGCCCTCGCCGCCTGCAATCTCAACGACTTCCTCCCCATCCGCTGCCAGTGCGCCGCGCTCTTCTGCGCCGCCCACATCGCCCCCGACGCCCACGCGTGCCCGCTGCTCGCCGCCACCCCGCGCGGCGACCAGTCCGAAAGCTTCAAGCTCGAGCGGTGCGCCGCGGCGGCGTGCACGAAGCCCAGCCTCGAGTCCTTCGTCGCCCGCTCCGCCGCGGTCGAGGGGCGAGTGCCGGCGCTGTGCCCGGGGTGCGGGCGTGCGTTCTGCGCCGAGTACGTCGCCCGCTCCGCTGCCCCCTGGGCTCGTGCTCACGCTGCGCACGCAGGCACCGCGAACCCGCCGCGCACGCTTGCGCTCCGCCACCGCCAGACCCCGCCGCGCCTCCCGCCCCGGTCAAGAACGCAGCGGCGAAGGCGCTCCTGGCGGCGCACTTCGGCACACCGGCCTCTCGCGATCGGGCGGGGTCCAAGCCAGCCGCGGCGGGCTCTGCGCGGGCGCAGGAGGCGAAGCGCAAGGTGGCCGCGATGAAGATGCGACAGCAGGCCAAGGCGGGAGACCCGAAGGATGCAGCTGCGTCCGTCGCCGTCGACCAGCGGTTGCACGTCCGCGTCGCACAGGCGGGGCAGCCAGCGACGGAGCGCGTCTTCTGGTTCCGAAAGGTCTCGTCTTCGTCCGATCCCCGCTCCCACTCTCATGGACATCCTCGGCAGGGCTTGGTTGCCGGCAGGGCACTCGACATGCTCGCCACCCACTTCCGGATGACCATCAGCGACTCCCAGGTGGGCGGTCATCGTGGGTCGCGCCCTTCACTCTGCTCATTCGTCCGACAGCCTCTCAGACTGCTGCTCACCGACAACGGCGCAGATGGCGCCGCTCTGCAGAACGATCGGCCACTTGAAGAGCAGATCTCCGACGGTTCGACCCTCGTACTGAGCAGGTAATGCACACTAGCACCAGGCGCAGCCTCCGCTTCCAGATGAGAGCGAGTCGTAAATTACCATTACATTCAGTCCCATAGCACATAATATGCAGAATCAAACACGTATGGACATGACATGGACATCTAGAAGAGACAGCTATGCTACCAGAGCCGCAAGTCTCCTCAGGTGGGGGACGTTGAGGTATGCGGGGACGTAAGTCTCCAGCCCAGAAACCTCCCGTGGAAGCGGGAGCTCGTACGGCCCGACTTCCTCGGTTTCTGGTGCGAGAAGCAGGTGGTCGTTGCGGTCGTTGGGGGAGACGCGCGATGCGACGACACGGAGAATCTCGGGGGAGATCGGTGTCTGCAGGAGAAGAAGAGTCGTTGAGAGATCTCGCACAGGGACGACCGAGGAAGAGAGCGACGTACCTCGTAGTCGGCAACGTAGTAGTTGGTACACATGCGCTGGATTTGAGTCGGCGTCAGCATCCAGCAGACGTCGTAGATGATCTCCAGATCCGCCGGCGTTGACTTCTTGAGCTGGAGAAGCTTCGTCGCCTGCATGAGGTGCTCCAGCTGCAATGTCCCCTCTGGCATGTCGTGGGACTTGCACCATTCTTCTATACGAGTGATGTTGTACTGGATCTGCATGGCTGCACGGAGCGGTCGGCGACAAGTACGTGCAAAGCAAGCGATGATGCATACCTCGCTTCCATGACGAGAAGTTACGCCTCATGAGAAGGTCGTTGAAGCTCGTGACGCCGATGAGCTTGAGCAGCTCCGTGATGACTTGCTGCACCACCGTCTCCTCCATGTAGTAGCTCTTCAGACTCCTCCACACCTTGTTGAGCAGGTTGAGGATGTCGTCCATGCTGTACGCCGGTTGTGTGTTGGAGTTGAGCAGGCGGTTGAACAGGCGGCCACCGCCGTCGGTCGTCGTGAAGCCCGGTAATGACTGGCTCTCGATGAGCGCGGGAATAACCATCTTCGACAGCCGCTTCTTGGTCTCGAGCATCCATGTGTGGTAGATGTTGTACTCGAGACTGTCGAGGTCGTGTTTGACAACCGAGACGAGACGCTCGTAGTCCGGCCATTCGAACGGCCGGACGGCGTTCTCCTCACCGGGGCCGATGCCTTGCAGCATGTCGCTCTCTGCGACGCAGATGAAGGAAAGCATCTCGTGCACGTTCGACAGCCAGAAGATGCCAGGGATGATCGCGTCTTCGCTGGTGAAGGACTGAACCATTGGTCAGCATATATTATGAATGCGTTCTCGATAGCGACTTACCATGACGTGAGATTGGATGGTCTGCATGACGTTCGCGAGGAACCGCTCGCTCTCGGGGATAAGGCCGTACTTCCACATCTCGTTCGTGATGAGTGAGATAAGGTTCGCAGGGAACAAGATCTCCTTGACCGCCGCCGGGCTCGTCAAGCTCGGTGCAGGGATCTTGAGGCCACGGACGAGGCCGTCCAGGACGTCCTCGTCGAGGCGCTTGATGTCTTGCATCAACCTGATCTTCTCCTCCGCCGGGTCGTCGAACATGCTCGACCGGTCCAACACGCGGAACTGTGGCAGGCCATCCTCGCCGTTGTACGCGACCGAAACCGCACGGGGGTTGGCGTTCTGGCTCCGCTTCGCGTTGAACATGAGCTCGTCCGCGGACGTGCGATGGTCCGAGGGGCTGATTGCGTACACACCCGCGGAGCTGTGCCGCCTTTGGTGGCTGCGGTTGAGATTCGCGAGCTGGCCGTTGGTCGCAGCGGCGGGGGCCTCGGCGAGACGGAGGACGGGAGCGAAGGTTGGCGACGTCGGCTCCGCGCGCACCCCACGAGTGAGCGCGTTGAGCGCGGTGGCACGGTTGAGCTGCTCACGGAGGCTGCTGACCTCGGTCTTGAGGGTCTGAATGACGGAGCTGTCGTCCGCATTCCGCACGGGCTGCGAGTCCATAAGCTTCTGCTGGGTCTCCAGCTGGGAGGCTTGCTGGGCGAGCTCTTCGGTCAGCTTCTGAATCGCGGCCTCCTTCTCCGCGGCCTTGGTGATGGCTTCCTCGAGCTTCCTCTCGACATCCTCCTTGGTGCGCAAAAGCTGCTGGCTCCGAGAGACCTCTTCCTGCACCCCGTTGAGCTGCTCCTGGATCTGACGAGCACGAGCATCTGACTCTTCGTGGCGGGAGACGGCTTGGAGGAGTTGAGCCTCGAGAGTGAGGACCTTGTTCTGCAGTTCCTTCTTCTCTTCGGTGCGCTTCTGGAGGTTTTGAGTAAGCTCGACAACCTTGTTCTCAAGGCGGTACGAGATCTCCTTGAACTTAGACACCGAGCGAGCCTCAGCTTTGAGTGACTTAAGCTCCTTGCGGGCGAGCCTCCTGCGAATGCACGACTGGATGAGGATAACGTTCTTGACATCCTTGTTGAATGACCGGCGTGAAAGGCTAAAAGTATGTTCAGCAAGCTGTAAGGGCAAAAGAGGCTGAAGAACTCACAGGCCGCGGAAGAGGCTCTGCAGGGTGACGACGGCGAAGGTACGCTTTGAATCCTTGAACAACCGACGCCCGAGAGCTCCTCTTGCCCCTACAGACACCGTGAGTAGACACCCTGCACAGAATGAGATGGATACGTACGTGCTTGCAGAGAAACGACAGACATGCGAATGGCGAGGAAACGCTTGCGCTGGAGATACCGGCGGATACCACGCTGCAACCGAATGGCGGCGACGTCCTTACGGATTCTGTTCACCAACCGTGTGGCCATGATACCGCGCCACCATGTCTGGATCTTAATGGTAGCCTCGCGGAGCTGTTTGTATTTCTTGACGGCCATCTTTCGTCTCATGTTCTTCTGCACAATGGTGACGAGCGAGTTCAGACGGTTGGAACGGAGGGATTCGAGAGCAGCGAGCATGCCGGCACGGAAGAAGATCTTGGTTAGGCCAGGCTGGTACTTGTCCGGGTCGTTGATCGTCTTCTCGAGAATGCGAGCGCAGAGAGGCTTGAGCTCGAGGTTCTTGATCATCGGCTCCCACTCGGACGAGTGCACAAGCATATAGTACCTGCACTCAATCACTGAGCAGTAGTATCCAACTGTGTGAGGACTGTACTCACCGTTCGGCGAACTCCTCATATGTCCAACGCGAGGGGTAACCGGCACAACTGATTCGAATAGTCTCCAAGACACCACAAGCACGGAGCTGTCCGAGTACCTGCTGAGGCGTGAACTCCCAAGCACGCTTCTGCTCATTGGGCTTGATACAACGAATGTAGTGGACGTTGGTAACATTGAGGGTCTCCATCAGGCTGACCAAAGATGCCTTGAAGATCGACGCCTGAGTAGGCTTCTTCGTTACACCAGGCCGCTTGGGTCCCGATGAAGCAGCAGCACCACCAGACATAATCGAGACACGTCCCGGGTCAGGGATGACAGAGGCACGACGGTTGGTAGAGCTTGCAGAATCAGAAACCGTGGGCGAGGGTGGCGCAGCATCCGCAGGCTTCGTCGCTGCGAAGGCAGCGTCGAGCACCTCCTTCAAGAATGTGTTCTTGGTTGCCTGCAGGAGCGCCATGTGCTCGTCCGGAACGGTATCTCTGTTCTTCTCCAAGAAGCCCTCCACCTCGTACGTGACATCCAAAGCGTAGTGAGCGATAGTGAAAGCGGAGTTGCCGAAACGGGGCTTCTTGAACACTTTCGCATGTTCGGGCTTTGTGAGCTGGCTGTTCAACTTCTGCAGGAACGACTGGTCTGTGCCGGCAGGCAAACGAGATTCTTCATCCAGGAGCGCCATTACACCAAGTTTGCCTTCGATGACATCGATACAAGGTTGGTTGTCCGAGAAGTCGATGAACGTCCAGTTGATCTTTTCTCTCACGTATTCTTCTTGCTCAAGTTTGAAGACGTGTTGGTTGAACTGTCAATCTCGTCAGTACACCGGTCAGCGAAGAGTCGAACATCGGCATCTATATACCTCTTGCTGCAGCTTCTCGTTAGCGTAGTTGATGCTGAATTGTTCGAACGAGTTCTGGGAGCTGCGCGTCAGCCATGCGTCAGGAAACTGCCCAACTCTACTGACCTTCTTGAAGTGTTCGAAACCGTAAATATCCAGCACACCGATGAACATCTCCGCCCGGCTTGCGGCCTCGCCGTTCTCGCCCGCCAAACTTTCGTTGAGGACGGCGACCACCCACTCGAAGAGGCATGCATACACGAACTTGGCCACGGAGTCCCGCACCACAGTGGCCTGCGCACCGTTGAGCGAAGTGACGATCTTCTCGGAGCGCGTGGTGATCTGCTTCTTGATCGTCCACTTCTTGAACTCCGCCAGCGGCACACCGAGGAAGCGAGTGGATAGCTGTAGCGCCGGGTCGGCGTCGTCGATGGTGGCATCGTTCCGAGACTGAGTAACCTTGATGTTGCCGAGGTGGAGAAGAGAGGAGAGGAGCTTGAAGACGGCCCACTGCTTCTCGACCGAAATACCAATCGTGGATAGCGCCGTCTGAGTTTGCCTAAACTCTTCCGCGTCATCGACACCAGGGATTGGTGTTGACGATGGTCCACCTTGACAGAGGTATTGGAATTTGGAGACATCCGTGTCCAGGCCAAAATCTTTCCGCTCCTTCAGTGGCGCACCGGCGCACAGTTGATAGAAAATGTGGTAGTTGCGTTCCGTCATCGGCTGGAAGACTACCCGGGAGCGTTCCAGGAGATATGTCCGAATCCGGGCACCAACAATCTCTTGTTCGCCGTCGAACAGGATCTACAGAGACATCAACACGCTAACCTGGCGAGCGACATCTAATCACGCACCTGGATGTACTTTCCGAAACGTGACGAGTTGTCATTACGAGTCGTCTTCGCGTTTCCAAAGGCTTCCAAGACCGGATTAGTGGCCAGGATCTGCCGTTCCACCTCACTAGACTCGTCCAGGGAAGCCTTAGCCTTGACCTTGACTTTCGCATTGGGCGGGTTGACAGAGGCGATATAACGCATGATGAACTTGGCCTACGGAGACATGAACACCGTGACAATCAGCGAAGAAAGGATCTAATTACCGATTCGGTCTTTCCAGCACCACTAGAATATGATGAGGATGCATGCGGATGATAGTGTGTAGAAAACGGCGTACCTCTCCCCCGAAACGATGATTGTCTGACCAGTACCATCTCTGGTCATGGCGGTGTAGGCGTCCTCCGCGATGGCGAACAAGTGGGGCTCAAGCTCTCCTCTTCGACGGCCATTATATGCTTGGATGACCTCCGGGCCATAGAGGGCGACACGTTGGAAGGGGTTGACTGCGATGAGAACTATACCGGAGTACGTGTAGATACTATGTTGAGCGTAACGATTGCGGATAGTGTGAAGGACTGCCCGGTTATATCAAACAGCGTGTCAGAAGCGCAGAGAGGACGATGCGATGGAGTATGCGCACCTGAAGGCTCGTTCAAATGAGAGAGGGTTGCAAGGTCATCGGCAGTCTCGAGCAAGGGAGGATTCCGAAGTGGTGGAAGGTCCTCCTTTCCGTCCTTGATGGCCTTTACGGTGGTATCGATTTTGATTTCCTAGCACGGGAAGAAGCGGGGGGTGAGCGCGGGCGAGGGCGGGCGTGGCGGACGGCGGGGGCACCTTTCCGCGTTCGTCGGTAAAGACGAGCTTGACGGCCTCATCTGTTTTGGTATTGGAGATAACCTCGGCGGAGATCCAGCCGAGCTCCTTGTCGGGGAACCATACCCTGGTTCCCTTGCTGTATATGATTTCGGCCATGGAGGCGTGGGGGGCCGGGGGGAGGGGAGGGGCGTAACAAGTCGTCAGCGAGGTTGTCTTGACCAGTCCCCATCCGAGCACCGTTGCCCCCATCCAGTCACACCTGATCGCTGTGACTGTCGGTCACGCCACGCTCTTGCTGCACCCACACGTTCCGCACTGCGCTGGCCAATGCATCGATCCATGCACACTTGCAAGTTGCGGAATACACGTCGTCCTCCCGCGTTCTGATTCTCTCCGAGTCCGCAGGGCGACGAGGGCAAAGGCGTGACAGCCACGTGGGCGTTCTTCCGCGCGGGCGTCTCGCAGGGGCAGTGGAGGCGCGGGCTGGAGTCTGCCCGCGCTGATCTCCCTGCCCTCAGCACATCCCTGCCAAAGCCTCCCACTCTGCACTCCCGCTCCAGCTCGATTCTTGATGCACGACGGTCGCTGAGCGAGCTACCCCACACCCTCTAAGTTTCCCTGCTGCGCCTTCTCATCCATCCCGATATTCTCGGCCCCGCCCACCATGTCTACCGCGGTCGTCAAGTCCACCACTGTCGTCTTTAACGGCCAAAAGGTGCGTGCATACGGATCGCCTTTGTTTCTGCCCTTCTCATGTTACGACCGCAGCGCACCAAGATCCTGACGCGTCAACATCTCCGCAGAGTGAGTGCCCTTTCTGCCCAGGACCCTCCTGTGCTTCAACTCTGCCCCAGTACTCTTGGCTCCCAGATGTCTTTCGTCTCAAAGGAAGCGTACGTCCTTGTGTGTTCTTCCCCGTCTATTATTTCCTGATGTCGCGCAGATCATCCCGCGCATCCTTGGCCCAGTCTTAACGGTCACCATCTTTTCCTCTGGCGCTGCCTACGCCTGGCACTCTGGGACAGACATCTCTCTGAGCAACTCGATTGTGCCGCTTCTATCTGTGGTCGTGAGTGTCTTTCTCGTCTGTAAAGCAGACGCTTGATGAGCCATCGATAGGTTGGCTTGATTCTGGTGTTCAGGTATGTCGTGTGATTAATAATATATCGGTGGACTGCTTACCCCCCAGTCTCACTTCCACCTGGCAGGAACGGGTGAGTGCCTGCACTGTTGTGTGCATTGCATCATCATCGCTCATCTCACGACAGAACCTCTTATGATCGGTACTACGAGGGACGTAAAGACTTCGGAACCATGGTAGCTCACGTACGCTCTCTCTCTCTTCACACCGACACCCCCCTTTGATCACCACCCTTAGGCACGTAATCTCTCCCGTCTCATTTGGATCAACGTTTGTGTATCCCCACCCGACGAGGCCACACGCGACAAGTTTCCCAATGCTACGCTGACCGCCAACCAGCTGCGCCGACGTAAGGTCGACGCGGTCAAGCTTTGCCTTAGCTTTGCGTATGCGACCAAGCACTATCTCCGTGGCGAGGACGGCCTTGACTGGGACGACTACGCCGGTATTCTCCCCGCAGCGGCGCGTCGCCTGGCCGAGGGCAGGTACATTCCTCCCGACAAGTACTCGAACCAGCCCAGCGGGAAGTCGACCGCGTACACGAGCTACAACGCCACCGCACAAGCCACACGTCGCGGCTCCCCGGACGGCGGTGACACCGGCTCGAGCACACCGCACCTGGAGGACTACGAGATCGACGTCGAGCGTGGGCGCTCGACTGGTCCAGACGCGACGAAGCGGATCAGGGTGAAGCGGAGCAAGGACCGCAAGCAGCGCGGCTACAAGTCGACGACCCCGCTCTTGAGCACCCTGAATCATACCCTCGACTTCGCTGCGGACCCGGACAGCCTTTCAACTCCTCTCCCCATGGTGTGAGTGACCCTGATGCATGGTGTATTCCTTGTGCCAGCTGCTGACCTTTGAATAGGATCGCGCACGAGTTGTCCCATTCGCTGTTTAAGTTCCGTAGGGACGGTTACCTCGAGACTGTCGGTCCCGCAGGAGTTAACGCCATGAATCAACTGTGCGTCCTCTCCGTCACTCCCATTATGCTGTTACTCATGTCGCTGTAGCGTGCAAGGGATGATCGACATGATGACTTGCATGGAGCGTGTCGCCAACACGCCCATTCCGCGCTCCTACAGCATCCACCTGAAGCAATGCGTGACACTCTATCTCTTCTCCCTACCCTTCACACTTGTTAAAGACCTCGGCTGGGGCATGATTCCGCTCGTGACCGTTGTCGCATTCACGCTCATGGGCATCGAGGGCATTGCGGATGAGATTGAGATGCCGTTCGGTCTCGACACTTCGGACCTCCCCCTGGGTGAGCTCTCGCCTATGCCCTTATGATGACACGATGTTGAACTCCGCACAGAACGCTACTGCGAAGACCTCAAGGAGGAAATCGAGTAAGTTTGCATGTGTTGTCCTGTTACAGGAGTCCCCCTGACTTTTGAACCAACAGGTTCATGGTGGAGAAGTTACCGGAAGGTGGTGAAGGTATTGCGGGTTACGATGATGGCGAGGGCGATGACTGATGATCTAGAGGACTCTTATGGACACTCATGTTTGCTGCATATCCCCAGTCTAGCATTGTGTCGAACAAAGCCAACACATATACCATGAAGTAGTCTATGCGAAGTCTGGCTGACAGTGCTCTCCGGGCCCGTAAGGCTGAAATCGCGACGTCCGTCAGAACCGCCGGAGACCTGCCACGCACGTCGCTCACCTTCTCCGTGAGCGCGGTGAGCCCGGCTGAGTTCTCCACCGTGTGGCGTCCACTCTGAGGGCCGGGTTTAGGCTTCTGGCCGTTCTTGAACGCGTCGAGGATTTTGCGGGTGGTGTCGGCCGTGAGGTCCTCCTGCACCTAGGTGAGGGTCTGCGCGGAAGATACAATATAGACACACGCACGTAGAAGTCATCCCCAACAACAAGCATGGGGGCACTACTGCACGCGCCCTGGCACTCGACCTCGATGACGGTGAACTTGCCATCCTTGGTCGTCTCGCCCGGCTTGATACCGCCTAGATGGCTACAGACGGTGTCGAGGATGTCGTACGCACCGCGAAGCATGCAGGGTGTTGTCGTGCAGACCTGTACAAAGTGCTCGCCTATGGGCTCACTGTATGCGCGGCGTATAGATGAGATAGGGCGAGGGTGATGGGTGATGGAGCAACGCACCGGTTGAACATGGTGTAGAAGGTCGCGACTTCGTAGACGCGCATGGGAGGCATGCCCAGGAGCTTAGCGACGTAGTTCATGACGGAGATGGACGTCCATCCCTTATTCTGCCGCTGGCCGAGGTCGAGGAGGGGGATCACGGCGGCCTTCTTGTACTGGGGGGGATAGTGGGAGATGATGTCCTCCGCACGCTTTAGGTTGTCCGGGGTGAACTCGAAAGGAATCTGGGCACGTACAGTGAGCGATTGTAGTGGAACGGAGAGCAGTGCAACACACCTTCGGGTTATTGTAGGGAGTGTCGCGGTGCTGAAGGAGAATCCGGAGATTAGTGGAGGAGAGAAAGCGGCGGGGATGATACGTACGACGAAGAGAGCGTCCGAGCGTGCGGGATGGGAGGTGACAAAGGACCGCGCGGCATACGAGGGACGGGGGGCGCGCGCAGCACGAGCAAGTGCGCGTGCGGCGAACATAGCGTCGGACGAAGAGGACGAGCGGAAGGTGGCAGCACGAACGTCGAGCAGGGCGGACACGGCGGCAGAGGCGCCTGGTGACGCGTGACGCGTGACGTGCGCAAGCCTGCAAAAGGCAGGCGGCACGTGTGGTGGGAGCGCGACGGGCGACTCGCGAGCGACTCGTCAACGGTCTGCGTCAGGCAGACGAGCACACGACGCAGTTGGTGCGCAGTTTTAGCGCGCGTTTGTGGACTGCGTGCGCGTGTCGCAGTTGGCAACAGACGACGGGGCGAGCAGAACAGCCAAGACAGCGTCGGTCGCGCGCAGGTGAGCTGGGCGGGGCTGTGGTGTGATGCAAGCGCCCGAGGTCTGGTGACTGGCGGGAGGTGGTCTCGGGGCCAGCGCTCTCGTCTCGAACGCTGCCCGTCGCTCTCGGCGTCTCCGCCTCGCTCTTCTCCTCTTTCTCCCGCCCACCAGCCAACCCACCGCCTGCCCGACGCCTCCCGCCCCTCCTGCCCTCTTGCTTCCCGTCTCTCCTTCCGCCCCGCACGATCTCCACTCACGCATAGCCCCACAAGGCCAACTTCCGCCCCGCCTCTCGCCCTGTATCTCTAGCATCACTTCCTCCCCTCACCATGGCCACCCACGGTCCAATTAATGGCGTCAAGATCTCTCGTATGTCTCTCTCTCCTTCGCTTGTTCCCCCGTTTTCCACCACACTTCCGTTTCCTTTACCCCCGATTCCCTCGTCCTCGCCCTCCCATCGCGTTCATCGCGCCCCTCTCCTTGCCTCGCATGTACCTGGATCGACCATCCGTGCTCACTCCTATGCTTTCTTTCTCGCTCTTCCTCCCCAGCCGTCGACGATCCGCGCAAGATCGTCAAGGTCGTCGCCTCCGACGGCAAAACGGGCGACACTCGTGATCTCATCTACACCAACTGCAAAGTTATTGGCAATGGCTCCTTCGGCATTGTTTTCCAAGCCAAGCTCTTGGAGGATTCCACCCCAATTTGCGACATCGCCATTAAGAAGGTCCTCCAGGACAAGCGGTTCAAGGTCCGTCCGAACGTCTTTGTGGCCCGTGCGCGTCTAACATCGCTCCCGCCCCATCCAGAACCGTGAGCTGCAGATCATGAGACTCGTCGCGCACCCCAATGTTGTCGACCTCAAGGCCTTCTTCTACTCGAACGGTGACAAGGCATGTTCCCACTCCCTTTTTCCCAGCTTCTCCCATCCCATCAACAGCCGTGACACGTCCGTCCCCTATAACCTTCTCGCCCTAATTCCCTGATTCTGCGCCTTCGTTGCGATGTCGGGCTAACGTTGTGTTGATTCACAGAAAGACGAAGTGTACCTCAATCTTGTGCTCGAATATGTACCTGAAACCGTGTACCGCGCCAGCCGGCACTATGCCAAGCTCAAGCAGCCCATGCCTATGCTCCAAATCAAGCTGTATATGTACCAACTCCTCCGCTCCCTCATGTACATCCACTCTATCGGCATTTGTCACCGCGACATCAAGCCCCAGAACCTCCTGCTCAACCCAGCCACCGGCGTCCTCAAGCTGTGCGACTTCGGTTCTGCTAAGATCCTCGTTGCGGGCGAACCCAACGTGTCCTACATCTGTTCGCGCTACTACCGCGCACCGGAGCTTATCTTTGGGGCGACCAACTACACGACCAACATCGGTGCGTGCATATTTTCCTCGCATCACGGCTCAGTCGGCTCACTGGATGTATGCTATCTCAGACATTTGGTCGACCGGCTGTGTCATGGCGGAGCTCATGCTCGGGCAGCCCCTGTTCCCTGGAGAGAGCGGCATTGACCAGCTGGTGGAGATCATCAAGGTGCTGGGTACACCGTCGCGCGAGCAGATCAAGACAATGAACCCGAACTACATGGAGCACAAGTTCCCACAGATCAAGCCTCACCCGTTCTCCAAGGTACGGGAATGAAAGTTAGCGTATATGCGTTGGTGAACACAGCCACTGACTGCTGGTGCTGCAGGTGTTCCGTCCGCGCACCGCTCCCGAGGCGATCAATCTGGTCGCGAAGCTGCTTGAGTACACGCCCGAGGCGCGGCTGAGCTCGGTCGAGGCCATGTGCCACGAGTTCTTCGATGAGCTCAGGCAGGAGGGCGCGAAGATGCCGAACGGCAAGGAGTTCCCGCCGCTGTTCGACTTCACCAAGGAGGGTCAGTGCCGCACACCTGGGCCGGTTCCCACTGTTGGAAGTGACGCTCACATGCTGGTCCACTTCGTAGAGCTTTCGGTACGGCCGGACCTTATGCGTCAGCTCGTTCCTCCGCACTGCGAGCCGGAGCTGGGGTCGCGGTCGATCCACCTGGATTCGTTCGTGCCGATACCACTGGAGCAGCTACGGATCTCCTTGGACTAGTTGGAGGCGAAAGGAAGCCAGAAGGAGTCCGAAGCCCTACGCGGCGCGCGCGCTCGCAGCGTCCGGGGGCCATGTAGCATTGATGATATGGTCGTTGCCGTCGGCGGAGCGGGGAGGAGGAGGTCACGGAGCCGTGTTTGTCGGACCCGTGCGCCATCGAGCCCGGTCGCGTCGTCGGTTGTTGTTTTGTCGCGTCATGTCTGCAGATCGAGCCGCGCTTGCCCTGATCACCCACCACTCGTACCCCGCGTCGACTGACGGCGCGCCCGTTGTGTTCTATATATCTTGAATTGGAGCTTTGTGGTCCGCAGTGCATCGCCGCGCGGCCTTACGGAGGTGTGGGATGAAACGAGGGAAGAAGATTGCGCCACGGCTGGTGCTAATCCTCGTTGCTCAATTGCCCCACTTGTGGATGGACATCTTCGAAGCGCGGCGATCTCCACCGAAGGGTGAACGAACGACGAAAGCCATACGTTTGGAGATGTCGCTAGCGCGTCACGCCTGAGGCCAACTGCGTGCATGAGGCCATATGGTTGCACAGCGGAAGACGGGTGATGTGGGTCGCACGGAGAGCAATCGGGCACACAGATGTCGTGCTCGTCCTGCGGCAGAAGAGCGCACGTATTGACATGCAGTGGGAGAGTCGAGGGCGGCGGAGGGCGGAGATGGCCGCGCAGGACTCGCGAGAGCCGTGGGCGCGATGTCGCGATGTGCAACCTCGGTCGAAGGCAGGCTGAGCACGGTGCGGGCAGCCTTGCGCGATGTCGCGAGCAACTCACGCGACCCCCCGGCGCCTCTCCCATCAGCTCCCAACCGTCCGCTGCTTCTTCAGCCCGGCCCCTCCGCCGCTACCGCCGTCTCTCTCTCTCCACCCTTGCTGCCCCCGCCTGCTGTTCTCTCCTCTCGGCCACGGTCGTGCACAGGCCCATGGCTGCACCCTCGTTGTCGGCCACCAAGGCCGCCTCCCTCTGCGACACCCTCCCCCCGGCACGGCTCGCTCCGCACACACCCACCCTGCCCCTCGTCCAGTCCTCGCCCCCCTCTCCGCCTCCCGTCATATCCTTCGACCCCCCGGTCATCTCTCCCCATGGCCCTCATGCTCCTCTTCCCAGCTCATCCACCGATGCATCATACAAGCCCAACCCGGTGTCTGTCGGCGACGCCCAGACCCGCTCGGAGACCGCTGCTCGCAAGCTCTGCGTCCGCCACCAGCGGATGGCAGACGAAGGCACAAATCTTAAGCTCCAACAGGTCCGTCTTCCCCACTCGTTGTGCCTCCAGTCTCCACCACATTTACCCTCCTTCTTGACTTCCCAAACTCCATTCACTCTTCACTTCTTTCCCCACACTGCTCGCGGATGCTCTTCGCCCTATATCCGCGGTCCCTATGTTTTAATTGTCCCGTAATGTGTGTTAACCTCTGATTTCAGGCCCTCGATGCTCTCCCCGTCGCCGAGCGAGAGGCCGTCTCCGTCATTTGGTCCAACTTCTCGTCCTCTCCCCATCCCCGTCGCGCCCTCATCCTCAGCGGCCTCCTCACCATGTGCTGCTTCTCTCAGCTCTCCCTCCTAACAGAGCAACTCGCCCACCTCATTCGCATAGACCCCTTCGTCATCCTTCCCCACGAAGTCTCCCTCAAGGTCCTCGGTCACCTCGATGCGACCTCCTTGTGCCGCGCAGCACAGGTGAGCAGACTCTGGAAGGGTCTTGCCGACGACGACATCCTCTGGAGGAGCATATGCGAGCAGCACATCGGTCAGAAGTGTGCCAAGTGCGGCTGGGGTCTCCCTATCCTCGAGAAGCGTCGCGGACTCCGTCTCCCCACTCCCCCCGCATCCGCTTCTCCCTGTCCATCACCAGCAATCCCCCATTCACATCCTCCGCCGGACGCTGTCGCCTCGTATTCCCAGCAGCTGAAGCGGCGCCTCGACGACGAACCCGACGAACATCCGGGCAGTTCCACCGCCAAGCGGATACGAACAGACGACCACGACCACGAAGATGACTCCCACCTCGCCACACCATCGGCGTCTCCCCGTTCTCCGGCTCTCGCTCTCTCGGAACCTCCACAAGCGATATCAACGAACCCTCTTCTGGCGCCGCCCGCAACATCCGAGCCTCGGCTCGTGAGCCCGCTGACCCGTCCCTGGAAAGATGTCTACTGCGAGCGTCTCACTATCGAACGTAATTGGCGGCGCGGGCGATGTACAGTGCGCACACTCAAGGGTCATACGGATGGTGTTATGTGCCTTCAGTTCTCGGAGACTCTCACCCACCCAACGTTCCCGGTACTGATCACCGGCTCTTACGACACCACTGCTCGCGTTTGGAATCTCGAGACAGGCACCGAGGTCCACTGTCTATCGGGACACTCTCGCGCCATCCGATGTTTGCAGTTCGACGAGGCGAAGCTCATTACGGGCAGCATGGACAACACCATGCGCGTGTGGAACTGGCGCACGGGACAGTGCCTCAAGGTCCTCGAGGGCCACTCCGAGGGTGTCGTCTCCCTCTGCTTCGACCCGAACGTTCTTGCGTCGGGTTCGGTCGACACCACCGTCAAGGTCTGGAACTTCCGCACCGGCGAGTGCTTCACGCTCCGCGGCCACTGCGACTGGGTGAACTCGGTCCAGCTCTGGGACCCGAACGCGCGCTCCGCCTGCGACCCGAAGCCCGCCCCCACCTCGAGTGCCTCGGACCCGTTGCGCCTCTGCAGCACGGCGCAGACCAAGGCCCCACAGATCGACCCGGGGAAGATGCTGTTCTCCGGCTCGGACGACGGCACGATCCGTCTCTGGGACCTCTGCGCGCGGACGTGCGTGCGCGTGTTCAAGGGCCACGTCGGGCAAGTGCAGTCCCTCAAGCTCCTCCTCGTCGACGAGCCCGCCGCGGACGGCGCCGAGCGCGAGGGCTCCGCCGAGCCCCCCGAGGTGCCCACGCCCAGGAGCGCGCTCGCGTCCACGCTGTCGGCGGCTCGCCTCGCCTCGCCCGCGCCAGGGCTCGGAGGGGAGGGGGTCGTCCCCCCCGCGCTCTCGCGCCGGACGACGGCGGATGGGGCGGGGACGACCCGGCAGCGGCCGGTGCTCATCTCGGGCAGTTTGGACAACACGATCAAGGTGTGGGACATCGACGCCGGCGCGGTCGCCCGGACGCTCTTTGGGCACATCGAAGGCGTGTGGGCGGTCGCGAGCGACAAGCTCCGGCTCGTGAGCGGCAGCCACGACCGGACGATCAAGGTTCGTTGCGCCCTTTGGTGAGCTAGTGCGCAGGCAAGGCTGACTGACGGGCTTTGCGTCTTGCAGGTGTGGTCGCGGGAGGAGGGCAGCTGCACGGCGACGCTTGTGGGCCATCGGGGCGCGGTGACGTGCCTCGCGCTCGGGGAGGACAAGATCGTGTCGGGCAGCGACGATGGGGATGTGCGGGTGTGGACCTTCAGCGGATGAGCGTCGTGTTTTTGTACATTATACCGTTATTGTAATTTACCCCCTTAGTTCTGGATGTCTATAGCTGTGTGCGACTTTCTCCTATATTTTGTACGGCGAAAGTTAATAGTGCTGCTTGAGAACCAGACGACATAAGAAGCAAACACATGGTGACTGTCACTAGCACCGCAACCGAGAAAGGTGGCGTGGCCGAGTTGGTCTAAGGCGTCGGATTTAAGTATTTCTTGATTCCCGATGGGAGAAATCCCGCGCGAGTTCGAACCTCGCCGCCACCAGAGACATCACTGACTCATTTTTTTGAGTTTCGCGAGTGTCACCATGTTCGGTCAAACCAGCGCAGCAGCGAGCCATGGTACACGAGTTCCAATTTTTTTGCTAGAAAGCACGACCGTGTATAAGCTATTAGCCAATCATCTCCATTCGCGCGCCTCCCTCGTTCATGACCAAAGCTGTTCACAACGGGCACGTTAGTGAGCTTCAGAAAGGGAGCAAGATGACAGATGCTGACCTCCGAGATGCTGTCCTTGCCTCCCGGCATCTCACGTACTCTGCAGATATTTGTCAGATGTTTCTCAGACATGGGCAAACCCGATGCGGTGCGACGTACCTGCGGGTGGGCTTGAAACTCGCAGGCTCGACCGGGGCATCGCCGAGCAGATCCGCCACGCTGTCCTTTCTGCGAGAGCGGCAGTTAGTGAAGGCGCACGCAGTCGCGCAGCACGCAGACGGCCGTACTTGGCGTGAGCGGCCGCCGGGGCAGACGCTGCTGCCACTGGGGAGACGGTCTGCGAGGACTGCAGGACGGGGGGTCGGAAGCAGCAGCAGCAAGGGGTCAGCGCGCATCCGGGCGACACGCGCGGTGGGGCGGCGCACCTTGGGCGGCGCGCGCGAGAGTGCGTCGTCCTGGTCGTACCCGCCGAAGACGATGCTCTGGACACCACCGGGCGGGTCGCGCACGCGGCGGGTGGGCTTGAAATCCGCGGCGTCCTCCGAGGCGGGTGTGTCGGGGGCGGCGGGGGCGGAAGACGCGTCCGAGGCGGCAGAGGCAGATGCGGGGAGCCCGCCCGACGCAAGTTTGCCGAATTCCGCGTAGCCTGTGCAAGCGAGGGGGAGGAGGTGCGGTAAGAGGCGCGGTGGGGAGAAGTGGGGGGTGGGGGCGCACGGGGGAGCTTCTGGATGTTCTTGAAGCTGGGGTCGACGGTCACGTCGACGTGTCTGGATGTGGCCGGGGCCGGGTTCTTAGCGGGTGCATCGGGGCTCGTTGAGGTGCAGGCTAGGCGCACATACTTCAGGAATTCGATGAGAGAGCGCTTTGTGAACACGATCTTCGTGTCGTCCCAATCGAGCATGCCTGAAGAGAGAATATGGGTGAAGGAGGGAGAATGACAGCGATAGCGACGCACCGAGCTGGGCAGCCCAATCGCGCTCCTTGGAAGGGTCGACGGCACTGGAGGGGGAGAAGGTGCTGCCGGGGAGCGTTGTCCATTCATGTCTCCAGGTCGATTCGGTGATAGCCAGCGGAAATACTTACGACATGACTGGATCAGCAACAATCGAGAGAAGGAGAGTCCTCTGAGAGGAGTGGTATCGACGCTGGGGGAACGAGCGACTGCACAGTAGAGTGGCACGCATCGGGTATGTGCTTAGTCAGCGGCCCATGGAGTCCTCCTTTCGCACCCACCGCCAGTTCGTCAGTTTGCCCACCGCTCGTTCGCCCGCCGTTTCTTGCTTTTGTCGTGGAATCTGGGGACGCGCAGGAGCTGACTGTGCGCTGGTCCTCCGCGTCCGTTTCCCTCATGCTTTCTTTCGCCCGCGCCCCTTTCGTCCGCCCTCCCTCGCACCTCTTCCGCCGCACTCTCGCAACTGTCACCTGCACCCCGCTGCATCAAGCATCTACCTCGACCCTGCGCGAAGCGAAGAGCCTTCTGTCACGACTACCCCCAATGCCCTTCCCGCACACCTCAGGCACGAGATGGAGAGCGCCCTCCGCGTAGACCAAGCTGGTGAACTCGCCGCCAACTGGATCTACAAGGGCCAGTACGCTGTTCTCGGCCGGGATCCAACTACTGGCCCCCTCATACAAGCAAGCGCCGTGGTGCCCTTTATTCCTATAGACATCTTGACCATGCCTTGCAGGACATGTGGGACCAAGAAAAGAAGCACCTCGCCGTCATGAACAAGCTCCAGCACCAGCACCACGTCCGTCCAACCCTCCTCTGGGAGCTCGCGCGGATAGGTGGCTACGGTCTCGGTGCTGCCACCGCACTCATGGGTAAGGAGGCCGCCATGGCCTGCACCGAGGCCGTCGAGACCGTCATTGGAGAGCATTACAATGAGTCCGTCCATCCGTCCCGGTCTCCTCCGAACCGTCCCTCATGTCCTCCCACCAGTCAACTGAAGGAGTTGGAGCAACTACCGGATGACCACCCCAGTGTCTCATTGTTGAGGAGATCATCAAAGAGTTCCGCGATGACGAGCTTGAGCATCTGGACATTGCCGTCCAGAATGACGCGCAAAAGGCACCGGCACACGCGTTGCTGAGTACCATCGTCGGAGCGGGATGCAAGGTGGCGATCGAGTTATGCAAGAGGTTCTAGGCAGCCTCGCGAGCTCAAATCGAGTTGGATAAGTGACGGCGTACACTGTACCGTAGTAGTTGAGGCCACACATCGGCCGTAATGCTCCCACCCTCTTAATCCGACTCCTGTGCGGGCGCGGCGCGAAGTAGCGACTCCCCTTTCCGCTTCCCTGCCCAATCCCACTTGTTCTGCTCCGCAGAGGCCCTTCAGGACAGGCCGAGAGAGAAAGCATGGATAAAACGCACGTGTTGGTTGTATGCAAGAGCGTAGACGGCAGCGGGGAAGAGGACCATGCCGAAGATGGCCTGGCGTGCTGTCCGCTTGTTCCAGCGGAAGTTCTGGTAGACCGCCTCCCGCTGCGCTTGCGCTTTGAGACGGGTCGTCGTACGCAGAAGAAAAGAGTGCGCGCACCATGACATTCCATCGGTCGACAGCGGGGTCGGTCTGGAGAACGACATCCGGGTCAGACAACACGTATTCTGCGTGTCCGTTTACGCTGTGCACTTACCTTCGTGTATCCTGCACAAAGAAAGACGAGGTCAGCGATAGTCAGAGAGGGGATAGAGGGACGCACCGTGGCCGGCCATGGTGGTAGAGTCTGGGTTGTTGGCTGCCAAGGCGCCCGTCCCTTGCCTTTGACCACCACCTCGCGTCTGCCCCTCGGCCGTCTCCCCTCCTTCCCTCCTTCCACCCTCCTCCAGCCGTACTTGCTGCGACATGGCATACAACCGCGAATGGGACAAGGGCAAACAGCCCGACTACTCCGACTATAGCTCCTGGCAGGCCGCCCCCCAAGCCAACCGCGCGCGCGAAGACGATTACTACGGGGATAACAAACGCAGGAAATTCAACGACGGCGTACGCGCTCCTTGCAGCTTTGCGTGCTCTTCTGGGCTCCCTCTCAGTGCATAGTTCCAGGGTTACGATGCGCAAGCCGCGGGCGAGTACGCGTACGACAACCGCCAGTCTTGGGATCAAGGTGGTCAGGGCCAGTGGAACGACGGCGGCCAGTACCAGAAGGGTGGCGGCGGATACAACAAAAACGTCTCGTTCCAAGCGATCCCAGTCCCCATGTCATCTTCTTGGGACTGGACACAGACTTCACAGAGTCCGACGTGAGTTCTCTAGTCGACATCTGCATGCAACGACTCACGCTTCTCCGTGGCGTAAAGATGCAAGCATATCTCACCAGCAACGGCTGTAGCATCGAGTCGGTCACCATCATCCGAGACAGAACCACAGGCACTTGCCCCATCTCCTTGCAAAGTTGTCCGCAACGCATTGACGTCTCTTTTCCCCCTCCCCCGCCACCGCGAATCGCCCCGTGCCTATGCCGCACACACTCCCCCGTTTGAATGACACAGGTATCTCTAAGGGATTCGGGTTCGCTCAGTTCACGAGCACCGAACACGCCCGCGCGTTCGTCGACCCGTGCTTCCCCTTCATCCAGATCCCGCCACCTGCGTCCCACGGCGCCACGGCCACCACCGCGTTCTACCGCGCGCTCGAGGCGGGGAGCAGTGTACCTCCCAATGGCCGGCGCGTCAAGATCGACTATTCTCAGAGCGCAGCCCCTGGTGAACGCCGGAAACCTAATGGCCCGACCAACGATGGTACGCGCGACATTGGGAACACGCAAGCCGCGGTGTTGCTCTTCCGTGGGCTCGACCCACTGTCTGGGCCTCAAGCGATCGCGCAAGCCATGAAGACGAGCTCAGGGTTGGGAAAGGAGGGTGCCAAGGGAATGCGGAGAATTATTCTCATAAAGGACAAGGTGGCCACCACAAGTTGGGGCTTCGCATTCGTCGAGTTCTTGGACGTCGAGGTATGCCTGGTATATGCATCCCTGCTTCGTCCCTGTTTGCTTACGGGGCTTGCAGTCGGCGTCCGCAGTACTCGCGGCAACCATGTCGCACCAGCTTCACCCGAACGGCTTCAGGATATCCGATAAGCCCGTCGCTGCTTCGTTTGCGCACCCGTACTCCTTCCAGCCAGTCCCTGATCACTCTCTACGCGACGATGCTACTATGGCGTCGTCTGTAGCGCTTGGAGGCACAGAAGGAATGTGGGTGAGATATTGGGACGAGTCGTCCACCGCTGCCACCCTGGAGTTCAAAGTGGAGGAGCCCGTGAATACTTCGACTCCTGCTCCTGTCGTGAAGGAAAAGAAAGAGAAGAAAAAGAAAGGTAGCCACATATCCGGACCAAGTCGGCGACGGGTGCTGATGATTTCCTAGATACCTCGCAGGTCCCTGTCGAGGCTTCTGCTCTCCCTGTCTCCGACAAGCCTGTAACTTTGAATTTCAAAAGCGGCTTCACAATGGGAAAAATTGGAGGTGTCGGAGCAGCCAAGAAGGCACCTCTGTCTTCAGCGTTCTCCATGGACGATGGCGCGGAAGACGACGCAGACGCAACGGCTGAGACATCTACGGCTGAGGATCCGAAGGGTTTGTCTCAGTGTTGGGAGACAATTGCGTATGCAGGTTGGCTGATGGTAATTCGGCTGGTGTAGTTGCAGCCGCGAAGAAAGTGGCACCTTTGATCGCTAGCAAGAAGGTGTGTGGTCCATTCTGCTGAATATTCAAGTCGTTGTATCTGATGAGCGTGCACAGACTGTGAATAACATCACCAAGTGGAACCATGTCCAGGAGGTGTTGCACCATGACGTGCCGCAAGAGATACCTGCGGCTCAACCAGTGAGTGCTTGTATTTCCCAGTAGTACGTACGCTCACAGCGTGTACAGGCAGAAACGTCCGCTCCCCCTGCCGCCACGCCAGCACCAGCGCCTGCGGTAGCAGTCAAGGAAGCCGTACTCCCTGTGGAGGTTGAGTTCGAATTCTCCGACACGACGGCCATGACGTGCTTGCTTTGCGCGCGGCAGTTCAAAGCGCTTGATAAGCTTAAGAGGCATAACAAGGAGTCAGACCTGCACAAGGTAAGCTATTTGCTACTTCTAAAGTGTCTATCCAATGCCAACCGTTCCCGCTTCCCTAGAAAAACTTCAAGGACGCTAACCTGCGAGACATTGCACGAGAGAAGGTTCACGCCGCGAAAGCCAAGGCGGAGGCGCAGCAAGAAGCTCAGCAGCCGAAGTATCGCGACCGTGCCTCCGAGCGTCGAGTCATGCATAACCAGCCTGATATCCCGCTGCCGATACCCGCCGACCGCTCTGTGACGAAGCTGAAGCACTCTGAAGGCCCTCCCCCGCCATCGCCTCCTCCTCCCCCCACTCTTAACCCTGGCCAGGACGAGAAGAACATTGGCAATAAGCTGTTGAAGATGATGGGGTGGAAGGAGGGCCAAGGTTTGGGTACTGAGGGAGACGGTCGTGTTGATCCAATGTGAGCCCTTCCCTGACCTCGTCCTTGCAGCACAAACTGATAAGTCATAGCCAAACCGCTATCTATGCTGCGGGTGCTGGGCTGGGTGCAAGCAAGGCCAAGGATATCACCAAGTTTGCCAACGATTACGCTGGCTATGTCAATTTGGCGAAGGATTCAGTGAGTTCTGCCGTCTGGCTTGCCGTGCTCAGATTCTGATGCACATCCAGGCGCGTGAGCGATATGGTAGTTGAGTCCCATGTGCCATCTCTGTACGATATTGCGCCCAGCTCTCGTCGCTGTAATCTTGTCACTGCTGTGTCTATTTGTATGCCTCCCTATGCGTCATGCTAGTAATGATATCAGGATCATGGGCCTTAAACTACCCCTAGTGTACAACGTGTTTCCTGTTCATCCTGCCGTTCTACAACCCCTTCCAGGTGAAGCCTTTCTTCAGCACGAACGTCTTCGACAGCACCAAGTCCGCACTGCTCTTGCCCACATGCATCTGGTACGTCCCCGGGACCGCCTTCCAGTGGTCTCCCTTGACGTCCCACCACGAGACCGCATACTTGTCGAGCTTGACCGACACCGTCCGGCTCTGGCCAGGGGCGACGTCGCGCGCTTTGGCGAACCCGCGCAGCTGCAGCCGCGGCGTCGTGAGCCCGAAGTCGGGCATCGCGACGTACACCTGGACGACCTCGTCGCCGGGGACCGCGCCCGTGTTCGTGACGGAGACGGAGACATCGAGCACGAAGGCGTCCGCGGCGCCGCCGGGGAGCGTCGCGGCGGAGAGCGCGAGGTCGGCGAACGCGAAGGTCGTGTAGGACAGGCCGTGGCTGTTCCCGGGGAGCCGTGTTTGTTGTCAGCGCTGCGGTCGTCGCGCGTCGGACGGAAGGGGGTAGGAGGAGACGCACCCGAAGGGGAAGAGCGGGGCGACGCCCTTGGACTGGTAGCCCTTGTAGCCGACGAAGAGGTCCTCGCGGTAGTGGATCTCGCCGTTCTCGCTGCGGAAGTTGGGGTACGAGGGGATGTCCTGGATGCGCGCGGGGAAGGTGAGCGGGAGGCGGCCGCTCGGGTTCACGGTCCCGAAGAGGACGTCGGCGAGGGCGTTGCCGACTTCGTTGCCCGAGTACCAGGCCTGGACGATGCCGGCGACGCTGCCGACCCAGGGCATTGCAACCGCGGAGCCCTGAGGTGTTGCGGTCAGGGGGATTGGAGTGGATGGGAGAGCGGGGAGAAAAGAGAACACGCACGGCTTGGACGACGACGACGGTGTTCGGGTTCGCCTTCGCAACGCGCGCGATGAGCTCGTTCTGTGGGCCAGGCATGTCGAGCGTCGGGCGGTCGGAGCCCTCGCTCTCCCAGTCGGGGGAGAGTCCCACGACGACGACGGCGACGTCGGCGGCGGCGGCGGCCTTCTCGGCGGCGACCATGGCGGCCTCGCGCTCGATCTTTTCGCAGCCGCCTATGCGCTGTGGCATCGCAGACCGTTAATTTGAGGGATATGTGTGAGCTGAAGAGGATAATTACCACTCCGCGCATGAGAGCGGGCTGCGAACGGTCCGACTCTTCGCCGTCCGGCGGGTTGGTGTTCGTGTACTCGACCATGATGTCGACGGGCTTTCCGGCCTCCAGAGAGACGGCACCGAGCTCTTCCATGGTGCCTTGGCTAGAGCACAGGATGAGGGTTGAATTGACGTCTGAGCATTGAAAAATATCCTACCCGTAATAGAACTCTCCCGGACGCTGCTTCGTCCAATTGTCAACGAGCATCTTACCATCGATGTAGAGCTTTGCACGACCGGCGACGGTCAGCCCGAGATCATACTCGGCCGTCTTGTCCATCGTGAGCTTGCCGACGAGTTTGATCATCCATGTCTCGCCCAGACCTTCAGGCAGGAAGTCGTTCAGGCGGATCTTGGTGTCCCGGATGACATACTCCTTGACTGGGCCGCCGATGGGGGCTCCGCTTCCGTCCGCGTTGTAGAAAGTGCAGATCCAGCCGGTCTCCCCAGACGGCGTAGTGAGGCACGCCTCCAAGGTAGGGGTGTACTTGAACGCTGTGTGACATTCAGACGTTTAGAGCGGTTTCCCCCATCGGCCACAGCCACCAGGACGCTCACAGTAGCAGCCGACCTCGTACGCGAAGTCGATCCCCTCCGGCGCGTTCTCCGTGATGCCCGCGAAGGGGGTGACGACGTAGCTCGCCTTGAGCGCGGCGGACCCGCCCCCCGAGATCACGCGGTCCTTCACGTTCGGGCCGATGAGCGCGACCTTGGGCGCGGTGGCCGGGGCGAGCGGGAGCACGGCGCGCTCGTTGCGGAGGAGGACGAGGCCAGAGGCGGCGAGGCGGCGGCAGAAGGCGCGGCCCTCGGGGGTGTCGCGTGTGCGCTCCGCGCCGTCGCCGAAGACGACGTCGGGGTTGCGCGCGGCCTGGCGCTGGACGAAGGCGAGCATCGCGCTCGCGCGGGCGTCGAGCGTGGAGGTGGTGAGCTTCTGGCAGGAGAGGGTGTGGTTGACGAGGAGCGGGGTACGCCAGCGCGGGGGGCCAGGCATCTCGAGGTCGAGGCCGGCGTTGATGGCGAGGTCGACGGAGTAGGTGCCGAACCTGCACGGGGAGGGTAATTAGTTGTGTGTGGCCGAACTGAGAGAACGGGGCTCACCAGTCGCTCATGACGATGCCGTCGAAGCCCCAGTCTTTGCGCAGGATCTCCTGGAGCAAATAGGGGCTCTCGGAGCAGTGGACGCCCTTGACCCTCCCATATCTGGTTTGCGGTCAGTGGAAGATCAAGATTTCCTCATCCATACTGACGAGGTCATGAATGCCCATGGCTTTGCCAGTTTCTGGGCAAGCATGAAGCTTGAGTGATATATCCGTGAGGAACACGGTTGGTAGGATATTCTTCGAATCGCTCACGGATATAAGTAGATTTCGCGAAGAGCACGGTCAGACATGACAGAGTCCGCAGCAGTTCGTTCGTGTTCTTGATCGTTGCCTGTGAAGTGCTTTATCGTCGCGGCGACACCGCGCGACTGGAGACCGTTAACGTAGGCAGCGGCCATTGTGCCTGAAAGGAACGAGAAATTAGTCAACATGGATTCTAATGAGAGCGGTCGGTGGAGCTACCTGAGAGATGGGGGTCCTCGGAGAACGACTCGAACGCACGACCGCCGAGCGGATTGCGTTGGATGTTGCAGGTAGGGGCGAGCAATATGACAGAGGACTTGACTTTGGCTTCGTCAGCGAGGAAGACACCAACATCGTGAAGGAGATCAATGTCAAACGTCGAGGCCATGGATGTGGCACACTGTGGTTGCGATAGTGAACGAGGATAAAATGATGAACAGAGATGTACTTACCGGAATACATTGCGCCGGAGTGGATACGAAGTGAGAAGAGCCTCGGACGCCCTGGACAGAGGTCAGTGATCGCACGAAGAGGGATACAAATTCCGAGTACATTAGGGCCGTCACTCATGCGAATACCAGGGATGTTCAAACGAGGAATGGCATGGGTGTTCCACCAGTTGGGAGCAGAGAGGAGGAGGACCTTCTCTTCGGTGGAGAGCTTGGAAACGAGTTCCGGGATGGACGCGTCCAGAAATTCGCGAGACATAGGCCCTTTCTATCGACAGGCGGCGATGTGAGGGAAGAGGAGAAGATGACGGTGCAGGCCGAGGGCTTGAGAGCTTTTAAGTGCGAGTGAGCGGAGAAACCTCGGGAACGCGCTCTGGAGAGCCTGATCAAGCAGAGCACCTGGTCTGGCCATCGGTGCGGGCTAGGCGGGTAAGGATATTAGTAGGTTTCTATAATGCAGTTGTTGACCTCTTGCGCGGTCATGGGGGTTGGCGGAAGAAACATCGAGCGCATACTTAGGCTGGAGGGCTCCTTATTAATAACCGGTAGATACGAAAATTAAGGAACGAAGTCGCTACTAATAGTCTTCTTCCGCCCGGCCCGGATCGATCTTCCACTTCCCTCCCCTCCCCGTCGCCTCCTTCATTCTCGCCATGTACTCGGACGGCATCGACGACACCCCTACCAACCTCACCCGGCCCAAGACCGATGCTACGCTCACCATCCGGGTCATCAAGTCATTTGCGTTTCGCACCGAGCGCAGTCTCGTCCTCCACCATGCCAACCTCGAAACGACCACCGTCGGTCAGCTGAAGGACATGGTCAGGCAAGGTACGTCTTCATTCAGCCGCCCCCCACCACCTCCTTCCCGACCATCACCCACAATAGCTATCCAGACTCAACCCGGCTGGAAACCGTACCGTAACGCAACGTTTGGTTAGTCGCACGCCAACCCTGTCGTCCTCACCCTCTCAGTCAGAGCGACTTTTCCAGATACGATCAAGCTCTACACCAGAGCCCATGGTGCCAAGGTATGTTCCGTGCACCTTACCAACCACTCATGCTTAGACACCACCAGACCACGAACTTGATCATCAACCTCGATCACGACGAGTGGATCTTCGAGGACGAGTCCGTGATACTCTGCGACCTCGGTCTAGGCAAGTGCCCATTCGCATTCCTTGCCGGTCATATCTGAGCTTCTTCCAGAGAACGAATCGGAGGTCAGCTTCTTCAATCGGGTTCAGTACGAAGAATTCAAGACCAATCCTGACGTATGTGTGCTCTCAGTCACCTCCCTTCGTTGCTCATGCGTGCCGACACTCTAGACAAAGTGGGAAAGCTAGTAAGTTCGATGATGCGACTCTGAATCAGACACTTGTCGTTGTACAATGTACTCGTGTATCTCTCACTGGGGCCTCAGGTTTTCCATGTACTTATGTATGTAAATTTAATCGTAGTCTAGGTGTACTACTCGTCCGAGCGCACTCTCATGCGAGACTGTGCGTGAACGCGTCCGACCGTGACCGACGCGTGACGGGACGCGTTGAGGGACGCGACCCGAGCGGCACGGCGGCGCGTGCTCTTGTCTCTCTCCACCATGGCCGGCGACTCTCAGCGAGAGGAGCTCCCCCGAATCTCTGTCGAGACCCTCGACGACTGGCGGCGCATGAAGCGCAACTACACCCTCGCCGCACTTGCTGCTCTCGACGAGCAACTCGGCAGTAATCCCTCTGACAAAGATCGAAAGGTCCTCGCCGCGCATGTTCACAGAGTCCGTCTGGCCAAGCCCAAGCGTTGTACAAGTTAGCTGAGATGCGATTCAGTTTATTGACAGAACGTTCGAGATGGCTCGTCCGAATGTCAGAGTAAATGGCCAGAACCTTGAGGACCTGCAGGAGGACGAAGGCGAGAGCGTCCTCTACACCACCTGACACTTGGGCTCACATTTGTGCCTTCAGAAACCGAGGCGTTCGACGAGGGCTTCGACAGGCACATCTGGTCGCTTGCTGACCAGAGTTTGCGCTGGGACCTCCAGATTGCCAGGGAGCGCCGCACCAAGCCCGAGGAGATCGAAAAGCAGATGCGCGAACTTCTGGCAAGCCAGAAGGAGCTTGACGGCGAGGAGGCAGCTGCTCTGGAAGACGTCGCGAATGTGGATGTATCGATTCCGGACGATTGTGAGTGTCGAGCTCTTGCGTTCCGTCTTGAGTGGGCATTCCACTAAAGTCGTCGTCCTCTCCACTACAGTCTCAGCCGAATCGTATGAACGGATCGACGAGGTTGCAGCGCAGATGTTTGCCCTCGCAGAGGAGCTGAAGCAGGTGTGTGGGTACAAAGCTTGCATTACACCCGTCGCTGATTAACCGTTTACAGGCCGTGCCAGTACAATTGGAGCGTTCTCAACGAGTGAGAACTGTTGCGGAGGAGATCAAGGCGTTGAAGTCTTAACATTATTGGTATGCCCCCATTGTAGCCTTACTACTTTTCGTATATCTCGGACTCGGACCCACGGCTGAACAGCAAGGGAAGGTAGTATGAGGGCGAGAGAGACGATAAAAATGCACGAGAGACTGATACAACATAGTGAGCACGACGTATGCAGGGTTTATGACCCCCGACCGCGGAAACCACCACCACGTCCTCCACCGCCAAACCCACGACCCCTTGGAGCTCCGCGCCCACCACCGCCGCCCCAGCTGCCGAAGCCTCCCCCTCGGGGCGCACCCCGTCCTCCTCCGCGTGGTGCTCCCCTGCCGCGGAAGCCACCAGGAGCGCCGCGACCTCTTCCACCAAAAGCTCCACGACCACCAGCCCCTCGGGGCTTTTTGACACCTGTGGTAAAGGCAGAGAATGAAAACCGATCCTCCATTTCGCCGCGAAAGTTGCGGACGCACCGGCGACTTTGGGCTTGGGCAAAAAGCGCTCGATGGGGAGGAGCTTGTCGCCGCCGATGAAGACCTTGTCGCCTTTCTTGAAAGAATTTGCGACCATGCCCTCGCCCATCTTGACGGTGAAATAGACTTCGTTGATGGGTCCAAGGATCTCATCCACACGGCCGATGACGGACTTGTTCTGGAGGTAAATGGGTGCGTTGAAGTAGGGGACCTTGTCGGGCATGAGGGACTGGCAGAACATCTCGTCTTCGACTGCGTGCACGAAGGAGCCCATCTCTGGATTTTTGCAAGTTGGGTGAGCGATCGAGTGGTGGACGACAGTTTCAGATTGCAGATACGCACCAAAAACCTGGTCAGGAGGGCCCATGTCCCGTTGCTGGAAACCGCCCCTGCCTCCACCGCGTCCTTCGCCGGTCGATTACGAACGTCCCTCACACAGAACGCAGACTGAGAGCGAACATACCTCCACCGCGTCCACCAAATCCGCCTCTGCCTCCTCTGCTCATGGTTCACTGGGTGTGTCGCGCACGGGGGTGGATGTGAGGCCTATCTTGCGCCTAAAAGTTGGGCGACGCCGGGATGACGCGCGACAAACACGGGGACGGGGAAAGGAGGAGACGTTGCCGGGCGGCGGTCGTGAAAAAGTTGGGGCGGGCGCCTCCGAGGCGGGCGGACCGCGCCATGTCCTTCCTCTTCGACCGTCCCCCCGCCGTCCTCGTTCCCGCCCCCGCCGTCCACGATGACCCCGACGTCGTGCGCCTTCCAGTGTCCGTCTGGCGCGCGCTGCTACTCGATAACGAGACCAAGACTGCCCTGTCGGTGGCGAGAGCCGCAAAGGACGGGGGTGTACCCCGCTTGCCGGCCGTAACCTGCTGGGGCGTGCGCGACGAGGATGTGAGTCTCCGGCTTTCGTCTCTATATGCGGACACGTAGCCAATATATGCGCACACAGGCTGCGGGGGTGCTTGTCCCTCGACAGTGGCAGTCCGATTACCCCCATCTCTTCCCCCGGCAGTCTGCTACCTCTGCAGCCACAACACCCACCCACTCACTCACGGTCGTGAAACCCGTCCCTCTGACCGAAGCCATCTTTACCGCACTCTCAAACGATGCGTATGCTGCTGCATCCTCCGACCCGTCTTTGCTGGAAGACTGGCTCCTCGACAGCGACCAGATCCTGCGCGAAGGCACCACATACACCTACCCCGCGTCCGGTTCTTCCGGCTCATCATCCTCGTCTTCCTTCGCCCCCGGCACCCTCGCGTACACGCTTGCTTTGTGCGCCCCCGTGCAGCAGGGCATCGCCGTGCGCGGCCAAACGAAGCTCTACGTCTCCGCGCACCCCTCCGCGGCGTTAGACGGCCCCGTTCCGTCCGCGGACTCCATCCCGGACATGATCGTCGACGAGCTCGAGGCCGAAACTGGCTCCGAGCGCGCCGAGTCTGCCAATGGGGACTTCGAGATCGGCGAGGACTTCCTCGCCGGCTCCACTCTCCGCGCGCTCGCCATCGCCAGCCCGAGCGCGACGTCGAGCCCGTCTTTGAACGGGCACCCGATGAACGGTGCATCAGCTTCAGCCTCACCATCTCCGAGTGGGGGAAGCTTGCACTTGTCGTCGGTCGAGTGGACGTGCTGCGCGCGTCCACTACGGCGTCCGGTCCGCGTCGTCGAAGACGAGTGTGCGGTTTATGTGCGCACTTCGGACCTGAGCCGGATCGGGGTGCAAGAGAGTGACTGGGTGAGGACTTTCACGCGCTCCCGTCGACTGTCCCTGCCATCTGGAGCTGACTGGCCCTGTGCAGGCCATCATCAGGTCCAATGACAACAGCGTCAACTTCAGGCTCGCGCGGGTCCACGCAAACGACGATGTTGTGAGCGGCTCGTGAGTTGCAGCCCGACACCTCACGTACAAGCCCCTTTCGCTTAAGGCGGCCTTGTAGCGGCGCATACCTCTCCCCACAGCTTTTGTATAACATCCACCCTCCTAGTGGATCCGAGCGCACGGTGGAGGTCTGCGTTCGGCCCAGTCCCTTCGGCTCGCGCAGGCCTACCATTCCGGTAGCGAAGACAGTTACGATTGCACGCGTCGCATCGGCCTTCTCAACGGACCGCGCATATCAGCCACTCTTCCTCCGGGCTCTGCAAGACTACTTCAAGCGGACCACACGCCTTGTCAAGCATGGCGACGTCATCGCCGTGGGCATCAACACAGACGACCTGCTGAAGCAGCCTTCCGGACCGGAGCATGAGGCTGAGGACGAAGGTGTGGAGGAAATTGACCTCGAGTCCGTCTCATCAGCGTATCTACGGTGTATATATGCTTACCCCCAACACAGTGCCCGTGAAGCGGAGGACGCCCCCAACGAACTTGTGTACTTCGTCATCACGAATGTCGAGCACAGCGTTCCTTCACGATTAGGGGAGGGCTCGTCTCCCGACATGTACCTTGGCGCGACAGTGGGCGAACTCGGATGCTGGGTGGACACTTCCGTTACACGCATGGTGCAGACGGGCATCGAACACTCGAGAATCCCAGATATGGGTGCATACTTTACAGGTACCTTGGTCGCGTGACCTTGTCCGTTTCCCCGACTCATTGCATATTCCTACAGCGCAGCAAGTGTCGCCACCTGCCGACGCCGTACCCGACCAGAACATGCCATTTGGCAAGCTGTTGGCTCTCGCTTCTGCCGCGTTGAACCGCCGAGCAGTGGATTACCACCTGCAACTGTCCATCTTGCTGAAGGGGGCTCGTGGCATCGGGAAAGCGACGGTAGCGTATTGGGTCGCTCATCGGCTCGGCGTGCATCTTCTCGAGGTAGGTGACTTCATGTGAGATTAACGCGTGCTCTCACGTACTTCATAGGTCGACTGTTACGACGTCATCGGTGAGAACGACGCCAAAACGGAAGGAACGCTGCAAGCTCGCTTTGAGCGAGCTGCGTCGTGCTCGCCATGCGTTCTGTTGCTCCGGCATATCGACGCCTTCGCCCAAAGCACACAGGGGCAGGAGCCTGGCAAAGGTGAATCCACTGACGCTGGCGCACACTGGCTCGTGCTGACATGTTTTCAGAACCCGCCGTAGCTGAGACCCTCCGCGACTGTATTGCGGGCCTACAGCCTTCGTGGACCCTGACAGGATTCCCCGTGCTGCTCTTTGGAGCTACCGATAATCCTGACCGGGTGCCGCCAAAAGTCATGTCCTGTTTCAAGCACGAAGTTGCTTTTGAAGCACCTGGGGAAAATGAACGTCGTGAAATTCTCTTGTCCATTCTTTCCGACGCGATTCTTGCTCCCGATGTCTCGGTGAAGGATCTTGCCGTTCAGACTGCTGCCCTTGTTGCGGCTGATCTGGTGGACCTGGTAGGCCGAGCGAAGGCAGCCGCGATTCAGAGGTGTACCAGTGACACGTAAGTGCCTTACGGATGGGTATGTATTAGAGTGACTCACGATTCACTTTCAGGAGTAGTACAACGTATGATGTCTTTTCGGCCGGTATCCCCCTGTCTTCGGCAGATTTCGAGTCGGCTCTCGGCAAAGCTCGTGCATCTTACTCAGAAAGCATCGGTGCCCCCAAGATTCCTTCAGTCTCCTGGGACGATGTTGGTGGTCTTGCGCACGTCAAGAATGATATCCTCGACACGATACAGTTGCCCCTTGAGCATCCAGAGCTTTTTGCAGACGGTCTAAAACAGCGCTCAGGTGTCGCCTTGTCCCGCTTCCCAACGCTTACGCGGTCTGACGATCTATCGCTACAGGCGTTCTCTTGTACGGTCCCCCCGGCACGGGCAAGACTTTGATTGCCAAAGCCGTCGCCACCACCTGCGCACTCAACTTCTTCTCCGTCAAAGGCCCCGAGCTCCTCAACATGTACATCGGCGAGTCTGAAGCGAACGTGCGCCGCGTCTTCCAGCGCGCGCGCGATGCCCGCCCCTGCGTCATCTTCTTCGACGAGCTCGATTCCGTCGCGCCCAAGCGTGGCAACCACGGCGATTCGGGCGGCGTCATGGACCGCATCGTCTCGCAGCTGCTCGCAGAGCTCGACGGGCTCGCCGGCGGCGGCAGCGGCGCGGACGTCTTCGTCATCGGGGCCACCAACCGCCCGGACCTGCTCGACCCCGCGCTTCTCCGCCCGGGGCGGTTCGACCGGATGCTCTACCTCGGCGTGAGCACGACGCACGACGCCCAGCTCCACATCCTCCAGGCGCTCACGCGCAAGTTCCGGCTCGAGCCTGCGCTCGACCTCGCGCGCGTCGCGGAACGGTGCCCGTTCCACTACACCGGCGCGGACTTTTACGCGCTTTGCGCGGACGCGCTCCTGAAGGCGATGGCGCGCAAGGCAGAGGAGCTCGAGGCGACGATCGGTGCGTCTCTTCCCTCTCTCCCTCCGATTCTCGCTGCCGTTCGTTTGTGCCGGGCGTAGGCTGACGGGCGTTGACAGCGACGCTGAACGCGGCCCCGCCGGCGGAGTCGCCGCATCCGTACCCGCTCACGCCGCAGTATTACCTGGGGGAGATGGCGACCAAGGCGGAGACGGACGTCTTGGTTTCGGAGGAGGATTTCAACGCTGCGCTGAGGGAGCTGGTGCCTAGCGTCAGCCAGGCGGAAATGGACCATTACGCGCGGATCCAGCAGCGGTTCTCAAACGAGGCGCTAAGAAAGAGCCGGGAGTAGGGCTTAAGATTGTAAACTACGAGATATGGGTTGTCTATGGATGTTCCTTAAATGCGCTCGCTCACAAGTAGACACGTACTGGTGTAATGACCTGTAGATATTTCACTTTTCAGCTTCGGCAGTAGTAGCATCTCTTGTTCTATGTTCGATCTCTTGAGCCTTCAAGGGGCGAATTGCATGCGGGCGACGAGAATAAAACTCGCTGAGAGCAGGAGTGTAGAGCAAAGGAAGCGTAGCGTACAAGATCCTTGGGAAAAGCACACGTCTTGCAGTCCAGTATCTATCGCACAACTGACAATACCAGTACATCCATGTGGTGCCTACATATGACCGAGACAGTAAGTAAATGAAACATTACAGCGTCGAGCAGGATTACGAGTGCAAGGTATAGGGGGGATGGGGCAGTCCACGGGTAAGGGTTTAGAACCACTTGCCGGGCTTGAGCCCGATCATGTCGAGCATCGACTGGAAGGAGCTGGGGAGGAGCGCCCCGACGGAGGTTGACGACTGCATTTTTACGGGCTTCCCGGTCACTTCAAGTCTGTGTAAGGTAGTCATCGTCAGTCGGCGTGCTTGTCAAGATGACGACAAAACCGTAAAAGGTGTAACCCACTTATATGCTGGCTTGCCGTCAATCATGATCTCCACATTCACGACGGGGTGTTGGTAGTCAGAGGTGTCGACCTCAATGGATGCCCTGGCAATTTTACGTCAGCAGCCGCACACGCAAAGCACACGCAAAGCTGAGTCTTACCACTTGTAGTTTCCCTCGCCGATGTACTTTATGACCTTCTCCCTTGGGACTTCGACAACATACTGGGTCACATCCTTGGTTCCGTCTTCAGCAATAATGACATCTTCAACCGTCTTGTTGACGACTTCGGCGCTGTGAGGGCGCAGCGTGCGAATCCATGGCACGTAGAACATGCTCATAGGGCTCGTCGAGATCTCAAGCACCTTGTGGCCGACGTCGCCGCTCTCATACTCGATCGCAGCAAACTCGTGGCGATCTCCGGAGAGGATAATCACATTGGGCACGGTGTGCAGCGCAGCCAGCAGAGAAGCCTTTTCCGTGGGATATGCTGCCCACGAGTCCGTTTGCGCGTCATGCGTCCAGAGGGACGTAAACGGCACCGAGGTCACAATAAACTTGAAGACAACGGTCTGGTTGACCTGTTTGCTGGATTTAATCGGCCGCCACGGTCAATCGACCACACCAACGCACCTTGCCGAGCCAATTGTACAACGCTCCGAGCTGTTTATCGCCGAGCATTGTGTGTACGCTCGGGTCCTCCGACGTAATATCGGAGCGATACTTGCGCGTGTCCATGACGAAGTACGCAGCGTCGCCGTAACGGAAGTCGTAGTAGTACTGGCCTTCTTCGGGTGACTCATAGTTAGCATCAGCGTTGTATAGGCTGAAGGCGTCGGCAGCGTTTGGGAAAGGCTCCCGGGAGACATTGCCTTGGCCAACATAGTTGTTGATGATCTGAGTGGTGTTAGTGATGAGAGGGCGGAAAGAAGTCGACTGAATCACCTCATGATCGTCGTAAGTATGAAAGATAGCTGGAAGACAAACGTCAACACTTGCGGCATTTGCGTAGACACTTAGCGGACTCACGAAGTCTCTCATACACCTTTCGGAAGCTCGGGCTGTTGTAGTTGCGGCGATAGAGACGACGGTAGGCTTCGGCGTCATCCCCGAAATAGACAGGAACGTCAGCGTAGATAAAATCACCCATGAATATCATGAACTCGGGAGGGGGAGGTGCTGGGGTCAAGCGAAGCTCGGGCGGGGGCGGACGGTCCCCCTCCAGCTCCTCAACAGAGTCGGGCGGCGTTTCAAAGTCGGGCGCTGTCGAGGCGGAGGGTTCAGGGGGCCAGATGTAGTCCGCAAGGAGGTCGAGACCTTTGAGCCTGCGCCCTTGGAAAGGCATATAGGGGAAGTTCGGGGTCATGCAAGAGGACGCAATGAAACGGAAGTTGGAGCCACTGGAGAGTCTGGGGTCCGGGAAGGTGCGGAAACGGATGGGCTCGGGAGGATAGGACAGAAGGGTGTTGTTGGCGTCATGGAAGCGGTCTGGAAGTAAGGTTAGTGGATATATGCGCCAGGAAGGGGCGGTCTACGGACATTCGTAGGTAGTTTTGGGCCAGAGCCCAGACAAACGCACTGTTTGGACCCAGTCGAGATCGGAGGTGAGGTTTGTGGTGGGACCATCGCGCCAGGGGGCGTCGTTGGAAGTGGCTTTGGGGTTGACCTGGCGCCATGAAAGACGAACGAGATTATCAGTCGCGTTATGAGCGGGGTAGCGGACGACAATCTTGGCTGCGTCTGGGTACAGGGCACCGACACGGGTGTAGACAACGCCTGACGCGTCGTCGAAGTAAGGGACGGCGACAAAGTCGGCGACGGCGAGAAGGAGGAGAGTGTTGATGGCGAGGTTGGCGAGACGAAGGGCACGGATGGGGGAGGGCACTGAGAAGATGATGGTAGTGAGAGCAGAACTCCACTGGGAAGAAAATGAGAGGAGAACTGGGCGGGCGACGAGGGAAGGGCGTACGTCAAAGGGTTCACTCAGAGGGACGACCACGGGTGTCTCTGAGAGCGAGACATCGGTGACAGGGTGGCCATTTTTCTCCTTGGACTCGCCAGCGACGACCTCCTTTTTGACGGCGACGAGATGGGAGAAGACAGGGACGGCGGAGTAGGAGAACACGACATAGAGCGCATAGAGCGCGGGTATGAGGTACTTTGCCTCCCCTTTCGGGACCTGGGGGAGGTGAGGATAGGAGGAGGAGGACGGCAGGTGGACGCACGACTTGGAGGAAGAGGTAGACGACGATGCGGTAAAGGGTGGAGACGGCCGAGCTGGCGATGGCGGCAGAGGCCGACATGGCGGACGGGCGCAGCGGTGGGCGTGCGCGGGGGAGGAGGAGGAGAAGGGCAATAGGGGAGGAGAAGGAAAGGTGATGTCAGGAGGCGGGGCTCGCGAGCCGGCCAGGGCGGCGTCGCGTGGGCCAGTTCGCGACGCGAGCTCGTCAGGTCTGCAGTGCAGAGCTCTGCTCGCTCTCGTCCGCAACCTCCTCCCTCCTCTCCCCCCTCCGCTCTCCCCACGCACCCGCCGGCTCCTGCATGTCCGCCTCCGCCAGCCTGCCAGTCTCTACTTGACTCCCTCTGCATGATAACGGCCCTTCCGACGTCGATCAACGCGCGCTCACACAGGCTCTTCCAACCTCCTCTCTCTTTCACCGCCGCCGCCCGACGCGTCCTCCACAATGGAATCTATCTTCGGCAGGCGCAAGACGAGGCCTAGGCAGTCTTCTCTCTCAGGACAAGAGCCCCCCGACCGTCTTCGCCCGCTCTCTGGTGCCTCCGTTGCCACTACCGCTACCCGTTCCGAGTCCAGTCGCAGCTCCCGCTATGCCCCATCTCTGTCTCCCTTCGAGCCCCACCACTCTCATCTCTCCCAGCTCTACAAGCACCAGTCTCCTACCGACGAGTTCAACTTCCCTCGTCCCGAAAGCGACGAGGAGATTGACGTTCTCTTCAACAACATCATGCGCATGCGCGGGCTCGCAGACATCCCCCATCTCTCCGTTGATCAGAAGTGGCATATTGTTTACAACGACGAGCAGATGAGATGGGCCGAGGAGCGTAGAAGAGAGGAGCAGTCTCGCAGGCAGCCCAACGTCGACTCGTCCCAAGCCCCCTACCAGGAGGGCACCCCAGAGTGGTACATCCGTCGGTTTATGGACAGAACCATAACCCCCAAGCAAGCGTCCAGCTTGCAGGTCTCTCTCCGAAGCAAGGAGATGAGGTGCGTCGCTTTTTCTCGCTTTCAATCCGATAGCTAACAAGGAACGCTTACAGCTGGTTCCGGCACTTTGTCGAGCTTCAGGGCACCTCTGTCCTCGGTCAAGCTCTGCAGACAATCTCTCGCAAGGGCGTCGGGAGGTGCGTCGATTGACCCGAACTCGATTATCTGCCGCTCACCAGGCTGCAGGCGGAAAGAGGATGTCGACTTGGAGTACGAAGTCGCGAAGTGTCTCAAGCAGATCCTGAATCATCAGGTACGTCCCAAATCCCGGTTTTTGTCAATCTGCTGTTCACACCTACTTAGTTCGCTGCCAATGATGCCCTCAACCACCCAATGATTTTGACCCAAATCGCCTCTGCCCTCAACACACCTCATTTACCAACGCGGAAAATCCTCCTCGACCTCTTATCTTTCTTGGACTACTACAACGATGGTCAAGTCCACAACCTCGTCGTTGCCGCTCTCGAGTCTCTCAGCACTTCCAACAATGAAGGTGGTAGCCCGTATGCGTACTGGTTCAAGTCATTGGAGAGCGCGCTGGCCGGAAGAGGGCGCATGGGTACATTGGTGGGCGCGAGTGATGAAGTCAAGAAGCACGGCGGTGTAGATCCTTCTTTGAATGATTACACGGTGCGTGCGCAGGCCCACAGCCTTGATAATCCACTGAAAGCCTTCCCATACAGCTTTCCAACATCATCTTCATCAACTCACTTATGGTGAACATCGATGATCTCGACATTCGAGTGCACCACCGTGCCCAAATGGAGGCTGCAGGACTCCAGAACATTCTCGAGCTTTGCCATTCCTTTGGTGTAGCCGTCATCGATAAGCAATTGCAGATCCTACAGCAGATACTCCAGGACGATGAGGCCAAACTCAAGGAGCGAATAGACCAGGAAATATTGAAGGACCTTGCCAATCCAGAGGATGTGTACAATGCCCTGCGTGCGAAGACGTCGGACTCCAAAGCGAAGGACCATTTTCTGTCGATACTGCAACACATGCTGCTCATCCGCGAGGAGGGCCCAGCCCTTGCCCATTACTATCAGCTGATTGACTCCCTGGTCGCGGACGTCGTTCTCGATAAGAAGCTAGTCGGCGCGGAGCAGCGCCTTGGCCACTCGGTGGAACGCATCATCGCACAGTTCAACGAAGCGGACCGTCACCAGTATCTGGAAGACGAGCTCGTTAAGGCAAATACGACCGCCCTCCGCTACCGTCTCGAGAAAGAAGCTCTCGAAGAGGAGGTCGCCCAGGGCGAAGGTGGACTCGTCGGTTCGCTCAAGTCTAAGCTTGCGCGACTGGAGGAGAAGCTCGCCATCTCGCGTGAAAATACGACGAAGCTTCAGGGTCAGCTCGAGACTCAGAAGGCGGGTTACGAGGAGCAGATCGCTCAGCTTGAAGCGCAGATCATGGAACTGTTCCGGATGCTCAAAGAAGTCAGCCGCGGCGTGGGCAAGATCATCGACCACGCCAACGCTGGAGGTATGGATCGCAAAACCCTCATCGATACTTTGGAGAAGCACTTCCAGCGGGACAAAACAATCTCTATCCTGGAAGGTCGTGGTAGAGACGAAGAAGAAGATGGTACGCCGAAGAAGAACGGTAGCCTGCGTAGAGGAGGTTCCGCTGCGACACGCGGACGTAAACCGCCCAAGATGGACAGAATATCAGAGGGCCCGAATGGTCGCACTTCACAGTTCATGGACGCCGACGAGGACGAGGAGCACGAGCAGATTCAGCAGCAGATCGCCGAAGGCGCGATGGTCAGTATTAACTGCATGTCGTCCAGGACGTAGGTTCTGACATGCACATTCAGTCAGTTGCACGCGACGGCTCTCGTCAAGTCCCAGGAGCATGCGAACTCCTTCACGGCGCCAGAAGAACCTACCCAGGACGCCCCTCGGTAGTACGTCTGGCACTCCTATGATGTTGGATGCAATGTCTTACACTCTGCTTGCAGCACACTTCATGCCTGACGACGATAGTCGGACTGTCTCGCTGGCCGAGACCAACGATGATTTTGATGCCGATAGCGAAATGCGCCGATCGACCTCAACGCGCGCCTCGAATCCCACCACTGAGGCAACATCGGTCGGCTCCGGCTTGTCCATCGAACCTGACCTAATGTCACCCATCCAGCCTGGTACGCTCGCAGAACAGCTCCGCAGGCACCTGACCAAGCGCGGCCGTCCTCCATCTGTACCCAGTCCTCTCAACTCACCCATTCCCGAGGAGGTTATCCCACCGATGCCGCCTCCGCCTCCACCGCCGCCGCCGCCACCCGGGATGGGCCCTCCGCCGCCGCCGCCACCTCCGCCTCCGCCGCCACCACCACCACCACCACCACCACCACCTCCCCCGGGTGGCAAAGGCGTCCAGCTTGGCGGGCCGCCGCCTCCGCCGCCTCCTCCGCCACCCGGTGCCCCGGGTCCTCCTCCTCCTCCTCCTCCGCCACCTCCTGGGGGTCCGACCCCGCCAATGTCCGGGCCGGGCTCGGTACGGACGTCGCTCCTGGGCGCGAATTTGCAGTCGCTTCTTTCAGCACGGAAGGGCATCTCGATCACGCCGAGCACGAAGCTGAAGCAACTGCAGTGGGATAAACTGCCACAGCAGCAAGCGGAGAAGACGGTGTTCCAGGAGCCGTCGAGGGAAGACGAGTGGGTGAAGAAGCTGCAGATCGACGGCGTGTGGATGGAGATGGAGGAGGACTTCAAGGCGAAGCAGCTCGTCATCAATCTCATGGGTACGTCTCGGTCTGGGTTTATGTTTCGCATTGGACGTGCTCGCTGACTTGTTCGTCTCCAGCCAAGCAGAAGCGTGCAGAGCTGAAGAGTGTGCTCGACCCGCAGACCAAGAAGCGCGTCGAGATCCTTATCCAGACTGTCAAGAGGTTCCAGCCCGAGGAACTTGCGATCCGCATCCGCGACTTCGACCAGGGAATCTGCACACAGGGTTTCTTGGCCGAGCTGAAACCCGTTCTACCAAACCCAGAACAGGTGTGTATGCTTATTCCTCTCATAAACGAGTACTGATGATGCGTTCAGATCGGAAAGCTCAACGTGTACCGCAACGCGGAGCCGGAAGAACTCGCCGGGCTTCATCCGTCAGATCGTCTCATGGTTCAGCTCATCAAGATAGACCGATTAGCTCCTCGTATCGAAGGCATGCTGTATAAATGTGTCTTCGATGAAACATGGGAGCTTCTCGACGAGGTGAGTCATGCTCGTCTCGATGTCCCTGTTTGCTTTCGATACTGATGAGATCTCAGAGTGCACGTAAACTTTCGGAAGCCGGCAAATCGTTATTGGAAGCTAAGCACCTCAAAGAGCTACTCAGTGTAAGAGCTATTCACGTTCAATGGTCCGTCGATGGCTCACACGTGGTGGTTTCCCTTTACAGCTTATTTTGCTAATCGGTAACTACATGAACGGCACTGGTGTCAAGGGTGGCGCATTCGGTTTCCGCGTCTCGAGTATCAACAAGGTGGTTGTGGATATCTGTGTTCAATACGAGCCCATCTGACGATTGAAGCGACTACCTGACAGCTTGTTGACACGAAGTCGTTGCACAACACTACGTTACTGCACTTCTTAGAACGTACTGTGGCCAAGCATTTCCCCGACATGGAAGGGTTCATGGACGAGCTTGCCGCCCCTTCCGAGGCATACAGAGGTACGTTTTGCGCTGTTGGATGGTTTGTAGGGGTCCTTGATGCTCTCTTGTGTGCAGTGAACCTTCAAGATGTACGGAAAAGTTTGGGCGAGCTACGAACTGGATTACAGGCTATCCAGAAGGAGCTTAAAGAACATTTCTCCAACATGGACCTTAACGACAAGTACGCTAACCAGATGTGGACCTTCGTTGGCAAGGCGAAGCGTCAACTCGAGGATCTTGTTGATGATGTCAATCACGCCGAGTCCACATTCATCGAGGTTGTCAAGTACTACGGCGAAGACGACAAGAACATGACCTCAGCGGAGTTCTACGGTATCTTCAAGACCTTCGTCACGTCGTACAAGGTAAGTCTATCGTAATATCTTTAGTTGTTGTCTAATCAACATTCAGAAATGCCGGACGGACAATCTGGCGATTGCTGAAGAACGCTCAGCCCTGGAGAAGCGGCGACATGCCCAAGCAGAGGCGAAAGCCAACAAGGCCAAGCAGCAAGACCTCCCTGAGCCTACTCCCGAGGACAATGCGGCGCTGGACAATCTACTCGAGAAACTGCGGAACGGGGATAGCGTCGGACGCAAGGCGCGGCGCGCGCGCAAGAGCGTCGCAGCGCGCTCGGGGTCGGCATCGGCTGCTACGCCGCTCACGCTCAACACGGACGTGCTTCTGACGGCGAAGTCGGGGGATGAGACCGTGGACATCGCGCGCGACATGCTCATGCGACTCAAGTCGGACGGTTTCGACGCGCTCACGCCGTCGACGCCGACTGCGGCGAGCATGCGGCGCTCGCGGCGGAAACGTGACTCTGAGGGTGTCGCGCAGCTTGCGGCAGCGGCGCTTGAGGAGGAAGGCCTTGCGGCGAGCGGACCGTTGGGAGACGACATGACGACACCGCTGGGAACACACCCGCCAATCATCCTGGACTCAATAGATGAGCACCCCGACCCTGATCCGGATAATGCCCATGAACACGACACAACCCGTAATAGTACTTGTCTGTATTGTTTGCAACAGATCATATTCTGGCCACCCGAAGGAGTGTATACCCATTACACTGTATAGCTTATTGCTGTCCACATTCCTACCTAGTCTCTAGTTCTATTACTTTATTCTTTCAATTTCAAGATCATTGTACCTTGTGTTTTGATTGAGGGTGTAGAGTGCAATCTGGAGACTAAAGTAGGCTTAGGCATTGCTCACCACAGTAGCCTGTCAGGTGGTCTACATAATGTGTTATGTTGGCAGTTGCACAGACTAAGCAACACCAAGTAGTGACCACTGATGCTGAAGTTTTAGTTTTAGAAGGAAAGAAACCTAGTTACCTAATGGTCAAATTTCTTTCTCTGACCAATTTGTAAAATGCTGTTTGTATTTATGGACATTGTCCCACTATCAGCAAAACAGTCACCTATTGTTACGTCGAAGTCCGAGTTCCGTCGGGAACGAGGCCTAGACGCCGAGTGGTTATGTCCGTGAGAAGTCTCTTGATGCCGACGTGAGTAAGCGCGGTGCACTATCGAGTGGACCGGTGAGCGAGCGAGTAGAGGGCAAGCAAGAGAGTCAATTGGCACTAGGCCAGAGAGGACGTAGCTATACAGGAGGTTGTTGTGGTCGGCGCGCGGGCGGAGCACGCGCGCAGCGGGAGCGGGTCAGCACGTCCTCGGACGGCTGGCGGGCCGGGCCGGGGAAAGGGCGGCCATGAACGTTGATGACCGGGTTCGGACTAATGGACGCTCGCGTGGCTTGGGCGCGCAGGCGTTGATCGTTCTCGTTTGAGGAGTCCCCGCTTCTAGATATACTGGCGGGGGCTCGCCCGGCTTCCTCACGCATCTTGCCACCACTCGAGCACGTGAGGAAGCTGGTATGTCTTCGAACCATGTCTACTTATGCACTCGCTTACTCATGTACTACGGCAGACTCGTCCTTCTGCCAGGTGAATATACCACGCATCTTGCCACCACTCGAGCCGTGAGGAAGCTGACTTGTCCTTCTGCCAGACGCCTCCCACGCATAGACGCTATAGTTATCACAGGTTATGAGCCCTGCTTCCCAGCAGTGAACCAGACAACAGCCGCATCGAAAGCAAAGCCACAACAAGCCATGTCCGACACCAAGACTCGCTATTCAGTCCCGAAGCTAATCTCCAACGGCTCCAACTGGGTCGTATACAAGGACAAATTCTTGGCGGTGTCCGGAGCGAAGGTCTTGACGAGGTTCATAGACGGTACCGTCCGCAAACCCCCTCGTCCCATCCCCTTCACCTGCGTCAATCTGCATATTCCCCCGTCCACGACCACACCCGCGGGTGGTGCGTCCCCACCTCCCATGACAGACATGTATTCCCACCTCGACGACGACATGTACTTCAAGTTTGCGGAGACGGTGGACAAGAACTACGACGCTTGGGTCCAGAAGGAGGCCGACGCACGGGCGCTCTTGTACGAGAGCATCCCCGACGATGTCTACATCAATGTCCGCTCTCAGCCAACCACCGCCGAGGCCTAGGACATCGTCGTCCGCTCGTTCGAAGGCAAGGGGATCATGTATCAGAACAGTATCCGCACTCAGATGCAGAACATGCGGTGCGCACCCGATGCCAACCTCCGTGAACACCTCGCCAAGCTCGCGCAAGCACGCGAGACCCTGAACAGCTACGGTGGGACGATCTCGGATGAAGAATACTGCGCGATGATCATCGCCAGCCTCCCGGAGATATACCACACGCACATCAACTCGCTCGTCGACGCCGCGGGGTCACGGGACGCTCCCTCAGCTACGACATTCTCATCCACACCCTGGGTGAAGAATAGGACCGGTGCGCTGAAGCGCGTGCATCTGGGGAGTCCGCCCTCGCGACTGGAAGCACGCCCGGCAGACCCATCTACAAGTGCTACCACTGCGGCCGTGCGGGACATGTTCAGAAGCACTGCCGCTCGCCAGGTGGCGCCATGGAGGGACAGCCTTGGCCGAAGTCAAGAGGGGGCAACGGAGGCGGAGGCGGAACTGGGGGCGGAGGGAACACTGGCACAACGACCAACAATGCGGGAGGTGGCGCGGACACAGATACCATGGCGAAGAAGACGGTCGCATTCGTCACGCTACAGAACGTCGCGGGTGCGGCGCTTGCTGCCCGCCCTGGCGAGTACATTAAGGTCTACAACAGCGGCGCGTCCGCCCACATCTCCCCATACCGACACCGCTTCTTCAATTATCGCGACATCACACCCCCACGCCCCATCACTGCGGCCAACGGAGACACTTTCGACGCCGTCGGCGAAGGTGACATGGAGGTGTGCGTCCTCAACACCAATGGCCAGCCCACCACGATCACCCTGCGCGACGTGCTATATGCACCGAACATTGGGTTCTCCCTCGTGTCCATCCGCAAGGCCGACGAGGCGGGCTACTCCGCCATCTTCGCGCATGGGGAGTGCCAGCTCCAGTCTCGCGAGAGCGGTGATGTAGTCGCGCGCATCCGTCTCATCAGGGCCTGTATCAGATAGTGTCTTGCTTTGCTGATGGGACCGGAGACATCACCACCCCCACGCCAGGCACCGAAGACGAGATGGCTCTGAGCACTCGCCCGGCGAAACGCGGCCCGCTCACCATCAGCGTGCTAGACCTGCACCGCACTATGGGTCACATCTCCCTACGCACCGCTCGCAATATGGTCACGCACGGACACACGGACGGCATCACGCTCTCGGACATGGACATCACTGCACAGTGCAAGACGTGCGTCGAGGCCAAGCTAACGCACAAGGCGATCCCAGGCGTCACGCATGGCAGCGCCCACGATATCCGGTGACGGCATACGGAGACAAGCTCCACTCCGACGTGTGGGACTCAGGCGAGGTTTCTATCGGAGGCGACCGCAAGGCAGTCGTCTTCATCGACGATCACACGGGATGGGTACATGCGGCGACCCTCAAGTCTACCTCCGGGACTTACCAGGCCTACCTTGATCTCGAAGCGGAGCTCCAGACTCAGCGAGGGATTACGCCGAAGTGGCTCCATTCAGACAACGGACCTGAATTCGTTGGACTTCGCCCCCACCTCGCTGAGAAGGGGACTCACTGGTCCGCATCGCAACCTCACACGCCGGCACAGAACGGTCGGGCGAGCGCAGCCTCTGCACGCTTCGTGAGCGCGTCCCCGCTATGCTCGCGGATTCGGGCCTACCGACGGGACTCTGGGCCTTCGCGTTCCGCTACGCGACCTTCCTCCACAATCGCACGGCGCGCGGCGGCCCTTCGCCTTACGAGCGGTGCTTCGGGACACCTCCGTTCCTGGGTGGCCTGCGACCATTCGGTGCGCGGATGTGCGTCTACGTCGAGCATACTCGCAAGCTCGCCCCCAACACGCAGGACGCACGCTTTGTGGGCATGAGCACTCACCACAAGGACTCAGCACTCGCATACCTCCCTCATGCGCACAAGGTCGCCCTCGCGCGGTCGTACGTTTGGGACACTGGGGTGGCGCCTGGTGCGCCTGAGCCACGCTTCGACGACGCGGAGATCATCGAGCACACGCGCGTTGGGAGCGAGGGGGCGCAGGATGAGGAGGCCACGAACGACAAGGACATCGCTCCCAACACGGGTGCACATGACGAAGAGGCAGCCGAGCAGGGGGCGCACGAGCAGGGGGCGCACGAGAACGAGGCACACGAGAACGAGGCACACGAGACCGTGCAGGACGGAGAGGACGACCAGGAGGAGGAGGGACAGGAGGAAGGAGCGCACCAAGAACTCGAGGTCGTGGAAGAGGCACCAGCTGAAGAGGCACTCGGCCGCGGGCACCGTGTACACAAGCCATCGCGCTGGCTACGGGACATCCAAGACGGAGTCAGGACAACGGACGGGCGTGCAGACGCGAACGCGGCGCACGCACAGAACATCATGGGTGAGCTTTATGCTCTCTCCAGCTTCATCCCGGACACCACGGACGCGCGCTTGCCCGAGACCACCTCCCTCGACGCGGCCTACCAATGGGCCGCGCACTATGCGCTCGGGCTTGTACAGCTCGGGAATGACCCTAAGAACCTCCGCGAGGCACAAGCATCGCCTTACTGGGGACAGTGGGAGGAGGCCATCCAGCGCGAGATGGACAACCTTCGGCGCCACAATGTCTTCCGCATCGTCGACCGCCCGGCTGGTGTCAACGTCATCGACACCACGCAAGTCTTCCACCAGAAGCTGGACGCCGAGGGGAAGATCAAGGAGTTCAAGGTACGGGTTGTCGCGCGAGGATTTCAACAGCAGGACTACCACGAGATGTTCTCGCCCACTGCAAAGCCGGCCACTATCCGACTCATGTGCGCGCTCGCAGTGCGCAACGGGTGGCCTCTACTCCAGCTCGACATCCGCAGCGCTTACCTCCTCGTGCCACTAGATACCCCTGTCTACGTTCAGCCTCCCCCAGGCATGCTCGCACCAGGCGACGAAGGGAAGGTGTGGGTACTCGATCGCGCCCTCTACGGACTTCCGCAATCCGGCCTCGCCTGGTACACCAAGTTCAGCGGCGACCTCCGGAAGCTCGGGTTCATGCGCAGTGAGCGCGACCACTCGCTGTTCACCAAGGGCAAGGCGCAGGTCCGCGTCATGCTCGCGACTATTGTGGACGACATGTTCGCGACCGGATCCCCGGAGCTACTTGAGCCTTTCTGCACTGCGATCAAGAAGCTGTACGACGTGAAGGATATGGGCGAGCCGGAATTCGTAGTCGGCATCGAGGTACACAGGACGCGCGATCCGGAACCCGACCTAATCTACCTGTCGCAACGCGCGGCGATCGACTCGCTCGTGCGCACCCTCGGGCTTGTAGGCGCGAAGAGCCTGGCCATGCCCTGGCTCTCAGGGACCACCTTGTCCAAGGACCAGTGCCCTACGACCGACGCCGGGATCACGGAGATGCGGAAGTACCCATATCGCGAGGGGGTCGGGGCCGCCATGCATATTGCCGTCACCACCCGACCCGACATCGCGTTCACGGTACAGCAACTCTCTCGCTTCATGTCCAACCCCGGGCGCGAGCACTGGGAGGCCTTGAAGCCCAGTGAAAAGTCCGGCGAGCTAGATCGAATCAGAATGAATCCGCGTGAATAAAACGAGTAGATTCGAACCAAAATGATTCAGAGTGTACGTGATACACTTTTTGGATATTTCCGGCCGTGATTTGGACCTTATGTTGTTCCCACGAGTGCTAGTGATGCCTGTCTTATGCTTGTCGGCAGCGCGCCCAGGCGCGACATGTGCTGACCGCATTATCCGGCGTCTATCTCTTGAGAACGCGCGCGTCGCGAGCTCTTTGCTCTCATTCTACGTGCTGCCAGTCATGGCAGTGATATGCAGTCAACCCCGGGACGGAGTCAACAGGGGTGAGCGGATAGAGCGGGCTCGTGTAAGCCTGAAGTTCGGGAAACCGAATAGAGAAAGAGGGAAGCAAGATACGATGTGCCGCAGGGAGAGCGAACACGAAGAGAGGCGGATCAATTGAACACGCGGTGCGCGAAGTAAACGGTAGACGTGGGAGAGAAGAGATTGCACATACGGGCACTGGCGAAGAACAAAGGCACGAAGACGGATGCGAGGGCGAGGGCAGACTTGAGGGCGAGGGTGTGAGCGTGATCGATATGAGACGGGTGAGCACACCGCACGGCGCACGCGCGGATATGGCGAAAAGGTGAACTAGATAGGAACAAGTTCAGCAGTACCCTAAATACATGCGTCACGCACGAGGTGAGTACTAGAAGATAACATATTGATACAAAGATGCGAGCACATATAACTCAGTGGAAGGGACTTTGGAGAGCAGGTATATGGGCGAGTGGGGACCAAGCCAGGGAGAATAGAGAAAGGGGACAACAGCGGTAGCTACAGAAACAGGAACAAGACAGAGTAATGGGTGAAAACGTACAGAGATAACTACGGGGGCACTCGCGTCGAGAGGACGCTAACGCCGGGAGGCGCGCGAAAGGGGATGCGAAGGGGATCGCGTGCAGCTCGTCGAGCTTGTACTGCGGGAAGTCGGCCCGCGCGAGAGGAGAAGACGAGCGGGTGAAGGAGCGGGAGGATGCGCGATGCACGCGGAGACGATGCGGAGCACGGCGGGACGACTGAGGCGAGGTGGACGGCGGCGGCTGAAGGCGGCGGTGGCGGCAGTGAACGGATGGGCAGACGTTGGGCGAGTAGCACGCGCTGTGTGGGGGCGTCGAAATTGTGGATAGCGGACAAACACTGCTAGACTAAATACATGAGTGAGGATGAGACGTGGCGACAAGGTCCGCGTGGGCATAGGACGGGCATGCCGGTGAGGAAGTCAGACAGAACGGTCTAAACGAACATGAGGAGAAGGACGAGAGAGAGTAAGGTAGAGGCCGCGCAGCGGCCACATAGTCATAGTAGAGGATAGCGAGACAAGCGAGGGTAGTTGGTAGGAGGAAGAACGTACCGAAGAAACCGGAATAACGTATAGCTGAGACAAACACAGCGGGAATGGAGCGGAGCGGGGGATGTGGGGCAACGAGAGGTCTGGAACTGTCTATGGAGTACGACGGGGTGCGGGGAGGTGAGGGAGGAGAGGTGTTATGTCGGAGAAAGGTGGACTTGGCAATTGGAGGTGGTGCATGCAGCCCAAGCGGTGCGCGCGAACAGCAGCGTGATAGTGGCGACGTCTCGAACTTTTCGGGGGTGTGCGCGTCGGCGCGCGTTGCGTGGGGGGCGGGGGGCGGGTGTGTCGGTGAGGTAGAGGTGCAGGTGTCGGTGACGGAGGGGTCGGTGCGGCATGCAGACTGGTGGTGGGTCGACTTTGGTTGGTTTGTGTCGGAGTGGTTTGGTACGAGGCGTGCCGCGCGCGCGTGGCCGTGCTGCATCTGCAATGGGGGAGTCGCGGAGCGTTCCCTCATCGTTTGCCAGCGGCGCGCCCTCAGTGCGCAGCGGACTTGCCACTCTCCGCCCGTCGGCAGAGCGCATCCTCTACAAGGTGTTTGACGAACACCTCGTGCGGCTTCAGCTCGTCACCGAGCACCTTGACTTCCCCCACGTCCGTGTTCGCTTTCTTGGCCCTGAGTGCTGCCGCACCGTGTTCATCCGTCCAAGGCATAGGGGCGAGGAGGATGTGGACTCGGAGAAGGGGGAGCACACAGGCTGCGAGCACAAGAAATGCGCAAATAAAGACATACCTGCATGGCCTGGCCATCGTCCATGCATATAGCAGACACTTTGGGAGCTTGCAGGTTATTTTTGCATGGTCAGATCGGAGCAGCAGAGAATACATAGGATGGAGGGATAGTTGGACTCGAGGCCGACTCACAGACTTATGCTCGCACAACGCACGATCGTCGATTACAGGACGCGCATTATCACGTGATGTGAGTATCCCACGCCCAGTGGCGTGGCGCGCTTGTGCAAGCCTTTGCCGCCAGCGGCCAACTGCCAGCTGT